TTGAAGCTGCAGACGGGAGTTTGTTCTTCTTCAAAAGAGACGGACGGACAAGACTTACGGTGGCACCGCGCAAGAGCACCCATGCATCGGCAATAAGGTGCAGCCTGGCATCCAGGTGGGTAATGTCTTGTGGTTCACAGTCGTGCGTTCCTCGCTTCCTGGATTCCCATCGCCTATTGCTATACCTCGTCCTCGTCGTGCGCTGGTCAGACGGCCAGCCATAGGTGTCGCTTGCGACAAAAGCCTGAACCTCGACCGCGGCCATTCTGGTTGTTTGAAGAGGCGGGCGCGCAATCCGGCTCAGCTGTACAACTCATGGGGCTCGACGGCGCAAGGGCTCGGACCGCGATGGAGCGTTGGTTGGAGTGGATTGGTGATTCGGTGATTGGGCAATGGGTGGAGGAGATGGAGGGCCTCGTTGATCGACAAGTCGGTGGTAGTCGTGTGAGTTCTGCTGGGTTGGGTTGCGATCAAGTCAGTCGAGACGAAGAGGTCATTGACGATGAATCCTACGATTTTCCATTGACTTTTCTTTTTCTTCCGCTTCTTTGCCTTCGTTCCTCGTTTGCGCCCCTTCAAAGGTATGACAGAAAAAGAAAAGAAATACCAAATAAAAATTCTATGCAGGGAGGGCAGTCGGTGTAAGAAGGGGCGGGCCCCCAAATGCGACACACTTAAAAACACGGATGGAGGGGCGATTTTGTGTGTGGTTGGTTTTTTTTGACGAGGGATGACAAGCCGTGTGCAGCACAACTGACCTCTTAAAATCTCTCCTCTTATGATCTTTCCTCTTTTTCTGTAATCCCCCTAATCTGGTGTCTGTCACACCTCATCCGAGCTGGTACCAAATAGGATGACTTGTCGCAGGGGGAAAATTCATGGGGTGGTTAGTAGTAGTAGTGGTAGTAGTAGTAGTAGAGAAGGTGGTGTGTTCATGTGCGTGCCATGGAAAGAAATGCAAGATGGAAGATTCGCAGTTCATGCAATGAAGACTAGATCAGACCAGACCAGCCAAGAACAAAATAATAACAGAAATGAAAAATGCGCCCAGCCTCTGACATTTGCTCAGTACAGTTGATCCTAAGCTTCAAGATGTCGAGTGTTCCCCCTCCAGAAACCCTGCACTCGTTCAAGGAAAGAGAGAGGGGCATGCAGGAAAGAATACAGTCATATATCCCTTGAAAAAAAGAAAAAAAAAAAAATTGCCCAGATATATGAAAGGGAAGGGTTGTAGCACACAGAAAAGAAACCGACTGTGTTATGCAGGGAGACCCGACGTGACCTGCTTTTGACATTAGCCTGGCTGGTGGCTTGCAGCGAGTAACAACAGAAGAAGAAAAGAGTACTACTAGTATGCCATTTGACAATGGTACACACATTGTAGAGACCCAAGTAAACAGCCGAGAATCTTAGCAGCCCATCTCACCTGCCGCCTGGGAACCTACCGAAGCTATGGGTCCCTGTCGCGGATTTGCATGGCTGGGGCAGGGTAGTACCCATAAAGTCTAGGGGGTGGGGCTATTGTGGATGCAGCCTTCCACAATGCCATTAGTGGTAGACTTTGTATTTTGGAGATAGCATTACGCATCACCAGTTGCTGCCCTCCCCCCACCAGCCCGCCCACCTTTACGCTTACCGCACCACTTGCGCACATAGCAGACAGACCCTGCTGGGTTTTTTGGGCTGTGGAGACGAACACACACACACACATTACCCCTCCCGACCTCGTCACCCGATGCAGCATTGCATACACAAGTCACTCGTGCTCGACTTGCATGGCAGATGTGCCTGATCAACTAGCACCCATACTTTACCGTTCTGGATGGGATGCTTTCTCTTTTGGTCAATCGGTCATGCTCCTCCTTTTGCCACTCAGACACACCTCTTCTCGTCTCAAGAGGGTGAGGTGGGAAGAGGGGCATGGGTGCAAACTTGTTTGAAACATACATATTGCTATGGCTGATGTGCTAGGACCTTTTTTTTTCATCTTTTTTTTTTTTTTTTTTTTTTTTTTTTTTTTTTTTTTTCAGTAACCCCATCCTGTCCTGTCGAAACAAGAGATCCGAGTCCCGCATCCCTCTTCGTCCTCCGTGACCCATCAAACCCGCCTTTGTAGCCAGCCCCAGCTTTCCCTTCCCGCGGGGGGTTTTGGCCACCATCTAATCTTACTCTGTGCTGAGCTTCAGCTCCGGGTCCCGGACGATCTTGGGCACCAAGCATGAAGAAGGGGAGAGAAAAAAAAAAGAAGGGGCAGAAATTCAAGAGCCGTCGCCGTCGGAATAGGGATACCAAAGTGGAAGGACAAGCAGGCATGCCATGACGGATTGAGCCGATCAAAATATATCTCGGGTCCCGGCTAGAAACAGAACCTGCATCAGCAGCAGGAATTCTGCCGTTGCCCCCGTTGCTTTCTGTTCCTAGAACAGAGGGACTATTGAATCAATGTTGAAGGGTAAACTGCGAACAGGGGTCTGAATCAATATATGGTCGATGAGCAATCACTACTGCGGACGTGTTGCGTTGCGTGAACAGGCGGGGACTTGTCATGGATGCCGCAATCCTCAATCAGGCCCGCCTCTCTCTGGAGATCTCTCTCTCTCTCTCTCTCTCACATATCATTGCAAGACATTCAGGGTTAAGAGTGGCACAAATTATGCTGACCACCAGACACCAATCGGAACATGTCGCAGCAAGCTTCATGTTGCCTCTTGAAACCCACAAATTTCTCCTTTCCTCACACACATTCTCTCTCTCACACACATCTTCAGGGTCCGGTTCGGTACCCGAGGTAAGGTGAAAACGGCCATGTATCCTGTTCAACAGTCATGCACTACGGACAAATTATTGACGGCACACAAACTTGCATGAGCGCGCCTGGCAAACAATCCTCCTGCAGCCACCCAGGGCCTGCGGCTTGAAAATAAGAAAAAGGTAAAAAGAACAAAACCTCGGAAGCTAGAAGCCAGCTGCATGTATGTGCAGGATCCAAAACCAGTCCAGTTCTATCCAGCTTGGGCTTGGCCCCAAATGCGGCCGGGGATTCGCTACACTACTTGTTCACCGCCAGAACCCTTTTCTCACGCCGCCCTTTGCGCCGTCGGACAGCGTACATAAAAGTAGTGTGTGCAGCAGCCAACCAGGTACTCGAAACCGACCAACGAGAATTCAAAACGGGCAGTTATAAACAAAAGACAAATATCAGTAAGAAAGAGAGAGAGGGAGAGAGATTAAGGCAGCAATAGGCCCCACCTGGCGGTTGACATGCATGACATGTAGTGATAACTGCCCGCAGCAGCTGATGAACACGTCTGTGTTGCATACATTGGCGGCCGACATCGTCGCGAGGCCATGATTCATGTCCATTTTCTTCTCCTCTCCCTTGCATGTCTTGGGCCTTTTGGAGTTTGACGATGAGAAGACGAAAAGAGAAAAAAAGAAGAAGAAAGAAAAGAGAAGAAAAGAAGAAGAAAGAAGAAAAAAAAAAGAAGAAAAAAACTCCACTGCTAGGGTTTCATGAATGCATCCATCATCACACTACACGGTGCGCAAACACACATTGTCGTCAGGCGCACGTGAGGCGCCGCTGCTGGGCTTCCTGCACAATCCATTGTAACACGTCACGATGGCCTCCATGCGGGCATGGTTAGGTTGTGTCATTCTACGACCCTTCTCGTCCAGTCGTCTGTCTGCATTGCTTCTGGGTCATTCATGGCTGGGTCAGGGTGCATTGAGCCAAAGTTTGTTCCGCGATAGTCGACATCTTGTGTCTGCATTCCCACTCCACCTCAGCTTGTCGGTCCCGTGAGAGCGCGAGAGAGGGAAGAAAAGAAGAAGACAAATAAAAGAAGAATGAGACAACGAGACTTCGAGTCGACGAGCGATTTGGGACTACTAACTCGCCCAGTAGGAGTCACTCTGGACCCTGATCAGGCAGTCCAATCAGTGCTTGCGACTGGCCCAGCTGAGCCCAGCGTACTAATTCAATTCATCGTAGTACTCATACAGTACCACACAGAGAGGCGCAGTGGTTTACCATGCCCAAATATAGCACCAGCCACCCCAGACCGCTGCAAACACCATCTCTCACACTTCTCCTGCAGCAGTAGTGAGAGTCTCCGTCTCAAGTTGGCTTTAGCTCTCCAATGTATGGCCCCCAAGACAGAAAAGAAGAAGAAAAAAAAAGGAGAGATAGAGAGAGGAGAGGAAAATAAAAATGGTCTTGTGCTTTTGTAGTGCGTCTCATGAGCAGCAGGCTCACCAAACCCGTGCCAGCGCCACGCCCGTTCTAGGGTGTCTGTTCTCAGCCCTGGAGAGCGGTTCCTTGTTTGCGTTTCTTTCTTTCAAAGAGTTCGAGTACAGCTTTGTAATACTCACTTGATATAAGCACTTGATCAACACGGGCTGATGTGCAGACGACCGTCAACTGTCTCGCAAACCCTCGTTCACCTCTTACTTATTGGACCTACCTAAGCCAGCCAGTGATTCTATTTTTTTTTTTTTTTTTTTTTTTTTTTGGCGTGATTGGCCTTCTTTTCCGCCCCTCGTTCTTCCTGGCATTAAGTAGTACGGCTGTACTTTTCGTATCTGTTGTGGCTATCTTGTTCAATATCGGCGCGTCATCATCAGCAAGGGCAGTTCAAGGCTGGAGTCAACGTTTTACAGGAGGCGCAAAACCAGGAACGACGACTTGATTGGAAACACGACATCATATCACTTTACATTCAAGACTTGTCTTTCTTCTTGCGCCCGGGACGAAAGTGGAACCCCAAAGCCTCCGGTCTTGCGGCTCCGAAGTGGGCCACGGCGCCCGAGCGAAAACGTCAAACTGCGAACTCACTTATACACACACACACACACGCACACACACGCTCCCTCTTCTTCTTTCTCGGACCTTTCAACTCTCTCCATACACATACACACACACACACACACACATACACACACACACACACACACATACACACACACACACACACACACACACCCTCATAATCATCATGCCCGCCACCTTTGACCTGACCCTCCACTTCCCCCTGCCCCCCTCCCTCCACCCCGAGCTCGTGGTCTCCAACCTCCACGCCTACGAGCCCCTCCTCCAGCCCAACCCCTACCTGCAGGGCTACCACCGCCGGCCCGTAGACCTGGACGACCTCATCGCCGACCCCTTCTTCACCGAGCACGGCACCAACATCGTCTCGTACGAGGTCCACGACCGCATCCCCGTCGTCCTCGGCCTGACCAAGGACGTCCGCTTCCCGGCCATCTTCCAGAGCTTTCCCGCAGGGGTGCGCGTCAGGGCCGACGCCGCTGCAGGCACGAGGGTGCGGAGTATCTATGAGGTGTGTCGAGGTGCTGGTGCTGGTGGTGTTGCTGGTGGTGGGGGGGCAGGAAGTGCCTGGGAGCTCGTGGAGAGGTCGCATGTCGAGTGCAGCGCGGTGCTCAAGCCTTTCATCATGAAGAGCTTTGAGGCTGCGCACCGGGATCTGTGCCAGAAGGTTCTTGATAATATCGTGGGGCGCACGCAGAAGGATCTCCCGCCGTTGCCGGACGAGGCGAGGGGAGGAGGGGGTTATCATGCTTGACATGGCTAGGTTTTTCTTCTTCCTATGTTTTTCTTTTCCCTTTATTCACTTCAGGTTTTTCCTTCTTCTTATTTATTTATTTTTCATACTGTCGCTGGCTGGCTGGCTTGGGTAGGGAGTGAGGGAAAAGAGGAACAGGCTTTTCTTTCCCTTTTCTTTTATGGTGTTCGGGCGTCTTCTTTGTGAGAACGAGGGTTCTTACAGCGGGTTGAAATGGGTGCCCTTCTTGGTGGGCCAACATACAGGCCAGCCCCTTCTCAAGAGATCTTGATGATCCGCAACGATCATGTAGGAATAATGATTTAGTTTCCATTTGTGTATATGTATATATATATATATATACATATATCAATGCACTTGTGACTGTATAATAAACTTCTTTCCTTCTGTTCATCGCCCCGCCCCGCCTCACCTCTCAAGCAGTACCTTCTCACCCTCTCCTCCCACTGCTCCAGTCCTCACAAACAACAACTTCTCATCATCCTTCTAAAAAAGTATACACCAGCTTCGTAGCACTCACCTTCCCGGCCTTCAGCTCCTCCAACCCAAGCCTCACCCCTTCCAGCCCCTTCCCCAGCCGGTTCGTCTCCACCCGCCCAGCCTTCACTCTCCCCTCGGCCAGCAGGCCCGCCGTCAGATCCCAAAACTTCTTACCAAACTCCCAGTCCTCCCTGCTCGCCTCCAACTTGAATTTCCCCCGCGTGAACTCCTCCCCAAACACGCTGTACCCTATCGTCAACCCAATCTCCCACTGAACGTCCGGGTACAAAGCCTGCACCGCGTCCTTGTCGACGGGCAGGATCACGCCGTACCGCATCTTCTTCGGCGGCGACGACGACGACGACGATGACGACGACGACCCTGCTCCTCCTGCGCCCGCCGCCAGTGCGATGAGGCGTGTCGAGTCAGGGGTCACCAGGCAGTCCCACGCCAGGGCGAGGGGCTTCGAGCTGCGAGAAGACGACGCAGCCAGGTCGGCGCGGATGCGATCGGCGAGGGTGGCTGGGTCGATGTGGTAGTCGTAGACGTAGTCTGCGCCGAGGGACCGGAGGTAATCGAAGTTGTGTGGGGACGAGGTCGCCAGCACGATTGCGTTGGAGAGTTTGGCAAACTGGATTCCGAGGACGCCCATCATCTGTTGGAGGTGAAAAGAGGAAGAGGAGCATGTCAGTTTTTGGTTCAGTCATGTTACGACCGTTTTTGGGGGGCCATGAGATCCTGTTCTGCTTCTTTTTGATTCTTGAGAAATGAAGAGGAGAGGGGATGGAGTGCAAAGGGAGAGGCTTGACTCACTGTGCTGCCACCGTTGATGAGCAGCGGGAAGGGCTCTGAGGACGGCTGGTTGGGCAATGGCAGCTTGAGGTTCTGGTAGAGACCTTGGCCCTGATGAGAAGATACGCTTGTCAGTGTGGAGGAACTTGGGAGTGATGACAGACGAGACGAGAGAAAAAAAAAGGGGGGGGGGCGTTGGCATAGAGAAACGTACAACAGTCGTCACACCGACACCCAACGTCGCAGCCTCCTCAAAGCTGAGGTTGTCCGGAATCTTCAGCGTCACCGGATCGACTGGCGAGAGGACATATTCGCCAAAAGCGCCGTGCTCCAAGTCTCTTCTGTTTTTTTTGTTCGTGTCCATGTCAGTCACGTATCAGACCAGTACTTGAGTTTCATCCCGCCCCCCGCCCCTTTCCTTTCCATATAATATCATCATCATCCATCCCTCCCTCTCCAGAGTCTACCACCTTCTTCTTCTTGCTCCTCCTACCTTCCTCCAGTGTAAAAAGAAATTCTCTACAAAAGACAAAAAAAGCAAAAGAAGAAGATTAAAAAAAAAAAAAACCACTCACCCGGCAAAAGCCAGCCCACAGATCCGATCCCCAACAACATACTTGGTCACTCCCTCCCCAACCTCCTCCACCACGCCGGCAAAATCACACCCAAACTTCTTGCCCACCACGCTCCCATCCTCGTTGTACAAGGCCCTCAAGTCCGCTGGGTTCAGGGCCACCGCCTTGGTGCGCACCAGCACGTAGCCCTCGCGCACGGATCGCGGGACCGGCAGGTCCTGGATCGTGGACTCGCCTACGCCCGTGGTGACTAGGGCTTTGTAGGTGGTGGTGGAGGTCATGGTTGAGAGAACGATTGGGGCGTGGCTTAGGTGATTTTGGGGGGGGGGGGGGTTGGTTTGGTTAATAGTGATTTTGCTAAGTGATTCTTTCAACACCAATGGGAAACGCGCCAAAATGATTACTTGGGTATCATCAGCTGTCAGAATGCTAAAGGGCATATGTGTACATCAGTGTTTCATGACAAGACAAAAGAACGAGAAGACCATTATTAATATAATTCATTGACAATTTCCATGAAGACGGGGCGGCCTAAATGTAGACGCCGCAGCAGACCAGCTTACAAATCGACATTCACCCCCCTCATGCACATTCGCTCTCTTCGGCTTTCAATGATCGCGCAATAGCACCTCGTATGCGCAAACCCAGATAGGGGATCCGGTTGGGGCCAAGGTCGAACCACTGGAGAGTCCACAAATTCATGCATCGACTTGGAAGGGGTTGAGTTTGGTTGGTCTATTGACACAAGAGGCTCGACATCCAAGACTAACAACACAAGCACACAACTTCAACATCCACACCCATTGATGCCTGCCTACCATGGTAGCAGAGACAGAAAGGCCAATATGTAATGAAAGTGAAAAGAAGACAAAAGAAAGAAGAAGAAAAAGCAAGAAAAATGGGAAGAACCCTGAAAAGACAAATATTGGTATCTAAAAAGCGTGAGGAAGATTAAATCCAAAAATGGTCTATAATCCAAAGTGATAAAAGAAAACAACAACCTGGGTCTCATGTGAAGAAGAAGAAAGAAAGAAAAACCCCCCAAGAAACCAACACAGCCCCAGGAAACAAAAAGGCAGCCGGACCCGCCGCCCGCGCGCCTCTGAAGATAGGTGCACCAATGAATCACAAGGGAGCTGACCTCGTGTATAAAACAGTTCTGCAACGCCGACCCCTCGCGCTCCCCTTCCACCCCAATCATCAAGGAAAGGATACACCACGAAGCTCCTCGAGTTCTGAAAGAGGCGGTATTAACTGATCAAGGATCAGACCAGACAACCCGAAGATTGGAGGGTCTCAGCCTCGCCTCGGTCCCGAAGCATAATCACTGGCATAGCCCATCTCGCCAAAGCCTTCGCCCATGCCGCCGGGACCGAAGCCGGTACCAGGGCCCGAGACGTAGCCAGCATCGTCGTCCTCACCAAGGTCTGACGCATCGAAGCTGGACCGGCCCGAGATCTCGTCCTCGAGGCCGCTGCCATCGCCCTGCATGCTCGGCGCGGCCCAGTCCATGTTGGCGAGGGCAGGATACTGCGCCAGCAGCGCCTGAGGCAGCATATAGCCACCAGGAGCCTGGAAGCCTCCGCCGTTGTCCATGCCTGGCGGCGCCATGAGCCCACCCATCGCCATCTGTTGATGCTGCGCAGCGGCTGCCTGCTGCTGCTGCTGCTGTGCGATGCGCTGCTCGCCCCACTGGCGCTGTCTCTCCAGCATCTCCTCGTCCAGGAGCGGCTTGATGCAGATCCTGCCGGCTTCCGACCTAAAGTGCCGTCCGAGGGCATCAGCGCGGGCAAATCTCCGGCCGCAGCCCCACTGGCCCCCAGCCTTGAGGTCGCCCTTGCACACAAACTTCTTCTCGCCCGAGTGGAGGCCCTCGTGGCGCTTGCGATCGTGCTGCCGGGCAAAGGCCTTGCCGCAGACAGTGCACACAAACGGCCGCTCGTCCGTGTGCGTACGCAGATGAGAGCGCAGGTTGTAGGCACGTGTGAAGCGCTTAGGGCACAGGCTGCACTGGAAGGTCGCCGGGTGCTTCTGCACCCGCTTGGGGCCTGATGCTTCGCCTGGCTCTGGTTCGGCAAGGCGCAGGGCCAGCACGTTGTTCGGCACCGCCGACGTGGACTGGCGTCTCCTGTTGGGCGAGGCAGACTGCTGCCGTTCCAGCGGTGACAACGACCGGGATGCGTCTCCCCTGCCCGGCGACAGATCGGCACCGAGATGAGGCGATAGGGAGCTGGCAGATGACCGCTGACTCAACGAACTGTTGGTGTAGGGATCAGTAACGGCCCGCTGCCGACGGCGACCTAGATGATCTGAATTAGTATGCGCAGCAAAGAGGAAAGAAGGGGGGAGGGGGGGGGGCAGCAAGCAGAGTGTGGAGGAGGAAGGGGGAGGAGGAGGAGGAGGCATACCCCTATCAGGCGGTGTGAGGGCATCAGTATCAACCAATGGGGACCTGTCAAAGTTGTTCCGCACAGGAGGGGCCTGGACGATGTTGATGGTGGGCGCAAGCGGATAGTTCTGTGATGCCTCGGTCGCCTGTGGCAGGGTCGGGAAGGCCTCAGCGGCTTGCATGCCATAGGGCTGAGGAGGACCGTTCACATAGCCGTTGCTGGCCAAGGTGTAGCTCTGCTGCTGGTTCATGTCTGGCGCCTGCTGGGGAAGGATGCGTGGTGAGATGGCAGGACTGTGAGATGGGCTGCGGGCCTGGTCCGAGATGGTGAAGCTACCAATGCCGTGTAGCTCCTGGATTACGGACGGGTCTTGGGGTCGCTGCATGGGCGAGCGATTTGGATCGACGTGATCAAAGCTGTCACTGACACCGAGGTTGGGCGAGGACACGCCCACGGACGAGACCTCTGAGTACTCGGAGGGGCTTCTCCGGTGCGTTCGGAACTGGTTCCAGTCCTGGCCAGGCAGCAGGGCAGCCTCTGGGCCGAGCGACACGTTCCTACTGTGCCCTTGTCCTGGGGAGGGCACAAACTGGCCCTGGTTGAAGGAAGGGGAGTGGTGACCAGACTGTGGTTCCAGGTTCAACATGTGCGGAGGTGTGGGTTGGTGAGGAGAGGCCTGCGCCATATTGTTATTATCCGGGCTGCCAATGGATTGGCTCAGACCTGGGTCGCCGGCAAACAACGGCCCGTTCAGCTGCTCCTCGCCTGTACTTGAGGGAGGAAAGATGGTGAAGTCGTTGCCAAAATCCACCTGCTGCTGCTGCTGCTGCTGCTGCTGCTGCTGCTGTTGTTGCTGCTGTTGGTCAAAGGCAGCAAGGTCATCCAGCCCACTCGGCGGGCCGTAGTTTGCAAAAGACGTATCTCCTTGGAAAGCCTGGGTCTGCTGAGGATCTAAGAAATTATTGGCAACGCCAGGGTTGAAGGCAGAGAAGTCGGAGGCCCCTGTGAACTGTTGAGATGACGAGGAGTCTATATCAATGCCTAAGCCGATATTGGAGGTTTCGGCTGGATCAAACGGCCGGGCAGGGGAAGGCGAGTGGCTGTTCGTTATATGGGGATGCTGTTGGTGGTGGTGACCGGTAGCAGAAGGGGAACGGCCCCGGTTCTGAGACGGGTCCATGGTATAGTGTATGTACTTGTACTCCAGGGGGAGACGGGTCCCCGACAAGGCAGGAGGACTGGAGCCCTGTGTGACCTTTTACTAAGAGTGAAGTGTGTAAGTTAGTGTGGGTACTGGGTTGAGAGAGAGAGGTGTGTGTGTATGAGTGCAAGTTGTGTGTGTGTGTGTGTGTGTGTGTGTGTGTGTGTGTGTGTCTTGGTTGGTGTTTCCGAGATTAGAACAGCCAGGTAATGGGACGAGGCAGTTTTTCTCGAGTCAGCGCGGCAGACTTGAGCAGCGTGGCGGAGCACAAGGGTGTGTGAGTGAGAGACGTTGAGGCTGTGCCGAGTCGATGCACTGCACCGCGCCGCACGCACCAAGACTGCAGCGCAGAGCTGACAGCCCAAAACCCACTAGGGACTGGGGTTGGCCTAGGAACTGGGTCCTATCAGGTGCTACCACCCTCGCTGTGATGAGACAGGCTCTCGGTGTCAAGTCATGTTAGGGGGGGGGGGGGGGAAAGAGACGTACTGTAGCGGTAAGGTTTGTCGTCGTATGGTCCAACCTGACGTAGGCATGCAAGAGCAGGCGACTGGGATCGTAGGTTGGTGCCTGGATGTCTTGTGGTTGTGCGTCCAGTAAGGCTTGAAGAGTGGGTGGTGATGATTGTCTCTGGCGCACGTCGTCCCTCGAGGCACATACAAGCTCTCGTACTTGTTCTCCTCAGGGGGTGTACGCACACAGTGGTCAGTGTATGCCAGCCTGGCAACTTTTTTTTTTTTTTTTGAGAACCCTCGACCGTGGGTTGGATGAAGAAGGACTTCAGCAGCTTCACTTTTTCTTGTTTCTTGTTTCCCCTTCTTTTTTCGTCTTCTTTTCCCCCGGTGTATTCTCTCCCCTTACTTTGTTCTCTCGAGCTTGAAGAGGGTTTTGGAGGAGCCAACAGGGAATCTATTGTGTCGCTAATAGCACACACAAATTTTTGTAGTTCCTGCTATCTGTAATTGCTGACGTTGCTGGTGTTGTTCTTGTTGTTTGTTATTCTCGCCGTCGCTGTCACTGTCGATGTCGGCCGGTGGCTCTCAGCGAGGATTTGCGAACCCGCGGCGCAGAATGCGGATCTGTCTACTCGACGGTCAGGATCGGCTGGCTCTGCTATGTGCGCTGCCCATGTGGCTTCCCTCTTTCTCTCCCCAGAAATATAGCACCTTGAAGGAATCGCCAGGACTCGAGGCATCAACGGCTCGACGATTCGAGATGCCGCCCGAGTCCGGCCCCCCTTCATGGTCCTATATGATCCACCCCACCCACGCAGTCTGGGGTTGGGAGGAGGCAGTGCACACGCGACTATGACGAACAAACCCGTCTGCGCCCACCAGAGATACGTTTACTAACCTTGCTTGCCTTCTTCCCCCCTTGCTCTATGTATTTTTTTTCTTCTCCCTTTCTCAATCAGGCTATTAACAACAAAAGCCCTTCTTTTCCCTCTTTGCAAGTATTGGTTTGTTGGCGACTGCGAAAGAGTGAGGCGCACGGCACTACTCGTCGTTCTGCGATTCGGGCTCGTGCTCGTATTTGGCCTGACCTAGCTGGGGTTGGGCCTGACTCGACTCGGACGCGGGGCGCTCGCAGGTTCGTCGTAGCAGCGAGGCGTTGTGAATTGGAATTCACGATGCTGCGCCGCTCGCAAGCTTCTTTTTCGTCGCTGACGGTGTCGTCCAAGAAACAGATAGGATCGCAGCGCGTCGGCGACAGTCGATTTGGTCGAGTGCGCGCGATTGGAGTGGGTGGGTTACAAGGTCGAGCTGGGCCGCAGTGGGCGCTTAGCTGGGACGGCGAAGATGGGAATCTGAGACGAGGCAGAGCCAGAGGACGGGAGTCAAGGTCGGAGGAGAAGGGTGTGCGACAAGTATCAATGTATCGCGCGATGCGGCAGCCCAACGTTGGACAGTGTATTCGTATGTTGTGCGATCCGGTCAGGTAGAAGGTAGTAGTAGACTTGTCTTGTCTGGTTCGTGTCGTAAGGCTGGCCTGGTGTCGGGTCAGAATCAAGCCTCGCTCTGGTGTGAACGGGACCTTGTAGAGCTGAGGCCACCCTCTGGCTGGAACGGGCGCGTGGGTGGAGTTACGAGCGAAGTAAAGTAGTTGATGCTCAAGCATACGGCAGACCAGGCCAAACAGCCCACCCCCTGTCCCCCGGTAAACCCCCAGGGGCCTGCCAAGCACAGGGCACTTCCACTGACAGGGGACCTAAGTATGGTACTGGGAAGGCTCAAGAACCCCTCCCCGCCGAAAATCACCCCTCCAAGGAATGACTAACCCATCATGGGACCTGGGAGACAGGACCAGAAAACGGGACCAAGGAACTGGGAGATTGCGACAGAGATGCTTGGCTCATGCTCAGATTCCGCACTGTACGCTCTGGGCTTTAGCTCTGTTTTCTATACAGTCTCTGAGTACAGTGCCCTTTCAAAGGTTACGCCCGGCCAGATCGGCTACGATCCGACAACCGGATGACTCGAGATGGATGAATTCGGCCATTTTAAATTATTCTCTCAAGCCAACCTCCAATAATGTTTTACACTCTAGCCCATCCCGTCAAGATGGAATCATGGAGACTGGATTAGGGTTCAGATGGCAGATGGGGAAAAGGGAAGGAAGGGAAGGAAGAGAAATAATGATAATAAAAAAGAAAAGGAAGGGAAACAGGAATGATTGGTTCTTTTGCTGTCATCTGTCTGATAACCCAATTTATCCCAAGAACCCACTCTTGCCCAACTCCTCGAAACAGCTTCCGGCTTCCAGCGGGACATCCACTGATGGAGTGAGTTCCTGGTGGATGATCTGCCTCGTCGTCTTCTTCTTCTTCTTCGAGACTGCTTGACTCAGGGAAATACGACCTCGGAAGACAAGATGCTGAGACAAGCCCCACCTGCAAAGGACGCCCGGGATGGGACCTCTCCCAGAAACCCCCCCAAGCACAGCAAAGTAGACTGAAACGGACAAAGCAAAAAATAAAAACATCAGTATGAACTTTTAATGCTTACGCATGTGTTGCCCTGCTGTGGTGACATTCAGCGTCAATTTCCAACTAGCGAGCCGCTTTTTAAGTCGGTGAAGATCATGGCTGTGTATGGTAGTTCAGATGTTTGGATGCATGGTAAGGGAAGGGAATGGGAAAGGGGAAGAAGAGGACGAAGAAAATACTGGAGTTTGAGGCTGAGCAACCATGCGCCCACCTGCACCTGCACCTGCACCTGCACCCTGCTGCCGCTGCTGCTGCTGTACCCTAAGCCTATAATATATCTCTATTAACCAAAAGGCTGTCAAGATCTAACAGGAGGTAGCTCAGATTCATCCTGTCTTGTCAATATTTGGCAGCCCTGCCTCCGAACTGGAAAACTGAGACATGCAGAAAGCCTTAATCAGGCTTGTCCTGCCGGGCCAAAATTCTAATGGTGTGTGCTGCTGCTGTGTTACAGTAAGCGGTGACTACAAGGCGGAATGTTACTGTAAGTATGTAAGCTATCTTGAGACTCGTGTGGAAATACAACACAAATACCCCCCTCCTCCCTAGTGGAAGGGTCTTGGAAGTTGCAAACCACTTTAACCCAGCTTGTATGCAGCAGGCGTTTCCTTCAAATTGCTGTTCATACTTGTCACGGAGTGACAGCAGACATATCGTACACAACAGTGATTAGATCATCAGATCAGGAAACTTAAAAAAAAATTAATCCCCACAGGCTTAAATGCAAGAATGACAGCCCGCCTCCATACAACACAACACGCAGCAGCATGGATCCTTCCATCTTCCATCTGTCCCCCCCCCCCTTCCGCCATGTGTTCGATCGTAGGTTTTATTTTGCGCAATTCTTAGCTCCAACTCTAAACTCTTTTTTTCTCGCTTCTGGGCGCTTGGACAATAACTTCTAACTTTTCACATACCACATTGCATGTACAAAGTATCAGCAGGGAGACAACGTGCAAGGGGCCCTGCATATTGCTGGTTGCATTCCGGCACCTCGAGGATGTGTGTATTCACCAATGACAGACTCGTTGTGTAGACTAAGGCCCCCTTTCACAATCTCTCAAGATGTTCCACACCCATAACACATGCCCTCTCACCTGGAAACAATTACGAGCAGCTCTCCTCTCTCTCTCTTTCTCTCTCCTTCAGCAGCAGCCTATTCAGGCTCCCGAGGATCTGCACGTCATCTTCTGTCGATCCCTCACACTGCCACGCCGCCCTTTTCTTCTTCTTCCTCTTTACTCTTTCTGTACCCTACCTCCTATTACTGGGGCTCCTCTTCACCCTTCCATACACACAAGTACCACAAGTAGGCTCGACCACAAATGGCGCCTCTCGCCCCGGGGGGGTCTCCAAGGGTGAGGTGAGCACTGCCTTCTCTTAAGCGCCCACTTTCTGCCGAATAGGAAGGAGACAAAAAGGCTGCTGCTGAGGATTCCCACACACACGAGAAACGCACCGGGGGGGGGGGGAGAAAGTAAGAGGAGTGGCCCTTTTCCACCGGCAACCAGGATGCAGCCAGCCGCTGCAGGTCAGATGCCTAGGGCTGACTTAGGCCGTTTTTTCTTCTTTCCTATCCCTTTTCACCCCGTTATTATTTGCTTGAGTCTTCTAGAAAGTTTTAGGAAGGACTCACAGCAAGGGAAGGAATCGGCAGTGCTTATTGTTCCACTATGAATATGGAAGAGGGTGGGTTATGGGGTGTGGCTTCTAGTTGGGATGCGAAACCCCTCATCATCCATCGGTCGTCCTCTGGTGCAGTAGAGAGCGAGAGAGAAATTGTGTGTGTGTGTGTGTGTGTGTGTGTGTGTCTGTGTGGAAATGTCTCTGACTGACCATGCTGACTGCAGGCTGATGTTCACGCCTGTACTTACTATACAGAGCTCGTTCTCAAAAGAGTGATGATGGGTTGGCGGAAAAGAAGGAAGAGTGCAATTGACACGGTAGTGCATGACCATTCTGCTGCATGCAATCTATTATCGTGGGTATCCAAGAGTAGAGAATTCTTCCATCTACGTAACCAAAACGTCATTCGATTCACAGTCCTCCTCCTCATTTCCCCCCAGCCTTCACTCACAACACCTCCTCCCTCTCCCAACCTTTAGGGTTGGTCATGGGCGATAGCTTCTGCCCGTCCCTGTACTGGCTGACAAAAGGATTTGGGTCCTCCTTCTGGTCGAGGTTGCCGAGCGTGTGGTTCACGCCACGGTGGCCAGCCTCGTCGGCGCGAATGTACAGGATCAGATCCTTCATGGTGCGGTGGCCCTCGGGCATCTTCCAGTACGAGACGGCAATGTCGGGCACCTCAAACTTGGGGTCGGTCCACTTGGGGAGGTGGCCGCCGTCCAGCTCGTGGATGGCGCGCGTGTACGTGTGGACGGCTTCTTCCTCGAGGTAGCCCACAAAGCGGTGGCAGATCTTGGGGCTGATGAGGTAGGAGAGGAACATGGCGTTCTGTGTTGGTTGGACAGTGGGTGTTAGCGAGTGCTGTTGAGTTGTATAGAGAGCAAGAGTTGGAGAGAGAGAGAGAGAGAAAAAGATAAAAAGAGGAGGATCTTCTTACAAAGTACACACCCTGTGCGCCCAGGATGAGAAACTTCATGAACCAGCCCGGTTCACACATCTTCATAAAGGTGAGCAGGTGCATGCGCTCATTGTAGGACTCCTCGAGCAGGGTCTCGATCCAGCCATTGTCCCGCTTCAGGGCCCGCAGAGACCGCAGGTGCCTGAGCATGCCGGCCACCATGCCCGGCACGCCCGCGATGGACTCGAGAAAAATGAATCGGACGAGCTGCGATGATTCAATAATTTCTTGTTAGCCTTGATGACTTCTTCTTTTTCATCACTCCGCCTTGTTTCCTTTTTTTTTTTTCTCCTTTTTCCCCGAGAGAGAGAGAGAGAGAAAAGAGAGCCAGGAATACAGAGAGGGAGAAACTTACCCATTGCTGCTCCGTCAAAGCCCTGTCAGCCACCACCGCCGTCGTCGGCCGCTTCTTATCCGTCTTTTGGTCCTTGGACATGCCCGTGGCCTTGTCCATGCACCACCTCGACGTCCTGATCAGAGCCCAGGCCAGCTTGTCGCCCCAGGTCACGGGCTTGCGGTGGCCCGGGACGACAGCCAGCATCTCGGCCTCGGTATAGCCATGGTGAGGCCAGGCGGGCGGGGTGGTACGGATCCGGGTGGTCTCCTTGGCCGGGAAGAAGTCACGGAGGCGGTTGGCAGGTGTTGTGGAGAAGGACCGGCGGGAGGAAGAAGAAGAAGAAGACTTTGGGGCGGTTGTAGCAGATGTGAGCCGTATTCCTACGAGGGATGAGGAGCAGCTCGAGGTCGAGAGGAGGGGAGCCACGGCCCTGCTGAGCTGGGTGGCTTGTTTGGGCGAGCAGAGCTTGTTGTTGACCCGTGGTGCGAACATTGGTTGCTGTTGTTATTGTTGTTGTTGTTGGTGGTGGTGGTGTTGCTGATGTTGATGATGTTTGGTTGTCTACTGTATATGCGTGTATATATTATAGTCTCTTATTCCTGTTGAGTGTACATGAAGAAGCAAGTCATGACCAAGACATGGCTACAGAAGTCCGACTTGTCCCAGGGAGCCACAAGGCTATTATTATTTTCTCTCCCTCGTAACTTTTAACAAACCAAACCCTGTCATTCAACCTCACCTCGCTGAGTTCCAGGCAGTCATCCAAAAAAAAAAAAAAAAGGGGGGGGCTTTGGTTGGGTCTGCTGCGGGCACACTCGGAGCAACTTTGGATGCAGATGCTGACGGACGACACGGGCCGCTCATGGTCACGAATACAATCCGGCTCCGTCGCGTCGAAAATCTCAAAAAGAGAAAGAACAAGTGAATAAACCATTTGTGGAGCACCCTTTTTAAATCCAGAAAAGAAAGAGAAAAAAAGAAATCGTCAGACTGCTGGATCATAGCACTGTAGTTCTTTTAGCAGTGGCGCTGTTAGGGGGCGCGGTGCAGCATGCCTTCAGCCTCGCGTCCATACAGCACAACTCATGGTATCACTTTTAACACTTCCCCACCCAGGCAGTACATACTCTTGATGAATTTTCCTATTCCCCTCTCCTACTATCATTATTCCTTCTATGTAGTAACGCTCAGCATCTTTTCACTACGTTGTTAGCATTTACGTATGGAAAGTAGGGCTGACTTTGGTCCGGGGTTTCTGCATTGCATGGTATGCACTGCTTAGGTGGAGAAGTGATAAAATTAGACCCCGGAGTTAGAACCCGGAGGGTTTGTACATCTTTCGCATCTACACACGACCAGAGCAGAGGCCGCATGACCTCAAGATTACGAAATCGACGAGAGAATATCGGGATATGATATGGGTCTCTCTTGTCTCTGACACAGACCAACCAAAAAACTCTGCAAGGTCAGCTGAACGAGGTTTTTTGGTAAGCTGGAAAATGGGATTTGCTGGAGTCAAGAACGGGGGCTGTTTTCGGGGGGCTTCGGGTGCTGCTACAGTGGGATCCGGGGCGTTTTCGCTAGGGGGCGGCTGGCCAATCGTGTTACACTGATTTTCGAGCTTAGTGGGGAGGCGAGCGATTGGGGGCCAGTGTAGAGAGGCCTGACTTGCTGATAACCTCAAGGCATGATTTTGAAAGGCACCGAGACGTGGTCATTCTGTTTTAAACAAATAAAATAAAATAAAATAAAAACAAAAACAATAACAATAACAATAAAACCTGCTTCCTCGCTGAACTCAAAAAGAGTCGAGTTTTATATGCTATTCGCCACTCATCCAGTATACACTTGATCCTAATCCCCCCTTCCTCCCCCAACCGACGTGATGCATCATCTCTTTCAGAGAACCACGATACCTTCCACATATTTTCCCAAGCGATAATCATCCCCTCAAAACAATTAAACCGTCCTCTTTCCCCTCAACCCAAGCGGATTCCCCGGCGTCGACATCCTCTGGCCCCTTGCCCCACTCACATCCTTGACACTGTTCCCAAAATCCCCGACCCGTCCCCCCGCCGCCCGCCCGCCCCCGTCCACATACCGCCCCACGGCGCCGACCTGCCTCCCCGCCGCCCCTGTGTAGCTCTCGACCTGCCGTCCTAGGGCCTGCGCGTACGTGTTGGTCGTCTTGTTGGCCGTCTTGCCCGATCCGCTGATGCTCCGGCCCAGGCTGTCGACCCGCCCGCCTGCTGCCCGCGCCGCGCCCTGCACTGCTTTCCCGTTGGCGTTGACGGAATTCCCTGTCGTGTCGCCTACTGCGCCGATGCCCTCACGGACTCGGCGCTGGACGTACGGGATGAGGCCTTCGTTGGGCATTGTGGGATGTTGTAGCAAGAGGCGGAGGAGGGTGGGCTCTTTTTTTCTTCTTGCGTGATGGATAGATAGGTTGGGTGGATACAATGTTTCTTTTTGTATTTGCTTAATGATGGGGAATCTTGGATTTTGTTTGGACTACATAGATGCAGATACTGGAGGAGGTCCAGAGAAGAGTTGTTGCAGGGCTGCTGCTGTCGCGCAAGGTAAGGTAAAGTATAGGACAACCCAAGCCACAGCAGGGCGAGGCTGCTATGTCAGAGTGTGCGTGGCGAAAATAAGCAGGGTTTGTGGAGGTGATGACGTGCCATCCTTTACCTTTCCCTCCCCCCTTCCCCCTTGCATCGTCCTCAGTCGGGCGCCCAAAACACGCCATGTAACCAAACCAAACTCCCCTCACATTACATATCTAGCCCCTCAACAGCCTGAGACCCGGATTCTTATACTAGCCCAGGGGCCAGCAGGGACGACAGCAAAAGCAACTGCGAGTTATGAATCAACCCCCCTTTTTCACTCCCTCCCTCACCCGCAGCCAGGCCAAGAGGATGCACTGCTGAATTGAACGAAACTCTTCACTGGCACCGCCATAAGTTAAAGTGAACTGCACTGCATCAACGGGGCGAGATCCTCGAGCAAGCTAGATGAGCACAGCGCAGTTTACTCAACATGCAAAGCCTGCCATGCTCTTCGGCTTTCAAGAAAAATACTGCTTCTGGTCAACCTGGCTGCACAATCAGCTACTTATGAATACTACATCTTCCACATGGTCCCGTACATCTCTTCTGTCACTGGATAATGTACAAATGCTGCTTCTCCTGGCAAATGCTCGTCGACTTCCGCGAACAGCTTGCACGACCTGAATAAATAACTCTCTCTCACACAACTCTATGGAGAACCCAGCCGCATGCTAATGACGAATGTCCAAGTATATCTTAGTCAATGCCCCCAGGGCCACGCCAGCATGACAGTGCCTGTGATGGTCATCGATATGTGAACGACGGCATATAGCCCAGATGGCGAGGCATGTACCACCACACGCCTTGTCACCGAATAATATCGTGATTAAATATTTTAGAAATAGAGGTCCAGATAACCTCGAACTGCCTGTCGGGCGTACCTGTCAGCTATCATGCAAGAAGAAACCAAGAGGGAAAAAAAGAGGAAAAAGAAAAGGAAACACTGCGTGGCTCACGAACCTTCACAACGAGTTCCAAGCCCAGGATATCATCATCTTCATTATGTCCCCTTCTTCTACACCACCGCATCCTCCGACACGTGGTTCGCGCAGCAGCTCACAATCCGGTACAGCAGAGCCGTGCCAATGACGGTCCCGAAGATGAAGATGTACATGAAAAAGGCCCAGTCCAGCTCGAGCAGGGTTGGCTGGAAGGGGAAGCTGTTGAACACCTGCGCGGCAGCCATGCTGATAGAATCGGTAGTATGCGAGAGGAGGCGGACTTTTGCGTACTGAATTGTGCGGACCTGAAGCAAAAAAAGAAAGAGAAAAAAAAAAAAAAAAAAAAAAAAAAAAAAGAGGATCAATGATGAATGCTGCGAAGAAAAACTGCCCAGCAGCCTCGAGCCGAGTAATGAATGACTGAGAAGAGTGCGGATTGCTTGTGTACTGTGTGTGTGTGTGTAACGAGGGAAGGGAAATAAGAACAGAGATGTGAAAACGAAGAGTGGATTTATTGAGTGGAGGATAGATTGGCGAACGCACGCGTAAACAAGAACACCTTCGGCTGACCCACCTTCATCGGATTTTGCGGGGAGAAAATATGACAGGTGCCACCTTGGCAGATGGGATGAGATCAAAAAGATAAAAGGCAGAGAACATTGGGCTGTCTTGGTGCCATGCGTGGCGGTTGTTGGACCAGACGGCGATCATGCCGAGAGTGTCACACTATGGCCGGGAACTTTGGACCGCGGGGAAAAACGAACCCTCCTTCTCAAATTTCAATGACTCCCCCAACAGATGCGGAGAAACACTCAGAAAGAATAACCCAGAACAATCGAAGCCTCGCCTTGAGTTTCTGCCTAAGGGAAGATCTGAGGTACAGAACCAGTAATGATCATGCAAGCCCAGACCTGGTGTCCCTCAGTCGAGAAGGAGCTTGCGATAAATGTGGCTGATGCGAGGACGCTCGGCCTGTGGCTAGTAAGAGCGCACTGTCTGTGGCTTCCGCCTCTTGAGCTAAGCCCCTCCAAAATTGAACCCCTCTGCCCCTCCATCGCTTTAGGTAGCCAACCCCTGTTAAGTCACTTGAGTCACCCGTCATCTTAGGTCAATTCTTGGGCATTTGATCCCCGCGCCTAATACGGATCGTGGTCTTTTTTTTCTTGTTTGTGCCCGACTTTCTTTACATATTCAGTACAATCGCCCAACCCTTGACATTGTTCCCTTCCAACTTTCTCGAACGCATTTGCGTCCCTGTCTTTCTCTTTCTTCTTCCTCACGATACTTAGAAAGACTTCTTGTTATCGAAATTCCTGCATTCTGTCATCATGGGAAAGTGGGGTAAGTTGCTCGAAAGCCCTCATCGGACTCTCATGTCGAGCAGTTCCGTCGTCCCGTGCATCAAGGCGATGCGCATAGAACCTAGTGCGCCTCCCGAGAGATAAAAAGACAGATCTTTCGCCATCTCAGCCAGAAAGATTTGTCTGTTTCTTCTCGCTGGGTCGCGAGCGCCTCGTCGCAGAGATGCCAAGGGACGATGGATCGGACCTCGACGGTGGAAGCCCTGTGCTCTACTATCCACCTGCTCGAACGCTGAACTGACAGCCGCTCCCCTGCAGACGACGAAGAAGCTGATTCCAGCTCCCCTGCTGAGGAGACTGTCGCCGCCGGCCGTCGCAAGTTTGACGACGAAGAAGATGACGATGAGGTGAGGCTCGACACCCCGCAGCTAAGACTGCCCGATCACAACAGCCCAGGCCCTCGCTGACGTCCTCTCTCTGTCTCTCTCCTTTTAGGTTCTGGACTCCTGGGATGCCGCCGAAGATTCGGAAGTAGAACGCGAGAAGGCAAAGAAGGCCGCCGAGGCCAAGGCCAAGGCCGAAGCGGAGGCCAAAGCCAACAAGAAGTCCAAGACCCAGCGCATGGCCGAGCGGATCGCCGAGCGCCAACGGCTCAAGGAGGAGGGCGACTCCGACTCCGACTCGGACGAGACTGAGGCGGACAAGCGTGCCCGTCTGGCAGCTGCACAGAAGGAAGCAGATCTGAAGCACGCCGAGGATCTGTTCGGCGGCGACGTCGGTTCCGTCCCCTCGGGCCGCAAGGCCACCATCAAGGGTTCCGTGGTCCCTGACCCCAACAACCCAGAGAACCTCATCGACCTGTCCTCCATGCCGCTGTTTGACCCCAAGACCAAGTCTCAGTTCGAGACCCTGCGCGAGGTCATCGCCCCCATCATCGCCGGCAACTCCAAGAAGCCCCAGTACGCCCTCTTCATGGTCGAGTTCGTCAAGGCTCTGTCCAAGGAGATGCAGTCCGACCAGATCAAGAAGGTCGCCAGCGCCCTGACCACGCTCAGCAACGAGAGGATGAAGGAGGAGAAGGCCAACGCGGGCGGCGGCAAGAAGACAAAGGCGGCCAAGACCAAGACCACGCTTGCCATCGCCCGGCCCTCAGTCACCGACACCACCGCCTATGACGAGGAAACTTTTGGCGATGACGATTTCATGTGAAAAGATTGACCCCAAGACTGCACATGGAGTCTTTCTTGCCGTCCCCGCAAACTATCTCCCGCGCGGTATTTGGTTTAGGGAGACCCAAGCTTCTGGGTCAACGCTTGACCCAGACCACCCGCCCTTGATCAAGCCACTAGGCCTCGCTCAGACCTTGCCAACAGTAGCGTTCACTACAGCCATACTTCCATATCATTCATGCCTGCAGTGGTGTGAGCGGCGAGGCGGAGCCGAGGGAGGGAAGGCGGCGAGAATGGACGGATATTCCTGTTTTGCGGATGGTTTCCCTCCCGAGAAAGCAACAAAACTAATTGGGGGAACAAGTATTAGACAAATTTGCGAGGTTATCAATTTTTTATCATGCAAAGACGGCAGAATGACATAGAGAGAGACCCGGCACTTACGTCCGGACAAGGATAGCTACCCCAATGATACGAATGCAAGTGCTTTGCAGGTCTCGACAAGTTAAGCCATATCGAATGAATAAAAAAGAGACTACTGGGTTGTGCGTGAGGTGAAATCGTTTCGTCATTTCCATCTGCCTGATCGAATGTACCATTTGGTTTTTTTAATGCACCACCCCTAACCCAAAATTGGAACCGCCATCGTCAGGGTATCACAAGCCTTTCCTTTCTGTGCCACCACTGACTCGGGACAAAAACGCCCAAAAGAAACAAAAAGGTGTGCCTTCATCGAGTGTTTCCGATTCCAGAACGCCGTGCCTGCCGTACCGTATTGTGCCGCACGCTGTGTATGTGGTGACATGTCGCAAATTGCAAAGCGGAGATGTTTACCTTTCCCGCATTCATCGTTCCCTCTCTCTCTCTCTCTTTTTGTTTCTTCTTTCCCTTTCTGTTATATCGAGTTCTCTGCCACCTATCCTCTCGAGTTCTGTAGTCGACACCGATGTCTTTACCATGCCCTCTAGGTAATGAGATCTCCCGCTACACCGACGAGCAGTGCCTGCAGCGCCACGCTGACAGCCCAAAATCCCACCTTCTTCAGCCTCTTGACTCTCGAATGCTGATCCTCCACGTCCCTCGCAAAAGCAGAGTAGACTTCGGCCGACATGTCATCCATGAGCCCACAGTCAAAAGTGGTCCAGCTTCCGTCGAAATCGCTTGCCCGCTTCACGATACGGCAGCTGATGGGAATGTATGTATGCTTCGAGTTGATATATGCGACAATGGGCCGAACCAGATTCTGATTGACATAGGAGATGTCGGGTGTGGCGGAAAACATAGGTACGCTGGCGCGCACGTCATTCAGGTGGATCCGAAGGTCCATTACCAGGTAGCGAGGAGGCTCGTCTGGAGTATTCTGTTGCGCCGAGGCATCGGGCGGACTATCGGGATGTTCGCTGAGAGAGTCATCGACGGCAACATGAAGATGCCCACTGGTTGGACTCGAGAGCTCGTTGTTGATGGCAAAGTCGTTACGCTCCCTCCCGAGATCCTTGTCCAGGATACGAAGGTATCGGTTGCTGGTGACTGTTTCCTCCATCTTGTCGTAAAAGTCGCTCATGACCTTGCCAATGCTCTCATCAGGCTCTGCAGGGAACATGACGTCCGCTACAATGTCGACGTTACCCTCATAGATCCAGCCAAATGTGCCCTCCACACCACGGTTCAGGTGGTCTATCTTGAGACCATCAATACGCAACCGGCTGAACTTCTTCCAGGCGCTGGGCTCGCCAAGGTTCTCTGCAAGATACTTCTCATCACCAGCAATGGTACCGTGGACCTGCTTGGGATGGATGGTAAACAGCGAGCCATCAAAGGATCCCGACATGTGGGATGCTGATAGAAAGTCGTAAAAAAGCCACTGCTTTCGCAGTTGTGGCAGCTCGCAGCTGTAGATGCTGACCGAGAATGGGCGGAACCCGCCTGGTTGATGAACAGTCACCAATAGATCCTCGAGCTTGAAGTGCTCAATCTCGAAATCACCCGGCTGGTACTCGTGCCGATAGGATAATGGGTCCTTCTTCTCTCCTGACCAGTGGACAGATGTCCGGTCCACAATGCCACGGACTCCCTTGACCTCGACGTCTTTGAGAAGACCGGTACTATTCCACCACTTGCTGAAGGAGAGCGTGACATTCACTTCGCTGATCGTGACGTCGAATTGTGTATAGTTCCCATCATCCACTGTAGCTTGTGGGTCCGAGCTGGTGACAGCCGCAGCCGCAGCAGCAGCATCTGTGGGCGAGCCCTTGGAAACAGAAGATTTTGTCTGACCAGGCCGTCTTGACACAAAGACATTCCGGAAGGTAATGACACCGTCACCCCATTTCGGCACAATGGCAGATTCGAAGACGACTGTGACGCCAGCTGCCTTGGTAAGATAATCTCCGATCTTTTGCGCGAGAGTTTCTGGGTGAACACGGTCAACATATTGTAGGATGGGAATGATGAGTGAGATACGTACCCTGGGCAAAAACTGTGTTTACCATGAGGATCAGGAGGGAGACAAATGTCGTCGTCCCAACAAGGATCCAGACGAAGTGCCCGAAGAGAATCCACGACAGGAAAGCGCCCCACTCGTCAGCATTGAATGGGCGCGTGCTTCGGATTGAGAACCATTTGAAGCGAACTTTGAGCCTCTGCCAGAATCCATTTGCTGCCGCCAAAAGCTCCTCCTTGGTCGGTCGATGCGGCATCTTCGGGAGGTGTGGTAAGTGTAAATATTTTGACATGGAGTCCGTCAGACTGTCATGTCCATGTTCACTATTCTTGTGGGCTGCCTCGGTTTCCTTATTTCGCGGTTCAGACTGTGTTCGGGAGGTTGGGTTCTGCTGCACACCCATTGTAGCCTTTTCCTCGTCGCCTGTCGGCTTCGTATTCACCAGACGTCTCTGTTGTTTCCCGGCTAGGCTGGCCGTGTTGTGCTGATGGCGTACCCATGCTTGCCTTGCCAGCCGGCTGATTGTCCCAGCTCTTGAACTGCTCCCTGGTACGGCTGATTCAACAGCTGAATTGCAGTTGGTCGCGATCGTCTGCGAGGCCGGGCCCGAGGTGTCAATTCCGAGCAGGAGCAGGCCGCCAGAGCACTGCCGGCGGACATTGTACTGAGATATGAGTCGGAACTGTGGGAACACTGAAGATTTGAACGTGAATAGGCGTTGCGCTGGTGGTCTTGCGAATGAGCGTCCTATGCCTTCCCAGGCAAAAGTCCAAGCAATCCGCCCGAACTTTGTCGAGCTGCTAGACATGTTGCTGCTTCGGGCAAGCGGCTTTCATGATGAAGCGACGAGCGAGCGCATTTCGGAGATTTGAGCTGGTGTCGAAGAGCGAAACAGTAGTATGAGTGAGATGAGAGGACAGAGAAAGCGCCAGAAGAAAAGCCTGGCTCTAGATCGGGGTCAAAAGCTGATGCTGATGTTTGGAAAAGAGCAGGCTGGTAGTTCGAGATCCTCTTGAATCAGGAAGACTCGTCCCCAGATAGCCACAGCGTGTAGTTTTGCAAACGAAGCTGCAATTGCAAAAAGAATGAGGAAACAAATCCCTCCAGAAAAATGAACACAGGCTGCAGGAGGAAAGGAGGAGTCGTCACGATATCGCGTGCCTGGTGGTGTGGTATATCAAGCGGAGCACCAAAAGGAAAACCTGGAGACTGGGGGAGCGGAAGCGCAGGAAACTTTGCTCTCCCAGCAATGACGCGCGCGAGAGTCGAAGGATCGGCATAACAGGGGTAAGGAAGGTTCAAGGGTACATAGCACACTACGGCTGTACGGAGAGGCACAATGGGCTCGAGGCGATAAGATAAGCACCAGGTGGGCTCCTCCATTTTTTGTCCGCCTGTCAAAAGGAAAAAAAGTCGGTAGTCAAAGTTCAGGGTCGAGGATTGAGGATTCACCGTCCAGACTTCTGCGGAATAACTACTTCCTGATTTTTATAGACAGCCTTGACAGAAAGTCCATATAACAGGAACAACACAATTCAAGGCCCTCAGGCTCAGAAAACCAGCACCAGCGAGACAAATAACTAATCTCTCCATTCCTACCCCACCACACCCACACAGCAACCATTCAACACTTCAGCTCAGCTTCATAAAAACCACCTTGTTCTCGAGGATCTCCGACCATCCTGAAGAGGGACGCACAATATCTGCAAGATGCCAGCACCAACTGCTCTCAAGGCACCTCCCCCGGAGGCTACTGCCTCCATCCCCATCCCTACCGAGAACGAAGATGAGGACCTCCTCGATGCGCCCACCGACGAGGCCACCTTCGCGATCCCACAAGAACCCTCCGCAGATGAAGAAGGCATGCAGGTCGACGATGCGCTCGACGAAGAGGGCCGACCAAGATTTGCCCCCGCCTCCAAGGCCGCTGATGTCGTGCGCATCGAGCAACGCAAGGTCCCCATCCCGCCGCACCGCATGACGCCCCTCAAGGCGGCCTGGCCCAAGATCTACCCGCCCCTCGTCGAGCACCTCAAGCTGCAGTGCCGGATGAACATGAAGAGCAAGAGTGTCGAGCTCCGCACGTCCAAGGTCACGACGGACACCGGTGCGATTCAGAAGGGCGCCGACTTCGTGCGGGCGTTTGCTCTTGGGTTTGATGTCGATGATGCGATTGCGCTCTTGAGGCTGGACGATCTTTACATTGAGAGTGAGTACAACCGCTGCAAAACCTCTTTCTTTTCTCTATCTCCAAGACTTGTAGAGTGTGCGCTAATACTAGGACAACAACAGCCTTCGAGATCAAAGACGTCAAGACCCTACAAGGCGACCACTTGGCCCGCGCCATCGGCCGTATCGCCGGCAAGGACGGCAAGACCAAGTATGCCATCGAGAACGCCTCGCGCACGCGCATCGTCCTAGCCGACTCCAAGATCCACATTTTAGGCGGCTTCAAGAACACCCGCATTGCCCGCGAGTCTGTCGTCAGCTTGATTCTCGGAAAGCCGCCTGGCAAGGTGTATAACGGGCTGCGGACCGTGAGCGCGCGGATGAAGGAGAGATTCTGATTAAGAAGGAGAGGGGCGGCGGGACCAAAAAAAAACACCAAAAACCATATGGATTCACTTTTTTTTACCATCACGATCTTCACGGCATGGCTAGGGCTGGCGTAGGGGCGTTGGGGGCAATTCAATGGCAAGAGACTTTTTCAAAAGATGTCGAGTTTGCTTTTATTTGATTCCCTGAAATAGTATTGGCTTAGACCAAGACGGAAAGGAAACTGTTCATCAATCATATCTTGCAGTAACATACCCCAGGGCATATGCTTCCGCTTTGAACATTAACATCACACTCCTCGCCTGCCGATCTCTTTAGCAATGGGTATCTCGAGTATGGCAAAAGAAATGCGAGCGCCCATGGACCTTGATGGTGCCTTTTCCCCTTTCCCTTCCCCTCCTGTTTTGGGTGATCCAGAATCTTCATTGACCTATTTGAGGTACACCTCAATAGTCATCATGTCCTCAATGTCGGCCTCTTCCATCGTCGTGTGTGGCTCCAACCACTCACCGTCATTTCTCAGCCTAATCTCCCGGTCTTCAGGGATCTCTCTTTGCTTCCTGTATGCGCCAACTAGAGTCCGGGCCTCCGTGTCCAGCCACGCGGTCAGCCGTAACGGCTCCTTGTTCCTCTCCTTCAGGAAGAGCCTGACCTTGGCGGCGCCCTCCTGGGCCGCAGCCTGGTCGTTGTCATCAGCAGCACTGCTGTCGTCCGCCAACTCGCCACGGTCAACGAGCTTCTGCCTGTCCTGCTCCTCCGTGTACTGCGCATAGCTGTCCTCCGTCCACGCCTCGAGCAGGATCCCACCCCTAGTAAAGCCGGGCAGGTGCGCGGTTGAGAAAAAACTGCCTTGGCTGTCAGGCATCCAGCCAAGGCTGGCTCCCGAGGCAGAATCATAGATGCGGCGCCCTTTCCAGGTCAGGAAGATGCCCCTCGCCATGTCATCTGTGATTTCAGGCCTGTCCCGCTGTACCCACTGAACGTAGGTCCGTCGCACAAGTCCGAGGTCCTGGTGAAGACCACGCTTCGATCCGAATATGTCGCGTACTTCTATATCTCCCAGTCGGGAGACGATGAAGATTCGCACCGGGATGAGTGCTTTGCGCCCCTTGGGCTCAAACCCTGTGTCATCGGTGGCCGGAGAATCAAAACCTTCGCCCTCTAGGCTCGTGAGAGCTTCCGCGGCGAGCCTGGCCTTTTCTTCGCGCATGGCAGCTCGCTTGACAAAGAAATCAAATTCGTCTTCAGCGTGAGCGGGAGCAGGAGCAGGCTCGTTCAGATCATCGTCACTATCATCGAGGACTATGGGTGTTGGCTTGCCCTCCTCGTCTTTTCCGGTAGACGTGTTGCTCGCAAATGTGTCGTCCAGGGCAATCGCATCATCAGCAAGCACTTGGTGAGAGTTTGATCCGCTGGGAGTCAGCAGGGTGTCGCCCTGTTCATTTCTAGTCGTTTCGTGCTCCTTCTCTGTATCATCGGACGACAGAGGTGCGGGCGGCTCCTGACGCAAACGTGGCATGTACATGGTGTGGTTGAAGCCAATTCCAAGGGAAGAACCAGTCGGGGACGCTGAGGAGCGTCGCTGCGGTGGTGTTGCAGGGCCGTACAGGTCATCGTAGCTCTCTTGGAACGCCGGCCTCTCAGGCTCATGTGGAGAAGACCGCCTACGACGCTTGACCGACCGCGAGGTGGATAATATCGGTTCTTCCTCCTCGTCCTCATCGATTCCATGTATTTTCCCCTCCCTATTAACTTGCAGAGCCGCCTTGCGTCGTTCCTCCTGTTCTTGGAGGATGACAGGGAAGAAACTCTTGGATCGCCTGAACATGGCGAGTGCATCGTCATCACTCTGGTCCTTGTCCTTCCTCTTCTTTTTCTCCTTCTGCTCATCCCTCCCCTCCTCCTCAACATCATCCTGGCCTTGAAATGATTTTGAAATGGTCTTGAGGAATGGGAGAGGTTTTTTCTTGTTAGGGCCCTTCCCAGGCGAGTGGGAAGACGTGTCAGCCATGGCGGCTATTGGCGTCAAGTTGGCAGGTCCAGGGCAATCCTTGTGGAATGCAAAGTTGTTGATGAGGCGACCAAAATGTGCCTGCAGGCAAAGCAAGCTTGAGCGGCGTAAAAAATTACGATGTAGTTGCTCATCGAGCATATAAGCCGATGGCAATGATGCGTGATGCTCAAACGCGGCGTTTGCAAATGTGGGACGCGGTGAGAAGTGTGCAAGGAAGAAGGCGTTCAGGCACCCCAGCCCCAGCTAGCAAAGAAGGAGGGGTGAAGGGCGGGGGATTCCGTTTCAAACAACAGGGTCGATAAAGTACCCTGTGTTGTAGTAGTACGAGGCACGTGCCTGCCTGCTGGGGTATTGGTTAACGCTGTCAGTAGTACGGCACTGGGAGGCCGGGGGTGCACTTCAGGCCTATAGCCAAGGTGCCAGGGCTCTCACAGTGAGGATCATCACGCTGTGGAACTGGCCGAGGCTCATCCCCTTGCCTTCACCCTCACTAATCCGATCCCCTACCACAGTGGTGGGACTCTCCAACTTCTTCCCGAGGTCCCCACCAAATCAATCCTAACCTTGGGGCTGACTCCACAGCCCACGTCTAATCCGACGACGTATGCTTCCCCAGAGCCTCGGGTCTTCATCTTCTTGCTTCTCTCTACCATGACTTTATTTTGGACCGGCTTCCTCCGCAGTCAGATTATTGTACATCTCTACTGGGCCAGCATCGTATTTATGCTAACAGCTAGCTTGGACCACGAAATTGCCGAACGACCCGACTCGACGTGGGATAACGCTCTTACATTTATCAGATCTTGGCTTCCATTTGCAAATTATTACTGAAGGGGCATAGATCTGAGAGGATCGTACTACGAAAGTCATGTCTATCGATCGGTCAGAGGTTCTGAGCAATGTCTGGAGGGACGGCATCTTTGGTAGCTTTTATCCACTCCTCTGCCTGACATCCTACGTTGCTGACGATCCAACTCTTTTCTATGTACAGATAACAAAGTCGTCTTCGTGACAGGAGGCGCCGGTACCATCTGCAGCGTCCAGACGAAGGCCTTGGTCTACCTGGGCGCTAATGCCTGCATCATTGGCCGCAACGTTGAGAAGACGGAGAAAATGGCCAAGGAGATTGCTGCCGTGCGCAAGGGAGCCAAGGTGCTTGGTATCGGCGCAATCGATGTTAGGAAGGTGAGTTAGGTGCCCGGTGCACCACTCAGGAAAGCATTTGCTGATGAGTCTTGCAGTTCGAGAGCCTGCAAGGTGCGGTCGATCGGTGTATTAGTGAACTGGGTCAAATAGACTTCGTCATGTTGGTGTTCACTCCTCTCTTCCCCTTCTCTCTCTCCCATGACATCTCATACTGACAATAACCAAAAGTGCCGGTGCAGCAGGCAATTTTGTTGTGCCCCTGGCCGGACTCTCACCCAACGGTTTCAAGTCTGTCATCGAGATAGACACGATCGGGACATTCAACACCATCAAAGCCACCATTGACCACCTTGTCGAGTCCGCAGCTCGGAACCCCAACCCACCAGCACCAGGCCAGGTCAGCACTGGCGGTCGCTTCATCGCTGTCTCGGCTGCGTTCCACTATACCGGCATGCCTCTGCAATCGCACGTGAGCGCCGCTAAAGCAGGCGTAGACAGCCTCATGGCGAGTGTTGCTCTGGAATATGGGCCGCTCGGTGTTGTCTCGAATGTCATCACCCCCGGCCCTATTGCGGGTACCGAGGGCATGGACCGGCTAGCTGCTGCGGATTCGCACAACTCAAAAGCAGCCACCAGAGCCATCCCGAGCGGCCGTTGGGGCACGGTCCGCGACATTGCGGATGCCACCGTGTTCATGTTCAGTGATGCCTCTAACTACATCAACGGTCATGTGCTAGTTGTGGATGGGTCTTCCTGGCGAAGTCCTGCGTCGATGTCTGTGGGTCTCGAGGAGGACATGAAGTATCCCGATTTCCTGATCACAGGACACTCCAAGAACATCAAGACGGGGAAGAAGGATAGTAAGTTATAAGAAGTTTTGGGTTGAGAAGGCCCTTTGGATATATGTAATAGGAATTTTGCTTGTATACTTCATTTTGGTCCGTAGAATCATAAATCACGTTGAGAATCTGATCAGATGCCTACCTCAGCCATGTTTGCTACTGATACAAAACACGACGACTGGCACCAAATCTCAGCGATTAAGCACTTGTACGAATTGTAAGTGAATTCATTGTCGTATCTCTCAGATAGGGACGAGAATTCCCTGGTTTATAGTTCGTCAGTGCCTGTCAGTTCTCTCGATGGCGGGATCACATCCTCACTGCCCAGCTCCCCATCTCCGACAATTTGTTCTAATTTTGTCATAATAGCCCAGTGCCGATATCGAACCTTGACTCTCCATTCTCATAGGTTTCACAACATGTGCATTTTCTGTGCTTAGTCACTCATGCATAAATCCTTAAACGGGTTTCACGAAACCCCTCGACGTCCAGGAGCACTTTGGGAGCGGGAAGCAGGAACACTCACTGTTCCTACACAACACAACAACAGCCCTGCAGAGATTGTGGCGATATACGAAGTTACTCCTCTTTAAAAAATGACGTCTGAGGAATGCACGATCTGCAACAAATTCATGAGGAAACGGCCAGTCGCCACAAGGTCTGAGACATTGCGTCAAAGGGTTAGCCGCCACCACATAAACACCTTCTCGTGGCCCGCCTTGCTAGATTCAGCAGCGGCATGCTATTGTTGCAAAATCCTGCTGACTGGTTGCCGTGCGTGCTTTCTTCAACACGGCATCAACGAGGCAGAGATCATGCACGGCAAGCTTCGCTTCTACTACCCCACGTCGATTGATTACGCCGACACCGAGGAAATTGGCAAAGAGCTGATATTTTTCATGCGAGATGGCTCACGATTTGATGTCGAGATGTTCATCGACGCAGAGGACGAGAACCCCCTTCCGCAGGCCTGGGACCGTATGCCCGCGTCGCGCAGAACTTCACCACGCACAGATTCGATAGAGGCTCTCGCGACCATCAAGGGGTGGATCGCCGAGTGTACCACTGAACACGACTTTTGCGAATCCCCAGAAGAAGAGCCACAGCTCCCAACAAGGGTCCTCGATGTCGGCCTCGAGGACGGCGTGGTGAAGCTGGCTGAGACCAAAGGTGCCAGGGCCAAGTACATCTGTCTCAGCCATTGTTGGGGCCTTGACCAGATCATCACCACAACCAAGTGCACCCTGCAGCCTCATAAGAGAGAAGTGCCCTGGGATGCCCTGTCGACGACCTTTCGCGATGCTATCCACCTAACGAGAACACTTGGGTACAGGTACATCTGGATTGATTCCCTCTGCATCGTCCAAGACGACGAAGACGACTGGGCCGTGGAATCAGCCAGGATGGCCACCGTGTACAGCAACGGCGCCCTGACCATCGCCGCCACCAAATCACCCAACGGCCAAGGCGGTATCTTCTCGCAGACGCAGGATACCCTAGTGTCAGGCCAGACCCCGGCCGGCGAGGGTTACCGCGTCTTCTTCCGCGAGCTCATCGACCACCATCTCGAGTCCCAAGAGGAAATTGAGGGAGATGACACGCTCGCGTCTAACCCCACCTCACGATACTTCCCTCTGCTCACCAGGGCCTGGGTATACCAGGAGCGCATGCTCTCCACGCGCGTGGTTCACTTTGGGAAGTATGAGGTCTGCTTCGAGTGCAAGTCTGGCTTTCAATGCGAGTGCGACGGCTTCGGCATCGACAACTCCAGGAACAGACCGCCGATTCCACTGATGAAGGTCGAGCACAGTTATGCTCTCGACAACAGCTATTCTAACGCAGGGTTCGAGGCAGAGAGGGCCTATGGAATGGCCCGTCTCTGGCGGAGCATGGTCTGCACGTATACAGAGCTCCATCTCACCAGATCGACCGACCGTTTGCCTGCTATTGGCGGTCTTGCCAAACAAATGGCTCTGGAACGAAGGTCTCCATACCTCTCTGGCCTGTGGAGGGACACGTTGAACGATGATCTTGTCTGGTGGGTGCACAATATAGCACGAAAGGCCGCTCGGACCTATTCGCCGACCTCGCCACCTACGTGGTCGTGGGCCAGAGTAGATACGCCTGTGAGCTATTGGGACACGATACTATACACGGAACAGGACCAGGAATTCCAGGAGAGACAGCCTTACGAACATTTGGCCGAGATCGAGGATTGTCATGTCAGCTGGTCTACACCGGCTGTCGACGAGTTTGGCCTGATTTCTAGCGGCCGACTGAACATCACTGGGCTAGTAGCCAAAGGATCACTCGAGAGTGACGCGTCACGGAAGACAGAAGGCGGCAAGATCTCGGAGTACAGCGTCTCCTTCGCCGCAGGAGAGCCGTCGCTAGCCATACAAACAGACTATATCTTGGAAAACGAGGGTCCCGGCGAGACGAGGCCCGGCACGGAAGTGCTGTGCCTTCGCATGAGCCGCATTCAAGAAGGACGTACGGATAATCTAATCTCGCTCGTGTTGCGACCATCTCCCAACTCTCATGATTGCTTTGAACGCATCGGAATGCTCGTCATCAAGGCGAGGCCACCTCCTGTGAACCGCTTGGCGGGGCCGTTTCGCAATGCAGAGCTGTGTACTGTGACCATCATCTGATGAATATGACAATTGGGAATAAGAGTAGTGAGCTGCTTATGGAGCTGTGGACTTTTTCCAATTTCATTTTTGTTTTAGGGGAAAATTCCATACGAGGAACGCTCCCAAGAGAAGGAAGTTTAGGCTCGGTCTGGAGACAATCTGAAGCCTGGATATAGTGAGAGAAGTATACTAACAAGGGAACAATACATTTGCAATTGCCTCCCGAAACTCTTCCAAGTTGCCATTCTCTCCATCATTCCTGGACACTTCCTAAGCGGCCTTGTCCCCCCCTGCAGCAGAAGTCGCACCTCCATTAGATGACACTCCCTTGGGCGCAGCACCCCTCTTCACAATTCTGAAGCCAGCCAGGGCACCTGCTATGATAATCAACAGTACTAGACCGAACAAACTCAAGACGCCGATACCACCCGCCACGCCAGGGGTAATATTGCTCCCCGAGCCGGAGGAGGACTTGGAGCTGGAACCGGACCCCGAGCCAGAGGAGGACGAGGCAGAGGCGCAGACGCCCGTAGTATTACCACATGCCTGGCACCAGGACGCCGTGTCACTCACAGAGAAGTTCGAAATGCCTGCTGAGAAGTCGTTCCACGAGATGGTCGTCTCCGTCTGGCCGAAGAGCGGGTACAGTTGAGGGACGTTGGTATCCGAGGCAGATCCATTGGCGAACAAGAAGCGGACGCTGACGTCGTTGGGGTCGACAGTCGTGGGCGCACCGGTTCCGTTGACAGTCGCGTTTGTGATGAGCTCGAACGTGATGGAGCTCGCGTAGTCCACGATGCCGTAGAAGTTGTCAGAGGCAGCGGTGAGGTTGGCGAGGCCGAAGAAGGACATGAAGGCTCCGTAGGCACCGAACTGGATCGTGAGCCTCTGGGCGGAGGCCTTGGCAAGGGGGGCAGTCAGGCTTGTGTTGAGGGCTTGGAGGATCTGGCCAGCCAGCACCGCACCCGCGATGGCCCTGACCGGCTCGGACTCATTGTATGCGAGTCCCCACTCGTGCGCATCGGCCAGAGTCTGCAGCTGATGGGTTGTGTCATTTGTCAAGAGGTTGTCTGCTGGTATACTCTGATTGTGGATCTGGGATACGTGCACATAGTCATAGACTGTGAAAGAAATCCAAGTTAGTTCTTACATACAGTCCGTTTCTTTAGTGGCTCACAGCATAAAAAGAAGACAGAAAGGTTGATTAGTCGTGTAAGGGGTGTACTTGAGAGACACGTACTGGTGTAAGCATTCTTGTATGTGGCTGTGGAGGTGTTAAAGGTTGTGTTGTAGACCGGGAGAAGGTCCTGGTAGAATGAACCGGTCTTGTTCAGAAGGTTCAGATACTCCTGGCTCTGTAGGTACTCATTGCTGCTTGACACGGCGTTGGCACAGCCCGAGCTTCCTTGGAGCCATTCACTGTCCTCCGCGCCAGACGTGCTGGAGGCAGACGTCACAATGTTGACAGGAATGTACTGATAACCATTGAATGGCGCCTGTGTCGAGGTGCCGTCGGCAAGGACTTGATCAGCCTGCGTGCCGGCAGGAGGGTAAATCCCTTGGGTAAAAACCACGGCGGAGGACTGGAGGACATTGTCCACAGGAGCGGTGATGGCAAGCTGAGAGAGAGAGACTATGTCTGATGACAGATCCAGGATAGGATTGGTGCTGTTGCTCGCTACGTAACGATTACGGAACCAGCTCGCCGAGGTGTACACCTGGTCCGCACCCAGGGCTGTGAGGACGGTGGGAGGCCATGACTTGGTCGTCCTGTCGCCACTATCCAAGCTGTTAGAGAACTGCAGATCACTATAGCTAGAGGTGGGAGAGCTTGAAAGACCACACAGGTGGCGGTTTCTTGCTGCTTATCATCTGACTTACTGTCGATGAAAAATATATACGCCAAGAGTCGTCTCGGCGAGGGTTTCGCCCGGAAGGAAGGCAGCTAGTACTGCTGCAGCATAGACTATGTGCTTCATAGTGTCTTGTCTCATATAAAAAACCAACAAGGTTATGCAAATATTCTATACTTGGTGTCGAGCTAGAGGCAAGACAAAGGGGGTGAACAACGTATATATGATGGATGATGAAAAGCTGGAAGAGGATGGGGGCAACTGTAGTGGGGGCTCCTAGGGAGGGGAAAAAGTGTTAGACCAGTGTTGCTTCTCCGAGGGGTTTCAACGGGGCAAGTACGGACTTCATATCAGCCGGAAGGGGGGGAACACACTAGCCAGGCGCCAATTGATCAGGCTAGGGGAGATAGGCCACAGGCAGACGCCAATCGTCTCGAGGGTTACGACACCCATATGGAGACGAGGTGCTGAATTGAGAATCTTGTGCGTTTTCTTGTGTCGTAATACATGAGATCTGTGCATGGAAACCGCTCGAGTTGCATAATCTAGCCATGTATTTTGACCCATTCTGTATGCACATATGACGAATGACGCACGAGAAAACTCATTATGGGACCTCTTATGGGAATCACACTCTCTGTGTTGGGACAGCAAGTAGGCAATAATTGCAACCCCTCTTCTCCTCGAAGGGGTGTGGTTTGATAATTCCAGCGTGTGACGACTGGGCTACAGGCGATCTGCCCCTGTAAAGAAAACCCCCACAGTGGGGGGGCGAACCCTAAAAAGGAAGCCCTAAACCTTGTTGCGAATAAGCTTGTCCGGCACCCGTGGGTCCTCCCGGGTCAGCATGCCTGCCCGTGCCTAAGGTTGTCTGTACCCCTCTCGAAAAGCTGTATGCACAAAGACCAATGTAGCAGTCTCCAAGATAGGCAAAAAGATAGGCAATGGTTTTGTGTTGTGGGTGGTCAGACATTCAGTCACAGATTCAAATCTGACGCCTCGCAGAATAAGAGAGAGAGAATCAAAAACGACTTTGTCTTGATAACTCTCCGATCAGCCGCCACAGTGTCTCTTATCCAACATCTGCAACGTTCCACATCGTAGTTGCGCTTGGAGCAGCAAAAGATGATGAGAATATACCACGGGATTTCATATGCCCCTCCCCTTCCTTCCAGGGGGTGGCGGTTGCAGTGGGCGTCGTTTGCCTCCTCCACTCGGTAACACTTCTTTACAATTGCACTGTTAAAGCAATGAGAGGAGATCGCCTTAATGTATGTCTGTCGAAACGTGCCATACATATGCACAGCCCACTAGGTCAGAGGCACTGCAATGTCGCATAGACTGAGCCTCAGTGACGCCGTGTTGTGGTATTTCCCCTAGTTCCTTTCGAGCATCATGTGATCACGCTTACAAATAGGCTTGTAAAGAGATGGCAAGAAAGCCTGAATGCATTGTAATTTTGCAGTGACGACATAGTATCGTCGCTCTCTACCGGTAATGTCCTCACCGAGGACCTGCCTTGTGAGGACGGATGTTTCTAGTCTCAGCTTGAATCTAAGTCAGCAATGAAGAAGGAGAGAACAAAAAGATGAAAAACATGACCCCATTGTACCGTACAATAGGATGTTGGCTCAAGAGGCCGAGGTGCCTCCGTGTGTGGAATGCGGGTCGCCATCATGGGTTTTAGACCTGCGTGCGACACCGCCGCCCTTGGCCCGTCATTGATCCAGATAGCACGTTGAACACGAGAACACGACAATCCCTTGCAGCACATTTTCAAGAACAATTGGCGGCTCGGAAAATCCTGCCCGTATTATTTTTGGAATATAAAAAGAGATGATTTCGCTGCCATAAATGAGCCATGAAATCTTTGAATAGCAATGCAACAATAGAACAAGATTCAAAATCTACATTCACGATACAGTCCCTCATAAGAATTCAGTCAAAACCCTATCAAACCAGCTTTTCAGATATCCATAATACACATACACACAAACACCAAGAAAACAAAAGAGAAGACCCGTCAAACACGAGTGAAAATGAAGTTCACCATTCTGATCACCGCCCTCCTCAGCGCTGTCAGCGCGATGCCCACCTTCCAAGAGCCCAACAACAATGCCGTCAAGAGATGTGATGAGACGGTCTGTCCCGGATGCTCTAAGGGAGCCATCTGTATGGGCATGCCCGGCTTGAAGGTATGAATGCTGCCTCAGACTGGGCTTATGAAACCCTTGAAGAAAGAAAAAAGGCTGGACTTGATAAGTGCTTGTGCACTGGAGGAACGTACTCCAGACTGGTACTTGTGTTCCCCATCTCTGATCCCTTGGCTAACGCCGTGTCTCTTACTAGACCGCTGCTCATAAAAACACGACGGCGAAGGCAGTCGCCAGGAATGCCGAGCTTGCTGAAGAGATCGAATCTTGAAGAACTCCAAGGTCGGCTTGAGATTTTTGTGTATGATGTATCTGAAGGTGGAAGAGCCTCAGGACACGATTTATGATGTTGAGTATTTCATGATGGTATGGGAATGATTCTAAATATTTGGCAAAAAGAGATTTGCATTTTCACAAAACCAAGCGGATATTATTGGACATGAGACGCTGTATGAAATCAGGCTTCAATTCTCACAAGACAGAGACTTTTAGGTCTTGAACGTTTTCTTTTACCCTCGTATCTTATTTTAATACACAATGAAGGCCATATGTGTGGTCTGCCGAATTTTCCACTTTTGTATCTTCATGATTCACAGCGATACAGCTCGTTTGGTAGCAGTAACAACCACCAATTTGAGAAAATTGAATCCCAACATAAAGAAGAGAGTACGGGAAAGGAAAGAAGAGAAATGAAGCCGGTTTTTTTTTCTCGTCTCTGCGCCTGGTCTCCCTGGAATTTCTGCTTATGATCATTTGATGGTTTTATTTACAATGAGGGGAATCAAAAGCCCGCCCGGGGAGAGTAATCGTGGGACGGATAACAGAGAAGACCCGAGACAGCCGAGCAGTGCGAATAGAGGATATGCTACTCCACCGCTTCTGAGACTGAGCAAGTTGCATTGCTTGAGCTCAGCTTGGTGGGCAAGGCGGGAAGGCTGAGACAAATCTCGTGGCGAAGGCCATCCCGTGGCCATTATTTCGCTGCCACGCTGCTCGGCCCTTGGCTTGAAGCACGAAGGGGGGACGAGTCGAGTTTGAATCGCACCACGCAGGCTCGCCCCAGAGCAGAATAAGCAGTCCTGGCAAAACCGCGAACATACCAGGAGCCGGGACAATGGGCCCGTTGTCTCATTCTGATCTACTCCTAACAGAAATACAAAAGATCATCTCAAAACATTTCTCTAGCGAAACACTCCCAAGTCCTGAACTTGCCAATTGTGGAATTGATGTGTTTCCCGGCTTTGTTGCAGTCAAGTCCGGCCCCAAGAAAGAGCGACATGTGAGGTTAAAATGGTGACATAAGCAGCCAGAGAAGAGCGCTAGGACAACGACAACCCCTCCAAAGGCCCTGTCTTTTCTCTTTTTACCCCGCTATTCTTTGTAGTACCCTCTGCACATGCTTAAGTACACAACCACCATGCCGCCCCCTCGGAACCTGCGAGCCTTTCTCGACCTTGCCCGCCGGAGTTTGACCGCCCCAGCTGGCCAGCGGCCTTCGCCTCTGACCTTTGTGGTAGGCAACGAGTCCGGAGGTAAGGAAAAAACCATGTCGGGGAACTAAGCTCCCAACTTCACCCCCACACCCTTCCGGGGGACCGGCGGCTGTTCATGTGCGACCGATGGTCAAGGACGGGCAGGACTGATCTCACCTGCATATCCAGATCTCGATTCTCTCTGCTCTGCCGTCCTGTTCGCATACTTTCGCAGCCATGCGTCGCCCCATTACAAACTTCACATACCCCTCGCCAATATTCCCCGCCAAGATCTCCCTCTGCGGCCTGAGCTAGGCGCTGCACTCGCGTACGCCGGCGTAAAGTCGCAGGACCTCCTCACCCTTTCCGATCTCGATGAAGTGACGACCACAGATAGCCTGAACCCGGAAGATACGCGGTGGGTGCTGGTTGACCACAATGCGTTGACTGGGGACCTGGCCGAGCGGTTTACTTCACGGATAGTCGGCTGTGTGGACCATCATGAAGATGAGAACGTTGTCGCTGTGAACACTGGTGACGAGCCACGCGTGCTCAAGAAGACGGGAAGCTGTGTGAGCTTGGTGGTCGAGTACTGCCGTAACATATGGGACGACCTGTCCAAGCAGCACACACAAGAGGCAGGCGATGAAAACCAGAGAGACATCGATGCCGGATTGGCTCGCATAGCGCTCTCGGCCATCTTCCTCGATACCAACAACCTCAAGTCCAAGGCCAAGACAACTGAGCTGGACATTGAGATCGCCGAGTACCTCGAGGCAAAGCTGGGCGGAGACTACAACCGTAAGAAATACTACAAGGAGTTGAGCGAGCTGAAGGAGGACATCTCTCAGTTCTCGTACAGCGACAACTTCCGAAAGGACTACAAGGCGTGGACGGAGGCCGGCATGGTCCTAGGGACCGCAAGCATACCGCAAGGGTTCCACTACATGCTCAATCACTTGGGCGACAAGGAGACGCTGATCGAGGAGTTTCGCAAGTTCGCGGCAGAGAAGCAGTGCGACATCGCCTGCATCATGACGTCTTCTGCTAAAGACGACGGCGTGTTCAAGAGGAACCTGCTCGTCTGGGGCTTCAACCCGAAAGCAGTCAAGGCGGTCGACAAGTTCATTGAGATGCACGGTGAAGCACTCGGGCTGACACCATTCCATGATGGTGCGCTGGACTACAAGAGTGACGATGAGGTCCGGTATTGCTGGTATCAAAATGTCACCCGAAACAGCAGGAAGCAGTTGGCGCCGATGCTGCGGTCTGCTATGACGGAGGTGGCTAGACTATGACTGATCGTCCTTGAAGATCCCCCTTTTGCATAGGAGGCAATGTCTATTTACGCTCGTTTTGTGCTTTGCTTTTGTGGAACATGACTCGAGGACCGGTGGACCGATGTCCTCATTCAGCCTGCGGCTTCGAAAGCCATGAAGGGGTTGTTTCGAAACCAAGAAGGGCGGTTCAGGCCTTTGTTGATCACAAGGTCTAAACCGAAGCAGCACTGGTGTGTAATTCGTTGGCTAAGCTGCGACACAGAGGATGATCAGCCTTTCGGAGCCTTGATCTGTCGGTGAGAGCACCCTCATTCTCATTTCATTGGACGTATGCAGTAACCCTCGAGGGGCATAGTAGAACGTAGAGCGGTATTGCTCTCCTCAGCCTCGGTAGTAGCGCTGCGCCGAGTATTGTCAATGCCGAGGACGCTCACCCAAGACAAAGCTAAGAAGGTTAGAGTCGCCGATATCAACAATCATTCACGATATGGAGCCAGTGTCTGCGTATCAATTCCGACAATTTTGAGGTGTATACGTATTCTGTAGATTGCGGTGGAGTTCCCAGTTAGCAAAGATGCCTCGTCACATCCCTCGAATGCGAAAGTATTGTGTCATTTACCCCATTGCGGAACTGACATAGGGGTACACACTCATCCAAACCTCCCTTCAGCCTCGCGCATGTTCCGCCTCCGCTGGTGGGTAGGTCATCATGGATGCAAGTGATATGACTCGTATCATTCGCAAAGGATCATCCACCGAGGACACGCATGAATCCGTGAATTTATGGCCCAGGAGGCTCTGGATGTTGAATGTTGGGCAAAATAAAATGAAGGGAATGATGGAAGATAGTGACGTCGTGACAACTAGCGTCCAATGCCCTCATGCGTAGTCTATATTGGCAACGAGAGGGAACCGAGTTGAGGCCGTTGAGAATGTCGTGTACGATATTAACTCTGCACTACATACCCTGCACCAAAGTAGTATACTATAGAATATGAGTTGAAATCAATAGATATCACAGAATTAAAGATACCATACTTTGGCTACGTTGCCTCTGCTGGCTGGTTGCACATTGTGCCGATATCCCACCGCTCGACCGTCACAAGACACCTCGTAACACTACGAGGACCCTGGAAACTGGACGCTTGATCTTACCTTGAGACAGAGTATGGCATGTGACATTTCCTTTGATACGAGTATTCTGTTTTTGATCAAGAAGAAGTAACTAGGCCCCAGCACTCCTCATGCTTTAATGCTAAGGGTGTTGCCCGGTCGGCGAAGACGGTTGCATTGTCGGGATCTGCAAAGGGGTGGCGCTCCCCGTGTCAACAAGGAGTAGACGCATTTCTTTGGGCATGTGCTGCGTGGGCTCCGGGCCCCCGTTGATTGGGCGCTGGGAAAGACGAGATGTCTACGAATACTTTGTATGGATGTTTATGTATCAAAGCCGAAGGTTAAACCACTAGAGCTTGATTTGCATAAGTCCATGTTTTTCCATAAGAGGAAATCCTACGACAGATCAACCAACTAAGGAGTTTGCACAGGCATTGCTCAAAGAATGTGTTGCTCAGAGGGAAGGATGACATGCATTAGCAAAGTTGCGAGAGAAGAATCCAATGCCAGTAGATCAGAATGAATGCCAACATCTCCGAAACGCCAGCCGCCCTGCGCTTGTAACATTTTCTGGCAAACAGAAATAATCAAGTCTCTAGAACGTCTATTCCCTTTGTAAAACCACCATCAGTCCCATAATACCGAGCATTGCCGTCTTCATCCACGGGTACTCTGAGAGCATGATAGTGACGTAGCCCACGAACGGTATATACCCAACGACGCTGCCGATTATGTCCTGCCTCTCGAGATAGTCCTGCCCCCTGGCATACAACTCTGTGTCGTCGGCAACGTTGTTGTCGCCCTTGGTCAACAGCTTGGCGTGTTCCCCAGTGCCGAATTTGCGAACCACTCTGTGGACGATAGGAATTTCCTTGTCCCTGACATTGTAAACCACGACCTCACCAACGTCCGTCTCTTGAATCAGATTGCGATTCCCTAACAGCGATCGCTGGTGGTCAGCACAATATACTCGGAAATTGTAATTCGCGTTGGGTTCGGGAGGGCGATTCGGTCGTACAAAGAAACAGGAGATCGCCACGCTGGAAAGCTGGCTCCATACTGCCTGAGAGGACGACAACAATCGGAGAGGGCGAATCGGTAACGACAGAGAGCCTGGAGGAAATCGTCAGCACTGGCGAATGACTACCGGACAGGGCGACGAGAATCATACCCTTTCCACATCATGAAAGCGGTCGACAAAATGAGGCCTATTAGTACGCCCTTGTTAGAGCCGTATGTTCTTCCTCGCATTGCGCAAGTTGCAACTGAGCAGGCGTACCGAAGTTCAAGACTTGGGAGGCAAGCTGCCTCGGGTTACCGAGTGCTGACAGCATGGTTGAGTCTGGGGACGTGTCCAGTTGCTGGGTTTTTATGGCATGCTATTTTTCTTTGTGAGAATGTTTTTTTGACGAGACTCAAATCTTTGCTGTCTTGCTGGGATTGCTGGTGTGGCAGCTGAAACCTGCTGAAATTCTGGATGAGGTGGTCATTTGAGTACAAAGCTGTCCTCAAGATATCCAAGCCTGCCTGCCGGGGGGGCTGCTAGAGGCCGGGGTGGTTGTTAGGCAGGCACTGACAGGGTGGCAGGTTGGCAGGGGAGCTTATGGGTTGGGGTTGCTGCTCCTATAGTACTCAGCACATAGTACGTACCATGTACATAGTACTAGTACATAATGGGTGACCCCTGCCTTCTTGTCTTGGCTCGAGTGCAGGGTTTCTATACAGTACAAGAAAGCAATTCATCCATCTCATCCAAGCTGGGAGCAAGTCATGCCTCAGTCGATACCAAGCAGAACATTATTGATCAAGGATTTAGTGTGTTTATGAAGTCAGCGTGCGATATCATTACCAAAATAAGTATATATGAACAAAAAAATCAATAAGTAAGTCGGGTGGCCAGTACTCTTGATGGCCTGATAGGAATCATTATCAGGATAACAGACCACCCAGTACTCCGTCCAGGGAGGCACCAGCTATGGGAGGCCGTCATAGCAATTTCTCTCTAGACGGAGAATGACTTCTTCATTTAGTCATGGGAACCTTTAAGCCCCGGTCTAACGACCTTCTGTCGTGTTGCATGGCGAAACTGGAAGTCTCGAGCCGGGAAACAACGACGAGGATGGCCGTGACTTCCTTGTCTTCCACCAAGTCTTCAACGGCAACCAGGCAGTCGCCTCCGGTCGTCTATTTTGTTTTCCCCTTCTGTGATTGAGGTCTCTACTCTCCTTTTTCCTCACGAAAAAGCTTCACCTTGGCACATCGTCACCCATCTAGAAACTGCATCCTAACACAGCCCTTCAATTTTGATGTATTCATCACTCTGACTTGGAGAGACCTGGAGACTACAACATCTACCAGCTCGCAGGTGGCAAGTCTTCAACGGCCTTCTTTATACTTTTCATTTCCGCAGTTCCCTTCTTCGTGCGCCATGGAGCGTGTGTTGGAGCGCGCGCCTCTGTTGGGCAATCGCCAGCAGGATGAGGAGAGTCAGGTCACTGGCGCTGACCATGTGAGCTTTACATAGGTCTCCATACTCCAGCAAGCCCAGGCTCATTGCTGATGCTTGCCTAGCCAATCTTCTTACGAGCCGCTCATTCCCCATGGCGCCCTCTCAACCAGAATGTGTTGGGCTACGTTCGGGCAGCACTCTTGGCTTATATGATCGCGGCAGGCGGCATGCTGCTGGACTACAAGATCAAACACCGCGACGATGAGCACACAAACTGGCGCATTCCCTTTCAGTTCTCCACCGTCACTTGGTTCTTGCTGATACTGTATCACCTCATGGTCACAGTACGTCGCAACTATGTTGCACTACAAGAGGCAAGCACACTGACCATATTTGCATAGGCATGGACCATCACCCACATGCACTGGCCGGATACGGACGCCAATGACACGCGATGGGAATCCAGACTCATCCGCTTCATGTCGCCACCCGAGCAGACTTCTGACGATCGACGGCGCTTCTATTTCAGTCTATTCTACACAGTGACCCATGTTTTTGCCCTCATGAACGTCATGATATACTGGACGATCATGGTGCCAAGCGGCCATTCTCATTGGCCTTCTGGAGGATCCGGCGAGGAGGGACTTTACATGGTAATGAACGCTGATGATGGCAACAGCAAGTTCCCTCCGTTCAAGGATGTGTTTTCAGAGGGCTGGTTCAAACCCTTTTCGTTGTTCAACCTCTACGTCTTCCCCGCTCTTGTCACGGTGATTGAATCTCTATTCATGAACAGTATGAGACGACAAGAGGTAAGTCTTGACTCTGACGGTGTACACATTACGAGATGGCTGACACCAGTGTCACCATAGCCTGTTCCCAGCCACCTATTCGGCACTATGGGCTCCGCCGCATTGTATCTGGCTTACGGCGCGATTGGCAAACTACTCACTGGTCACAGCCCCTTCTTTTGGATGGACGAGGCCGTCGTCGGCAGTAAAGAGAAGGTGGCAGGGTACTGCACTGGGTTTGTCTGCATGGCAGCTGCAAGTGAGTCTACATCCTGGCATATCCAAATCTGAGCCCTTCTGTCTGACGCGCCTGCAGTGTTCTCCATGTTGTATGGTCTCATTGGCATGCGTGAGAATGCATCTCGAGCGCACTGATCTCCAAGTGCGGGTACCATAAGCCACCCTGCTGGAGTTTTTGGCGGCGTGTGTTAAAACAGAGGGCGGTGACTTGAATGGGCGCACACCGGCATATGGGCGCGGCTCTGCTGGGCTCAGCTAAAGAGGGACAGAAAGTAGAGATGTCCTGGTCTCGGCGACGAAGTAAAGGAAACGGACATGATCGCAAAGAATGCGGCCTAATCACCAGAATTATCACTACGGATTGATTATGGTTTATACGACCTGACTGACTCTACCTGGAAATAACGCTAGATTATGATAGAAGGCACCTAGAGACTGAAAATATACCTGCCTCGCCTACACCATCGTCTGAAGCGGGACAACTGGTGATAACTGACGGCACAGCTTGCTCGAGCAGGCTTGTACATTGTGAGTCCTTGTGTAATATGACGTGGCTAGGACTACATCGCCATTCACAGTTCTTCACATAGAGAAGAGTCATGCTGCAGCCTTGACCCGGACGGCACGTGCCTAGTCCTGGAAACAAGAGTACTGTGATACAAGCATATTTCCAGGTCCTTTGTCCATCAAAAGGCGGAGAAAAGGGTTTCGAGAAAAGACATGTGCCCCACAAGGCCATCCCCCCTGTTTGCCCTGACAGTTGTGCTAGTGGCAGTGGATGCAGACTACCACGGTACCACCCAACAAGCTCTCTCGCCATGAACGGGGGGAGCTGCATATGCTGGCATCCCTTGTGCCATACAGAGACATTGCCAGGGAACGGGGGCTGTGCTGGAATACGCTTGTCCAAGGTGTGGTGTAGCTGATGGTGCCTTTTCATTGGCTCTGTCTTCGACTTGATAAATCCCGGCCACCGGAATTGACGGGCCAGCGGTTATCTCCCACGCTACCGCAGGCCTCGCGTACCATGGTACTGTTCGACCTCTCTGCGACCGGTGCCCTTGCAGGCACCCGAATGTTCCTGCAACTTTCTGTTCCTTTCTTTGACATTCCGTCTGGCAGTGTCTCTGAACATGTTGATTGGAGTTTTGAGGCAGTGTGTGTGACGCCTTCGTCGGGATGATACGGGTTCTTTGGGCATGATTGGGTTGGCTCAGTGCACAACAAAGTTCACGCCATTTGGGAGGCAGCCAGCGGGATGAGGATTCGCGGGCTCCTCAGTGAACACATCGTGGCCTGGGGTCCTCCCTTGGGCTGCAAGATTGGAACCCTGGACATGAGGTACGACAAAAAGAGGTTGGCTGGGTTTTTACTGGACGATCGCAGGGCGAGCAGCCTCTATAATAGGAAAAACAAAAAAAAAAAAAAAAAGGAAGGTTGGCAGGTTGGCAGGTTGGCAGGTTGGCTAGGGCAAGGTTGGAAACCCCTGCTTGATGACGCTATTTGGTAGGTGTGTTCTGGCGATCCCAGCCTGATTCCCCAGGGCGCTGAGCCGAAAGGGTGTGTGCCACCACCCACACTGCATCCTATTCTCCCAGCCATGAGCGCAGTGAGGGGAGGGCAGCCTAAGAAAGACGCTCTGCAGGCAACCAGCCCTGCGTTGTCTCAACACTGCATAAATACTCCCGAAAACCACCCCTTGTCTTTTTGGGGTTTTTTCTTCTTCCTTCCTTTCCTTCTCCCTCCCCCACTTCAACCTCAAAGGGTCGCCAAGTACATAAGAGTATCTACTGATCCTGACAATCGTTTCATCGGTGATATTTCTCAACGGGCCCTAGTCAATCTTTTATTTTCCTTGCGTTTTTTGCACTGTTCGCTCATTCGGTCCTTCTTTGTCGCGGGAATTCTACTGTTTTCGCTCGTTTCGTCTCTTGACTTGGTATAAGTCATCTGTGAAGGACAAGAACGGGCTCCTTACGATCGCAACGGGAAAAGTCGCCACGGCGAAGTTCTCTGCGTTCCGTTCGTTCTTGTCTTTCCGTCCTGTGCGCCTAGAGCACGCGTGTTCTTCGGATATCAGCTCTCAGGAGAAACGTTCGAAGCGAAACCACGAGCGAAGGGAGTTTCGAAGCCAGGTCAAGCCCAACACATCCGCCGACGACAAGCACAAGATCACCATGTTCAAGCGCTCGTTCAGGTCGCACTCGACCAGCCAGGCTGGTGCGACGACCATGGACTCGCAGTACAAGGTGGACAAGTCGGCGAGGCTGAAGCAGAAGGGCACAGCCTCGGCGAGCTCCGTACGGGACCCAACCAAGTTGTCGAAACTGCAGCGGTCGCTCACCGAACGCGAGGCCGCCTCGTCATCATCCTCGTCACGGCGGGGCGATGCACACCAGCAGGCAAACCTCGCCCCCTCACCGATCGTCACGCTCATGGTCGGAGGGGAAGGGCGGCTGTTTGCGGCGCACGAGGATGTCCTCTGCCAGAGCCCGTTTTTCAAGCAGGCCTTGCGCGGTGGCTACCTCGAGCAGTCGTATGCGCAGTCCAGGAGAATCGCGCTCCCGGATGAGGAGCCAGAAGTCTTCTCGGCGGTCCTCGAGTACCTCTACAAGGGCGACTACTACCCACGTCTGCTCCACAACAAGCACCGCAGCTCTTGGGAGCTCGAGGACTCCAACACCACCACCACCACCACCGGCCGCACCTCGCGCCGAGGAGGCACACCAAACGCATCACCCAACATCGCCCACAATGAAAACCACTACGGGGGTGGTCGCGCAGCCACGACGGGGTCTTCTGCCACCAGCACCCCGCGCATCTCTGCGGCTGCCGAGGCGACAATCTACCTGCCGAGCGCGGGCCACCACATCCTGCGGGATACCGTGGTGTACTGTGCTGCGGAGCGGTACGGCCTGGAGGAGCTGAAGCGGCTCGCGCTGCGGAAGCAGGGCCTCCAGACGGGCATCGACGTGGGCACCATCCTGCGCAGTGCCCAGTACTGCTACGCCCACACCCCAGACTCGGACAGCCGCCTGCGCGCCCACTACCTGGCGCTGATCATCCGGTGCCGCAAGACCTTCAAGCGCAGCGGCACCATGCAGGCCGAGATGGAGAAGGGAGGAGAGGGCTCCAAGCTGTACTTTGACCTCTTTGTCGCGCTGTGCAACCACCTTGACGATGTTGTCGAGGCGGGGAACAGGGGCAGCCCGAGGACTATCTAAAACTCAAGACCACGCCTGAGTGCGGCCTTGAGAGGGGTAGTTCTTGTTTTCTCTGTGGCTTGCCAGGATCAGATGACCCCAGATGGTCTCCTGATCCCGCGGCGAGTGAGGTGGACCTGATTACTTTTCCAATTTCCCCCTCAACAGGCGTTCTGTCGGCAAATCAGACAAGACTTGAGATTGATCCATACCACCGAGGGAGTTCTCTTGAGATACCGCAGCTTTGGGAGAGACTGCGATCTCGAGGAACGGATACACGCTACTCGGGGGAATTGTTTTGACTGTGTTTTTGTTTTTAGGGGAACCAACACTGCTCTGCTCTACTACGACTTGATTTCTTTTTCTTTCGGTACTCGATCACGAAACTCTCCTGACGAATTTCCTTGATTTTGAGGCGTTTTCGGATCCCAACCGTCCTTGCTTCCCCATGGCCAAAAAATAATCGTCATCAGACTGGATCTCCATTGGGCCATTTGGGAGAATGCTAGATCTCGACTCTTGCTTCTTCACTTCTTCACTGGAGTTTGGCCGGATGCACGTACCAGTTTTGATCTTGATTTTTTTTTTTTTCGTCTTAGGGGGGGTTTCAAGGTGGAAGGGAACCGGATTCGACTTGGAATGTTGGGTCGTACCGGAGAGGATCAGCACGATGAATTGATCTTGGGACAAAGAGCGTTGCGGGTGGTTCGCCTGCGAGCACGATCAAACATACCCTGAGTAGTCCGTTTCCTTTCGCTTTCATCCCCCCTTTGCTTGCGTCTTTTGATGTCTCGCGCGTGCTGTTTTCCTTCTCTGCTGGCAATTGGAACACGGGTTATTGGGATAAGGGTTCTGATTTTTTTTTTTTTTAATGTCTTGACGCTATTCCTTGATTTACTTCAGATCGGCGTTCAAGAGAAAGGAATCACGAGGCATGCGTTTTCAAGATGATTGTTCGCAACAGCTTTCTGCTCTTCAACACAACAACACCACCCAACCTTGATTCATCACCACACACATACACACACCTGGAGTTTGTGTCAACAATTTTTTGGGTTTTTTTCTTCTCAACTCAATGATTTCTTTTGCCCAAAAGGGTAATTGTCCGCTTTTTTTTCCTTTGAAGAAAGTTCAAGGGATCCTGCTTTTGTTTCTCACGACACTACTGGCGTTTGCTCATCAGATTGTCATGTTTGAAAGAAGAAAAATAAGGGCCCTGCTCTCTTTCTTTTACCGAAACACGGCGGCCGGAAAGGAGACGACTCCAGAATGATCACTACAACAACAACAACAACAACAACAAAGCGCACGCTCGACGCGTGACGCAATGCGCAACACCGTCCTTTTTCGTCTGCCGGCCTCAGCATCTCGACCAAACACGTATTTTTCTGCCGCCAGGGCAAAAAAAGAAATGTTCCAAGCGAACCAACTTCCGACTTTTGACACACTCATTTTTCTTCTTTCTTTTGTCAGATCCTCAGGGGGAGAAGGAGAGAAAAAGAATAGATTTGGTGGGAAGAAGGAAGAAGGTCCGGGCAAGCAAAACTATGTGACCCACCCTCCTAGAGAGGGGAAAGGTCTCAAAACTTTATGAACTTGAGATGACTGATGGGGGAGCAGAGATTTTTTCTTGTTCTCTCGATTCTGTGTGTATGTGTGTGTGTGTGTGTGTGTGGCCTGCATTACACTTCTTTTCTTGGTCAGCCGCGTTGCTGGATGCAGATGTCTGAGGCGTGCTCAGTGAGAGTCGTCAGGCACACATACGCCTATGCGGGTGTTACCTGACGACTTGCTGACGAGGTCCTGGTGATACTGCTCATGTATGTATTGTTAGGCTTCGGGAGGGGATACTGCTTGGTTGGTACCCACGCCCCTTGGATTTTTCTGCCTGGATAGCTAGCAACGTGCCCCACGTCTGTGAGGGCTAGGTAATGGGAGATTCGGCCATCTCCAAACTCGTCTGTTCTCTATTGCGCGTGTCTGTATGTGTAGATGACATGTCTTTTTTTTTTTGCAGCCTTTTCATCTGCTTTCTTCTTCTCCTCTCCTTGAAGACAGTAATTTCAAGGCATGGTAGACTCATCCATTCTCTCTCTCTCAAACCCACTTCACCTCAAACCCTCTAAACTGAGCCTCCAACTCCTCGCTCGTCTCCTTGTTCGGCCGACACGCATACGCCTCAACCTTGACCTCCCAGTCCTCAGCCCCACCACCATGCCCAAACGGCCAGCACACCTCCCTCAGCGGGACCTTGTCCTCCTTGCCCTCGGCGGCGACGACGACCTGGTACACCCACAAACTCCGCCCCAGCTCGTCCTCCCCACTCTCCACCGCGATCGTCACCCAATTGCCCTCATTCTCCTCCCCGCTCGTTGTCGTCACCACCACAGGGGCCAGGCTCCAGTCCGACCAGGCATCGCACGCCACGGTGGCTGCTCGGGGGGTTCCGTTGTAGTTCTCGACGCCGGCCTTGATCCACTTGGGTGGTGGTGGTGGTGGAGAGGCGGTATCGGGAGCCTTGTCTGATGAGGCTGCTGGTGCTGCTGCTGCTGCTGCTGCTGTGCTGGTGCGGGGGCGGAGGGAGAGGAGGAGGCCGGCTTGGTCGTATTGTTTGAGGGTGGAGGGGAGGAGGAAGGAGACGCGGGCTGAGAGGAAGGTGGATAGAGGGGAGGTGGACTTTGTGTTTTCTGGGGAAGAGGTGGGGGCTTTATTTGAGGGGAGGAAGAGAGGGTGGTTTGATGGGTCAGCTGATGGGTTTTCTTTTCTTCTTCTTTTTTCTTCTTCTTCTTCTTCTCTCTTTATATTCTTTGTCAAGGAGGTTGAGTGTAATTACCGTTGAAGACGTCTGTTGTGGGTGGTTTGCGCCACACGTCGGTGCCGGGGCTGGCTTTAATGGTGAAGGTGGGTGTCATTGTGTATGTGTGTGTTGGAAGAAAATTGATGTATATAAGTCCTGTACTGTCAGATGGGAAGGATGAAGAACATATCCCTCCTCTTATCATCACAAACTACTTACATTTTAAAAGGCGGGGTATAGTGCAAACCAAGGTAACAGGCCACCTTTTCTTTCCGCCTCCGGCCCGGTACCAGCACCAATTCTTCATGGTTCAGTGATCATCCCTCGCTGCAATTCTCGGGCGTTATTTTGACGCTTGTTTCTGGGTTATGTGTATAATATTATGAATCCTTGTCAACATGGATTAGTATCTAAGTATTTTCTGTCAGTCAGACATTTGGTTCTCGATAGATAGTGTAAGATAATTCCAAGCAGAGAAAAGTCAATACTGGAATCCAAACAATATATATGAAAGCTCATGCGCCTCAGCCAAGCATTCCACACCTTCAAAGTTGCTTACCCTAGGTTGTCGCTGGGGATGAATTCACTTTCATGATTTGTGTATTTTCTTTTTTAAATTTTTTTTTTTAAATTTTTTATAAAGCAAACCGATGAAATACTCATGATTTACTCAAGGCTCTAAATCTATGTTCAGCCTTGCATTCACGTCTTCGAGTCTCGAATCTGTTTCTACTGAAGTAAACATGCCAACGAGGGTATCAATCAAACACACATGCAGTCAATGATGGTTGTGACATTTCAACAAAGTTTTCAATCCTTTTTCATTTATATCAGCCAAAACCAACTACAAGGGGTTGGCCAAAGGCATATCTTCAAGTGTGATAATGATTAGGCGTTCATAACGTTCACAGGCAAATCGGTCAGTATCCAAGTACCTTCTCCCAAAAGCCACTCTGCAGATTCTGCACCATTTATATTGCCTCTCCAGCCCTTCACTAGTAATACTCTTTGTTACCAACTTACACCAAGACTCAAATGTGGTCTCTCATTTGTCTTCATCCAAACTCCGCCTCAACCTCTTCACTGCCTCTATACTCCACACCGCAGCCGGATGACCCTCCCCCAGCGTCCCTCTCTGCCCCTCCCACGCCCTCTCATGCCACTGCAACCCCTCCCTCAGATCCCCCATCATCTCACACGTAAGCCCCAGATCCCCCATCGCCCAGAGCGTATCGAAATGCCGCACCCCCAGCGCCTCCTCCCGCCCGCGCACATGCTTCTCCAGCAGGGCCCGCGCCGTCTCCAGCTCGCCCGCGTCGCGATGGCACTTGGCCAGGTCGCTCAGGCTCCACAGCGTGAAAGGATGCGCTGCGCCCAGCACCGTCGTGCGCGCCGCCAGGGCCTCGGCGTGTAGAGGGATGGCCTCGCGGGGCCGCCCTGCGCGGCGTAGACAGCGCGCCAAGGTGTTGATGGTCCAGATGACCTGCAGGTCTGTCGAGGGGAGGCCGGCGGCGCGGAGACCTGCCAGGGCGCGCCTGTGCATCGCCTCGGACTCGGCGACCTGGCCTAGGTGGCGGTGTAGGCGGCCGAGCTCGTTCATGGTGTGGAGGCTGTCGAGGGCGTGGTTGGGGCCTGGCATGGTGGTGGGGATGTGGCAGTGTTGGCCTTGTGCTGCTGTGGTGGCTGCGGCTGCGGCTGCCGCGAGCTGGCTTTCCAGGGCTTCTTTTTGTGTGGCGATGGAGAGCTCTGTTAAGTTCTGCATGTCGAGCGCGAGGCCGAGGCCGTTCAGCAGCCAGGCGGCGTCGCCTGGTTCAGCGCCCGGTGTGTTCTCCAGCCGTAGGTGCGCGGCTTTGAACAGAGCGACGGCCTCGTCTTGTCCGCCCTTCATAGTGTACTCGCGCACGAGGTCCCGGAGCACCATAGTCTTGTCGAACGTGCTGACGTGTTTGACCATCCTGACACCTTCCTGAGCGTCCCTCGTCTGTATTGAGTTGACTATTTCTCTTGTCCCGCTTCTTGTCCTTAGCCACTCTTGGTCGAGGCGTATGAGGACCTCGAGCATGTCTTGCAGCTCATCGAACTCGCAATGCTTCTCCTGGCATCTAATATCATTATCACCATCTTCTTGCTCTTCTTCTTTGGTGACTGTTTGGAGCCAGCTGCGTGCCTGACGGAGGAGAACCAGGACCTGCTGCAGGGTACAGGGCTCGCCTCTGCGCAGGAGCAGACGTGTCAGCCAGACACGGCGCCTCTCGTCCGAGGCCAAGAACCTCGCAGCCCTGGTACATAGTTCGGTATCAGGTTCGGCGTGGACAAGATGATGACACCAGTATGCGGTTGCGTAGCTCTCCAGTGGGTAGGTGGTGGCGCTTACAGACGATGCGTCGTGGACCTGGTTGAGGTTGATGTAATTCAAACACAGCTTGGCGATCTTCTGGTGCTCGGCTGGTAGACTCAGCTGACGTGTGCCTGGAGTCGCCGTCTCCTCGAGCTCGTCCCGGTTCGACATGAACTGGATGGCACTCAGATGAGCTGGGCGAAAGCAGTCCGTCTCAGCATGGTACTCGACAAACGGTTGGCAAAGTTTGAGCACGAGGGCTTGGTAAGGGCGCCTCTGGAGGCAAGCCTGCTGTGAGTTTTTCTCTTCTCGCACCTCCAATGAGAGACTCACTTGCAGCTCCGCCCACTTCAGCGGCCGCGGGCTGCAGAGAACCCGGCTGATGATGTTGCTCTTTAGATCTCTCCATTGCTTCGGCTCGCTATCGAGGCCTTGTAAGACATGATTGTAGAATGCGGACAGGCCTGCTGGTGGCCCTGCAACCATGTTCATCACATCTGCTGGCGATGTTGCTGTGTGTAGTTGTTGGACCATGAGGTGGGCCCAGAGAAACATGCCATCCGCGCCTCGAGACAGGCGTGACAGGATGTCGTCTCGTAGGCCTGTGTTTGAGATTGGAACATCCAATTGGTCAACCGCGGTCGAAAGATACATGTCGACGTCGGACTTGGTGGACTCTGAGGCGATGCGCAGCGATGGTAGTCCGGATAGAGCATCCCGGATGGGCGGCATATCTCTGCTGAGGAAGAGTACGCGACAATTTGCAACAGACCGAATTGTATCGATCAAAGGGCCCAAAGCCTCGCTGATGTCTTGACACTCGTCCAAAGCATCAATCACAAGATATATTGGACTATCGAGTCCATGCAATAGATCACGTAGCAAGGATACCGGGCCGTCTGCTCGGCTGAACCGCATGCGCCCATAGATCTTGGCGGCCTGAAACGCCATCTCTATGGTCGTCCCCGAGGGCCAGGAGTGACTGAGGAGCTGATATATGAGCGTTCGATACATGGCCAGGCTGGTGTTCTTGGCCACATCGCTCTTGTCGAAGAAGAAGTATGCCACCAAGCCCCGGGTGCTGATATTATTAGTATGCTGTACGGTAGTGGCTAGGCGCTTTAGCAGATGCTCAGTGATGACGGCGCTCATGACCGTCTTTCCGATCCCAGCATTTCCATACAGCCAGCCCACACGGTTGAGATCCGTTTGAGGGCTTGTGTCATCTGCCCAAGTGCAAAAAAAGGTGCTGTTCATGAGCCATCTGCACGTATCTGGGGCGCACTTTTGTCCATGGCGAACAAGATCCTCAGATGAATCCACTGGGGAAAGCCATGCGAGAATCTGTTCACGTCGCCTGTATTCTGCGTGAGGACACAATCGATTAGGAGACAGAGAAGCTCGACGGTGGAGTGGTTTTTTTTGGGGGGTGGGGGGGGGGGGGGGGTTGGTCACTTACCTTGTTCAGCTGGGGAAGCCTTGACAATCTGCTGAAGGGCTTTTGTAGTCTCGCTCCTGAACTGCTGTTGGATCTTCATATCCACATTGAGACCGTCTCGATGAATAAAAGTCACAAGATGCCCGAGATAATCAAATCGACGACTCAGCCTGTCCGTTATATCACTGAATTCGGTTTCAAAATTTTGCCACGCCCTCCCGAGCCACATCATCCCGCTCTTGAGGAGGACAGGCACACGGGATCCCGACGGGGCTGTGAGGCGTACAAAAACCGCTCGCGCCTGGCGCAGAAACACCAGGGCGTCCATATACGTGTCTGACAAGGCCCCTTTGAAGTCTTCAATCTCAGAGAAGTGCTTTTCGTAGCGGTTGAACACCGACAGCCTCTCCCCGAGATTCTGGATCAGACGTAGCAGGCCTTCAAAGTAGAAATTCACAGACTGTGCTACCTGCCAGATAGTATAATATGATGTATCAGATTAGTTCGGCTCTTTACAAGACGACAATATTTCAGCGAGAGAGAGAGAGAGGAAGGGAAGGGGACATAAAACTCACCCTGAGCAAGACACGAAGGCATCCCCAGATCAGCGAGGCCGGATTGGATGCATATTGTGTCAGATTATCGACCGCCCTGGAATACCTATCGATGAAGCTTATGAAGGGCGTCAGGACACGCATTGCTCCGGCCGCACGGGTTTTGGTGGAGCGTGCCCCAAGGAGCTGGATCTCTTGGAGGACATCTTGGACTGTTGAGAAGGTGTATTCCTTTACTTCAGCATTGTCGATGTTCCTGATATATGTGTCAAGGTTGGTCCCGGAACCTGCTGCACAAGAGGATGCCGTTGAAGATGATCCCGTATCAGAATCTGCTATAGAGGCTGGTGAATGTAAGGATGGTGGCATCTTAAGCCTACTATTGTATTAACCTTGATGGCTCGATGTTGAGAAATTCATCTGAGACATCCAAGTGGGCATCGCAAGTGACTTTTGAGACAAAAAATGGATTGAAGCACCTCGCCAGCTCTTATGAGGAAAACTAAAAGCAAAGGGGAAACAAAAAGTGCCGCCCAAGAACGAGACAAGATTCCGAGGCTCTGCCATGGCTCATGATGATAGACGACATGAGATCGTCCTATGCCCAGGCGCTACGAGGGCCTCCAGCGGTGAAGCCACCGCAAGGCAACCGAGATCTTCAAAACAATGCGCAAAAGTTCGACCAAGTTGACGACCAAGTTGAATTATAGGGCTGAGTGTTCGCAATTTGGACACCGAAGGCTGTGTGATGCAGTCAGCAGTCCGCACATCACACGAAAGAGGCTTAGTTTAAGGCAAACTGCCGTAGTAATTAGGTACTTACTTATCGTACGCTTGAATGATGGTGTGTAGCACAAAACAGCAGAACCAACAGGAGGTCAGCACGGTCCGGGGGGAACAAGCAAAGCAGTTCATGCATCAGACTTTTTTCTGCCCAGTCCACCACCTGGCTTCTTGGGTTGAGAGCCTCGTCTCTGCACCAAGGATCCTTCTTACTCCGCCATCATCGCCGTCCACGAGAGCACATCACGATGGCTTCTCCTCAGCTGGAGTGCGAGACCTACAGAATATCTGAGGTCCCATACGACATTTGCACAGATGACGTCAAGCAGTGGTTTCCAAGAACCGAGCAGAGCCTGCTTCTGAAGATCTCAGGCGCGACTGCAGCTCATTTTCCTGACCCAGCCAAGCCCCTGCAGGTGTTCATCGTCACCTTTGCAAAACAGCCACCGTCGCTTAAGACAATCAAGCCCGACACAGGGGCTACGATCCTGATCAAGCTTTTGCCAAATATTCCACCCAGTTGTGGATCATGCTCCGTCGACGCGCATTTTCAGGGTCTAACACCATTGAACGACGGTCCGGAGGGTGAAGATGCCGTGGAGTAAGCGTAATAAATACTTTAGCTTTTAGCCCCTTGCCCCCTCCCCTTCCATCGCCCCTGCTTCATCCTTTTCTGGGGCCTCGACCCGATCTGATCCTGATCCTCTAAATGCCTGAGTACTGAAATCTTTCTTAGTCTTGTGGCTGTGACTGGAGTCGGCGGGAGGCCGTTCGGATCCTGGCAATGTGAGAACACGTCGATGTGGCTTCGAGACCTTTTGCCCGGCCATGTGCCGAACCTCCGAACTTTCGTGTATGGACACCGGCTCAAGGTTGTCAATTCGGACCAGCACAGTAACCTAGAGAGTTGCACGGAAGGGTTGCTGGATGACCTCAAGATTATTAGGCCAGAAGGATCGGTAAGCATTCTAATCTACCAAGGAGGATCTCAACCATCAGACTGCTCATATAATACAGTTACAGCGAAGACCATTGATGCTCCTTGGTCACAGTCTTGGAGGTATCGTCGTCAAATATGTAAGTACCAACGCAGATATCGGAAGCAAATAACAATACTTGAATATTATTAACGCATTTCATTGAATGCTTTTAGGCATGGATTCTCTGTGCCGAAAGATCCAAGAAAGATGACAAGGACCGGAACCTGTACCATGCGATTCACAGTCTCATTCTTTTCGGTACCCCTCACAATGGTATCCGAAATCAAGAGATGCTTACAGTGGCAGCAGGACAACCAGCTGAGACTCTGCTTCGTGACCTTGGCCCGGGTTCCACGACACTTAAGAATCTGAGGGACCGCTTCGCCAGACTGGACGCCCAGAAAAATCTCAAAGTGCTAAGTTGCTGTGAGTACCAAGCGACTCCGACCTCTCAGCGCTCGGAGGATGGAAAGGTTAGGAGAGACGGTCCGCTTCAGTGGATGGTCACCGAAGACTCGGCATGTCTGCATTGGAACAGTCCCGCGGAGAGGGTAGTGACGATACCGGAGAATCACTCAATGATGGTCAAGCTGTCCGCAGGAATTTCCAGCAAATACCAAGTCATCAAAAATCACATTGCTGAGTTCACATGTGATGCCGTCAAGGTGGTCCCGAAACGCTTCCACAGGGCTGCTACCATCGACGCCTTGAGCAGATCCACTGAGATGCTGACAAGTATCACTCTCACCGCTACCAGAACAAGACAGTCTCACGAGATCATCGCACGACACGCCCTCAACGTCGACTACACAGCTTCTATTCACAAAACTATTGAAGACGAGACCCTGGGAAAGGCCCTCTTCGAAGATCGAGCGACGCCAGCGATCACCGCTGCATTCTCTGAAAAGGCGAATGAGATAGCATCCATTCTCAGCCCCTGGAGCAACCATATGATACCTAGAGGTCAAGGCAAGGCAAGACTGGCCAAGACCATTCAAGAAATTCAGATCCATGTGCAGTCTCTTTGGCACATGCTCCTGTTATCCATGCTTCCTGCACCGATCGGTATGGATCTCCTCGGAGACCGCTCGTTCACCAGAGCCATCGGCTTGCCTCGGATTGCCAGCCTGCAGCGCTTGCAGGCCAAGGCTGCATCGTCTGAGGGAATCGAGCTTCTGACCCCGATGAGCGCAAACTTACAAGGCATCACTGATGCCAATTCAGAACGGGCACAGGGCTTACAGATAGCGCAATTGCAACAGCCAGTCTTAGGCTTCGCTTTTGTTGTCGTCGAGTATAAACGATATGCTGAGCCGCTGGGGAAGCGTGGCCGTCCACGTCTGGAGAATGATGAAAAGAATGCCATCCTGTGGAAGAAGCGAGCGCAAACCTTGGCAACATTGCTGAACAAATCATCATCGCCACCGACGCTTTCATCCTACTCGTCACTCGATATTGAGGGTCTGAACATCAGGGCCTCTATGGATGATGATGATGATAGCTCCAGTCTCGATCTAACAACATACACATTTCGCTGCATTGGCTATTTGGATGAGCACAGTGAAGGGCGCCTCGCACTCATATACGAAGTCCCGCCCGGCTTCATCGAGCCATGCGGCGTATTATCTGAGAGGGTCAGAACCCTGGAGTGGTTGATCCAGGGGGACCTCAAGAAGCTGCCCCTGGAAGAGAGATTCAATCTCGCCTTGAGGCTCTGTGCGGCAGTTCTGAGCCTGCATTCCTCGGGCTGGGTGCACAAGAGCATTCGTTCCAGTAACGTGGTACTGTTTCAGCGACGGAACAGTGATGGCGAAGACCACACGTATGAAGTCTATCTGAAAGGGTTTGAGTTTTCGAGAGAAGCACTGGGTAAATCGGACGACTTTGAAAGATTTGAAGTCGACGGACTCGAGGCCATTCATAACCTCTACCGGCACCCGCAACGACAAGGCCTACCAATGCAGAACTTCAAGCGGGAACATGACATATTCGCTCTTGGTGTGGTTCTTCTAGAGATCGGAACATGCAGGACAATGGAGCAAAGGATGAAGGGAGGCCTAGATCCGGGCTTCGAAGAGAACTACGTGAGGAAATGTCTCGCACTTGCGAGAGATGGATTGCCACAAACCATGGGCAACAGATATGCAAAAGCTGTGGAACGCTGCCTCAATGCTGACTTCGAAGTGGAGGGATCTGACAGTGCTAGTTTGGGGCTGGCCTTTCAACAGCTGGTGATAGAAGAAATAGTGGCGGGCGTCAAGCTATAGGGCACTATGGAACAGGTACGAAGTTACAGATTGTCGAGTATATGTAATCGATGATGCTTATCATGAATTTCATTCCCATTATACCAGAAGGATGTATCTTGATACCATCATCTCACTGGCCTCAAAGTTGGGCTCGCTTTTAAGTCCTGATGCCGGAAGCCGTGATCAAATCCTTTCGGGTTTTCTTCGTCAAGCTCGTAGAGGATCTTCCATTGCTCATAGCACGGCTGCTTCTCGGGAACAAACCAGGGACAACGATAATTGTCCATGAAGATTCTGTCATCCTTTCTTGCTGCATTGTATCCTCCGGTGTGGCCAAGCTTGGCACCTGCGTCGATCAGTGCGTTGATGACTTCAGGTGCACCGAAATACCTGCCCTCTGTTGTTTACGAATCAGCCGCTAAAAGTCTACCTCTGAATAGGAAGGGAATGGCTGGAACTTACCATCATCTTGCTCCATTCCATATGCTATCAAGATCGAACTCAGTCATCAGCATCATCAAGAATCCCGAAAGGTCGACAATGACGAAAGTGAAGGAACTCACTAGTATCACGTCCTGGGGCTTTGACAAAGTCACGAAACAGTTGACGATACTCTTGCATCTCCGCCCTGTTCGCAGGAGCTTTCACTGACTTGTCATAGTTCTCCGCCCATTTCTCCAGAAATATCGTCCTTTGAACATTGCCTTGCTCTGCAGCATAGTCCAACGCAGTCCGCCCGACTCTGTTCCTCGGGGCCACGTCCGCCCCAAGTTCCAAAGCCCACCGCACGCACTTGGCTGCACACTTGCTTGCCAAACCCATCAGTGCTGTTGTTCCTGATTCTTGATGACGCGCATCATTCAGAGCCTGTTTCTTTCCCGCATCATCGAGGTTGGCTGTGTGTCTCTGCATGGCCTCGAGGCACTCGTCGTCCCATACAATATCGTTCCAGGCTAGGTTATACAGATAGTCACGTCCCTTGTTATCCCGTACGGCTGCATCAGAACCAAGATCCAGCAAGGCGTACGAAAGACGAACAGGTCCTCCCCGGCGTCTGTCTCTTGTCGAGTACAATAGCGCTGTTTCTCCCGCGGAGTTGACCGCGTTCAGTGCGCGCCGTCGGGACGCAGGGTCTTTGGGCAGCAATGTTTCGAAAATCATGAGAGAAACATCCAGCCCGTCTTCGTTGTTCTGCGCTGCATGAAGCGCCGAGTTGCCACTTTTCGCCTCCCTGGCTGCAGCATCGGTCGTATGGTGGACCAGCGCCTCAAGCACCTTGAAATATTGCTTTGGGTACGTGGTTCTCTCTGGGCCCTTCATGACCCAGTGGTGAAGAGGCAGGCGGCCTGCATATGTCTCGGCGAGGTCGGCATCTGCACCAGCCTCGAGCAAGGCAAGTACCACGGCACAGTCGCCCGCCTCTGTAGCATCAAGCAGTGCCGTCAGGCCTCCAACCCTGCGCCGCAGGTTGAGTTGACCACCGTGCTTCGTAATCTCCTCCACACACCTCCTTGTCTCTTCGAGGCTTCTTTCGAATGATCCATGGTAGCACCACCGACGAAGAAGATTCGACATGGGTAAGTTCCTATCTTCGTGGTTGCCAGCGAGAATGTGCAGTGGCGAGAGCTCCTTTGTGTCCTGTTTATTTGGATCTGCCCCGTTCCTGAGCAGGAAGGACACTACTTCTGCGTCACCCCGCGCCATGGCCAGTCCCAATGCAGTGTGGGCTCGTGAGTCGTCCGGTGCGTCCAGTGCATCGACATCCGCGCCATAGTCTAGCAGAAGACGTGAGGCCTCTACTGACCCAGCATGACAAGCCCAGTGGAACGGAGTGCCGTGGGGCCAGTGGAAGGGGAAGTGCTCGGTCTCGAGAACTTTGCGCGCCTTGTGTTCCAGTTGAATGTCGGTCCGACATTCCACAGAAGCGCCGTTCTTAAGGAGGAGTTTGATCATGTCTGGCATATCTTCGGGCTGAAAGCTGAATAGCCAGTGGAGGCATGACACGCCGTCCGCAGTGTTTCGTGCAGACGATGCATCTGCTCCCATCTCCAGCAATTTTCGGGCCGTGAAGGCGTTGCCGGCTGCGCAGGCCTTATACAGCGGTGTTGTTGGCCTCCCTTTGTCGAAAGCTTCCGAGTTGTATCCTCCAGACATTCTGTGTTGTTGTTGTGCGTTCTTCAGGCGGCTAGAGTCTAACTTGCGCAGTGCTGAAGCGGCAACAAGGCTTCCAGAAAGAGAACCTCTGTAAAGAAGATCCAAGGCCTCTTTTTCTGTGTTTTCTGCTTTGAATAGCTCTTCGGAATCGATGGCAGCTGAGAGATGAGGCAGTATTGCCTGTGCGGTTGTGTTCTGCCCCTCTGCCGCAGCGCGACAGCACCTGAGAGCTTTGAGCCGGAAACCGTCTGGCTTGGAAATAATGTTGCTGATACACATTCCTAGCATCACATCCCTTAGTTCTGTAGTATGGCCGTCTACATTGTCGATTTCTCGTTGCATTGTTGCCAGAGTTGTTGGATCTAGGCGACGCCAGTAGGTGTAGCCCTGACGGATGCTTGGTTCGACCTTGGAGGCTTCAGCTTGGTGCTGCTCATTGTCCAACTTCCTGTAAAGATGAAATCAAAGTCAACACAGTTCCAGGTAGGGATAGACCTTGTGATAACAGGAAGACAGTAGAAGGTTGGTGTCTTACCAGTCGTGATATGCTTCAGTGTTTTCATCCCTCAATATAGCGGGGCTGACAAGTGAGCGTTGACTGGGAGCCCAGGATAGGAATTCAGAGATTACGCTAATCGTTTTCTTCTGTGCTAATCTTTTCTCCATTTCAGTGCAAGCCTGCTTCTCAATAGAGGCCATGATTTCCTTAGAGAGCATCTCCGTGTTCTGTGTCAGGTCTCCCGAGAGCCTGTCACCTTGGAGCACCATAATGGATAGGCAGACAAGACCGTAGGAATAACTATCACATCGATAGAGATCCTCGCTCGACACGCGATTTGAAGACGGTTTAATCGTTTCTGGAGGCTTCCAACCCTCCGTCGAGCGGTATCTAGACAAAGTGAGGTCTTCCCCGTCTTCAATGAGAATGCTGAGACCAAAATCTGCCAACTTGGCCAGCCATGGCACGCGAGGGTTATGTTGTTGGAACACAAGAATATTGCCTGGCTTGAGATCTCCGTGGACGATTTGGCACTGATGGAGGCAGCTCAGACCAGAGGCGATATCGAGACAGAGTTGGTATTTGACTTGCATGGTAATCTTGTCCGAGGTAAATGCATCGGAGCCTTGGAGCAAGTCTTGGAGATTTCCAACAGCCTCTTCCAGGAAGAGTACCGGCTGAGGGTTCTCCGGGTCGTTATTCGAGTAGTCAAACCCCCAAGCCAGGAGCTTTACGACGTTGGGGTTCTCACGAATTGTCTTGAGACACATTGATCGGACTTCTCTCTCCAGGGTCTTCAACCCTCTCCGCAGGTTCTCTCCTTCGCCTGGCTGTTTTCCTCCGGGACGGACTTGGTCGGTGGTGTCCTGATAATAGTGTACTCGCTTCACCACGATCCTGTCGTACATGCCTGGGGTGCCGCTCGTGAGCTTGTACACTGAGAACTGCGCCCCCTTCCCGATAGGCTTGAAAGAGAGCGCATGCTCGAGGTGGATCCGGTTGAGATAGCGTGGACCTTCCACCTGGTACTTCTCCATGATGGAGACATACTGCGATACAGAGGTGAGGGTCTCAAGCTTTAGAGGGCGCGATGGTGGCGATGAGTGGCGTGTGCGGTCTGTCAAACCCCTCGTGCCGAAGGGATCAAAGGAATCCGACGGGTTGTAGTCTGTGAAGGCACTTTTGCTGTTGAGTGACATTTTGAGGATTTCACAGGAAAGAGGGCCGATTGTCAATGCAGACTTTGGAGGACAGTCAGTAGAATAATGAAAATGTGTAGATTCCTTGGTCAGCTAGAAGAAGACGAAGGGTTTGTAACGATCAGCACAGAAATCTTTTTGTCAGACCAAGCTGGCACGTCTCTCGGGGGAAATACTTTGCGATACCACGGACATCATCTCGTTATTGGTAGCCTCATTCGTCCCAAAATGGATTGTCCATATCATGTGCGTAAGCCCGAAGTGTACCACCAACGGCCCTATGATATCCTTGTGCATGGCAGGTTTAGCCGCTGACTCTTGTAATGGTGAGCCACTCGGCAGTATTCCTGCTCCAGAGTGTCTGGTCTCACTGCAGATCTTTGATTTTTACATTACGTGCGTTGCTGCTGATCATGCCTACTGCCAAGCTGTTGAGATGCCTTGGTTTAGAATAAAACCTAAGAAGACGATGAACTCGCAAGCTTCACACAACTATCATCTATACTAGAAAGCCGACAAGTTCTGCTTCGTGAAATATAGCGTAAACATGAGAAATAAGATTAAGCATGGAAGCATAGACACTGTATCACGTGCACACAGTACTTGGCGTTCATCGAGCTATATAGCTGTGCCGGTGGAGGCTTGAGGTTCCGTCACCAATCCGAGATCTGAATTACAGCTCCTGCAACGGCTGTTGCACCGCGCCCATATCATCATCCAGTGCCGCCATTTTCAAAGAAGCCACGATCTTGGGCAGAAGCGTATACTCGGTCCAGTTCCAGATCAGGGAACTGTCCTGAGCTTGCCAGGCTGCTCCTGTCCACCACGTATTGTCGCGTCCCTGCAGAGCGTTCAACTTGTTGTAAAAGCCATCCTTTATGTGAGAGGCTGACACCGTCAATTGGTAGGGAGAATGACTGTCGAAGGCAGCAAAAGATGGACTGCCAGTGATTTTGAAACCGTTCTTCTTGGCGAAACGAGACAGATCTTGAAGAATGATTTCCTGAACTTCCTCTGTAGACTTCGATTGAGTGGAAGAATAATAGGTCACATACAGATCGTCAATGTCAGGTGCACCGACGAATCCATAATCGAGAGGCTCTGGCACGATCGCATACGGGGCCCCGAGGTCGATGTTTAGAAATGCATCACCCGCTGGAAGACCGGTGACGTTCAGGACAGCAGCCCAGTACTGGACATCCTCAAATTGAGAAAAGAGCCGCACCTCTTCTGGTGTCAGGGCGAGGCCTAGGCGCAAGAGCTCGTGGGGCTTGGGTGGAATGGTGATGAGCAGTTTCTTGGCGCGGATGGACCTGAGTGTGCTGGATTCTGCGGTAGCAGTATGAGACTGCCCCAAGAATGCTCTCACACCACCTCCATGACGCAGGATGCCGTGTAGGGTCGAATCGAGAAAGACGTCATCTCCGAGACGGAGGCGCGCCTGATCGTAAATGTGCTGGTTGCCCTCGACTGCCGACAAGAAAGGTGGCGCGAGGCCGAGAAAAGTCTCCGCAATGTCGGCAGAAAATGCCTTCATGACATACAGTGTTGGTACAGTGAGCAGATTGCGAAACCCCGGCACGTATTGTGAGACATCGAATATCATTGCCCCGAGATCATACTTTTGCAAGAACTCGCCGTAGGGCAGGAGGAGGTCCTCCGGGATCTCGGCTGGAAGCTCATACCCCTGAGCCAGAAAAGGATACTGCTGCACCAGGCCGAGGTACTTCTCGAAGGCAAGCCCTACAGCTGTCGCATTGGCCCAGGGAACGGAGCTTGGTAGGTCCTGGACGATCGTGCCGTTGTTCTGGAGATTATTAATGTAGATGGACCGATCTCCGTAGCCAAGTGTGGCTGGCGCCAAGGCCACTCCGAGGGAACTGAGGAAGTCGGTTACAGTGGAGATGTTGTGGTATGCTATCACACCATAATCAAGAGGGTTGCCCGTTGCCGGGTCGTAATAGGTGTTGACGTGACCTCCAAGATGCGCATTTCTCTCTATCAGGGCTACCGAGTAGCCCAGTTCCTTGAGACGGATGGCTGCATACGTCCCGCTCGCGCCCCCTCCCAAGATGCACACATCGCGAACGATCTCATCGTTGACTCGGGCGGTAACGCCAGCCGAAGCAAGTTGTTGCCACAGGGTCGGCAGAACCAAGGAGGCGAGGTGAGTCAAATACATTACTGGCTGAAGCAAGTTCTGTTCGAGGAGAAAAAAGAAATTAGTGTTGAGGTAGAGAGGACTAGATCGTAAAAGAATCGCAGTTGCCAAATATTCTTGAATAAGCCTCTCCCGCAGTTTGATCAACACCACCCTGAACTTAAGTACGTGCGGCGGTCTCAGCCGGAAACCTCTCTGGGGCTCTGCTTCTACCTTGCCCATGAGGCCTAGCCTGACGCTGTTTTCTGGGAACCTGGGATGCGCTGGATCCTACGCTGCCCGCCACTATTGACCGCTGAAGACGCGTGGCGTCTCGTCTAGACATGCCTCTGGGCATCCTGATAGGTGACAACGCCCGTGGTGCTGACTCAAAATATCTCCTTGTGTAGAGTAATTGAGTCTGCTGACGGACGTTCCGTGTGATGGTGCTTATTCCAACTCTCTTTCTGCGTAGCATTTGGGGCGTCCTGTTCGGCTGTGTGAACAATTAAGGGCCGGTCACACGTCAGCGAATTGGTTTTTCTGTCAACTAAACATTAGGCAGCAGGGAGAATCAGAACCTTGATCGAAATAGGACTGGATTATCCGATGAACCGGCCAGGCCCGAGAAAACCAGACAGCGAGGCGTATGGACTCAGTTATCGTTGTCTGGAGCATGATCATTGTGCGTATATACGCCAGAACGGCCCAATAACAACAAGCTGGTACCTGCATCTCCACCAGTCCAGATCTGGGTCAGATAGGATGAGAACTCCGAGATCAACATTCAAGCCCGTCAGCTTTGATACCTTCTAATTTAGTATTGGGTTCGTAGGTGTCTTACATCCCATTTGAGACACCAGATTGGCACTTGAAGGCTTGTGCATGACAGCACGTTGTGTCAAGACATCGCCCCACGGGGCGTCGATTGTCTTGAGAGTCGATCATGAGACTCTCGGTTTCATTTCATAATTACTTCTGTCAATAGAAACCTACCAATCATCATCGGCACAGGGATCTTCACTGTTATTGCGATGAGCCGTGGATACCAAGTTTCATTAGAAAAGAAGAAGAAAAAAAAAGTGATAGAAATGTGCTGGGTTCTGCCTGTAAGGATATCTGGTCAAAACGAATAATGTAGATCAGTGCTATGGAACGCCTCAATAGTGTGTCTTCCGGGCTACGAAGGAGGGTGTCAAGTCTCCTTATTTCCCCTTCCAGGCTGACAGAAGCGAGCCCACGGCGTCGCGTTGTGCACGTGGGTTGGCTAGCGTGCCTCTTGAAACAGGCGAGTAGAAGAAACATTGTGGACGTAGAAGCTAAACTTATTGCCTATGCTAATCAGTATGGAGGAAGCAGAATCATCATATGACAACGAAGTGAGTGTGGAGCTTTTGCCATTGTTGCGAGATTTTTGCGTGGATGGTTAGACCGTTCGGATGCTTTGAACTATCGTCGTCGCAATTTTGAGCCGCAAAATGCTCAAATCTACGGAGGGAATGGTTTATCAGCCTACAACGGCCGAATGTCTCAAGGCCATCATAGGGGTAACGTCATACACGAGTGTTTGGACGTCAAAGTGCCCTCCTCGTCGAATGTTGCAAGCCGTTTGATTTGGGCATGGGGCTGGACAGTTCTTTGGGTATTACTTCTTTGGGGTTTATTACTAAGCCATGATCTTACTTTGGTTGTTCTGTGATAATGCCGTCATGGCCGTATTTACACTTTTCGGGAATGAAGCTGTGAGTCTGGCGAGTTTGTTCCATCCAGAGGTGATATTGAGCTTGATATTCCAACAATTATTGAACTGAGTTCGCAGTGCCCAATGGGTACAACGAATGTGAAGATGCACATGTTCAAATGTATAATATGATGTTCTACAAAAGTATAATTCAGATACCAGTGATAGTATGGTCAATTTCTATGTACAATTATCAATCTAAGCTCTAGAGGGAAAAACAAACACCGGGCGTATGCGTCTATGTCAACTTTTGAAAGGAAACCCCTAAAGATCCAGATCTAAAGGCAGTGAGGTGAGGAATGCAGAAATCAGAGACAAAAGAAAAGGTGTCAAGGAAAGCTGCGCTGAGGAAATTGACGCTGGCGGACAGCCTTTGCTGCCTGAGAGGGGCCACATGCATGCAAGAAAACCATAACAAACACTCTAGCTGTCAAAAATAGGCCCATAAGCCCTGACGCCTCTCCTCTCCAGATCGAACACCAGCTTTTTTGTCATGACGCCGTTGCTGATGATACAGACAGCCTCGGCATTCGTTTCTTCGTAAAGCCGCATGATGGATGGCACCATGTCTACCCGCCCGGAAACGTTTGTATCAATCACCAGTGGGTCCGAGTCCAACCGATGAACGAGGTCCATGGTTCGCTGCCCATAGGTCTTCAGAGGAGACCTGGTCTGCCAGATCACTCTCATCGAGGGCCTGTTATCGTCGTCGATCAGCGCAACACATGGCCCGATCCCTGATCCCGTAGCCACGACGATGATCCGGCTGAACAGACGCATGACATAGGCAAAGCCAGAGGTGGGAATGCCGCGCACCCAGATCTTGGTCGGCTGGTCTGCGATGACGGACGACGTCCAATCACCTGCCTTGGAAACGAGACAGGAGAACTTCGTGTTTGGCGAGTCGAACCGATCTGGGATGACCGCAAAGCTGTGCCAGTCGCGCAGCGGGTGCCTGGACATGGAGATGGCCTGGCCGTACACTATCGAGGAGTAGTTCAGATGAAGGCGCACCACGTGGGTCGAGAGGGCCTCCGGGATGACATTGACTTTTCGTAGCATTGTCCACGGGTGGATAATTGCTAGCGTGGTAATAGTCTGGAACCAGAACGCTGGGTGTGAGACCAAAAATAGTCCCATAGACGGCTTTTCCTGCGAGGCAAATACGAGGAGAAGAGCCCAGAACAAGGCGAGAATTGTCCATGCACCGAAACGATGCGTGAACTCAAACATATCGTGATACTTCTCTCGGAACCGTGGGTGGGTGACCATGATGACAGCCAACAGGGTGCACAGGATGAGGCAGGAAAGGACAAGGATGGCGATATCTGCAGCACTCGGGGTCGTCGTCGAGGCGAACTGGAAGCAGTACACGACAAAGAACGCAATGTACCAGACAAGTGAAGCAACACCACAACCGCTGTGGACGCCTCCTAGGTGGAAGATCTTGCAGGCGAGATGACGAAGGCGTATTGGGGTCGAGTTCGGAATGAGGCAGAAGACGTAGAAGAGCGAGTTGACGACCAGGGGCTGCCGCGCAAGCCCACAGACAGTAACGTTGGCCGCACATGCTGTGAGCAAGTCGATCACGTGGAGACCACGCCTCGCAATCACGATGAGGGCAATGATATTCCCAAGGAACACAAGGGTGAATAGTCGTCGGTATGTATCCAGGAGTTTGTAGCGGAGAGCCGAATAGACCATGGGCTTGAGCTCCTCGCCCTTTTGGTCTTCAAGATCGATGGAATCCATATCGATCTGCCTGACGGTAGGACCAGCCTTTGGGGGTGTTTGTGTTTGGTTTATCATGATGAATCTTTGGGCGTGCAATTCGGAGACGAAGTTATAGGAAGGAGAGTTGCCGAGCTGTCAATGGAACAGAAGTGGTTGTTTGGGCGAACAACACAGACTGCCATGATTGAAGTGGTGGGAGAAGTGAATATAAAAACAAAACAACCAACCTCATGTTGACAACGGTCCTGTCCTGTCCCAGTGTAGAATTTGATTTTGATTTTCAAATTGCATCCCTGTGTCAAGATCCTGTCAACTTTGAACCCTTGCGTAAACAAATCCGCCACCGACACATGCTCATGCATATAGCCTTGCATGCTTCCTGAACACCAGAAGCTTAGGCTGAGACACGGCTGGAGCATGCTGGGGCCAGCTAGACCACAATCGGAGCCTCCAACCAGCCTATTAAGAGGGCTGAGCTGCATTCTCGGCCCCGTCCACGGCGTCACTTGGTCCTATGCCTGACCGGACAGCCTCACTAAAGGCATCCGAATCTTCCTTGGCGTTACTCCTTAGTCGATGCATCTTCCGTCGCGTAACTACCCGTCAGGAAAAGCACGCCTTTTTCTCCAGTACATGTCTTAAGCTCAGAACGGAGCTGCGGAGCTTCCGACCTCATCATAAATGACAGTGTTTGGGCGGCAGGGTCCTGACTGCGAAGGCTGAGCGTCGTTATCGGATCAATCATAATTTTGTTTTTGGTTGCTGCTTACTGGAAGACATATACTACACGATGCTTGGTCTAGCCTTTTGGTTTGTTCTGTCAGCCAAACAAGTACCTATCAACACACTTCTCCTATTTCCAGCGAGTACGTACCTCAGGATCCGAACTACATAACCAATCGTGAGGAAGATTTAAGGTACAATGCTTGTAGCGGAGGGGCAGGGGTTACAAGCTGTGAGCTCTGGAGCACGTGGCAAAGACAAAGATACGAGTCGCAAGAACTGATACGAATAATTATGAAAAGAAAAGAATTGGAATTCCAGACATGAAAGTGCACAATAAATGCTTCCTGTGGACCCCAATAAGGCGACTTCCTTCTCCGAGAGCTATTCCATGCACATAAGCACCGCCCAGATGCATCTCACCTGCCCGGAGGGACCAGTCATCCACCCTTACTTCGAGGATGATATATTACGTGCGGTCGTTGCCAAGCTGATGGGGCGTTGGTCTTCCCGAAGGAGTGCTTTGCTGAGGCTCAAGGAATGGTCTGGTACGGTGTGACCAAGAAACGTGGTCTGCGTTGCACGAGAAGCAACGCCGCGTTGGCAGTGGGTTTATCGGCACGACGACTATGTACTTACTCTTGTACCTGCATATGCATATACCAGATCATGCCTGACACATCGATCCAACTGGTCGCATCATCACATCCACAATTTGCGTCTTGATGCATCAGACCACTGGTCAAATCCGACGTTTCGTTTGTTTTGTGCGTAAACAAATTTGACTGCACGAGCAAAGATGAAAGGATACCCGACCTGCACGCATGGATATCACTCCCCCTCTCTTTTGCGCAACAATACCTGTGAGAAATCCTGTCGTATACTCGGGCTGAGACGTGTACAGTGCTCCAAGATCGACACAAGATATGCCCAATTGAATCACAAAGCTCTGAGGGAAGGCAAGTTGAAAAGTGCCAAGCTTCGTTGTCTCCTACGGGGGCCAGGGTCTGGACTCTCGGATTGCCGAACCCAGTAACATTCTACAATCGTATATCAAATTCTGGACCCTGGGGGACAAAATGTGGCATCTCTCTCCTCCTCCTTGTCCTCCTCCTTCTTCTACACCTCTATTCGGTACTTTGGGGTTTTGGTGGATTTTCTTTGTGAGATCTCGGAGATTACTTGCAGCGCTTCCAGTCTGTAAGTAAGCAAAGGGGAGCCAATGTACCTGTTGTTTGCGATTACGGCATATGATCCTTCGTCTAGTGTACACGCTCTGGACCCTCTCAGTCGACACTTTCTGGCAAATAGTCAGCGTCCATCAAAGGCGAGAGCGGCCACCCACAGCCTCCTTACATACAACACACATGGGGGCTGTATGTGGCGTCGGGCATGTTACGATGAAAAACGGTGACTCGCATAAGATCCCGACTGACAGACCCGTGGACGCCGGGCCCGAGGGCGCGCCAAGAGCCAACTCACCATCCTCCCGCACAAGGCCGGACCCTTCTAGTCAGGAGGATTCTAACATGGTAATTGAAAATTGCCTTCGCGTTGGACGAATTGCATGGACCCTTTTGCATGCAGTCAGGGACCCTGCATGCCAGTATTACTACGGCAGAGCCTAGATCTGGAGGGAACAAATACCAGGCGGATTGTCTGAGTCATCTGGACCCTTGAACTTGGTAGAAATCTAGAACATTGGGATTCTGGAATTCCGAGCATGCAATTCGAGGCTTTGAAACGACACGTGGGCCCTTGTTTCTGATCCTCTACTATTTTCTGCTGGCGGTTGGATGAGCAAATCGGTCGTCCAGCTCCGCCCAAGGCGGCCTTTCGGGAGGCCGACCAGAAGGGAAAACTCAAATCAGGTTTCTTGTCTTCTTGTTTTACCATCACAACAATACGCCAGGATGGCTTCCTAGACCGGAAAAGGAAACGAAGGGCAAGTCGACCCAGGCCCGGAGGAACCATTCACGGCCTTCAAAAGACCTCCAATGCGCAAATTTGGCCGACTGACATCTGTTTTGCAGGCCAATTGATGGAAGGCGCAAGATTACTGAGAAATGATGACAAAAAAGCACTATATTGCATACACTTAGGATCTTCTCGCTAATGACTTATCAGGCGCCAGCTGGTATAGCTGATGAGGACTCATGCATGGCCACTTTCTCCTGCGCCGCGCTTGCACTTTTGTTAGCCGCAAAGTTGTTCCGCATAGCATTAGCAATGAACTGCCGGCCCGTAATCTCCGGGTACTTTTTCTTGGGGCCCTGGATGAGGGTATCCTTGCTCGGCTGGTTGAAGAAGGCGATGCTGAAGCGCTCGCCGTAGTAGTCTCCGGGCTCACACGGCGCCTTGACACGGTGGAATGTAGACTTGAAACGGTCGTCAGACCAGCTCATGAGCATGTCGCCAATGTTGCAGATGATAGCACCCGGCTCGATGTTGACTCTTGTCCAAGTATCGCCCAGGGCAAACTTGGTCACCGCCTCACGGCCTGGGCAGATCTCCAGCCCGGTCTGACCCTCTTGCTGGAAGAGCAGAGTGAGGAGACCCCAGTCTGCGTGTGCTCCCGCTCTGTGGTAGATTTTCCCATCGTTGACCTCCGGAGTAGCAAAGTAATGCAGGAGACGCATGACATTCTGACACGTCGGGTCGGATGGATTGTGCGACTGGAGGAAGTAGTCGTCTGGAAAGCCGAGACCCCGGGCAAGACAGACCATGAGCTTGTTGGAGACCTCCTGGACACGGTGCATGAAGCGCAGGCAGTCTTCTCGGAAGCCTGGAAGGTGGCGATCGCTCATCCACATGCTGCTCTCGCCAGAAGAGCCCTTACCGCCAGTAAGCATGTTCTCGCCGAACTGCAGCTGGTACGACTCCTTCATATCGGCGGCACCAGTCGAGGGCCGAACCTGAGAGTTCTTTTCCCAGCCTACATTCTGCGGGTTCCATGGCACCGTGGCCTTTATCTCGTCTGGCAGCGCGAAGAAGCTCTCTGATGTGGCGAAGATACCCTTGATCTCCTCTGGCGTGAGGCCATGGTCGATGACGGAGAAGAAGCCGACGTTTTCAGCCGCGGTGCAGATCTCGACAGTGATCTCGTCGATCCTGTCATCAAAGTCGCGAAGGGAGATCTGGAAGATACGGTCAGCTTGGGTTGCAAGATCCAGATAAGGGAAGACCGCGAAAGGGATGTTTCGCTGCGACAGTCACGTCTTCTCTTGCTTACCTTGGGGATCTGGCGATCCATATAGGTGGTGGCCATGGCCGATTGCTTGAACTGTGGAATCTTGTGATGCTCTCTGCTGAGCCCTAAAGCAAATGAGGTTGTAAAAAGGCGTTGGAAATATGTCAGCATGAGGCCAGCTGGAAGCCCTTTGCGGGGATGTGGCTGACCTTTTGAATATTGATAAGCTGCCACTCAGCTGGGCGTAGTGATGCCGAGTCGGCCATCTCCGATGATATCCAAGATACACACGTTTGCTGGCAGGGGTTTCCCGTGGCAATACTTGACTTCCATAATACCTCTGAAACAAATACGCAACTTTTTTGCAGTTTCTTATCTTTAGCATCCGATTGATCAACTGTTAGTCTATTCATTATAAGCGGAAACGACCGAGAGGAGTTGGTTGTTATCTTTCTGCGTGACGTATTGGTGTCCCGCCCGAGCGACTCGATGGTGGCATCACTCCGAAGACAGCCGCTGTCAAAGCCCATTTCAGATTCTGATATCAGTACCGATAATTGAAGAGTCTCAGGCAACTGCTGAGCACGCAACATGTCACACGAAGATTTGCATGTGGACCATGAAAATTGGTGTAATAGTACGTGGATGACCACATGAACGGCGAGAGCGAAGAGATGGATCTCTCCGCAGTCAGGTTCACGTGCGTGACAACTTTGAAGAATAGTTGATTATATGAATTGGCCAACGCTGAATGCTTTAATTGGAGGTTCACATGGTGATTTAAAAATGATGGTATAGGAATACCCTTGACTTGATGCAGTACTTTGTTGCCAATTTTTGACTGATTGTGTCCGGCAAAGCCCAATGCAAAGGATCTTGCACCGTCCAATGAACAATTACATTCGATGCTGCTGTAATTAAGTAGTCTTGGTGGGAAGTTGTCAAGCCGTCTCCGCTTCTGCGACTTGGTTATGTTGATCGTTCGGTCATCGGTATCAGTGATGATTATGAGCAACAGTCGAGGCTACCTGCTGTTTACTCATTGACTTAATTCTGCTCCTTTCTGGCCTCCTTGACAGATCTGCATCGGATATTAGAAGGCGCATGGTGCCTTGATGCTATCAACCTTCCTGTTTAGCTGCCTTTTCGCACTGGCAAATTGGACGAGGAAGGTGACCGGACAGTGTTTCGTTCACGTAACCCAGCTTGCAGCGGTGACTTGTTGTTTCAAACCGTTGTGCCTTAGCAAAGCTATATTATTAAATGGCAGATTAATGCCTTGTGCTATGTCATATTATGTTCCTATTGGATGGGGCTTCTCTCTCAACTGAACATTGATCTTTTTGGGAATCGCTTCGTCTTCTCCCACTTCCTATTTACTACAAGTAATTACTCTTCAATCTGCTATAGCATCTCCGCACGAGAGACTGACAAGCCAAGATAATTTTAAATTTTAGACTCTTGCCGAGGACATGGAGGGCAGTCAGGCATGATGTGCTTCGTATCGAACTGGTGCTTTGTCACCTAAGCTGGTGGGGTTTAATAGTTAATACCAGGTTCTCGGACTTGTACTGCCATGGTACATGTGATAACACAGCAAATAAGCTTTTCCAGGCCCGTTACGAGATATGCTCTCATTTCTCATGATGCTTTCTTCCCCTCCTAAATTAAGTTCGATTTGATTCTGTGTCTTGGACTCTTGCTATGTCGCTCGCATTTCCCTCTTCCCCTTGAGCTTGGCAAGGGAGCGAAGGGGGTCACGGTGGCTGCGGGGCTTCTGTCTGCAGTGGTTATTAGGGCTTAAAGGCTTGTCCCACCACCGCTGGGACGATCACTACACGCAAATGTGGGCTGGTTGTCTCCGGGCCCTTACATCACCTTCCATTTACAGCGTAGCACAACCTGTTTCTAATCGCCCGTGGCAATCTTAGACGGAGGTAGCAACGCATCAGCAGCGAGCACCTACTTACCCAGACAGGGCCGTTGCGCCATATCACGACACGGAGACATCGTCTTACCGCAGGAGAGAAGGGTGTACGTACTGCGTGCCGAGCTTCTCTCGGTGTTCAGGTCCGTTGCTCCTCCTTGCAAAAGTACTACCTGTTCCAGTCATAGCCCCTCGCCTCTTTCTTGCCGTTGCATGTCGAATGGTGTCAGTGCCACCCCTGGTGAGTTCACTCCTCTCTCTCTCTGTGCATTCTTATAAATCTGCCGTGCATTTCTTCCCCTCCTTTTCTTTGGGGTCTTGAGCCATTTAAGTGGTTGCCTCTGAACCCCTCCGGTCACTATCGTGAGAAGATCACCTGCGACTGTTATCTTCAAACATGGCGTGGAAGAGCATTGTTGCCGCCCTTTTGGGACTTGGTGCTGCCGATGCCCTGCGAACAAAGTTCACCGTTAGCCAGCTCCAAGCGATAGCGGACAGCGCTGCGGTGCGGGAACGCGGGTATAATCGAGGTCTCACTGGGGGACTGCAGTCTCGTGATGTCGACCCGAGTCTGTTGTATCCGGCCTACAATCTCAGTGTGCCTATTGATCACTTTCACAATGATTCGATATACGAACCTCATGTATGTGTGCCTTTATCTCTTGTGTCTCCGATTCATCGCTTTGTTTTTTTGTTTTTTTCTTTCTTTTTCCAACATGTTCATGCTTTGTTCTGCTTTGCTGACCAGGAACTTAGACCAATGGCACCTTCAATCTGAGATACTGGTTCGATGCAAGCCACTACCAAGAGGGCGGGCCTGTCATTGTCCTCCAAAGTGGTGAGGATAGTGGTGTCGACCGCTTGCCGTATCTTCAAAAGGGCATTGTGTCCATTCTCGCCAATGCCACTGGTGGACTGGGCGTCATTCTGGAGCATCGCTACTATGGAACGAGTTTCCCCACCCCGGATCTCAGCACGGAGAATCTGCGGTTCCTGACGACCGACCAAGCCCTGGCAGACATGGCGTATTTTGCAAAGCATGTCCAGTTCGAGGGGCTGGAGGACTTTGATCTCTCGCCGTCCAGCGTGCCGTACATTGCATACGGAGGAAGCTATGCGGGTGCTTTTGTTGCCTTCCTGCGCAAGCTGTACCCAGACATCTACTGGGGCGCCGTCTCGAGTTCTGGCGTGACAGAGGCCATCTACGACTACTGGCAGTACTACGAGGCGGCCCAGCTGTTTGCCCCTGGGGACTGCGCCACCAACACACAGAAGCTCACCAATGTCGTCGACAACATCCTCATCGGCAAGAACGGGACGGACTATGTGCAGCAGCTCAAGGACGTCTTTGGGCTCGGCAACGTGACGCGCAGCGATGACTTTGCCGATGCCATCTCGGGCGGGATTGCTGGGCTGCAGAACACCAACTGGGACCCAGCCGTGAACGACACGACATACGGCACCTACTGCAACGCCTTGAGCAGCACCACCCTGCTGTACAACAACACCGCCTCCAAGCAGAGCGAGGTGGTTGCGTTACTCCAGGCTGCCGGGTACGGCAACGAGACGGCAGCGCTCACGGGCCCGCTGCTCAACTACATCGGCTTCGTGAACGATGAGGTCGTCAGCCCGTGCGCCGAGGAGGGCGTGACGCAGGACGAGTGCCTGACCAACTACAACTCGACCTTCTACGAGCTCGATGACATCAGCCAGACCTGGCGATCCTGGCCGTACCAGTACTGCTTCGAATGGGGCTACCTCCAGACGGGCTCGGGCGTGCCCAAGGACCAGCTGCCGCTCATCTCGCGTCTGCTCAACCTCGAGTTCGAGTCGGTCATATGTAAGGAGGCCTTCAACATCACGACCCCCTCAAAAATTGAGCGCATCAACCAGTGGGGCGGGTTCAACATTTCATACCCGCGCCTTGCCATCATTGGCGGGGAGCATGACCCCTGGCGCCAGGCAACACCGCTTGCCATTGGACTGCCCGAGAGGAACTCGACGACGGACGAGCCTGTCCACCTGATCCCAGACGCGGTGCACCACTGGGACGAGAACGGCCTGTTCCCCAACGAGACGACAGCCACCCTCCCACCGGCAACGATCAAGGATGTCCACGCAGACGAGGTCCAGTTTGTCAAGGCCTGGGTGGAAGAATGGAAGCAGGCCAAGAGTACGGGTGCATAAAATGAGACGAGGGCTCTTTTATGGCTTAGGGATGTGTGTACTAACCAATTTGCAGGTTTGATGAGTGATGAAGTGGGAGTGCAGGAGGAGAAGCAGAAGCTGCTGTTGGAATTGTAGGCGAAAGGCAGACAATCGACAATGCCTAGCAGCAATCTGCATCTGTTCCGGTTTCGAAACCGTCTTCCTGTACAAGAGACTGGGAACACAGTCCTTTCTTTCTTGGTCAATCTCAACAAGCAGAAAAGTTTAGGTTGGATGAATAATAATTTTGGTGATACACTTTGCTTCTGTTCTTTTTGGTGGGTTTATAGAGGTCCCCCTCCCCCTGTAAGGGGTGACGTCTTACTGTAAGGCACCCCCCTGTGTGCCAAAGTACTGTGCGCCCTGGGAGGAGGTCCCCTGGGCCTGGCGTGTGCCCAAGCAGGCCTAGCCATTACTGGAGGTATGGTGGGGGGCGGCAGCGAGGGGCCTGCCTCTTAGCGTGATTTGGCAGGTAGTCTAGTGGTCCAAGCTCTCCCCCAAAGTCCCAAACCTTGCTCAGTCAAGGCGCGACTCAGCTTTGGCTTGAGGACGCGATAGACCATTCAGACCTGCAAGCAAAAATCGAAGTCCCCAATCCTAGACATCAACTACTCTCTCATCCAACAATCACTCCCCGTCTTCACGACTCTCGTATCATTTCTTGGGGCTTATTTACTGTCTCTCTTTCACCCCTTTTTAGTCTTGATGCCATTGAGTAATTAATTGACGACACCCCATCTCGAAGGTCTTCCTAGGCGATCCAAGGCCAACAGCCCTGGTTGCCGGCCCTCCTCCCTTCTGACGAACCTGAATCCTCCCCAACAGATCATCGTCCACAACCTCCCTCGCCAGCCCTATCAAACACTTTTCAATACTGTTCTCTCATATGCGAATATGGCGGCCACGAAGGAAGAGCCGCAGGCTTTCTTCTCAACCTACGCGCCCCGTCTGCGCACCTACGCCAACACACTCTTGACGCCTGTCCTGCCGTCCTCCCAACCGACCAACCCCCTCGCTCGCACCACCAAGCGAGGTACTACGATCATCAACTATGCAGAAGATGGCTATGATATAGAAGACTCGGACTCGGACGATAGACGGCGGCCCACCGGTCTGCGCAGTTTGCGACGCGAGGACAGCTCCATCAAGATTGACCCCAGCGACAAGGTCAACAAGGAGACAACAGAACCCGTGGAGATGCAGGGCATATACCGCGAGTGGATGAACAAGTCGAAGCAGGGCCTCGCCGACATGCAGGGCTATGCGCAGTCGTGCCTGCCTTTGACCCTGATCCCGATCCGCATCGACCTCGACATTCCAGCCTTCATTCCTCAGCCGCCGCATCCTCTCCCGCCCCAGGGCGCGCTCGGCGTCGACTACAACGCGCCGCAGTACAGGATGGGCGAGATGACGCTGCCCTACAGGCTCAAGGACACGTTCTTGTGGAATCTTCACGAGACCCTCATCACGACAGATCAGTTCGCCGCGACGCTCGTGCAAGACCTCGACCTCCCTCCCTCCCACCGACAGCAGTTCATCACCGAGATCAGCAAGCAGATTCGCACGCAGCTGGAAGAGTACGCAGGCGTCGCCCTGCACCCTCTATTCCATTCTCACACGTCCTCGGCCGAACCACAGCGACAATCTGGGACGAGTATACCGGCGACCCCGCAACCGGCAGCGCTGGGCGCCCACGGCGCCGACACCCCAGTGCGAAGCGGTCTGTCCCACCTCCCAGCGACGCCCTCGAGGCTTTCCATCTCGACGTCCGGCCCGACTGCATCATCATCTGCTGCGCCAGCCCAGCAGGGCGCTACAGCTGAAGTGGCGGCGACTGCAGAGCATGTCTCAGCCGACGACGCGGACGAACTGAATCCTGACGACACGTACCGCTGCATCATTAACCTCACCATCAACATGGGAAATCAGCTCTACTCGGACAAGTTCGAATGGTCCCTGCTACATCCCCCTGGGACGGCCGAGGTTTTCTCCAAGCAGACGTGCGCCGACCTTGGCCTCACGGGCGAATGGGTCCCAGCCATGACGCATGCCATCTATGAGGCGGTCTTGCGGCTAAAGAAAGAGGCGTGCGAATCCGGCGGCGTGATTTCGGGGTGGGTAGGTGCCACGGCGCTGAACGCGTCCGACTTCCCTAACGATGCGGCGATCACGTCACATGGCGAGCGCGCGGGCTGGCGGTACGATCCAGAACACCTCGCCGATGATTGGGAGCCCAAGATTGAGATGCTCAGCAAGGAGGAGATCGAGAAGCGAGAAGGCGACCGCGAGCGGCAGATCAGGCGGCTGCGCAGGGAGACGGCACGATTCTCGAGCAACACAGGCATGGTAGGCGGCGTGCCCTCGGGCTTCGGCTTTGCTGGTCTGATCGAGCAGGAGGAGGAGCGAATGGGCCGTGGCGAGCGGAGCAAAAAGAAGAAGCGCTTCAGGAGCCTGTCGCCACTGGCGAGGGCGGGCACGCCCGGCGGCGGCGGCAGATTCACGCCTGATGTTGGAGGTGGATATGGCGGTGGCGGGGCGCTTGCAGAACATGAGCGCTTCACCTGGCGGTGTTCTCATTGTGAGATTTGGGGGACGTGTGTCTGGGCCGTCCGCGACGGGCCCCGTGGACCGAGGGTAAGTCCTCTCTTCTTTTCACCTACCTTTTTGACAGGGTCATCATCTTCACCCCTTCATCTGAAATGACCAAGCTAACATGGCCATAAAGTCATTATGCAATAATTGCGGCTTCATATACGAACGAGATCGCAAGCTTCCGAGATGGACCAAGGCCCTGCACTCAAAGGACCTACGGCCAGTGTAGACAAAGGAACCGGAGAGAGACCTATTCAGGCGTTTGGTGGCTATAATTGATGATATGATATCTGGTGGGTTAGGCTGACCTTGATTTTCAAAAGTTGCTTCTGAGGCTGAAGGAGTAGTCTCTGGTCTTTGTACGATCAAGGTGCTCTTGTATCATACACATTTTCTGCTGCTCTTGAAGTTGTGCCCTTTTTATTCTACCATCGGGAATGGCCCACACATGTCCTTTTTGTTGGCAAACTAGACATCTTTTCAAGTCTTGAACAGAAGGTACAGAGATGGCAGCAATGACAGTTTAATCAATTTACAATACCCTTCCTATCTGGATAATACTTATTTTTGTCCAACATCATGATGATGACGTTGATGGGGTTCGAAGAAGCAGCCAAGTGTCTGCCCTCGGGCAGGTTGTCTAGGGGACAAGTATCACACGACGAGCATCACTTGTGGGCAAGGAAAAGCAGGACACTTCTAAGTTCATGATCTCATTAATTACGTAGGATTGATCCAGGCTCAGCCTTGCATCGTCTGGCCCTTGCTTCCTTACCAACCAAACATCTCCGAGTAGAGATAAACCTCCTTGGCACCAGGGCCCGACTTCAATATCCTCATCTCGGCCGCAGCAGCCTCGTCCCGCACGGCCGCCAGCACCGACGACGGTCCACAGACAGCCATGCCCACCGACCCAGTCTCCTCCAAGGTAAAATCTCGCACGACGGCCGCCAGGTCGGGTCGTCCCGTAAAAGTCTTGAAGCCAAGGCTCGTCGCTGGTGTCTTCTGGGAGGAGGATGTCGATGATGATGATGCCAGGGGCTCGACCTTTTCGTCGTCCTCTGACGAGGAGGGCGGTGTTCTCCTGCCGGCCTCGGCGTCACTCTCTGTATCCTCAGGGTCGTCGGTCTCCGAGGTCTGGTACACCTTGATCTCGAGAGCACCCTCGGGCATCTCCAGGTTCTGGGACTCGAGGAACTCGGAGAGCGCCGCCTCGTACCACTGCAATATCCTGGTGTCGCGCGTAACAATGACAATGGTCATCTTCCTGGGCGCCTTGGGCGCCGCCACCACCTCCTTCACCCCTTTCTCGCCGCCGCTGCCGCCAACAGCAGCAGCAAAGTCCCGCGCAGCAGCAGCAGTAGCAGCAGCACTGATCCACTCCATAGCAAAGGGCAGCGAGAACCCTGCCCCAGAGCCACAGGCCACGACCAGGGCGCGGTCATAGGCCGTCAGCGGCTTGCCGTGCAGCCCCCCATACGCGCCCTCCATCAGCACAGGGAGCGTGGCCACGGCGCCGCCCGCACCGCGCGCCGCAGCGATGGCAGCCAGACGGCCTGTGAACCCGCCGCGGGGCTTGACGTAGAAGGTCATGACGGAGCGGGGGGCGCCGACGAGGCGGTCGTGGTCGGGCAGGCTGCAGATGGTAAAGGGGTGGGCGGTGAGGGCGTGGTGGGTGCCCAGGGTCAGGAAGCGGAGGAACATGTGCTGGCCTGGGCGCCAGAGGGTTAAGGGTCCTACGGGGATGTCGACGCGCAGGCAGCGTGGGGAGAGGCGGGTGATGGTTGCGCGGTTGTGGAAGCCGTGGTCGAAGTAGGTCTTCATCTGGGAGTAGCACCAGGAGAGGGCGTAGAGGACGCCGGCTACGATGAAGTAGTCACTGCCGAATGATGTTAGGAAAGCCGGTGGAATGTTTGTGTGGGTGAGAGAGATAGAGACAGAGATGAAGACATGAGAAGAGGAAGGAGGGGGGGGGGGGGGGGGAGAGAGGACATACGCTGAGGAGAGGGTGAAGCCGCAGTGGATGAAGAAGAAGACCATAAAGACGATGGCCATGAAGTAGTGTGTGGCCTTGAAGAACTCGTAGCAGGCGTTTCTGTAAAAAAGAGATTCATCATCACATCAAACATGTCAGTTACTCCCATCATTTTCTCGTTCCCACCCTGGGGTTCAACATGAAGAGGCAAAGACTGACCTGATCCACGGCACAGACATAAAGGTAAGATAGGCCTGCGGCACAATAGCAGCCACGCCAGTCCAGTACGAAAAGTTGGTGGTCCACTGCATTGTCATCATGCCCTCTTTGTAATTATACACGATAAAAGGGAACGTGTGCAGCAGGGCCAGGACGAGAACAGCCCACGCCAGCCATGCGTGGAAGACCATGAGCTTCTCATGGCTGACGCCCGACAGCGTCGCAATCACGTTAGCCTTGGCCGCAAACAGGATGATGAAGGGTGTCGCGCCGAGGGCCAGCCAGCCGCTGCGTGTCGCCAAGGGGGGCGAGTCGCCAAAGGCAGCCGTGGTGGGCCAGTAGTAGGGTCTGGGCCCGAGGGTCATGGCCGTGAAGAAGAGGAAGCCCACGGCCAGGAGGAACATGACCCCCACCGTGGGCGTCTGCCACCGGCCGAACACTTCATAGCGACGGTAGGCTGCGAAGCGGAAGATGGCTACCAGCTTCTGCCACCATGCGCGCGTCCTGATGCCGAGGGGGGTGTGCTTGAGGGCGAGGAAGCCGCCGGTGCAGAGGAAGATGGTGATGAGGAAGAAGTAGACCGTCCCACGGGCGTAGACGTAGTCGGCTATGTACCTGAAAAGAGAGGAAAAGAGGAAGGGAATTGGTGTGTCAGCAAAGAGGTTCACGGATATTCACTGAGAAGTAAATTGTTGATCATCTAGAAAGAACCTACCAGTTCCTCCAGGTGTAGCTCATGTATGCACATTGTTCTGGTGTCAGAGCGCACTCGCCTGGGTCGCGATACATGTGCAGCATAAGCGGATAATACAACCACGGCACACCCATCTTGGCGACAGTATCTGACAGTGAGAACCGAAAGAGGGAAATATGACTGATGGGAAGAGCTGAAGGATGTGATATTACTCCATTCAGAAACGGATGTGGGGGCAAGGTTTTGGTTCACCAAGGTCTCGCCTTGGTCAATGTAATACCTTCTTTTTTTTCTTCTTCTTTCCTTTGTGCTAGATTGCCATGATACCAAAGGGACAAAAGACAGAAGAGAGAAGAGAGAAGAGAGAAGAAAACAAGAGATGGTCAATTGTGTCGATCGAAGAGACACAGCTCGAGCCCTTTTCTTCTTCTTTTCCTTTACCTTTACCCTACTCTGCCCCTCTATCTCTCTCCTATTGTCTCCAGAAGTGCCCCCCTCCATCCCACAGAGCAAGTTTTGGTACGGATTCCCTCACTAACCTGCGCAAGATTTCAACGGTCCAACTCGCCACGGCACACGGCAGTGGGGGAATAGTCGGGCGTACCAAACCTTCCCGTCAGGAAAAGCCCTCTGATTGGACAGCCCAGACTGGGGCCGTCCCACTGTGTTCCACCGGTAGCCTGAGCACGTTTCGTCAACCGTGCATCTTCTGTTGAGCAAGTTTATGCAGGGATGTTGCATCTTACATGGGCAAAAGACGCACGAATCGGATATATGCCATATATGCTCGTAGTAACGTATAATACATTTATCATATCTTGCCCCCCGCAGCTCTCGTACATGTTTCCTCTGTTTTCTCTGGTAGGCCTGTGCTTTGATACAGCAAAACTTCGCCGTTGAGGTGTTATTCTGGCTACTAGGATGGCTTGTAACCCTCGAGGATGATATGCTTATGTGAATCGTGATGACATCAACATCAACCCAACCTCCCTTATCGTGTCGTGAGAACTTGCTCAAGAGATGCCCCACCAACTGCAATACGTTACTCCTTGCCGACAGCACATGAGTTGATGCGAGTATTGCCAGAGCCTTTTCTTCCCTGAAGCAAACAATCCTCGTCGAACTAATAACCCATAAATTCTTGAGACTGGATAGCTAGACTGAAAGTTTTATTACTAAGAAGATGGCGGCCTGTATTCGCTGTGGCACTCATTATGAGCTGCTACCTGACCTCTCGACCTGACCAAATGCTTAGATCCACATACTTGTTCTTTGCCTTTCTCTTATGTTTGGTCTCTTATGTTTCAAAAACACACAAGTTTAAACTTTGGCTTATAAGTTGCGCATAAGTAAGGAGTCACGTGTTTCGTCTACAGGTTTTAATAAGGAAGGTTTCAGTTGGTGAATGATTGGTCACGTCTAACAGATGATCTAAATTGTTGCTCCAACCTGGCCCAGTTCAGCTTGTCCATTACATGGACTCCACTACTAAGGATTCTCTTTAAGGCTTTTACCACCGCAAATGTGTGTGGTAATTGCTACATAACTGCACACTCAAGTCTTCCTGTGGGAATCTTTAGAATGCTTTCATATCTTTCCTCCAGAAGCTTTGAATCTTCTCTCTCTCTCTCCCTATTGCCCAATTACTTGATTTCGATGAATTCAACGGCAACAGTGGTTGGGGGTGCTTGTCACAGAAGCGATCACCAGTGTCTATCAAGAACAACTCATCATATCTTTTTAGGAACGACTCAACCCCATCGAACTTCTTGGGGGCACTGCAGCATACAGTTGCAGTGTCATTGATGCCGCAATCATGGGTCCAGACGTTTCAAAAAGGAGAAGCCGAGGAGCCTCAGAGGCAGAATTAGGAGACCACTACAAGCAGCGATGCATTGGCTACACAAATCACTTCGAGAAAGATGATACCTAGAACAAAGATTTCCAAGCCGCACCTGCCCTGAATTCTTCAACCGCATGGATATATAGTCAGACGGCTTTCTCCTCCTTCTCTTTCATACATATGTCTTTCTGTCCGTAGCGTACATCCCACGCGATGAGAGCAGAAGCGCCCTTCGTGTCAAGATTCATGCATCGCAATCAAGGTGTTGAGCACAACTTCAGACCAATCAAGACCATCATTTCTAATTTTCTCAGCACTGCGCCAACAAAAAGACGAGTTTGAACTATGGCTCTGGACAAAGTGGTAGTAGAATCGTCAGGGCTAAGCTAACAACTGTGCTACAGTTGTAGAGGGCAAAGATTGTTCATGAACGGTCGTTGCAACTCCTGCCCACACATGTGCAATTGCTAAAGCTCATGCTGGGTCCTGGTTCATCGCGACTTGTCAAAGGCGGCAAGAACAGCAACGCCCGCGGCCTACCTAGGTAGTACAGGTCACAGCTACCAGATCTTGCATGCCTGCTCGAGTCTTCTGGCGACGAGGAACAAGACCACGTCTTGACATCACAACGGCACAGATCTCGGAAGTCTAAGATGCTCACCACAGTCACAGATGACAATATGTGGCAATAACAATAGAATATTACCTTGCCCTGGTAGTTATTGAGAAATAGAGACGCTGCGAGAGGAGAAAATGTAGGAGGAATAGTTACATTTCAAGGCCTAGTTCACGACTGAGGTATTTAGCCTTCGGATATTCGAGCTTGGAAGCTCTGGAGGCTCTGGAGATTGCGTGTCAGTCCCCTTTCTTGCTCAGCCTGCTATTGCATCTGCGATCTCCAAGCGTCCTGGTTCTATAGAAGGAAAAAAGGATTTGCAGAACAGCTGCTCAGCTGGGACTGGAAGTGAGCTTGAAAATGGAGAGGTGTAAGAGGACATGAATTTGAGAGAGGTAAGATTAAGCGCAACAAAGCTACGGCAAAATCTCTTGTTTAGTCTGCATTGACGAGAACAGCAACTGATTCAGATCGGTGAGAAAGTATGGCTCTTTAAAACAAGAAGATCTGCTCAAGCCTTGTACCACATTCAATGTCAAATATGCCGATCAAAAAACGCCTCCTGTGCAGAGAATTTCCCTTTTCTTCCCAGCAAAATTCCCCATGGCTCTGCCCGGGTCGATGTCTATTTGTAGGCAAGCACCCCTTGCTCACATAGTAGATGCCTTCCGCCACGATCTTCGGGTTTTAAATGCCACTGAAGCGGAGTGCATATTTCCGCCCACAAAAAGAGCCCCTCGTCGAAGCGGCACTTTCCGGAGGAACAAGAGCCCAGTGATCCCCTGAAGTGCGTCAAGGAAATGGTAGAAGGATGCAAGGAATGGACCTTAGCGCCGGTCGTACGTGTGTATTGCTGGTCGTCATCCACGATTATACCGAGGCATTTGATGTGGACCCGTATAGGAAGTGAGTCGACCTCATCCGATCCCATGATATTTCTTGTCGTCTCCCTTCTGGATGTCAGTCCACTTGAGAAGGTGATCATCACGAGGTTAATACATTTCAAGAAAGTTGTCTTACATATAAATATACAAATTCTTTGCCCATGAATTAATCCATCATCATTGTACCCAATACTCTTCTCGCAGTTTTGATTTCATTAGGCGGCTTACGCAATGTCATCCTCACAGGACACAGAGGTGGAGGCTACCGCCCACGACTGGATAAGAAAGTTCTCAGACTTCTCAGAGAAAAGAGCCGGGTCGATCGACTCTTCTGAGGCTGGAGATGTTGTGGTACGTCTCATGCAATGACATGCTGCAGACCTTCTATTGCGGGAATTGGCCACACGAGTGACCCATGTAGCTGACGCCCTTGATGAAACTGTGACAGCTTCTTACAGGCTCTACCGGCGTGATCGGTTGTCACATCGTGCATTCTCTCATCCAACGGCCTACTGTGGACCGAGTTTATTGTCTCATCAGATCGAAGCAATCAAGTCCTGTTTCACAGCGCCTAGACGACGTTCTAATCAAGAACCACCTCATCGAGGATCTTAGCCTTGAGCAACGCAAAAAGATCATAGCCATTCCTTACGATCTGTATAGCCGCGAGAGGATGGACCTCTCGCAGAATGACTACGAGACACTCCGAAGATCAGTCACGGTGATCATTCACAACGCGTGGGCTGTTAATTTCAACATGAAATTTCCGAGTTTCGAACCGCACTGCAGGGGAACCTTTGATCTCATCAACCTGGCCCTGCAGTCGGAGTTGAAGACAAAACCTGCCTTTGTCTTCATCTCGACTGTCGGTGCAATCTTCAAAGCAGAACCAAAGCCGATCCGCGAGAAACTGTACGGCTTCGAGGCCGCAACGAACGGAACCAACTACGCCCTGTCGAAGTGGACCACAGAACAGATCTGCTCTGCCGCTGCGAAGGCCGGCCTGCCGGTGAGCATCGTGAGACTAGGTCAGATCTGCGGTGACACAAAATACGGCATGTGGAACGCGAAGGAAGCCCAGCCGCAGATCATCGCAGCCGCATGCACGATCGGTGCCGTTCCAGCCGCCAAGAACCACGACGACGGGCACAGCTGGCTGCCATCGGATGTGACCGGGGCGGCGGTCGCCGACATTGCCCTTCTGGACCACGTCGACAGTGCCACAAAAGCCCTGATCCCGTCACTCGCGGTGTACCACGTTGCGAACGCCAAAACAGTCCTCTGGAAAGCTGACGTCCTCCCTGCACTGAGGCGCCACGGCCTCACCTTTGAAACCATCTCGTGGCCTGAGTGGGTGGATCGTCTTGAGGCTGACCCGAATGTACTTCGGAACCCGCCGTATCGCCTGATCAAGTTCTATAGAGTGATGGCTTCTGGGAGGACGGACGATGTCCAGGAAAAAGCGTCCCCCGCGCTGATGATGGACATGACGAATGCGAGCAAGGTCTCGCCCCGGCTTGCTGGGGGCATTGAAATAGACGAAGCGTTGGTTGGTAAGTTCTTGCGATTCTGGAAGAGCCAGCCTGGCTGGGCTGGGCAGGTGTATCCAGCAAAGCTGTGAGGCTAGAGGTGGAAGAGCTGTCATATTTTTAGAGGCAAGATGCAACTAGATTTATGTAGATACCATTCCATTAACCATCAACTAGCAGTCTTTTTTTCCCTTTCTTTTTTCATTTCTTTTAGAGCAACAGGGGCATTATTGCATTGCAGTGGATTATGGTCTTCTGTGTGATATCATGTAATTAAATCTATCTTGGTGAACTCTTCACTCAGTTGATAATTAGATTCTCTGTGCTGTTGTGCCATCTGTGACAATCGGCATCTAAAATACCGTGTCCGTGATATTAACACTGACATCTTGGGTCTTGCACCCAGAAGATGGAAAGCCTGTCGCATTCATATCACTGAGAACGCTCTGCAGAAATGACAATGCCGCGGGCCTCCCGTTGATCTCTTCTGCTGCATGCCCTCCGATGGTGTTCCTGTTGTATAGGATGTTTGCTCCGACTGAAAGGTGAGATGTGTTAGCATTATTCCATGATTTTTCTCGGACTATTCCAGCAGTTTAGTGGTGCAAGAAAAATGCCAGGGCTAAACTCACCATTGCAATACCGCTCCATCAAAACATCTGTGTCGTTCACAATGCTCACTTCATCTGCAATAGCCTTGTAGGCGAAGATGGGCATCTGCGGGACGCCATGATACCCCATCTGGCCCTCAACATTGGCGACGCTGAGCGCGAGAGGGCCCAGCAGATCAGAGATGCCACCCACGAAATAATCCGTGATATTCTGAAACGCAAAGGCCTCGACCGCCTGCGAGTTGGTGTAGTTCTCAGCAGCCAGAAAGCCAGTCGCGTTGTAAGGGCCCGTGGTCTTGAGCTTGGAGACCAGGAATTGCCGGAGCTCCGGGTACTGGCTAGACAGGCCCAAGAAAGACGACGGGCCCAGGCCTGCGTCTATCTGCCCATTGATCGAGTCCAGGACGCTCGACACGTTGGGGGTGAGACCGCCGAGGGCGGCGCCGCTGAAGTTCAGCTCCGGCGCATATTGGACCTGCAGCTCGGCAGCCCACTCGCTAGCCAGCGCACCGCCCGAGTAGCCCCACATGGCAGAGCGAGTGTCTGGGAGCAGGCCGAGGCCGTTGCTTGCGTTTGCATTGAGGATCGCGCGGACGGAGTCGAGGGTGGCGTGTCCAGACTGGACGCCGGCGGTGAATGATGCCAGCGGGCCCTCGTAGTCTGGGACGCTGACGAACCAACCCAGAGACAGGGCTGTGCTGACATCTTGCATCCAGGATGCGCCGTCGGTGCTGTAGAGGGCATAGCTGGGACTCGCGTCTAGGTAGGCCGAGTCGTACGGAACCTGGTAGGACAAAAGGGCTGGACTTGGGCTGGCTGGTACGAAGATGGTGGTCACTGCATAGTCCGCATTGTAACGACTGTTGGTCGTCCGGTATACGATATTGTAGGCTGCTGAGCAGTTCGACCCAGCCAAGGTAGTGAGATTTCCGACCGCCTCACGTATGCGCAAGACTGTCCCGGGACTAGACGTTTCGAAACCTTCTGTTGGGCTATAAAATGGATCTTGCGTTGGTGGAATTGGTGTGGCGAGATCTATGTTATTGATATTAACAGCTCTTGTCCGCATTTGTATGCTCGGCAGGGCGAGGGCCTGCATAGGCGCACATGTTGATATCAACAAGAGCAAGATGCGTGAGGCCATTTTCTTTTGTTAAAGAAAGCAACCACTGAGAGAGAACAAAGGTAAAAGTTGTAAAGTCTTACACAAAATTTCTAGACGAACTATCTAATTACTCGAGGCTATGATCTATCCTATAAGTACTTTTCAAATGTTCTTTCTTGTCGGTGTGCTCCGAGGATCCCTTCTTCTTCGTGTGTAAGTTCCTTGCTAGCTCTCGGTGTGGGCATGCTGAAGATCCATCTTGGGCTTTACTTCCAAGTTTGTACACCTGGTCCTGTTAGGGGCGAGTAGAGCGGGGATGGCACTAGTGATGACGCCAATAGCCATCACAAGACCTCAGTTCCGAGTACTAAGACTTTAGAGATGGCCCGAGGAGTATGCATTGCATACTAAGTGTTTATACCGAGGCAAGTAGAGTCGTATTCGTACATCCTTGACATTATGCTCTGATTGGATCGGTTGTATCCGAACTTTCCCATCTGCATGTTGTATTTGGTAGTACATTTATCAGAATATATATTAGTTGAAGTGTAAAGCACAACTTTATCTTCCCTCTTCGTGACAAATGCTGTGGAGTAGTCTTACGGCTGAAAAGAGACAGCCATCTGCATATGTCGTGTCACTGCATAATTGTAACCGTACTTCCTTTTTAGGTTTCGGCCAGGCGGAACGCAAAATTCCCTGTAATTGGCGAACGGGAAGTCTTCGCCGGTTCCAGAGAGCGAAACGGTAAGTATCTCAGAGGCCTTTTCTCATAATCTTATACTGTGTTTCCTCCTTAAGTAAGGCGATTGGGGCTACCAAACATAACCCACCTGCAGGTGAGAATCACTACACTTTTGCCCTTCATCCAGCTACAACATATTCAAAATCTGAGTGGTCATTGACAACTCATAATTAGGATCGTTCTCTTCTGAAAATACCCTCGTCTTTTCTTCGTCTGTGTCTCGCAGGATTCTGGTCGGAAGCCCGTTCATATTGGCTCAAGTACGAACAAGTCGGTTGCATGTAGGCTGCAGCAAAAGCAGGCAAGTGGCGGCGCCTCCACCACTATCGAACGATCGTGACTATATAAGTCATTTCAACAGTCTTACTGTCACAAAGGCCGTGCACGTAGTTCAGTGGTCGAGGTGGTTAGCTCCAAATCCCACTGTTTTATAAGATACAGTCCCCTGGCTGCAATAGCCACTATAGGCAGCTGTATGTTCATATCCTAGCCTCTGGGGGCCTTTGATTCATTTTTTGTACTTTTTTCAAATAGTCAGTAACGTTGTCATTATCATTTTGAACAATGTATCTATTTTTAATGGACGAGTCTCGCGGTGGTGACACGGGTGCCGTCGACCCGAGGGACGTCAAGAATTTCCGCAACTTCGTGTTCGATCTTGTCTTTGACCGCCCTCCTACTGCCCGGCCCGCCATGGAGATAGACTCCCGTTTCTAGGCAATTCGGGACGTCCTCACGGGGCTGGCGAGATGTTTTCTCCACGGAGAGACGTGCTTCTCCAAGAAGTACGGTCCTCGCACGATCGATACCTGGGCACACCGCGCTGCATCGCGCATGATGCAGTATCGCGGGTGGGCGGCACGTCTAGATGGGGAAAATGACCAACTAGTCAACCCCGTGACAGGCGCGGCCGATGTAATCCCTCTTCCTCGAGGCGGTGGTAAGTACATCTCCCATCTACAACGCCTGCACACCCTTGTTCCGCTCGAACACAATGATACTGACCACGCTTCTACAGAGGCCTATCAATTGTTCCTTTTTTACAAAGAGGAACTCAAACAAGCCTATGGGCCCGCGCTGATGCCGGGGCAGATCATAGCCCCGATCGCGCCACTCAGGTCGATCCTGAAGCGCCGCTTCAGCGAGATGGATGAGGAGAAGGAGCTGGGTCGAGAGAAGGAAGAAGACAACAAAGAAGAAGAGAAGGAGGAGGAGGAGGAGGAGGAGGGAGAGCAGCCGACAAGCAAGGCCCGCTCGAGGAAGAGGGGGCCGATACCCAAGACAAAGAAGAGAAGTGTGCGTTGGGCGGCCGATCTTGTGGAACGCCGGGTCATCCCGAGACGGAACAAACCTCCTCCTCCTAAGAAATGAGAGTCTGAGGCTGAAAGACGGAGTTCGTCTACTGTTTTTTCCCCTCTTCTCCTTCTACTTCTACCTTTGTTGTCTTTCCCTTGTACCAAATGGATATTGTTGTTTACCAGCCCAAGCTTGAGCTTACAGATAATAAGTCCCAGTCTCGTGACGTTTGCGAGAAATGATTAGATGACATCGAACAGCATTATATTGCACTGACCTGGACATAAATAGGACCGACCATTCAGGAGCCTAGGCTCAGGAATTAAGAACGAACATGTGTTCACATGAATCAAGAACAGCCCGTGCTGTAATATGCGTTGCTGGGACGAGAAGCTGGAGTCAATGGAGGTGAGTCTGAGAACTCATTTCTTCTGTCTCTTACGATGCTGATTTTCATGGTATGTGTATGAACATCAACACTTGAATATTTTACTCGAAAGTTTTAAAATGGAAACGGTGAACCGATGAACCCAGTGATTAACACATGCTGACCAGAACCCTGCATTTCGTATATTTTCGTCCGTAAAACTTTTCACGTGTGTCCTTGAATCTTTTTCGGCTCGTACAGCTCCTCCAGGTACTTCTCCTCTTCCTCAGTCAGGACCTTGCCCCGCGCCGACACAGCCTGGTCAATCCTCTCCACCTTGCTGAACCCAATGATGGGACTGGCAACTCGTTTGTTGATCCACGCCAGAGCCACATGAGCCATGGGCCACCCCTTCTTGTCAGCGATCTCGATGACCCTCTTGATGATGGTCAGGTCGGGCTCCACCGTGCCGTGGCTGCCCGGGCTGCTCTGCTTTTCGCCCTCGGACCGGGGCGTGCTGCCAAACTCAGACGGCGGGCGGGCGAGGTGGCCACGGCACAGAGGCGCCCAGGGGATCAGCCCGACCCCCGTGGCGTTACAGAAGCGGTTCATCTCACGCTCTTCCTCGCGGTAGAGGAGGTTGTAGTGGTTCTGCATGGAGATGAACTTGGTCCAGCCGTTCTTCTCGGCAGTGAACTGCATCTGGGCGAACTGGAAGGCCCACATGCTCGACGCGCCGATGTAGCGGACCTTGCCGGATCTTACAAGGTCGTGCAGCGCCTCCATGGTCTCCTCGATGGGGATTGTGTCGTCGAAGCGATGGATCTGCAGCAGGTCGATGTACGGCGTGTCCAGGCGCTTGAGGGATGCCTCGACCTGGTTGAAGATGGCTAGACGGCCCAGGCCAAAGTGGTTTTGATAGTCCTTGGAGAGCTGGAAGGAGTCTCTCTGTACGACGTAGCGGCCCTCTGGGTCCTCCGAGACGGCACCGTAGCACTTGGTCATGATGACTAGCTTGTGACGCGGGAGCTCATACTTCTTGATGGCCTTGCCGATGATCTCCTCGCTGACACCGTTCGAGTAAACGTTGGCCGTGTCCCAAGTTGTGAGGCCCTTGTCGTAGGCAGCTTTCAGAAGAGGGAGAGCCTGAGGAGGTGCGGCGTCAGCAGGAGATGAGTAGGGTAGAGCAAAGCTTGTGGATACTCGAAAGCTTCGAGGAGGCAATAAGGATAAGTGGGACTAGGATAGTAGAAATTTACCTCGTCTTCGCCGATGGCCCACGGCAAAGTTCTCGGATCGCCAAAGCTCATGCATCCAAAGATCGGGACGGAAATGCGAAGGCCACTCTTTCCAAGCTGCCGAAATTCACAGAGAGAATTGGCCAGGCTCTCCTTGAGCTTTGGCGGCAGTGATTGGTCCGTCATGATGATGAATCAGAGGGGGCTTTGTATAAATAGAAATAGAAATGGTGATGGTCTTGAGATGACGGCACACCAGCGAATTGTTGCAAAGCAGAAGATCACTGCTTGTCGTAAAGTTGAGGGGCAAGTGAGTGTTTTGTGAGAGCGGGGTTGAAGGTCCTATGCATTGGATATAAATATGGTCGTCAATTCTCCCGTCACACAACCCAAATGGTATCGCCGCCGGCATTAATGGTCGGCGTTTAGAGCACAACCAAAAGGCGTTTAGAGCACAACCAAAAAGAAGCTCGGGATGGCAAGTCCGAGCCGGAAATGGCGTCATCACTGTCGAGCGATCAGCGCGTGGACTGCCGCTTTTTGCACATTGTTGTCTCGATTTCTCATCAAGTACCAGGCGGCCGAAGTAAGAACTGCTGTTCGAGTGCTTACCTAACGAGCGAAATCAGCACTTTTGTAGGTTGGTGAGACCGGATAGATTTGACAAAGAGGGCTCGAGCTTTCCTGGACGGGCTCCAGCTTCGCCTATCTGCGTCAGGTTTTATTCTTATTTAAAGCCGAACAACCAATCATGAGAGAAATTCACATGCCAAAGGGTGTTGTTTTTATCGACCTGCTTCCATAAACAATTTACTTAGATGAGCTGTGACCACTAGCGGCGGTGCGGCGACATGAGCCACAATATCTTGATAGTAGTTACACTTGGCGAACATATAAACCCATCTATAGAATGATCAAGGGCCTTGTAGTCAGTGACCGATGGCTCATTCAGACTTCTTGTTACATGCAAATGTTCTCACCAGAAGCTGTAGGTTCGAAATAGAAGTGTTATGTACTCGGGACATGAGGTTCTAAAATGATCAATATAAATAAAAGCCCTCTGGGCACAGCAGATGTGTACCCCAAGGTCAAAGTATGGAGGTTCTCAGAAGGTTCAGACATGTAACGAGAAATCTATTCAAGGATGATGAGGGTCGATTGTGACCAACTTGAGACCCATGAGGGTTTTACTCGCTAATCCCGTCCATATTTGCACATCTCTCACCAATCATCATGCAATTATCTTCCTCCTCCGTAAGACATGCCTTTCTCTCCCACCGCGGGCCCATACTGCGCATCCTCCCTCCGCCTCCGCCTCGCATCCCACAGCGCACACCCCGTCTCAGCAAGCTGTACGATAAAGAACGGGATCAGATTGTACTCCCACCCCTTGGCGATCTTAAGATGGCTCCGGATCGCTCCGAGGTTCACATCGCCCGGAACAAGGTCTAGCTCAAGCAGTGCCTGGAACCAACCCTGTGGCGTCCACTCCAGCAGCGGGTACTTGCTCCCCGCGCTCATACCACGAAGCAGACTGGCATCGATGTGCTGGCCAGCGTGCGCATTCGTCACGGCGAAGACATACGCCAGCGCGCCCAGCGTGAGCAGCAGCGCGGGCACGTTGAGGGCGAGCCAGAGGCGGTACAAGATCCGGCTGAAGAGTCCTGTCGGGGTCGAGGCATAGTAGCCTGGACGGCTGCGCAGGAGCAGCGCGAGGCTGCCTGCGAGGGCGATCACGATGAGCCCTGTCCCTGCAGCACCATTGGAAGTGTGGCCCTGATTCACGGAGAGGTTGGCTGGGAGACTGGGGACATTGACGGGTTCGCTGGTGCCTGCGGTGTTGGTCGCGATGAGGTCCTGCTTGCTGATTTGGACGAGATAGGCGACGGTGGCGGAGATGAAGGCCAGCTCGATCGCGGAGGCAATAGCCACGAGGCCGAGAGTGATTTTTAGATAGATTAAGGCTGATGACATGTTGAAGGTAAAAGAGAGACACAGAAAAAAATAGTGGTGGAAGGAGAAGAACTTTCTCCCGGCACGGTGGTGAAAATGACTCTCAGGAAGTAATAGTAGTCTTCATGTAATTATAAAGGCGCTCTGAAAAGGCGAATGAGAAGAGAAGTTGAAAGAAGCCATGAAGGGAAGAAGGCGGGATAAGGTGCCAACGAAGGGGGGGGGGGGGTTTCGTCGGTCTCGGGACCCGGATGAGAAGTCATATTTCTATTAAGGAGGGTAAGATGCTGAGTATTGTTGCTCCTTCGCCATGGACTAGGCTGAGCCGAAAATACCAACAAGCCAATACAAGAGAGGACGATAGTCTCTGGAATCCAGCCAGACAAATGTAACAAAGTACCGAGACCGTACAGTAGTGCTGACCCAACCAAAGCTGCCCACCGTTGACACCAGCCTGGATGTTGTGCTGCGCCCCCAAAGTGAGCTGAACCTTCTTGATATGCTGCAAGTGGTGGTGGAGTGGCAAATGTAACTTACAGTCCTGCTCTTCCCACACACACCACAAGTCATGTTCTCTGTCTGTGGTGTCGCGACGATCATTGTGCTGCAACATGGCCGCACCTAGTTCCAATGACCATGAAATTTAGTTTGTCTTGTCACAGTATCTTCACAAAGATTGGGGTGCGATGTGGCTGTTTGTTCATCTTGGTACTGTTCCTTTGATCTCCATTTAGGTTTAGGCCAGTCTTTGAACAAAAAAATAATAATAGAATAACAATTGATACCGTATGGAAAATGACAAAGGCCCTCGAAAAATCTGTGCGGGCATTTATCGACGGCGGATAAGACAAAGTTTGTGTGCATTTAGCAGGCTAAGATCATTTTGCTCAAAGTAGAACGATCGGGCGCACGATACCCGTGGCGGGCCTGGATTCCTTGAGCTGTAGCTAAGAGGGGAAAGGAGGGGAGGGTGCAGCGGATGTTGCTACACATCGGGCCTTGCCTGCAGCAGCATGTGATGTTTTCATGCACAGCACCCTGGGGCTGCAGCCGTTCATCCCAACTCCGTCCCAACCTCCGATCGGGCGCGGTGAGCGTTGCTGGACCGACAACCTAATTTTATCTGCGTGGCTTGACTGATGGCATCTTTTGAGTTCTTCTTCCGTCGATCGATGCATCTTGATGACAGGGCTCATGTTGAAGCCTGGGTTGGGGGAAAGGAAGAAAAAGAGGGTGGGGGAGGGCCAAACAGCACCTCCTTTACCGAGCCCTCAAGCGTACAGGGCTGAGATCGCAGTAGTGGCATCTGATGAGATGTGATTAGTGTAGCCAAGAAGCAATAGTACCAAGTGTAAGCAAATCGACAAATGCTGGCCCCCTCTGACCTCTTCCTCAGGGCAGCCAGGGCAGACTTTGGGGGCATGTAATTGACTTCTGAAGTCACATGCGGAAACAAGCTCTTTTGGGATGTGTTTCCTGTGAAGATCCAATGCGCAGACTGTTTGAATCACTCCAAGCCCCACTATCTGCTGGTCAATAATTGCCCACTAGCCCTCTTCAGCGTCCATATGATCGCGACTGCGTTTGACGTTTCTCGGCCGCCCTTTGAGCACCGCGCCCTTCTTTCCTCTGTCCTGGTGGAGATTCTTCATTTCGATCCTCGCCTCTCTCTGTGCCTCCTCAACACGCGTTTTGAAGACAAAGACCTCTTCTTTGTCTGTGGGGTATTCCTTCTGCTCCTCTCCTAGTGCCGCCTCTATCCTCTGGAAGATCTCAACGTCGTACTAAATCACTTGTCAGTAGCCCGTGTGGAGGTTGCACAGTAGTCGGCGTCCGGAGGTCTCACCTGTGTTACAATGTTGAGAGCGCGCCCGCTCTTGCCTGCACGGGCTGTCCGTCCCACGCGGTGCACGTACGTCTTACTATTACCGGGCAAATCATAGTTCACAACAAGCTGTCTAGTGTCAGTAACGTGGGGGCAGAAGAAATGAAGAAGAAAAAGACAACTAGGGTCTCAGGTCAGCTTACATCGACATTGGGGATGTCGAGACCGCGGGCCGCAACATCTGTCGCCACAAGAATGTCGCGGCTTCCAGCCTTGAACTTGTTCAACGCGCCCAGCCGGTTCGACTGGCTGAGCTGTCCGTGCAAGGGAATAGCACCCAGTCCAAGGGACCGGAGAAGGATGGCGAGGCGCTGCGTGTCGTTGACGGTCCTGGTGAAGATGACGCAGGACTGACCGCGAAACTCGTTCGCCAAGAACCAGACGAGGTAGGTATCCTTGTGAACAAGAGGAATAAAGATGTAATTCTGTATCAACGTCTTGACAGTCTGGTATTTGCTGGCTTTGACGCTGATTCGGACCGGGTCGCGAAGGGATGCCCGCTGCAAGCTCTCAACCTTGGAACTCATTGTCGCACTGAAAAGAAAAGTGTTTCGGTCTCGCGGGAGGAATTTGAGGATTTTCTGGCGCCCTGTTAGCCATGTCGTAACATTGAACCATTCTCTTTAATAATGCTCACCTCAATGACTGGCCCGAACTCAAGCTCCAGCAGTCTGTCTGCCTCATCAAGAACCAAGTATTTCAAGGCACGGAGACTGAATCCCTTGGTACGTTCGAAGTGGTCTAATATGCGACCAGGTGTCGCGACAACGACGTGTGGCTTCTTAGCCAGTGCGATCTGTTGCGGCGTGAAGTCCATTCCTCCCACAATCGTGCAGACTCGTAGAGATATTATGGCTCCAAGCGCCTCAAATGTCTTGCCGATTTGGAAGGCCAGTTCACGGGTCGGGGCGAGGACGAGGGAAAACAAGGGCTGTGGCTTGTCGAGGAGGGCCTGCAGGATGGGCAGTGCGAAGGCTGCTGTCTTTCCAGAACCAGTCTCTGCGAGACCGACAATGTCCCTGCCTTGGAGTGCGATTGGTATAGACTCGGCTTGGATCTGTGTCGGTCGGTCGTATTTGAGCGTTGCGCATGCTTCGGCTAAGGTGTCCACGATGCCCTGTCACATCTTGTTAGAGAATGCCACGGAGCAATACCTCGAGGGAAGCACCATACCAGATCCTTGAAAGTCTTCTGCACCTCCTCGACGGCGTCCTCTGCCTGTCCATGTTCTGAGCCGCTATCATTGCTAGACGCTGATGCTTCTTCTGCTTCTGCTTCCTCCACAAGCTCTGGCTTGGCCTTGAACTTAGCTTTTGATGGCGAAGGGGGCCCTCCAGAGCCATGTGAGGTTTTTTGCCGTTTTACCACCTTGTCGCTCATCTTGCTAGTCAGGATCGAAGGTGTTGATTGACTGATGTTTGTTCTTGTCCAGGAAGAGAGATCAAAACCAAGACCCACAACAGACGGGGTGAACTTTTTGGTGGAGTCTTTTCAAGCCCCTCCGAAATTCCGTGTTAGGCTGGCCCGTTCCCTTCTGCAGGAGCAGTACAAGGGTGCTTATCGCCCTACAGATCGCCTGGCTTATCGCGGGCCCACCTTAAATTTTCAAAAGGGACTGACACAAACTTTAGATGCTAACGCTGAGTGCAAACACCATTGAGACCTCAACTTTCAGGAAACTTTGAAGAAGGTCCAATTTCTCCCTCTATCTTTTGTCTCTCTTCCCACACTCTCATCCACACCTGAAGTTACAGCAACAACAACCATGGCGAAACGACGCACAAAGAAGCGCACCCATGCAGCCGCCAACCCAAACAGCAAGTCGGGCGTGGCGCCTGGCCCAGGGAAGCTGGATCCGAACAACCCCAAGAGCATGGTGATCCGCATTGGCGCAGGCGAGGTCGGCTCAAGCATCTCACAGCTGGCTACCGACGTGCGCAGGGTCATGGAGCCGGGCACGGCGAGTAGGCTCAAGGAGAGGAAGGCGAACAGGCTCCGTGACTACGTGACCATGTGCGGGCCCCTCGGCGTCACACACCTGCTGTTGTTCTCAAGGAGCGAGACAGGCAACACGAACCTCAGGGTCTGCACCACTCCGCAAGGCCCAACGCTGCATTTCCGAGTCGAGAAGTACTCGCTCGCCAAGGACGTGAGACGGGCGCAAAGGCACCCCAAGGGAGGTGGCAAGGAGTACATCACTCCGCCCTTGGTATGTCTCCCCCACTACTCTTTACGCTTTTCACTGGAGGCGCAATGAAGTTACTGACTGTGCTGCAGCTTGTCATGAACCAGATGACCAGTGAACCCGGCAAGGCCTCCGAGAACGTCCCGCGCCACCTCGAAACTCTCGTTTCCTCCGTCTTCCACGGCCTCTTCCCCCCAATCAACCCGCAGGTTGCTCCCCTAAAATCTATCCGCCGCGTCCTCCTTCTCAACCGAGAACGGTCCTCGAAAAATGACGGCTCTTATGTTTTGAACTTCCGGCACTACGCCATCACGACCAAAGTAACGGGTGTTTCAAAAGCCGTCAAGAGGCTGAATGCGGCAGAGAGGCTGATGAACAGCAAGAGTAGGAAGGGGAAGCTGCCCAACTTGAGCAAGCTACAGGACATTGCCGACTATATGATCGGTGGTGAGAACGGCGAGGGATATACGACGGATGGCACGAGCGGGAGTGAGGCCGACACGGACGCCGAGGTTGAGGTTATGGATGTCGCAGGAAGGAAAAAGGTTGCGCCCAGGGGACGCCCTGCTCCCGCTGAGGAGGAGGGCAGCGACGACGACGAGGGAACGGAAGCAAATGGCCATGATAAGGTGGAAAGACGGGCTGTGAAACTCGTCGAGCTGGGCCCGCGCATGAAGTTGCGGCTGACCAAGGTTGAGGACGGCATGTGTGCCGGCAAGGTCATGTGGCACGAATACATCCACAAGTCGAAGGAGGAGATCCGAGAGCTAGAGAAGCTGTGGGAGAAGAGGCGGCAGGAGAAGGAGGTGAGGAGGCAACAGCAGCGAGAGAATGTGGAAAAGAAGAAGGCCGCGAAGAAGGCGAAGAAGGGCACCAAGGATGGCGAGGCATCTGATGAAGACGAGGATGAGATGGATCTCGACGATCTCGGCAGTGATGCCTACGACTACATGGACGAGAACGAATTCGACAGCGAGGGTTTGGAGGGAGACGCCGAGGCCAAGACAAACGAGGAAGCAGATGAAAATGGGGAATGGTCCGACGAGGAAGAACAAATAGCTGACCATCGATAGTCGTCTAACCTTTAACAGGCTCGTTTCACGAGGTCACAAAGCTGATGAATTCAATCAAATTATATACCCCTGGGATGTGCTACCTCTACGTTTTTATCACCCGACATTACGTTCTGGCTTCATTCACCACCTTCTCTGTGCAAGTCCGAGAGTTCTCGTGACCCATGAGAGGGGAAACCACAGATGCACCTGTAGCCTCTTGCGCAAGATTGGAGGTCGTCTTCCGAGGTCTCAGTGTATCCAAAAATCCGAGCACCAAAGCAATAACAGCGAGGAAGAGACACAAGGATGCAGACGAAAAGATCACCCGTCTTGCGCTATTGTCTGTACCAGTGATGTCAGATGAGTATCATACCAAAGCATCTATTATTCTTTGAGAGTTTGGGGGGAGGGGATTAGCGCGACTTACCCTCAGCCGTGATGCCTAGAGCGAGTATGACGAACAAGAACAGGGGGACCTTCATCAGCCCGTACAGGCCTGTTCGACTCCTGTCGTCGACTACCAAGCCGCGTATGTACGCCATGCTAGGTATGTATGCGCCATTTGCAACCTCGAACACCAAGAAAGTGCAGAACTGTGCAACCTCGCCCCTCAACGCGCTCAGGCTGAGCAGACTCAGACTGGCGATGATTACGGCGCTGATGAGCAGACAGACGGGCGACCTAGCAGCGCTGGCTCCAGCCTCTCGAAAGAGGTTCGATCCAGAGTATGCGCTGAAGAGCAGCGCTCCGAGGATCATGGCGGCCATGAAGGAGGCGAACACGACGCCGTAGGGGACGTCGTGGAGCTGGGGTGTGTATATCTCCCCTGCTATGTCAAGTGCCTCGTTGTGGGCGTCCTGGAGGACGCTGGGCCAGAAGAACACCACCAGGAAGTTGGTTCCTTCGAAGCAGCAGGTCACCAGAGCCAGAGCCCAGAGGCGACCATCTTGAGGAATGTCTGTCAGCATCCGAACGGAGAAGAAAACCATGTTGTTTATATGAAGGGGAAAGAAAGCGGGAGAAGAAATGGGCTCACCACCAATACGCCCACGTCCAGTCATCTCTGGAGTTGAATTCACTCCATCATCTCTCTCCTCAATCTTTACACCATAATTTTCATTCTGCGCTGTATTGTTAGCAGTGCTATTCTGCACACGAGGAGAAGGGAGCTCACCATTGTTTTCAGCATCAAGACCGCCGCAATGCCTTCCATGACCTATTGTCAATTGTTAGCCGCATGCATCCAACCCACTCAAACCTTAGAAGGTTGAAGGACTCACGATTCCGACGCCAAAAGGCCACACCTTGGACCCAAGTATAGAGACCATGCAATGTCCTACCACCCCACCGACGATAGCAGTCATACAGTTCGCCGTTGTCATGAGCCCAAACATGCGGCTCATCTCTCCCCCGCCACTCTCCCCCTCACCATTGAGCTCCCTAGCATTCCACTCCGTCACCATCCAACTCTCGAACACAGTCCACAACAGGGTGAGCGCTGTGCCCGCCAGGACGCGCCCCAGGAAGAGAACAGGAAGACTGTCCCCACCAAAAATGACAGTCAGACACGCTACGGAGTGGATAACACACTCGGCGAGGCAGGCCTTGCGTCGCCCGTAGCGGTCGGCGAGGAATCCCGTGACCAGGGCGGAGACAGCGGCGGAGGTGTAGGCCGTGGCGTAGAGTGCGCAGACGGTGGATTCGGGGAGGCCGCGGTCGTCGCGGAGCAGCGGGTACAGGTAAGGTCCGGAGAGCCACTCCGAGGACATTACCAGAAGATAAATAGGGAGGAAGGTTTTGTGAAATTGGGCGATTTCATGATGCTTCGAGAGCTGGGTGGGTGGTGATATTGTGGATAGACCTGTTGTCTTCTCGTCCGTGGAGAGGAGGGAACTGGTCGGGTCCAGTTTTTCGCCGAGCCGCTGGGCAGGCTCCTGCTGTTCGGGGCGTCCCCATAGTCTGATGATGAATGTGAGGGCTTTGAGGAACAAGTTGCGTCCAAGGAGAAGGATAACAGTTGGAAGGAGGGTCAGAAAAGTAATCCAGTAGATGTCGAGCTCCATATTGTCGTTGAGCAAAAGGGTGGTCAAGATAGAGAGTTGGCATAATGTCCAAAACAGAGAAGCAGATACCACACACAGTACACAGATGGGCGAATGTCTCTTCTTTATGACAGCATGAATCAATATTATTGCTGTTGTGGTGTCTCCCTTGTGGGAAGGCTAGGGCGGCATTCCTGTCCGGACTGGCATGTCTCAAATGTGATTGCGCAACGATCTGAAGATCAGCCGCTCGGCCAACATCATCCCTGAAGATGAAAGCTTCTTTGGTGTGCTCATTACATTCCAGCTAGATAAAAAAGTACTCACATGTTGTCATCCCTCCGCTACACTGCTTTGCAACTGCAATGTTTACATTGAAACAAAAGGGAAGAGAAGAAAACAAAGGAAACACGGGAACAAGAAGTCAAGCCCGGGCCCAAGAGTCAACACTCTAGAACCTGCCCACTTGCTTCAAACAGACTCTTTGTTCAAATCCGAAAGCGAAGTGCTTATGCGTCCACTCTCATCCTCCATCTCGGAGTCCTTGGCAATGAACAAGTCATTGAGGGATCTCTTCAACTAGGAGCCACCTGAAGTGTTCCCGGAAAAATTGTGCTGATATCTGGGGGGATCTCTTGTACCGTTACCAGAATACCTTGATCAAGAAAATTCTTGAGAACCTCTTCACCCACCAAGATACCCTTCAATGTACTCGTCTTGGTTTTCTGGAGTACAGTGACCTCAGCTTTCTTCAAGATGGCCATACTGCTCAGGAGCTCAAGGAGACCCGTGTGCATATAGTCTCCTGTCCAAATCCCTTGTCTCCTATCTTTTGTTCTCAGCAGGAACATTGAGGTGGCTCTAATGGGTCTACTCTCGTCGGAGCAGGCGAGATGTTTCACGAAACGATGAGAAGTCCGACATGTAGGACATAAGATCATTTATTAGATACCAGAAGAGAGTTGGACATCGTCATCGGACCGGACATGGCGGAGTCTGCTGGTTCTTGGAAAATCAGCAGCATCGGTCGACAACAGCCATGTCCGCCGTCGTTTCAGAACACTCTTGAGTAATTTAGTACCAAGTTTGATTGATTCTTTAGCAGAGGCTACTGCGTGACTCAGATTGTTGATCGAAGGCAGCTTGTGGTATACGTGCTGGTCACGTGTGCTTTCAATCAATGCCTTGAAGTCGAGTTTCCCCAGGTAGTAAAGAAGCGGACAGTGGAGTCATGGTCCAGATTCTGATACTGGGAAACAGGAAAATAAACCCATGTTGAAGGGTATTCCCTATGATGGCGGCCACCTTCTCCTCGGCCGTATGGTAGCTCAGAGACTTCGCGACCAGAGATGGTCTATGCATTTCGATCCAAATTTCTTCGCTCCTCTGAACCTTTTGCCGTATTGTCTTTAGTCTCGGGTGTTTGAATCGCCAGCAGCTTAGTAGTGTCCTGTTGCGTGAGAAGGATTGCCGGGGGGGGGGGGTGGGCGATGGGTGTCGACTTAGCCTGGCTCTCCCTAGGATAGGACTCATCTCTTCTCATTTGGTTTTTGGGGTGGAAGAGACAGCTGAGTGGCATTGGTTCTATTTTGTGGCTGGCGGGAGGAGTGGTATCGTGATGTAGTCAATACAGGTTTTAGACGTCGAAGATCACTTTCATTATCGGCACACAATGTATCGAGCCTCTGGTGGTACTAATAACGAAGACACGGAGCTCTTCGATCTGGGACGCATTTTTAGCATTAGAAACCTCTCTTCAGACGTTCCCCTCGTGATAAATTTTGTTGTGCATGTCAAGTAGCCTTCAAGTCGCTTTCCTTACATATGTAGACCTTCCCAACTCATCACCAGGCAGAGATGGCATGCGCCAGGAATTCTCCCTCAAGAGAAACCGATGGACACCACTGTGTTATGGCGCAGCATGGCGGAAGATCCGCCACGCACAGATGTCGGTCATTGTGCTGCATTTCTAACACTTATGGGCGATGGTCAAGACTGTGATAAGGTATGCCGTGAGCGATGGTCCTGGGCCACGCGTCAGCACACGAATCGACCTCGTCAAGAAGGTGTACAGGATCTTCGAGGAAGTCTCAACCTAAGTCATGCAGTGAACACTAGCACGACTAGGAAGAAAGGGCACATAACAGAAGTCAGAAGGGTTAGGGTTCTGAGGCCTCATCGCAGGGGTATCCTAAGCTCATCGATCCCTAGCAGTATGTGGGTCGCAAACCGAACAACGATTGGACTCGGAGACTGACAGGAAGAGGAAGGAGCACCGCCAAGATGCAGCCACAGTCTCGTTTCTCGTGTTGCTGCTGATCTGACGTCGCATCCTTGATTTTCTCTGCTTTGCGCAACATCCAACGTTCGTTCTGCATTGTCGCATACTCTCGTTTCTGTATATACTGTGCTCTTTGAATCTTGATTCTCTGCCGCCTCGCTTTGCTCACACTACGGTGCCGCTCTGCATGTACATGAAACTTTTGTAATCAAGCAAGAGATTACACGGATTGGAACATTGGAGCGACTACCCTTTCTTCTTTTGCTTGCCCTTCCTTCAACAGCGTTTCACCGGAAGGCCTTGGTCGACTCATACATCCAACAAGAATACTCACTGGCAATCCCTTCTCCTGGTTGTTAAAGTCATGAGTTGGTCACTCTTTCGTCACTCGAACCCGTCATGAACAGCCTAGACGGCGCAGATGTTGTTCAAGATGATGGCACAATCTCCGAGAAACGCCGACAACTCGCCGCCACCTCATCCAAATCAGACCATGGGACCCCACGAACCGCTGCGCATGGCGCCGATCGAAGGACACAGTCACGACGCCGGAAGGTGAAGGCTTGGGTGCTGGCCTGCTACCAGCAGTTTATTGTCGAATTCCTTCTCCGCCAGAAACCTCTGCCACCATCCAAGGACGGTCGTCGGATTCCCCTGAATCTGGATTCCCTGCAAACTCCACAGCTTATTGATGAGAGGCGAGGCCACGCCTTCATCTCAAACGCCATTCGTACATCGCGGTACAACGTCTTCGATTTCTTTCCCAAGCAGCTGTTCTTCCAGTTCTCTCGCCTGGGGAATTTCTATTTTCTTTGTGTCGGCATACCGCAGACCATCCCTGGTATCAGCACAACGGGAAATGTAACGACAATTCTGCCACTGCTGTTCTTTGTCCTCTTGACTATCATCAAAGAGGGTTATGATGACTACAAGAGACATCGGCTGGACAAGGTTGAGAATGCGCAACCCGTAACCGTTTTGCGCAGGGCGGATCACTCATCCGGCTCGGAAACAAAGTACAGCTTGGGCTTCGGGCACTCCGTCCACAGGTCTCTCAACCACCAACGCCACAAGCGCACTGGAACTATCGAACCGGGCCTGCCAGGGGCCGTTGATGGTTTCCAGTGGACAGGCGCGGCGTGGAAGGACCTCAGGGTGGGTGATGTGGTCAAGCTGAGCAGGGACCAAGACATACCTGCCGATCTCGTGTTGCTCCATGCCGATGGCGAAAATGGGCTGGCTTACGTCGAGACCATGGCTCTGGATGGCGAGACGAACCTCAAGAGCAAGCAGGTCCTGCCAGAATTCCACAACTGCGACACGATTCCGGGACTCATGACCTGCAAGGCAGAATTCGTGGTGGAAGACCCCAACGCCGACCTATACAGCTTCGACGGTCGTGTTACCTTGAGCGACAAGACGGTGCCTCTTACTCTCAATGAAGTCATCTACCGCGGTAGCACTCTTCGGAACACGCCATGCGCCATCGGAGTTGTCATCAATACCGGCGAGGAGTGCAAGATCCGCATGAACGCCAACCACCATCCTAGGGCAAAACGACCAGCTCTTGAGAGGGTCTACAACAGGGTAGTCCTCAGCCTAGTATTTTATGTGATCTGTCTCACCATGGGCTGCTCCATTGGCTACCTCCTATGGCAACGGTCCACCGAAAACTACGCCTGGTATCTCGACGGATATACTGTTCCGGGTCAGGACATCATCATCGGCTACGCGATCATGTTCAATAACGTGATACCATTGGCTCTCTATGTGAGTCTGGAAATCGTTAAGATCGGGCAGATGTTGATGTTAAATGGGGATATGGGCATGTTCGACGAGGCGACCAATACGCCAGCAAGATGCAACACCAACACGATTCTGGAGAACCTGGGTCAGATCGGATATATCTTTTCCGACAAGACGGGTACTCTGACGGAGAATGTCATGAAATTCAGGAAGGTGACTATCGCAGGCACAGCATGGTTGCACCAGGCAGATCTATGCCAGGAGCAAGACGCCTCGGCGGGCGATGTGAAGACGGAACCGAGCCCAGAGAAGGATTCCTCCCGTATACGGTCCTTGGAGATTGACAGTGAGGCACGGCCTGGTATCACTCTGTCAAGCCCCGCTGATGACACTGTTCAATCCCCGACGTCTGGCCGACGGTCATCCTCCCAATGGAGACCCACTGCCCGTGCAAGTCATGCTCAGCCTGATGTCACAACGGATGACCTGCTCGAGTTCATTCGCTATCGACCACAGGCAACATTCTCTCGAAAAGCAGTGCAGTACATTCTCGCTATGGCTCTCTGCCACACTTGCCTCCCAGAGATCAGAGACGACAAGATCGAATATCAAGCCTCGTCACCAGATGAGCTGGCTCTCGTCAGAGCGGCCCAGGAACTCGGGTATACGGTCGTCCAGCGTTCTTCCCAGCAGGTCACCCTGCGGGTCTCCAACGCAGATGGATCAGAGGTCACCAGAGTGTATGAGATCCTCGATGTAATCGAGTTCAGCAGCAAGCGGAAGCGAATGACAATCATTCTGCGATGTCCTGACGGCAGAATATGGCTGATCTCCAAGGGAGCTGACTCCATGATTCTGCCACGCCTAAGAATGGCCCAGGTCGCGCTACAAAAAGCGCAAGAGGTACGCCAGAGTGCGGATATGGAGCGCGCACTTCAGAGGAAAAGTTTGCAGCAAGAACCGCGCAACAGCTTCGGCGGCAGACCGAGCCTGACAATCCGTCGTAGTATTGGAGGCAACAGGTCAAGTATAGCCGCTTCCAATCTTCGTCCTCCAATGTCCGGCAGGAGCAAATCGTTCGAGATCAACAGTGTCTACAGCGCACAGGACCGCTCACGACCATCGCTCACGAGGGGATTGTCGCTTGATGTAACGCCTTTTCTCACTCCCAGCTCGCCTCGGTCGCGTTCTGTGGCCGGTCGTCAGGCCAACAAATTCGCATTCCTGGACGATCCATCGATCAACGATGAGGCGACAATCTTCACGCGGTCTTTCAAGCTTCTTGATGATTTTGCGACGGAAGGCTTGCGCACACTGCTCTTCGCCCACAAATACATCTCTGAGGCAGACTACCAAGCGTGGAAAAAAGTCTATCACTCTGCCGAGACAAGCATCGTTGAGAGACAGGCTCGGATTGAAGAAGCTGGCGACCTGATCGAACAGAACCTGGAGCTGGTTGGTGCTTCTGCAATCGAGGATAAACTGCAGAAGGGTGTCCCGGAAACGATCGACAAGCTTCGTCGGGCGAATATCAAGATCTGGATGCTCACGGGCGACAAGCGCGAGACTGCAATCAACATCGCTCATTCAGCGCAAATTTGTCTCCCAGAGTCCCAGGTTCACATCCTCGATGTGACCTTGGGCGACCTCGAGTCACAGATGCTCGAGATCCTTGACGACCTGCAGATCTCAGAGAATGGACCAACACCAGTGGCCAGCAGTCATACCGTCGTGGTCATTGACGGGCAGACCCTCGCTTCCATTGAGAGTCCCTCGGGCGATTCAACAGACACACAGCTAAAGGACCTGCTCTTTAGACTGATCCCCTACATTGATAGCGTGATCTGCTGCCGCGCGTCACCTGCTCAAAAGGCTTTCATCGTGCGCGCCACGCGCAAGACCACTTCGCACCGCCCTGTGACTTCCCCTTCCCTCACTCTCGCCATCGGTGACGGCGCAAATGATCTTGCCATGATTGCCGAAGCTCATGTGGGCGTGGGCATTTCAGGTCGCGAAGGGCTTCAAGCCGCTCGGGTCGCAGACTATGCAATTTCTCAATTTTGCTTCCTTCAGCGCCTTTTACTGGTTCATGGACGGTGGAATTACACCCGCACGGCCAAATTCGTCCTCTGGACCTTCTGGAAAGAGATGCTGTTCTACCTACCTCAAGAGATCTTCACAAGGTGGACTGGATATACCGGAACCTCGCTCTATGAGAGCTGGAGTTTGACGGTGCTAAACGTCTTGTTCACGAGTCTCTGTGTGATTGTGCCTGGGGTTTTTGAGCAGGATCTGAAGGCTGACACGTTATTGGCGGTGCCGGAACTCTACGTATACGGCCAGAGAGGCAAGGCTCTCGATTTCACAAAGTATGCCGGCTGGATGCTAGGTGCTGGCGTCGAGGGCGTGCTGTTATTTTTTGGTTGCTGGGCTGGAAATGGCATTTTTGGTCAGCTTGGAGGCTTGAGAGACGATGGTCTCTTTGCGTTTGGGGACCTCGTGTTCAGTGCTTGCATCATATGGACGAACTGGAAGCTATTGTAAATGGCCCCCCCTGCCCCCCCCCCCTTCCCAAACCCCGGGCCCCCTTTTGAGGGCAAGAACCTATCCCATCACACATCCTTGCTCCAATGAATTCAGCTTAGCAATGACATATCGACTGACTCAAGCAACAGGATCATTGAGACGCACTACAAATCTGCCGTTGTTCTTACCTCCTTTTCCATCACCGTCGCGGGGTGGTGGATTTGGCAAGTCTTCCTATCCGGCATCTATGCGAAAGCGCCCAGCCCCTACGATGTCCGGAGCGGCTTCTTCGATACATTCGGCCGAGACCCGGGATGGTGGCTGACTCTGATTGTTGTCTTAACTCTATTGTTCGTACTAGAGATGGGCTTCAAGATGGCCAAACGCACGATGGTGATTCTGGGTCTGTGGAAGTGGGGACGTGGTTGGTGGAAGAGGTGGCATAAACATAATACGAATTGGATGGAGGAACACCTAGAGGATTGGGATCTAGGATTATGGCAAGAGATGGAGCAGGACGACAACGTAAAGAAGAGGTTGGCAGACATTCTAGCAGCGGAAGACAGGGGTGATTACGACGAGGAGGATATGACGGGCAATGTGTCCGTGGGTGGCGAGCATGTTGTGGCATAGCATAACATTTGCAGGGATTTATTAGTTTTTGTTTCTACGTGCTTTATATACATGATACCATATAGGATACAGCAGATTTCACCTAGCACGATCCTTTTCCTGAGACCAAAGTCTCAAATTTTGATGACACCTTTATCACAACGTCCTCCAACTCGTCCTTCAGCCGCGTGACTCGTATCCCACCTTACAGTCTTTTTCAACTACATAAGTATTCTACGTATCTACGAGTGCATTCGATCAGGATTTTCCTGATATGGTGCATCGATATACATTCCTGTTCGCGCAGAAAGCCCAAAAACATCGACTACTGAAATGCCATGTCATCGAATATGTCACTCTCAGAAAAGGGTCGTGTACTGGCCTGGTGAGGATATAGGACACAGGAGAGTTTTTGCCAAAATGCCCAGAGGGTGGCGACGCTATGTTGATAGAACCTAAAGGTTGAGGTCTATTCAATGCTCTACAGGACAGCTCGGTCTTCTCGGCGGTCATGTAGTGAGAAAACTTCTCCTAGATCAAGAGTCTAGCGACAAGTAAAGCCAGCCACCTGAAATCACAGGCCTCGGTCCCAACAGCAGAAACTGGTAGGTTAGGTGACAAGGCTCTCGAGGAGGAAAGGGCAAGTGAAGGGAGCACTGGTGCTTGAGCTTCGGACTTGAGAATGGATGTGATATCCCGAATGCTATGTTCTATAGACATTGCAGGGGCACTTTGACGCCATTGTATGTTTCTTCTTGGAGGTAGGATTTAGAAATCAACTGTGACCTCGGGAATATTGGGAAACGAGGTCTAGCCTGGCACACTGCAGAGGAGCCCGCACTGAGGTCTCTCTTCCTGTTTCACTTTCAATTTCCACTTCAACACTTGGACAAGCCCACATCCAAATATCCAGTGCTTTTGCATCAATGCCTTGATATAATTTGACAAAATCACACAAGGCTTGTGACCATCTATGAATATTTGTTCCCACATCGGCTGAATATTCCTCTTCTCGGAAGTCCATATGCAGCAAGAAGAGTCTCTCTGCTTCCAGAATATATCTTTGGACTTCATCAAAACTACCTTCATCCACAGCACGACAACTGAACTCCTACGCAAACACTTCACTCCTCCTTCAAGCTACCCAATACTTCCTTCCGATTCCAAACATCCGCTCTGGAAGTCTCCCTCCTCCTCCTTCGCACCAGATCCCTTCCTATTGAAACGCAGGCCCGAAATAGTGGGTATCTCCAAGATCTTCGACGGTCTTCAAGTCAATGCTGAGTGCTTGCCTTATCGTACTGCTGTTAGCCTCTTTCCTTGGTAATATTCGCCAATCTGTGTGTTTCCTCGAACACCGGACTTCCTTGCAACACTACAGCATTTATGTGCTACAAAACGAGCCCCCTCTCCTCTCTGGGCTGCCTTCTCTGAACCATCTTCTGCCCAACACGTCAAGCAATCATCTCCCCGATGTTTTTCATCTCATAAATCCGCGAAGACGCTCTTTCCCAGTCATCTTTTGGGTTCATTGCTCATCTACACTCGGTTGATTTCTTCACCGACTCTCAACAAAAAAGCATCACACGTCACACTGCCAACTCCTACCATCCACCAGGACTTTCCCACTATCAAGGCGGTGGCTTTCAGCATTTAATCTTCTGGCACGCAATTCTTTCCCTAAGGATTCATTCTCTATCGTCCTGTCAGGTAAGCTCGAGTTCTAGGTGGTCCAGAAGGACATACAGTCATTGACTAGTTTGGATTGACTGGATTTTCGACGAAGCCTCGAAAAAAACAACTCACCATTTCTTGCCTTCATCGTACTCACTGGGGACCTGAACCAAGAAAAAGCTGCTGCTCCGTGGCTACTACCTTTCCGGACTAACCCTCGAGAGGCCTATTGTCTCAGAAAGCGAGCTTCCGCATCGATGTTCCTTACGAAGCCAGCGCTCTAAGCCATATTTCACATTCAATCTACGAAACACAGCGCAGACAAGGATAGAGCTACCTGGCGGCATTTACTCAGCCCTGCCACTTTGTGCCCAACTCTCAAGTCTCCTACTAGAACGTGGTACCCTTGGTCATAACTTACTCGAACTTTGAGCCCAGTCTCTTCGTTCAACCAGCGGCATTGCGGAAAGACAGTAAAGAAACAATCCTACGAAGCTGGAGTGCCCACAAGCATTAAACACGTGGATTCTGAAAGCAGATCCATTCTGCCTCGAAAGAGCAAGTGCATTCCATTACTAGGGAACTGAGACATCTGCTCTCTTGGCTTCTCTGGCTGTCTGGAAGTCGCTCAACAAATCGGGGGCAAACAAGTTAAAAGGCTGTGCACACTGAGGCAGCGACCTGTCAATTGCAGACTTTCGCAGTTGAAAACTCTGAGTCAGCTGTTGCAGTGACAGGAACAAGCTGGACTGATTCTGCCACTTCAACAAGCCGGTGGACCCCCTCGACTGCTTTCCCTCAACTTTTCGAATCCCTTCGACTCCCTGTTGCTACCAATCGAGTACTCTTTGGGGCCTTTCCTCTCTTCAACCGTGCTTCGTTGAAAAATACAATCTCTCTTACCTCGATCGATCCTCACGACCAAAATCTTCGACCAATCGACCGACCTCCCAGCCAAATTGCCAACATGTCCAAATACATCATTATCTGCTTTGGCAATCGCAAGCGGCAGATTGCTCTGCCCCCTACATACAAGGACCTAGTCAAGGAAGCCCGCAAGCAATTTCCCAACATGAGCTCAGTCTACAGTATTGTGGTCATCTATCAGGCCATGGATGCTGGCCCCGGTACTGGCTGGGTCGAGCTCGCTGACAGCGCTTACCACAACCTGTACGAAGGCGCAGTCTTGTTCTTCAATGTACAGCACCCTATCACAAAAGAGTACATCCTCCCGCTGCCTGATGATGGATCTAACTCGACACCAAACCGCCAGGACTTCCCCACGGAGCCCACGAACCAAGGCCGCGGCTTCGCTGGCGTTACTTCCAATCATCCCATCGGCACTTGGGAGGGCAACAACGAGGTGAGACAAGGACCCCGTCCCTTGGCATTCAAAGACGATGAGTCAATCAGGTATTCGACTGTAAACCAGCCTGGCGACGGTGCCGCCTGGGGCAGTGGCTGGGGGTTCGCCTCAGAGCGCTTTCGCCGATCAGCAAAGCTGATTCCCAACCTGGAGGACTGCAAAGAAGCCGTTGGTCGTGGAATCGAAACTTCGAACCGGTACTCATACGAGCAGAGCGCTGAATATGAGAACAAGGAGAAATTGAATGCGGCCTGGAACGGCGCTGACGATCTTGGTGCCAAACCAGTCGTGTTCAAAGTAGAGGATAGTCCTCGAGAACGCGGGACCTTCGCTTGGCAGCACCAGCACCAGGAAGCGTGTGTTTCCACGTGCACACACCCATGCGGTTGCGTCCTGTGCCAACAAAAACAGAAGGGCGACATTGCCTCTCCTGTGCATCGAGTGGTCTGTCCCAAGACAGAACCCAGAAACGTCTCTAAGGCCACACCAATCGCTGGCGGACATACAAGATGGGGTCGTCCCGGCGAAGTCCAGGTTGAGCCACCATGGGAACAGGCCAACTCGCCGGTCTGGCCTTTTACCCATCCCGTCATTCCCACTCGCACATCACACTCGCCGACTTACAATATTATGGCTCCCTTGATAGAGAACAACACCAACAACGCCTTTGTCTTTGGCAACGAGAAAGATGGTGGTGTCAGCGAAGGGCGTGCTGCCCATATGAAATACCGCAACGAGTGCAGATGGGGAAGCGTAGCTGATCCCTGGGCGGACCGATCACCCAGCATTGGTAGGTCTTTTACAGATGGACGGCCAGTAGGCTGGGGAACCTATGTCAGTCATCGCATGGCTAACACTCCGGTGCAACTACCAGCGTGCTCTTGGGGCGCACAAGTCTTGGGTGATCCCGTCAACCTTGTCGCAACTCCTGATCACGCCAGTCAACCCTTGGCTGGCACCAGTCACCAAACACCCAGACCTTTTGATCGCACCATCATGTATCCTTCTCCAGGCATGCCCTCTTCAGAGAATCCGCTGCTCTGGAGCGGAGACAGCAACATTCGCAGTGTAGGTCAACTCCCTGGGTGCCATTGGGACAACGAGCGCACATCTGGCGGCGCCTCATACACACGTTTCGGCCGCCGCGCTACGAGTCCCAAGCCAGCCTCCTCACGCCTCGACCCGGCAAAGTCTACGACCGGCTCGCCGCGCAAGTCGCGGGCAAAAGCGCAGGCGGCGTCAGCTTGGGCCAGAACAACGAAGGGTGGTCTTCATATGGGCGGAAAGACAGCGGTTGATGACACTCTGAGCTCAAAACAGGCCAACCCAAACAATCAGTCGAATGCCGCCACCATGCGCCACATGGGTGCCAAAAATGCCGCATTTGATAACAACAAGAAGATTCATGGTAATGGTTGGAGCCACAGCTCTGGCAATGACGATGACAACTCCTCCTCCTTCTGGTATGCTCCTAACCAGAATATCACTCAATGTGGATGGTCAAAGGGTGTTTCAGCTGGTGTTGGGAAGGCTTCCAAGGGGAAGGCTAACAATTATGGCGAGAACCAGAAGAGGAAGGATGGAGCACACAGCATGTTGAACTCGGTCGCCAACGCCTGGGGGCCAAATACTCGGGTTACCAATACCAAGACCGACGAGTGGGAGTAAATGGTCGTTGCCCACCAACGGGCGATTTCGATGGCTGGAGTTATTTTTTCTTCTTTTCTATTGCTGGTGCAAGCTATCCACCACATTCTGGTGGGAAAGAAAAAGAGAAAAGAAAAAACATTGAGGAGCATCTATGCACCTATGTTGCTGTCGACAGCAAGCATTACATCTGGTTCTCAAGAGATGAGAACCTAGTGCTACTCTAGTGGTACATGGGACTGTACAGTAGATTTTGCGATGCCTTTTTGCTGGTAGGTACTTGGTGTCCTTTCCTGGGGGCAATCACAGTGGTGGTGGTCATAAGATCTTGCTGATTGAGGATCATGCATGGCCAGACTTGCTCAGCCAACAGCGTTCTTTTACCAGATACAGTTAGTTTCTTGGTCTGACAAGCCAGAGAAATCAAACAAGGAAAGAAAGGAAATTGGGAGTCCATCTTTGGCAGATGCGCACATTATGCTGGTTGTCAAGCCAGGTGCGCATTGGATGATGAGTTACAGGGCCTCTATGGGGAACATTGAGCAGAGATGGGCCTATCTGGCGTCTATGGCTTCCTTTGAGAATTCTAGTTGAGTCTGACGAGTGTGCTCGGGATCACAGAAGCTTGGGAGTGTTGATGCTTTTCTACGGATATTTACCAGAGGCATTTTCGAGCCACCAATCGCTGCTTTTCACAATATTTATAGCTTTCTTTTAAATGCTTTGAATTCGATATTTCTTGCCAAGTTGAAGCAAGCCAGGAACTATGCCAAAATACCTGCCCAGCCTAATGGAGGAATCAGAAACCAAAATTATATCCAAACTCTGAGTAACCACTATGCATGAAAGGAACTTCACACACAGTATGCCTGGCCTTTCGCCATAAATCACATACTCCAGTTGTCCATTGGCTCCCAATTCATCCCCTGAAGCCATGCCATAAAGTCAGTGTCGTGCCCTAAACTCATAGGAGCCCCCACGCCAATTCCAGTATCAATCATTCCGTACCCCGCGAAATCCGTCATCATAGCCATAGGATTCAGCGGAGGTACGATGGCGTTCAACGACATATCGACATCCATCTGGCCGGCCATCATACCCTGTGACTCCTCGCCGCCGTCGCCGCCGCCATGACCACCATTCGGAGGCTGCGCCTGCGTCACATCTATTCTCGAGCGTCCAGCCTCGTCACGCTGCCTCTCAGCAGCACCCTGTGGGCTCAAGATGCGGTCGAGGATCTTGGAGATGACGCGGTGGCCCTGCTCACACAGCTGATACGACCCGTCGCTCGTGTCGACCGCCGCCAGCCTCGACGCGAACACGGCGAGGTCCTGGATCGTCTGGCTCCTCGGCAGGGCCGGGTTCTCGGGGTACTGCGGCGCCATCTCCTGTTTCAGCAGCTCGATGGCCACGATGGCCGCGCTGCGCAGGCCGTGCGCGCACAGGTACACGTTGTAGCTTGCCTGGAACCGCATCGCGATGTCGTGCCGCCCTGTGATCTGCAGCACGTCGCGGAACACGGCCAGCGCCGCCTGTGTGAGCTTCTCGGAGCTCGCTCCCGCCTTGCGGATCAGCACGCGCTGCAGGAGGATCTCGTTGGACAGCCGCCCTGTGCGGAGCGCGCCCCGCCGCACGGCCACCAGCGGCTTGAGGTCTGCGTCCTTGCCGCTGAAGTCGAGCGGTTCCATGAAGATCTCCCGCACCCACGGCGGCAGAGACGCCAGGTGCGCTTCGTTCTTCTCCTGGATAGTCTTGGCGCGTGCGAGCACTTCGTCGCGCGTGTACTGGCCCAGTGCGAGGTCTACAACGTCTTCGCGTCGGTGGACGTACTTCACGTAGGCTCGTATACCTTTTATTGGTTGTAGCGGAAATTGTTAGCAGCGATTCTTCGTCATAGGCGAAGGAAGGTGAGGTGGAAGATGGGCGTCAAAGCCTGAGGAAGAATGGGGGGAATTTGTAGACACGGGATCTTGGCTCACTGGTGGTATTCCGCAAGACCTCCGCCTTATTATAGCCATCGTCGTCGAGCGATGCGAGTGTGGCAGCGAGATCCGTCCCAGTCTGGACCATTTCAGGCTCGCTCAGATCAAGAGGTGGCTCGACGTTGCAGTACCGGTATGATAAACGAGGTGGACGCCCCAGACTTGTGGCGAGGCTGATCTCGCAGAAATAAGCCGCGAGGAACGTGAGCTTGCGCAGCTCGGCCATAAAGAATGGCACTTTCTTGTTGGCCTTGGTCCCCTGGTGAAGACCCAGGGCAATGACGGCGCTGTGTGCCTCGCCCGAGGCCCGGTATGTGGCGTACTGGCGGTCGCCCTTGATGACTTGGATGTTGATGGAGTAGTCCACGAGGAGCCAGACAAACATGTCGTCTAGTACCTCGCAATAACGACAAAATACCAGACACTTTTCTGAGATCTCCCTCATCATATCTATCAGGCAGACCCGGCTGACCTGGTGATCGATGAAGATCTTGTCAGACGAGGGCGTCTCGACCAAAGCGAAGGAGACGTTGGAGCAGATGAGACCCAACACCTCCCATCGCAGGTTCAGGCCACTGCCCGCACGTGCGTACTCCATTGCCGTAGTGTTCCCATCGAACTCGATAGGGGTCAGGGTGTTCCGCCAGATCCGTTCACTCAGCTTCCGAATCTTGACGGGGTCTTGGCGTGCGAGCGTGTCGGCATGGACGAACCAGAGCTGGTGGAGCCATTCTTTCATGATTGGGGCTATGACGAGCCCCTCGGCACCTTCGGAAAGCTCGTAGTACTTGGCCATGAAGTGAGTGATCATACTTCTGTTCTTGAAAAAGGACAGGAGCGAGCAGCCTTGCGTAATCCTTGCGTTGGTGATGACAATGTTCTGCTGCTGGTCTAGTGTCTCCAGACCGGTGGGTTCTGGATCGAGGGCAACCAGTGTTTCCGTGAGAATGCTGAGATGAGAGGTTGGTCCTTCAAAGCCCGTGTTCCTGCGGGCATCAGGTGGTCTCTGGTAGTCCAGAGGAGGCGCTGAAGCTGCACGGTGAAACGGCTGGCATTGAGCATGGTTGGCATCAGGACCTGAATTAGAATGGAAGGCTGCATTTGATGGAAGTGTGATCAGGGGCGCGGGTGATATCACAGGGTCTTCGTATAACTCGACAGACTGAAGGATGGTATTCGGACTAGTTTGAGAAGAAGTCGATGTAGGAGTTAGTAATGCATCTGTTGGCGTCGGACCACGCTGTCAAGATTGTCAGAGTAATTGTCAAATTGTCAAGTAAGTGTTCTTGAACTTCTAATGCATAAAGGCGGATGAAAGATCAGATAATGCTACCATTTGGTCAGGGGGGAGGAAGTCACAAGAAACGCCAAAAGCATTGCCACCATCGCTTTTGTTTTTTTCTCTCCGTCCTGGAATCGGCGTCCAACGAAGAACAACGGACGAAGAGTGATAAGCAGGCTTACCTGTCGCGTAAGTGGATTCGGATGATAAAAACATTGATTCACTTTTTTTTTCTGGATACATCGTCCACAGGCCGGAACTCTGTGATCGCATCGGAGCTTTGACCGGCGGCATGGCTCACAAGACTGCAGCTTCCCATTACGACGATACTTCTCAGTCAATGCCGAAGTACCATTGGCGGTTTTCTGAATGCCGGCTGGCCCTGGCCCAGTATTGTTACCGCTGCGGAACATCGTGTACGGTTGGCTTTCTGTGATGTGGTCCTAATGCGCAGGTCAAACCAATTGGTGCGGAGTCGTACTCGAGAGCACAGCGCCCGATTTCAACTTCCAGGTGCAGCAAGCTGGCAGCAGTTCAAAGGTACATGTTTAAACCGGAGACCCCATTTGAGAGTGGTGACATGATACCGGAGTTGAAGGAGGACGTCGGGGTTCAAGCTGAACCTGGATCCATCGGCGCTCGGAATAGATTCTGCTTCACCGACATGAGTCAGCGTTTGCAAACATACAGCCCCCTTGACTATGCGTCCAGAAACGGTTATGGGCACAACTGTCAACCCAACGCCGGCAGTTCCGAGGCAGTGTGTTTGAGAACCGACCGCACCGCCCTCGGAATTCGGACTATGCTATCGCAGTACGTGGTTCTCACTAACATAGCAGTAAGACGGACAAATAGATCCTGGCTCACAGCCAATGAAGTGGGAACACTGCACGCCGTCGTCCGGCGGAGGAGAGGCTTAGCCATAATATTCCACAACAAGTCATAAATGCAACGGCAAACGTAATCTGGTGCCAGGCAGAGAAAATTGAGATCAGGCAGCAGCATACCTCAGCAGACCAAATCAGTCAGATGTGAAAGTAGTAGAAAACCATGCTCATCTCTAGTCGTCCTGTTCACGATCAAATCCTATAAGTAAGGCCTTGGTCATCAAAACTAGAACAGCCTTAGTCCATCGATCCTATTTAGCTGCTCTCATCATACATAGTGCCAGAATTCCATCGCGAGCGTTCGAAAACACCTATCCATTAATCTTCTTACCTGAAACAACCATGGCTTTCGGTCTTCGCAACGTCCTGTCTTCAAGCAAGTCGTCTTCGAAAAAGGAAGCACCGCGGAGTTATACGAAGCTTCAGGAGTCCAGCAGCTCGATTTTGAGTGCTGATGGCGCCGACCTCGAGGCTGCCAAGAGGAAGGCCTACGAGGCCAAGAGGGCCAAGGACGCCGAGGAATACTTATACAAATATGGCTTCGTAAGTACTGCGTCAACAACGTGTGCTCGATCAACTCATCTATAGACGGCTATAGCTGACTTCATGCATCGTAGGGTGGTGGCGTCACGACGAACTCTCGCGTCTAGAAAACGGTCATCGGGGTAGTGGCGTTGGTCGGCCGGCCTGTGTACTTAATTGGTCGACGATTGCAGAATTTCAACACCAATGGTTCCTTACTTGCTTTTGGGAAGCAGGGTGTCTATCGTTTACACCTGGAGTATGACTGGGGCGTTATGGTGTTCAGGGAAGAAAAGGCTTTGTCTTTGCAAAGGGGATTCAGATGAATGGGATTTGTATCCTTTTTTGTTTGTCATTTTGAAATCTGAAACAATTGTTAGAGATGATTTGGAAATATGCTGTATCAGCATTCCAAAGACAGGATGCAGAATTTTTGGTTATAAAAAAAATTTCACATCTGGAGAGCTTTGCAACAAGAAACTTTTGTCATGTGACCACCCAATCGTCTTTTGCAAGTGAAAGGGCAAGACCCATGAGGGGCTTGTGCCGCATCGTTCTTGCATCAAATGTTATGGTACGGTGCAAACACGAAGTGGCTCAGAACTCTCCCCACCTTTGACCCTTCCTTCCTTTCCTCTATGCAGTAAATTCTGTAGGTACGAGGTCTTTCCAATCAATTTCAGCTGGGACTTTCCCCGAATCGCCAGACTCGTGAATCCTTTCCATTTACTCCCTCCAAATAAGTTGGGCGAGATCATTTCCCCATCACAGAAACTTTTTCTTTTGGTTCTTCTTCTTCTTCTTCTTCTTCTTCTTCTTCATCGTCTTCCTAAAGACTGCAGCACGTCACCTTGAATCGAAAATGGCAGATCTTGCAGTTGTCCTCGTCCTCGTTCACGGCGATCAGCGCCGTCTGGTTTCGAAGCCAGAGAACTACGCACTTCTGATCGCCAATGTACGAGAGCAGTTTCCCGTCCTGGCCAACGTCAGTGATGACAACCTCTCACTCCACTTTACACCCGAGTGGACCAGTTTCGAGGTTGGCCTAGACCAATCCTCCTTCCACGCCGTTCACGATCATGCTGAGCTTCGTGTCGAGGCCAGACTCTGTGGTATGTAATCGTTCGCGATATGCTGGTGGTGTGCGTTCAGAACAAGCTGACAGTCCCCTACGTGGTACTTCCCAAGCACCCGCCACTGAGGTACCTTCATCCCTCCAACATCAAGCTACAGACAATGGTAGAGGAATTTCGGTACACATCTCCAGCGTGACTGGTTAGTCATCTCTGCCCCGTTCATCGAGTCGCGTGCTTATTTTGCGTACACAACAGGTGCGAAGTATACCATCCAGCTCCCCAGCTACAACGTCAATCTCGATTACCTCCGATCCATGATTCAAGAGCGAGAAGGCATGCCTCCAGAGATACAGCGAGTCATCTTCTCCGGCAAACAGCTGGACGGCTGCGTACCACTTTCAAACTTCGGAATCCAGAATGGATCTCAGATTTACCTGCTGCGTAGACTTGTCGGCGGCAAGCCCGCCATCTACCTACTCTCGCCCGAATACATCAAAGCAGCTTCGGTCACAGTCGAACTCTCCGAGGGCTGGGACTTTAGTGCCCTGTACCCTGTTGTATATGTCAATCAAATAGGGGGTATGAAGTACAAGTCAAAAATCACTTGGAACGTTGGCGTCGACCGAGATGGCTATATTTTCGATCAGACCGGAACAAAATACACCTATCTATACTGGGAGGCCATCAACACTGTGCCACCATACGGCCAGTTGAAGACTTCTGACTTCGAGTTCGCCCCCACGAGCCCTGCGCTCAGAGAAGAGGTGTCGGTCGTTCTAGCATTTCCAGACGTTGTCAAATACCTCGAGAGCACTCTGGATCATCTGACGCTCACCACCGCCATGCGTCAAGAGTTCATGACACACTGGATGCCACACTTCCACAAGCACCACAGCAACCACTCCGACATCGCTATTGCATTCCTTCCTCAGAAGGTTTATAACGAGGATGCCAAGCTTACTGTCAGTCCGACACCCGCGACCATCGGACGTATCTTCATGCTATTCGCAGGGGTCAAGACCGATGGGAGGTTAGCTGAATGGGATCGCTGGAAGGGCAAGAGACTCAGCGTCGCCCGGGCAATCCAGCGAGTCGACTGGGCAAAGAAGATTGGGCTTGACCGACAGGGACTGCAGGACAAGACAAAGTTCCGCGTTTTGGAGTGGGGTGGTATGGAGGTCCCTGCTGAGCAATCCTCAAAGTCCAACTAAGGGCTGCGCCTGGGTACGCCGAGGCCTCGATCAGAACTGCGTGATGAAGGAGGAACCGCATCAAGAGTCGAAGGTAAGGTCTCCAGATCATTACAAGTTATGCAGATGCTATGTCGGCGGAGATCCCGGCTGCGTGGGAAATGTGGCGCCCCGCACAGTCGGATGGGGGGGGGGGCGGAGATCTGCAAGAGCGGCAGATATACTAGCATAAGTGGTTTCTCACGGGGTTGCTTATCTGCTTCGATTGAATGCACATCACGACTTGATCTTTGACTATCCCACTATATCAGCTGCTGCATCTCTTAAGGAAAACTCTGGGGAAAATCAGAGTATGCGCAACGTCGTGAGAATCATTTCCCGGGCGAGGCAACATTGGTCGTGTGTCGCTGTGGCAAACCCTCGAAAAAAGATAAAGACTCTCATATGCTACACGACTATTCATACGACGCAGCTGTCCAAATGGTATGCGTCACTATGGAGTCGATCACAGTAACGGTGCTGCATAATACAAAGTAAACCCAATACTGACCTAGACCTGAATCTTTGAATACTACTCTGCTGTCATATCTCACCTTGATAAGAAGGGACGTGTGTGTTGATCACTTTCGGCAGAATGATACACTGCAGACGCTGCAGTGGCCAGGCAGGGGGTTTATCTGTGCTGATTGTCTGCAGCGCGCATCGGGCTGTATGATCTGCGCATTTGAGATCTGTATTTCTTGGAAAGGAAGAGGAGAAATAAGAAGAAGAAGGAGAAGAAGAAGAAGAAGAAGAAAAAACAACAACTTTCTGATCACTTCGATCGGCCTGAAGAGGAGTTTGTAACTTAATTGACCTAGGCTGCTTCGATCTAAGGTGTGGCAGTATCATCCGAGACTTCAAGCCTAGCTGCAACATACAACCGGGCAGCGCAACCATGGCCGGCGATGGCGGCATTCGCGTCCTGAATCAGGGTGTGGGATATGGCATTGTCGTGGGCATCGGTGCGTTCTTCGCTCTGCTCATGTAAGTTGCCTCTTACCAACCCCAGATCGTGGATAGGTGATATCACATTAAGATTTCTCTGGATTTACGTACTGACCGCGCTGCCGCACAGGCTCTTGATCACCTACCTGCAGAACCGATACACATCATACTCCACAAAGCAATCCGAGGAGTTTAACACGGCCTCTCGGAGCGTAAAACCAGGTCTCATCGCCGCAGGCATCGTCTCATCATGGACGTGGAGCAGCACGCTCTTGACGTCGAGCACGTTCGCCTATTCGTACGGCATCGGCGGCCCGATGTGGTACGCTGCCATGGGCTCCTCGCAGATCCTCCTCTTCGCCCTCATCGCCATCAAGATCAAGACCCAGGCCCCCGGCGCCCACACCTTTCCCGAGATCATCCTCGCGCACCACGGGCGCGCTAACCACCTCACCTACCTCTTCTTCGCCTGGGCGACGAACCTCCTCGTCGGATCGTGCCTCGTGCTGGGAGGCTCGCAGGTCGTCGCCGCCCTGTCCGGCGTCAACGTCTACGGCGCGTGCTTCCTGATCCCATTTGTCGTCGCCGCCTATGTGATCGCCGGCGGGCTGCGGTCGACTTTCATTGCGGACTATGCGCATACAGTCATTTTGTTCATTGCCATCTTTACCTTTGGGTTCAGCATCTACGCCACCAATCCCGAGGTGGGAAGTATCAGCCGGTTCTACGACCTGTTGCAGGAGGCCGGGCGAAACATGCCCATCGAGGGCAACGCCCATGGGGGGAGCTATCTGACGTTCAAGTCCAACGACGGGCTGGTCTTCGCTATCGACCTGCTCGTCGCGGGATTCTGCACCGTGTGGCTAGACCAGGCGTACTGGCAGCGCGCGATTGCCTCAAGGCCAGAGACGAGCGTCAAGGCGTACCTATTCGGGGGCATGAGCTGGTACGGCATCCCATTTGGCTTCGCAACGGCCATGGGTCTCGGCTGCGCCGCGCTGACGGCGAGCCCGTCCTTCCCCACATTCCCAGACCCGCTCTCTGCGGCGCAAAACGGGAGCGGCCTCTCGGCGCCCGCCGCGGCGATCGCGCTGCTGGGACGCGGCGGCGCTGGGCTTATGCTTCTCCTGTTGTTCATGGCGGTCACGTCGTCCACGAGCGCGGAGCTGATCGCCGTCTCGAGCCTGATTACCTTTGACGTGTACAAGACGTACGTCAAACCCAGAGCGACGTCGGACCAGCTGGTGCGCATGAGCCACGCCGGCATTGTGATTTTCTCGGTCGTACTGGCTTCCTTCTGCTGCGTCCTCAACGCCGTGGGCATCAACTTGACCTGGGTCCTGACGGTGCTGGGTGTGATTGTGGGCGGCGCGTCTATCCCGGTAGGCATGATTCTGCTGTGGGAACCCATGTCCTCCGCGGCGGCGATCGTGTCGCCGTGGGTAGGGCTGGGCCTGGGCATGATTGCCTGGTTTGTCGTGACCAAGCTGAGGAGTGGCACAATCAGCGTAGACACGACTGGTGATGTGACTAACGCCGCAGCGGGCAACATCACGTCGTGTTGTGCTGGCGTCATCTCCGCGTTCGTGTTGAGCTACGCATTTCCCGCAAAATGGGGAGCTGCAGAATCTGAGCACAACCCCGAGGCCAAGAACAGGCTGCACAAGATCTTGCACGGGGTGCCACTGGAGCGCTCTAGCTCTGGAGCGGATGGGGTCACAGGCAACCAAGGCCTCAATGGTGCAGATGTCGAGAAGGCCGATCCGAGGCTGCCCACACAAGGTTCAGACAATAGGGAGCAGCCTGCTTCGAGCCCAGCGCCTGAAACAGTTGTGCCCACCGGCAACGCAGTCGTGGACTTCCTCGAAGCTTCCTACTCGAAGCCGATGGATCCAGAGGCGGCACGGAAAGCTACGAGGCTCGCATACGCCTTCAATATTATTTATTGGGCGGTTGCGCTGATCCTTGTACCGTTCACATTTTTCGGCAGCGAGTGGGAATTTAGCAGGGCGGGATTTACTGGTTGGTGCGTCATGTCCTTCATCTGGGTATGGTTCAGCGCCTGTGTGTGTATTTTCTGGCCTCTGTGGGAGAGCAGAGAAACAATGAAGTCGATCGTACAGGGAATTGTCAAGTCGCGTAATAGGACTTGAGAGTAGTAGACTTGTAGCCAAAACATATCCAGCTGGAAGCTGCTTGCTTCTAGCGATAGCAGTGCTGCTCGCCCGGAGATACGCATTCCAGAAAAAGGAACGAGTGACTCATGCCGTCGCCATTGATAGCACCATATCCGGCCCGAACATAACTCATTGGCCGGCGTTCTCTTCCATGAAGCATGAGAATCGCTGTAGTTAGACAGGGAAATGCCTTCCAAAGAAGCCCCCTTATGCAGGCTCGAGAGGTGGATACTCGTACACTACTATTCGAGGGGGTATGCATAGAAGGGCCGAGAGACGAGGGGTCCGATGACACCGTCTTGTGAAAGTGGTGCGCAAGCGTAGATACTCGATGGGGTTCAAGCCGTGACACATGGTGCTCACTTGTGCATGCATCTCGCCTGCGTAATGTCTTGGATATTTCGTTACCCGAGGCTTACCACTCTGGGGCATGGTCCAATGGAAGACATATTCCGTCCTTCAAAGGTCCAAGATGTACCGCTCTATCACTCCATTGAACGTGCCTAATCGAACATGCCCCCAGAAACCACATGCCGGAAGCCATATCGTGAAACCCGACGTGGGACATGGGTTGCCGAAAGGGTGGCAGTGAAGGTTGGAAGAGAGGGAATCGGAACGATGATTTCTCGGGCAAATCCGGCTTCACCATGGCAACTCGGCCCAATCAAGGGCGAAATCCACATTGCCCGCCGCGCCACTAACAGCATCAAAATCGCATTTAGCCAGAATTAGCTTGTGAGAAAAGAGCCATTTTGAGCACATCAAGCCGCGTTCTGGCGCTTCACAGAATCGAGGATGGCCCATGCTGTGGAGTGGATGATAGAGCCAGCCTACCCCCAAGCCGACTCGGTCCGTTTACCAGCACTTGGAGGGGGGTTGAAGTTGCGGAGGGAGTGGGCCTCTGGGGAAACGGAGCCGTGAATGGAGCCGTACAATCAGAGACCGCCACGGCTCAGCGGGAACACTTCAAACTGCAGCAGTCTCCATGGGGAACGAGATAACGAGGACCCACCGCGAAACTCGAGGAGAGACTTGTTTGGTCGGCCCGCCTACCCCGCCAAAAATACATTGCACACTGCATTCCCTGAATGAGCGTACGAGGTAACAACACTGTGAGTATATGGAGTCTTCGGCGAGGTCGTAGTACCGTAGTAGACAGAGCAAAATCGGATGTTCTGGCGGGGCCAGTACCCGGAGGGGGACAGAGAGAGAGAGCAAAAGAGAGAGAGTAGACCTGCATGGATTCTAGACGACGTCTTTTGGTTGGCTATTCTCACCTGGGAGGGGTAGTATGGTGGGCAACCAGTAGCGAGTGGGCGGCGGCTGTGAAATTTTGGGGGATGGATGCCTTGGTGGGGTCATTGTTTGTGCGTGGTCACCGTTCGGCCACTCATCTCGACACGAGGTTGCTTGTGTGCTTGGTCTGGTCCGGTCTGTGAGAAAGACAGATGGTCAGCAAGCTGCACTATCCAGACATGATATCGACAACTCAGCAAGAAGGATGATATCCATAAGGATAAAGGGATACCGCTTGACCTAGCCACGAGAACGTCCAAGTTGTCTTGGCGACGCTGTGACTGTTTCTCCGCTGGCGGGGCTGAGCACGATAGAGCTCTGATAAGCATCTCAAAGGGGGTCACCCGGCGGTCAGACTTGTAGACCATCCTGAAATAGCTGTTGCTAGAAATCCTTCTGAACATGCCGCAGATGCCAGGAGTGTTGAAACAATCCCAGCAGTCAGCGAAGCAGGCCAGCAATCCCGAGGCCAGCAAGCCACGACAACCGATTGCCTGAAGGTAATTCCCGTCATCGCTGACTGTTCAAAATAGTTGCACAAGCACTTACCGGCAAAGAGGTTGAGATCGAAACGATCGGGTTGCAGGATAATCAATGCCTCTATTGTGGGTACTGTGATACGCCTCGGGCCAATAAAGGAAGCCGTAAGCCCCACTTCAGGAGTCAATACTCAGGTCATGCATGATGAGGCAATGTGAGGGCCTCGTGAGTAGTTATTTTGGCAGTCACCGCATCCAAGCTGGCGTGGCTAGACAGTTTGGACACGCATGACTCAGGGGAAGGGCGTTTTTGATGGTGTTTGTGGGTACTTTCTGCATCACCATTGAATACCATGAAAATCTGTCGTCATCTGGCAGCGATCTGCATCGAGGTGCTTGGCTGGGGAAAGTGTGGGAGAAAGCGCCAATGGGAAAATGGTAACCGTCGGTTGGCGGGGAAGGAGCGAACGTGGGAGTTGGTCCAGGCTCGTAGCCGAGCTTCCACACCTCTCATGAAAGGACGAAATGCTAAACAAGAAGGGAAAAAAGGGTCCAGGTTTTCCTTAAGCGCTGTGACGTCATTGCCGTGAGCCAATGCAGGTTTCCCCCAGTGGTTCCGTTGTTTGACGCACATGCGCTATAAGCGAACATCTGGGGAAGCAAAAGTTAAGAACGAGTTGGCGTGATCAGGAATTAGTTTTTCGATGAGGACAAAATTGATGAGCTTTAAAAATCCTCGGGTGATTCATGAGAGTGACGTACATCGGATGCTGGCTGGTTGATGTCAAGATTGACTGCCAAATTTCCCGACAAAGGGAAACTAAACCTATGGAGCAAGACTGTTCCCAGCTTTGAGGAACATCCCAAACAGTAGCACACGTCTCTCACATCATGACAAGACAAGCAATGATCAGAGGTTTCCCACGGCAACCCAGTGGTGCGGTCCTGTTTTCTGGATCGGCCCGCATATCAACCTCTCTCGATTCCGATTCGCAAGAGTCTCCGTCTAAAAGGCGGCAGGGAGGCAGGCAGGGAGGATGGTAACAAGTCCGGCTGACTAGCCTTGTCTCAGAGAAATTCTATTGTTGCTGGGCACACAAAATGGGCAGTGTACGTGAACAGGGCCGCCGCTCAATATGTTTCTCGTGTGATGGGTATATGAGGCAGCTTTATTTGCTCGAACGTCAACACCAGTTCAGAACCCACTCTTTGCCGCATCTCATGATGAACCTCGGTCGCCTCCCGGTGACTGGCCAGATCTCGCTGCATTCCAGATAGCATTCCGGGCCAGATCTCGGCGAATTCTGCCTCAGATGCCGAGATGAGGCTCTGAATACTTGTAAAGCTCGTGAAATGGACACCTGATTCCATGGCATTTCGAGCGATAGTATCAGCGTTTGTAAATATTTTTAACGACTAGCCATCTCGAGTCTTGACAATCGTAAGACTAGCCACAAGAACTCGTCCAACAAGCCTCACGATGACTACAACTTGATTGCCCAGGCTGTCTACCATGCCATGACTGCAAATCCATCTCATGTTCAGATTGGCACTAAAACTACGCAGTAGCGACAAGCTCCAATCGGAGGCGATGTTGCTTCGTGAGGGTGATATGGATGGGCGGGACTGCTGTGGTATGTTGACTGATGATGGCGGCCTTTTTTGGTGCTGAGCCAGGCCAGCGATCGTTTCAAAGACGCCTACGCATTTGGCCGGTCATACCCTCCAGGGCCTCCAGGCCTTATGTAGAGACCCACCCAGAAGGGCCGAGGGACAGGCCTTCTATCACTTTCTACCAGCGTCTTGGTGAGCAGTTGTTAGCACCTACCCCACCTGTCCACCCTGCTGGCCAGGTGGCTTGTTAAGGAATTACAGGGCATAACGGCAGGCGTGGCCCCACTTCAATTGACCCACAGGAACCCCAGCCCAGTCGACGTCAGGGACGAGGGGCCACCCCCTGCACAGGCAGGAGAGGGAGGGCAGCCACTCGCGAGCCCCTCCCTCCTGTGGCCTTCCTACTTCTAAGCCATATAAACATCGTTGCCCATCCGCTCCCTCAACTTTTTTCTTTTTCCTTCTTGGTCTATCATCACACCAAATCACCCACTATTCCCTTACATCTCCCAACCTCTCTAAACAACGTCGATTATCCTTCGTCGTTGTCTTCCTTTTACTACCTCCATCAACAAAACCCAAGTCAACATCAAGACCTGTACCTTTGAACCACGTCGTTGTCACTACTCTGACCTTACGACGCCATCCTTTCAATCCCCACCACAAGAAATTCACAAAACCTCCATTTCCCCCAATCACACACATACAATGGCTGCTACCAAGAACCTCAAGGCTGTCCACTTCGGTGCTGGCAACATTGGCCGTGGCTTTGTTGCCTGCTTCCTGCACAACAGTGGCTATGAGGTCGTCTTCGCTGATGTTGTGCCCGAGGTTGTTGACAAGCTGAACAACACCAAGTCGTACAAGGTCATTGAGGTCGGCACTGAGGGCACTGTCGAGGAGATCATCACCAACTACCGTGCCATAAATTCTCGCACTCACCATGATGACCTCGTCAATGAGATCGCCAGTGCTGATGTTGTCACCTGCTCTGTCGGCCCCACCATCCTCAAGTTCATTGCCCCTGTCATCGCCCAGGGCATCCAGAAGCGTTCTGATGACATGAAGCCCCTGGCTGTCATCGCCTGCGAGAACATGATCAACGCCACCACCGCCCTTGCTGAGCACATCAAGGACCCAAAGAACACCCCCGAGAACCTTCTCGAGGTCCACAACCAGCGCGTGCGTTACGCCAACTCGGCTATTGACCGAATCGTCCCCGCCCAGGACCCCGATGCTGGTCTCAATGTGAAGCTCGAGAAGTTCTACGAGTGGGTTGTGGAGCAGCTCCCCTTCGAGGGCCAGCACCCTGCCATCGACGGCATCAACTGGGTCGACCACCTCGAGCCCTACATCGAGCGTAAGCTGTATACCGTCAACACTGGCCATGCCACCGCCGCCTACCACGGCTACAACCGCAAGAAGCGCACCGTCTACGACGCCCTCCAAGACAAGGAGATCATGGCCGAGGTCAAGAAGGCCCTGGACAACACTTCCACCCTGATCACCTCCAAGCACGAGACCACCGAGGAGGAGCAGGCTGCATACGTCAAGAAGATCATTTCCCGCATTGGCAACCCTCACCTCGAAGACGCCGTGGAGCGTGTCGGTCGTGCCCCCCTGCGCAAGCTCGGCCGCAAGGAGCGCTTCATCGGCCCTGCTGCTCACCTTGCTGAGATGGGCGAGGACTGCAGTGGCCTCCTTGATGCTGCCGAGATGGCCTTCCGCTTCCAGAACATCGAGGGTGATGACGAGTCCAGGGAGCTTGCCCAGATCATGGCCTCTCAGAGCCCCGACGAGATCGTCTCCCAGGTCTGCGGCCTGCAGAAGTCGGAGAAGCTGTACCCCATGGTGGTCGACATCGTGAAGAAGGTGCAGGCCGACGCTGAGGACTAAGGCCTCGAGACAGTCACATTTTGTCTTTCCAATTTTGATGAAGGGATGATGCATTGGCGTTTTGATCTGCGAATTAAGGAAACTGGCCAGGTGTTCGGGAACGGATGGAATCATGGAAATGCATACCCTTTTTGACGGCTCTTGATGCTTGGAACCCAGGCATGACCTGGGCAATGATAACAAGCAGACTACTGGCGAGATAGCCAATTCTAAAACAACTTGATCATACTGCTTGATTCTTCTAGATTTTGTGATCGTGACCAGATGTGTGCTGCAATCCGCATAGACATAGTAGCCTCACTAAAAGACCCATATACTCGATCTGTAACAAATCATCATTGGATGAATTCTCTCAAACCTATGTCAACCGATTGCAAGTGAAAGATAAGTGAGGCTTCGGTCCAAGAATGAGCAGTAATGCATATTGCAAAATACACGTTCGTTCGAAGAGAGGTGGCTAAAGGTCTCCGTTTTTTTTTGTTTGTAGGGGCCTCTCATTGGTGCAAGTGTGAGAGGTGGCCTGTGCAGTGTGGCGCCTGATGTGCCTGAGGCCACATTTTACCCCGAGGCTGAACAAGCTCCCAGCATCCCAGCAGAGACCACATCTCAATTGGATGCATAGCTCCAGGGGACACCAACATATACCCAGACGTGGCAGCACCATTCAATCTATCACAACAACGACCACCACCGCTTGATTCCAGTAATACTTCCGTCCTCACCACAGTCTTGCGCCTAGTCTTCTACACGGCTGAGCCCGTCCTCACTGATCGTTCAGTTTGATTCCTCGAGCGTCGAAGAAGGGGCCAGCTCTCGATGTCAGCGTGCTCGGCAACAATACACGCCCCGCTACCGCTACCTCGAATCGCATCGTTAACCAGCACTTGATCTCCCTGCCCAGAGCGAATTACAGAGACACAGTCGTTCAAGATGAAGTTGGACGTAAAGGTGCGTCTTGGCCCTGGCTGCCTCAGAAATTCAATCCACTCGACTGCAAGGGAGCGTTTGGTGCGGGACCATCACAGTTGGCATCAACTGTCGCGCTGGATCTGTTTGCCGACCTCTCTTGCCCTCAACCTTCCCTTCGCAATGCCTAGCGTGCCCCGGACGAAGATGATTGCTAACAGATTACCGCTCAACGAACAGAGGCAGCTCTTGTACGTACAGACCTTGATACTTGGAGCGCGACGCCCGATGAAGCATGGAGGGATTGATGGCGACTAACACCTACAAAGTGCCCGGAGCGAGCGTGTAAAGGGCATCGACTTCCACCCCACCGAGGTACGCTTCGACTATTCCTTCATACCGATCTACACTTCCGAAAACAGGGCAAAAAGATCAAGATTGGAATGGGAAGCTGACATCTCGCCGCCGCAATAGCCATGGATTCTCACAACCCTTTACAGCGGCCATGTCTACATATGGAGCTACGAGACACAGACTACCGTGAAGTCATTTGAGCTAACGGACGTTCCCGTGCGAGCTGGTCGCTTCATTGCGAGGAAGAACTGGATAGTCTGCGGCAGTGATGACTTGTGAGTGCTCCTGAGGGAACCCGGTTTTAATACGTATACAGTGGAGGACCGCACTGGCTCAGAAGAGGGCGGTAGGAGAGCCGGAAAAGATGCTAACGTGAGCGCCCTATGGTACAGCCAGCTTCGGGTCCACAACTACAACACATCGGAGAAGGTCGCGAGCTTCGAGGCGCACCCCGACTACATCCGAGCGATCTGCGTTCATCCTACGCAGCCTTTCGTGTTGACGGCCAGCGACGACATGACGATCAAACTGTGGAACTGGGAGATGGGCTGGAAGTGCCAGCAGACCTTTGAGGGACACTCGCACTATGTAGGTTCTTCCTTGGCTGTCGCGTATGGGCGTGGGAAGGGACCGTAACAAGACTGTGGCGGGTTCCCAGGGACAAATTTCTCGTCTTGATGAGGTCTCGATTTGCCGTGGGTGTATGCTAACTAAACGGACAGGTCATGTTCCTGGCGATTAACCCGAAAGATACCAACACATTTGCATCCGCATGTCTGGACAGGACGGTCAAGATCTGGTCACTCGGGTCCTCGACAGCAAATTTTACTCTCGAAGCACATGAGCAAAAGGGCGTCAACTACGTTGACTACTATCCTCATTCCGACAAGCCATATTTGTTGACGTGAGCTCCCCCCTTGAAATTTCAAGACTGTTTCGTGATGGTACGGGCGAGTCTAACTCTTCGCAGGACGAGTGATGACCGCACAGTCAAGATCTGGGACTACACTACCAAGTCTCTAATCGCTACTCTCGAAGGCCACACCAACAACGTGAGCTTTGCTTGCTACCACCCCGAACTCCCTGTCATCATTTCGGGATCAGAAGACGGCACCTTGAGGATATGGCACGCTTCCACCTATCGCTTCGAGCAGAGTCTCAACTACGGCCTCGAGCGTGCTTGGTGTGTGAGCTATCAAAAGGGCAAGCAGGGGATTGCGGTTGGATACGACGAGGGGTCCGTGGTTGTCAAACTGGGTCGCGAGGAGCCCGCGGTGTCCATGGATGGATCCGGCAAGCTGATCTGGGCGAAGCACAACGAAGTCGTGTCGGCCATCATCAAAGGCGGCGAGGCGACCAAGGACAACACACCTATTCACCTCACCACCAAGGATCTTGGCAGCTGTGAGGTGTACCCTTCCACGCTCTCACATTCGGCAAACGGTCGATTCGTGGCGGTATGCGGCGATGGCGAGTTCATCGTGTACACTGCCCTGGCCTGGCGCAACAAGCAGTTTGGTTCCGCGTTGGACTTCGTCTGGGCATCGAAGGAGAACTCGAACGACTTTGCCATCCGGGAATCTGCGACAAGCGTCAAGGTATACAAAAATTTTGTCGAGAAGCAGGGCGGCTTGGACGTCGGATTCCCGGCGGACGGCCTGGCTGGCGGCGTTCTGCTTGGTGTGAAGGGTCAGGGAGGAATCAGCTTCTTTGACTGGGCCACCGGCGGCTTGGTGAGACGCATTGAGGTTGAGCCGCGTCAGGTCTATTGGAGCGAGAGCGGTGAGCTCGTTGCTTTAGCCTGCGAGGACACGGTAAGTCGTGGTCAAATTGTAATCGATTGGGAGGTATTCGTGTGCCCGCTGACAATACGGAAAAAATAGTGCTACATCCTCCGCTTCAGCCGCGAAGCATATCAAGAGGGTGTGCAGGCTGGACAAGTCGATGACGACGGCGTCGAGGCAGCTTTTGAGGTCATTACCGACATCAGCGAGGGGGTGAGGACTGGAGAGTGGGTTGGGGACTGTTTCCTGTACACCAACTCCACGAACCGCCTGAACTACCTCGTTGGCGACCAGACGTACACCGTCTCCCACTTCGACCAGCCCATGTACATTCTCGGCTATATCCAGCGCGACTCTCGGATTTATCTCAGCGACAAGGATGTGGCCGTGACATCCTTTGCGCTCTCCCTCCCCGTCCTTGAGTACCAGACCCTCGTGCTCCGGGATGAGCTCGAAGCCGCCTCAGAGCTGCTGCCTTCGGTCCCAGAGGGCGAGCTCAACAAAGTTGCTCGCTTCCTGGACGGACAAGGTCACAAGGAGCTCGCCTTGGAGGTTGCTACAGACCCAGAACACAAGTTCGAACTTGCCCTTGCCTTGAACCGTCTGGATATTGCTCTTGAGCTTGCCAAGGAGGCCAATGTCGAGCACCGATGGAAGACTGGTAAGTAGTTCTCCCTGGCTACAGTTCCCAATCCCCAATGAGCATTTACTGACGTGTGATATAGTCGGCGATACCGCCCTCGCAGCTTGGGATGTCAGCCTCGCCGCCGAGTGCTTCACACATGCAAATGACCTCGGCTCGCTCCTCCTCCTGTACTCGTCTACCGCTGATCGAGAAGGTCTGGCCAGCCTGGCAGGAAAGGCTGAAGAGGCTGGCGTTCACAACATCGCATTCTCGAGCAAGTGGCTTCTGGGCGATGTGGACGGCTGCGTGGAGACACTCACAAAGACAGGTCGCCTGGCCGAGGCTGTTCTGTTTTCTCAAACATATAAGCCCAGCTCGACAATTGAGGTTGTCAAGCAATGGAAGGAGTCGCTCGAGAAAAACAAAAAGGGTCGCGTCGCCAAGATGATTGGCCTTCCCGGTGCAGAGGGCGACGAGGATCTCTTCCCTGAGTGGGATGAGTGGCTGAGGCTAGAAAAGGAGGGTGTCACTGTGGGTGATGAGGATGTCGAGGTGCCGGATGCCGAGCCTGCCGCGGCTGAGAATGGTGCTGCCGAAGAGGAAGGAGAAGCTGAAGATGGCGAAGAAGAGAATGGAGAGGAGGAGGCCGAGGATGAGGAAGAGTAGTGTTTGGTTTTGTCCGTGGGGGCCTGAACGTCAGCCCGACAACGTCTAAGGGTTCTTGGTATGTGGCCGAGTACGGATAGCTTTTAGAGGAGTTTCTCTCGCGGGGGGCAGCAAGGCATGCTGAGGGGGAAAATGTTGGAGCCGGCCTGGGGTGTTGATAGAAAAGTCGCTGAGGCACTCCGCCCATATACAAATTTCTAACGTTTCTCTGTATGCTGTCCCTATTTTGCCACACTCTCCAGTAGACAGGACTGTCGGTATCATTGCCTCTTTACCCTCTTTGGCATAGAAGCAAAGGATGATGCGCCCTCGCAGGATCCCGATCCTGGAGAGAGATACGACCTGTTGATTCCTTGCGTGGACGAGTCAAAAGGGTCGCACGTAGTTAATAGCACTAGACCTTCCATGTAAAGCAACATCCACGACATCCGACAACCCGCAGGCAGCGAAGTGTCTATTTTCTCCCTCTCCTCCGCTCCCGACATCCGAGATCTGAGCGGGGGCGTATGCTATCACCAAATTTCTACGGAGATGGTTAGAGAGAATGAACGGGTTACGAATATCCTCTCCACCATTGCGTGATGGGCGGCGGCACACCCCTCAATGTATTAGTGCGCACCTCAGATCATTGCCACATGAGGATTTACACAGAAGAGGAAAAAGTGTTTGTGATAAATATATTTAGGGCTCAGGTATCGTAGTTAGTTGTCTACTTTTTTTTCTTGCTTTTTATGTCTTGTTGTCCTGCCCCAGTGTCCTCGGTACGACGAGATTCAAATACTTTGACTGGAAAGTACTTGGGCAAATCCCTATTTTGAATCAAGTGACCTAAGAAGTTTTGCATAGTACGGTCTACCTTCAGAGTTTAAAATATATATAAACATACTCACACACACAAGGCTGCTGACTACCTCTCGAAACAATTCACCTCACCAATCAACATGGCGCCAGGACTCACCTCGGATCTCCCCATCCACTCCTCGCAAGCAGAGGCCAAGACTTACCCGAAACCACTGCAGCTCAGCGGTGCGCTCAAGGACTTCTCCTACGAGGACACAACACCCGCCATTGGTCGCGAGTTCCTGGGCGTCAATATCGTTGACGATGTGCTCAACGCTTCTAACGCGGATGAACTTCTCCGCGACCTCGCTATCACCAGTGCGTTCCTCTGCAATCTCCCCTTTTTCTTTGTTGATATGCTTGTTGTACATAATCAGAGCACTTATGCTGACAATGGTCCTCTAGTATCTCAGCGCGGCGTGGTCTTCTTCCGCGCCCAAGACAACCTCACCAATGAGCTCCAGAAACAATTTGTCCACAAGCTGGGCGTGGCCTCGGGCAAGCCCTCGACTTCAACCCTCCACATCCACCCCGTGCTCAACAGCACCAGCGAGTTCGGCGTGGGTGATAACGAGATCAGCCACATCAGCTCTGTAGCCCGCAAGAAGATGTTCCAGCACGAGGCCCAGCCCAACAAGCGCCGCTACGACGCCGCCCGCTGGCACTCTGACATCCAGTTCGAGCCCTGTCCCGCAGACTACACCTCGCTGCGGCTGACGGTGCTGCCCGAGACAGGCGGCGATACCTGCTGGGCGAGCGGGTATGAGCTGTATGACCGGTTCTCGCGGCCGTACCAGAAGTTCTTTGAAGGGCTGACGGCTACTTTTATCGGCGACGGGTTCATTCGGGCTGCGGAGAGAGATCCGAACGTGGTCATCTATGAGCAGCCCAGGGGCAGCCCCCTGAACGTCGGCAAGGACCTGGCGGCGGTGCATCCTGTGGTGCGGACCAACCCGGTCACGGGGTGGAAGAGTATCTTTGCGCTGGGCGGGTTTCCTAAGCAGATTAATGAGCTCGAGGCCGACGAGTCCAGGGAGCTGCTAGATAAGTTCTATCGGATGATCCTCGACAACCATGACCTGCAGGTCCGGTTCAAGTGGCGCAACAAGAACGATATTGGTGAGTGGTCCCTCTCTTTTGTTTTCTTGTTTCCTTGTCTCCTTGTCTTCTGTACAAGCGACATGAGAGCGGCTTTGTGAATACTGACATGATTACTTCAAACTCGCAGCGATCTGGGATAACAGGAGTGCCTTCCACAGCGCCACGTTTGATTACCAGGGTGAGAGATTCGGGAACAGAGCAGTCGGTATTGGTGAGGAGCCGTTCCTCGACCCGAACAGCACGTCCAGGACGGAGGCGCTTGGGCTGTCCCCATTTTAAACCTGTTTCTGTTCTCATGACGATTATGATGGTGATGGTGGTGGTGGAGGAAGAGGAGGAAGGGGTGGAGATATTGAAGTATTGGGAAATATTCGTTTCCCCCCAATTTATTTTCTTCTTTTCTTTTCTTCAGCTACAAAAACTAGATTGGTATAAATGTTTTACTTCCTATCAGAAGCAAGAACCTTTCGTCTCTGCCTGCGCATGTGGTTGAAAAGTGTAGGCGCAGCTTTATGACACCCATCATCGTCAGTCTTTTCTCATATTGACAACGCACTAAGAGAGGAGGGAGGGGACGTAAAAATAAGAACAACTCACCAGGGAGATAGAGCATGGCTGCAGCAACATAGCCCCAAGCAAATCCAGAATCCCCAGCCCTCCAAGCCTCCGAGACAGCCGCAGCCACAACGCCAACCTCACTTGCGATGCCGACCGGATACAACACGTAGAAGGCGCTGTACCGCAGCCAGATCAGCCTTCCGTACTGGTGCCCGCCGACGAGCCTGGTGGCGAAGTACAGGTACCGCACCACGTCGGCCGCCGCCCAGGCCAGGACCATGGTGGTATAGAAGGTAGTCTGGGCGGCGGCTGGGTAGGCCTCGATGACGATCCAGAGGACGGTCAGGCGGCCTGCAACCTGGACAAAGGTAGTGAGAACAGGGGCGTGGACGAGGCCTGGGTTTTTTTTTATATTTTTTTTTGGTCAGCGAGGGGTGTCGATGTGCTTTTCAGGAATTGGAACACGACTTGAGTCCTGTGAGGTGACAAAGGAGGAAGGGCCTGTACTTACCTATGAGAGCATGCAGAATCTCCAGGCTCGCTAGGCTCTGCGCAAAGAGCACGAGGGTCCTCACGGCGGGATAGACAGCGCCCAGCCCGTCCGTCACAGCTGTCCGCCCCGTCCAAACAAAAATGGAGAGCCACAACAAGGAAGACACGGTGTTGTAGCCGATGAGATAGGCCCACTGGGGGAATACACCCTCGAAAACACCCATCTTGACGTGTGGGAGTGGGCAATTGGGGCGAAGGTCCCTTGTGTACAGGCAATTGAAAATGATGGAGTGAAGATTTGAGAGATGGGAAATTTGAGCTGGCCTGTCGGAACTAGGTTGAGCGGATCCCGGCTCTGCCGTCTCGGGAAACCCGGTCACCAAGTAAATAATATATGCCTATGGTAATTGACCAAGGTGGCTACTGATGATAGATTTTACCTCAACAACAGTAGAAAATTGTCTTTCCTATGGATTGTCTGAGGAATGATGCCCTTCAACACTAACGAGATTAAAATATTGTTCGCAGGTGGTAAAGCACAACCTCATAAGTACTGAGTACGTGATGAATCACGCCAGAGCGAAGACATTTTTTCTTCTTCTTTCTCTTTACAGTTGTCTTCCTCAATTCTTTACAACATAAGAGGGAAAGCCAAACACATCATACGAAGGTTCCTACAATACACTGAACCAGGCCTATGTGTAGAAAGGCGCATCATTGGCGAGCCACACCCTCAAATCAAATACCGGAATCCCCTCTGCAGGCTCCTCGCCTCCTCAACACTGATACCCTCCACCTCGGCCGTCAGCTGCAGCTTCCTTGTGTCATTCTCTGTGAGCTGGGCCCCAGCATCTTCCATCCTCGCCAGACTCTTATTCTGTTGCTGCAGGAGGACGCGAAGCGCGAGGGCGCAGGCAAAGGCGATGCACTGCAGCCCGATGCACACCCCGAGAGCAGGTCGGTAGTAGGGGGCGTCTTGCTCTCGATAGGTAAAGGGGGTCCAGATCGAGGCAGCGTTGCCTACGGAGTTGATGAAGGCGAATGCGGCGGCGCGTTTTGCGGGAGGTCGAGGGATGGAGGAGGAGATCCCTGGTGTGATAATTTTACATTAGTCAGGATAGGAACTTGATATGATGATGGCGGAAGGGTCTTCCTTACAGGCGTAGAGCGTGCCGTTCATTGCGAAAACAAAGACCTGTAGGAAGAGACTGAAGTAACGAGCTCCGAAGCTGCTGGTCGTCATAAACACTAATGTGAAGGTCAGCAGTGAAGTACAAGAAAAAACGCGCAAGGAAAGACAGGAAGAGAGCAGAAAGAGACCAACGTACGGATAAAGCCGACAATTGTGACGGGTATTGGGTACACAAAGAACCAGAAACGCTTCTTGAGGTGATCAGAAACTCGCGAGTGCGCAAAGGACCAGATGACCATGAACAAATACGGCGGTGCACAAAGCAGCAGAGCATCGATGTGGTTCGGCGTCACGGTCTCGGTGAGAGTAGGGAAATAATTCTGAATGCCCGCCGCCCCCGTTTGGCCGTGATAAGCAACAGCGAGAAGGTATGTCTTGGGATCCTGAAGGGCCAGCTTGATCCCGCGCAGGTGCGACATGCCGTGTTTCTCATCGATGTCGGCCTCGGCGGCCTCGATGGCGAGACGTCGGTTGGCGACGCGGCGCTCTTCGTCCGAAAGGCTGTTCCACGTGTCTGGGAAGTCGGGCAGGACGAGCATCAGGAGAAGGCCGAACTGGTGGACAGGCAGTCTTTATGTCAGAACTCAAGCGCAGACATACACATGAATGTTTACGTTGTCAGACAAGGGAACAGGTAGACTCACAAAGATGGTGATTGACCCCTCCATGATGTACAGCCACTGCCAAGCAGCGTAGCCACGCTTCCCAGCCAGGCCATTCAAGATACCCGCGGCGATCAGGTTTCCGAATGCGCCGCTGACGAGGGAACCGGAATAGAATATGGCCATACGCAGGGAGAGTTCCTCTTTGGTGTACCACTTGGAGAGGTAGAACAGAATGCCGGCGAAGAAAGCTATTGCACGTTAGAACGTCGTCAAGGCACAAATGTTGAGAGAGAAAGACAAGGAGAGGAAGAGGGAGGAGGAGAAAGGAGAGAATGAAAAGAACAGACAGTGATGAGGTACTGATGGAAACAGAAACTACTCACGGGCTTCAACAAAACCAAGAACAAATCGTGCGGCAATGATCCCACCAGGGCTCTGGACTTGGCTGGTGAGGGCAGAGACCAATCCCCAAATCGTTGTCTATTGATCATGGTGAGCCGCAGCGCTTCCTTGCCCAAAGTCTCGTCTCGCCAGACGGCTACCTGGACTGCTGTAACTAAGAGCTGGAGGTGGGGAGCGGCTTTCTTACAAAGAATCCAATGTATATGGACGGACGTCCAACATAATTCAGCAAAGCGTTTGAGGGCACTTGCATGAGAACGTATCCAACAAACAAGGTCGAGAGGCCAATCTGATACTGGTTGTCGGTCATCCCCAGGTCGTCCTGGAGCCCTTGAAGCCGAGCAGCGGCATAATTGTTTCTGGGGACATTATCTATAAGCAACTTGGCAGGATTTCGTTGCTGGACACAATAGTGCTATCTTCCATTGGGACACGGAGGGAAACACCTACCGATCAATGTAGTTCATGAGGTAAATGAGGACGGTAAGTGGCATGATCCTGAAATCGATCTTCTTCCTCAGCTTCTTCTCAACTGCAAGCTCGTCCGGCGTCAGCCGCTGCAAATGCTCCGTAGTCTCGAGATCGACATTCTCATCTCCGCTGAGATCTTGATCCTGGATATGTTCAGCCCGTGGGCTATCGTCAATCTTGCTGCTCATGGTAACAGCTTGTAGATAGGAAAAAGAAAGAAAAAAGAGAACAATGTCGAGAAAGGGGAGAAAGGGGCAGAAAATCACAGACGAGAAGGTCGGATGCGGAAGGAGGAAAAAAAGCAAAAGGGATCACCAGCCCCAGGTTCAACGTCGTCAACGATATAAAAGCTGTTGGGCCATTGGTGAGGGGAAAGATCATCCTTCACACCCCATTGAGACCCCAGCTACAACAAAAACAACCGAGAGGGAAAAGGGGAGAGAGCGTGGGGGGCGCTGCTCCTCTCCCCCAGCTTTTCCCCAGATTTTCCCCCACACTTGAGTTCCAAGTAATCGCCACGAGCAAATCCCAAGTGGGCTGACAAAAAGGCAAGGCAAACCCTTGGCATTCCGTCACTCTTATTCTTTCCCCTCTAAACCAACACAGGCTATATCCGACCATGTTGATCCGCCCCAGTGAGGGGGAAACGCCGACGCATGCACACCGCACCCACGATTGTGATATGCCGTGTAATTTCTCCGCACCGCACCTCTGGAGATGGCGTGAAAAACAATCCCCTGCCCTGGGCCATCTACCGGGGGGTCCTGTCGTCCGAACGAATCATGGATTCATTAGTTGCATGATCAGCTGGTGCAGTCCCATCGCATGTAACCTGTCCCTGTGCCGTGGACGCAACATGATGAGCAGCCGAGCAACAGAATATGGGTTCGTGCCAGCTAAGATGAGGGGGGTGGCCGCGGAAGAACAACCGGGAGTACTTTTCGGATGTCCAATTCAGTGCTAGTTCTCTCTGATTATTCATCTATCATGCCTCGCGAGCTCAATGGGAAGGGTAGGATCCTCTCAAGACCAAGTAATTCTAGGTGCTGCTGACGTGGGACCTTGACATGGGCGTTTAGTATTTAGTCCACCCCATCTGCAAACTCGTCGATCATGTTCATACAGTCTACGCAATATTCGATTTTGATCTCAGCCTTGCCAAGCGAGGCAGCAGACTGGTCAGGTGGGAAATATTGGCAGCATATAGTATGAACATCATAGCATCGCCCCCGCCATTGGGTTGAACAAGGTGCGTTGCCATCTCATAGCAATGTGCTGGGGGACAGGAAAACGAAACTGTTCTCTTGGGGATTGGTCAAGCTTTGAAATTGTGCTGATCGGTAGTGAGCGTGCGGTTCTTTAGCAAAACTGAACTAAGGTGGTTGAAGAGGATGTGGACCAAGAAAGGTGGACTTGTTGAGCCAGCGCTCTTCCAAGTTTGTGGTGACTCGTTCAGCCAAGGGACTTTCTCAGACCTGGGGGGTTTTTTAAGCTTATATCCAATGGTTTGATTGTGCGAGTTTCCCAAGCACATATAGACTACAGCTCCTATGTCTAAACGCACGGATTTCCTTCATCCTATGCAGAATCATTGCAATTGTCTCGAGCCAAGATTGTTATCTGTCCATCATTCTGTCTGCTATGACCAACTTCACAACAAGTCTCTGCGGCAACATACACTCTAAAAGTTGCCAGACTGGCTGGACTTCACAGTACCAGCTTTACAAATGATACAAGGTCAGTATCAGACATGAATTGATTAAAATCAGCTGGACCCTGGGTATGGTTGTGAAATCCTCTCCAAGTCAGTAATTACAGACTAAGGCCATGCCGATATTTTTCTGTCAGCAGCCATACATGGCTTGGAGTGAAGTTGAGTCTTTTGAGGTGCTATCTTGTAAATGAATGACCCAAGACTTGAGGCACAATGTGTACTTCCATTCATCTCGAGGGCTTGATGAGAAAAGGAAGACATAGAGAGACAGTCTGTATTGGATGAATAAGGACATTCTGGATGGCGATGAACATAAGAGCCACAGGTGAGAGATGAAATGCGTCTCGTGGGCGGACATCTGGGCAACAGGCATTCTCACCAAGATATGATAACATTTGTCCGTTGAAAGCAAAAGTAGAGTAAAAAAGAACAGGGTCGAACTTGTCTCAGGCCCTCCTATGGGTCCAATCATGAGCAGTCAGGTGGACAAGTTCTCCCCTTCTGTGGGCCATTGTTGCAAGTGGCTGGCTGACTTCTGAAGTCATGACCAGGGGCCCAGCAGCTAGCCAGCTATACCAACGCCGAGCAAGCCTTGTTGTATCACTGTAACAAGTGTTTCAGCAACAAATCATTTGATAATATGTCCGCGTGGTGTAGTGGTATCATACATGCTTTGGGGGGCTATTCAGCCATAGTCTCTCCAAAGAGAGATCTTGACAATGCATGAGGTCCTCGGTTCAAACCCGGGCGCGGACTATTCTTTTTTCTCCTTCTTTTTTTCCCTTCAGCCATGTTTCTTTTCCCTCTCCTGTCTTTTTCTCTCTTGGTCTGTTTCAAGATGATGAGCTAGCTGTCTAGCAGGGAACAGATAGTAGGAAATAGTCATGAAATAGTAGTTACTGAACTTGCGCCTCAGGCCAATTAATCAGGACTTGTGGATCAGTGCCTTTTTGATTATGTCTCAAGAAGCTATCCACCTAATGCAACGCAGCCTCTGTATATGCAGCATGCTGTCTGCCCCCCTTCCCTCGTTACTATTAATTACAGCTTACCGAAGCCGGGATGATACATATCAAAGTTGCTTCTGTACGACCTAAAACCAGCCCCCTGGCCAGACCCCCCAGCCATTCTCCTCGCCACGGTGCTGTTGAATCCCGTGTACGCGCTGAGGCTGGGCGGCAGATCGGCGACCTGCGTTCCCCACGAGCTCTCGTTCAGACCCAGGGTGAGCACAAGCTCTTTCCCCTCGGTGAAGAAGCTGTGGTCGATCCAGTTCTTGGTGTACGGCTCCCCGTCGAGGGTAGCGGACTGGATATAGATGGCCTCATACGTCGGGTCAAAGTTGACGTTGCGGATAGTGGCAGTCTTGCCCGTCAAGGGGTGTGTGATGTTCACGCTGGGGAAATACGGCGGGTTGATGAGATAGACGTCCTGGCCTGGGTTGGGGAACAGGCCCAGCATGCTGAAGGACAGGAAGCTGCCCATGGCGCCGCTGTCGTCGTTTCCTGGGAGGCCAGAGGGGGTGGGCTCGAAGTAGGCCGGGATGTAGAAGTGGCTGCGCTGGGCGGACAGGCCTGGTCGTCCTGCGTAGTGGTACTGGAAGACGGTGAGGAAGGCGGGCTCGTTGCCAATGTAGGTGATGTCCTGGTCATGAAGGAAGTTGAGACGGCTGACAAAGGCATCGGGGCCGCCGAAGAGCGTGATGAGCTCAGCTTGGTTGTGAGGGACGAAGCTGCAAAATGATCAGTCATGTATGAACCGAGGAGTTCCGGAATAGGGGGACAAAATCAATCAGGATGACTTACAAGCTGTACTCCCAGATGCTGCTCTCAAAGGTCTCCCGGCCGGTATTTTGCAGTGAGCAGGCTGCCCCTGAAGTATCAATATTGCTGCACTGCAGAGGATCCTGGAATCCCCAGGTCTCGTTCAGGAACTTGGGCTGAAAGAACCCCGTATAGCCTGTATCGGTGCCGTTGGCGAACAACGAGGTCTGGTCCGACTTGTAAAGGTTCTCCCAGTTGCCGCTGGACGCGATGTACTTCTCCTGGTCAGCCGTGTTGTTGAGGCCGGCAGCGATCTGGGAGATGCAGTAGTCGTTATAGCTGTACTCAAGCGTGCGCGAGATGCTGCGGGTCATGGTGCCGAAGCCCTTGTAGTCAAAGTCCTGCACGGGGATGTAGTCGAGGGCCTTCCACGAGTCGAGGCCGCCGCGACCCTCACAGCACCAATCAAAGGGCTCATTTTCTGCGTCATTTACAACGGCTGCGTAGCCAAGATCCCACTACAAGAATTAGCATGTTATAAGAGAGGAAGAGATATGAAAATTGTTGGGAGGTGAATACTCACATCAATACCAGTGGACAGGCCCTTCAGATACCCGTCGGCCAAGATATTGTCGGCATTTGATCCACCCTGGGCCAGTATCAGCATAAACGCCACGAGAAAAGACCAAGATAAAATGATTCAAAGCAGCTTACCTGGGTGTAGCCCTTGCTGAGACTCATCCGGCAGTCCGGCAGCCAACCAAGGTGAACATAGGTGTCAATGAGAGACCTCAACATCTCCTCCACCGAGGTGGGATCAATGATGGTCAAAAATGGAATCTGCGACCGGAAAGAATCCCAGAGACTGTTTCATTTTTGGCCTTGCGTCAGCTCAGTTCCATTTGAAATAGTTCAAAGAAAGCACACGTACCAATAGAACGAGTCAAAATAAGGCTCATTGCTCGACCAGAGCGGATTCTCGCCCGTGTAATTCTGAGGATTAATCATCGTCCTGTAGACACCACTAAAGAAGTTGGTCACAAACGACGCATCCACACCCGTGGAGTCGACCGAAAAGGCGCTCAGCTTTTCCTCCCAGATGGCCTGCGCGCTCGTCTTGACCGTATCCAGATCAAAGTCCGGAATCTCAGCCTCGGCATGCGCGCATGCCTGCGCAGAGCTGATGAAGCTCGTGGCCGACCGCGCATAGATGGGCTCGCTGGCGCTGGCAAACCGCACAAAGGCGCCGCCCGGCAGAGGATACCCGTTGATGGACCGCGAGATGGTGAAGTTCTTGACGTCGGTGCTGGCGCGGCTGTTGGAGTAGATGCCGTTGTCGAAAATGTCGGCGCCGGAGAAGTCGGTGCAGAAGTAAAGCACGTAGGTGCCCTGGGCAAAGCTGGGGACGAAGCGGGCGCTGCCTGTGATGCGTCCTGTGGTGGGGTCCACGGCTATGCTTCCGTTGTCCTGACGCGAGTCGGACAGGTCGGTGAGGTCCTGGAAGATTATTGGGTGCTGCTCGTCGGAAGTATCGTTGCCACTTGTAGTAGTAGTGGTGGTGGAAGGGAAGGTGAACTTGAATAAAGAGGCGTGCTGCGTCGTGGACATTTCTGTCTGGATGCCCGAGTCGAGGGTGATGCTGAAGTAGCCTGGCTCGGCGACGACCGTGTCGTTGTTGAAACTACCAAACTCGGCGCGAGAGATCTTGGGAAACACACATCGGTCGATGTCCCCACCAGGGCAGCTGCTGTAGGAAAACAGGGCAAAATTTCCAAGCGAAGGGTCACCTCCCGTGCCGGAGTCGTGCATAAGGGAAAAGCCCGTTACGTTGGAGCCGTCGAGGGTGAAGCCGCCCTGGTTGCTGCCCGAGTTGGTGTCTGCGACTGCCTTAGCCATACCGTAGGGCAGAGAGGCACCTGGGAAGACATTGCCACCGTTACTGGTTCCGATCAGGGGGTCGACGAAGGCGAGGTTGTTGACGGTGGTCGTATTGGTGGTGTTCTGACCGAAAACGAGACCCGCCGTCATTATCAGCCAGGCTGAGACGAGACGAGGTCGGAAGAGAGACATGATTAACCAAGCAGCTTGATTGATAGGCTGGCAAGGAGAAGACTACCTCTGTTGTCGAGAAATTATTTTTTAAAATGATACAGGTGAGACTATGTAGAGCAAAGGAAAGTATAGTCCTAGAATAGAATAAAAAGAGCGAGTGACTAGAACTTCCAAGGCTCGCTTCAAAGAGACAAGGACAGTCAACTAAGGCAGCGCTCTCGAGACCAACAGCGAAGTTGTTGAGAAGCTTCTTGTTGCGCCGACCACCCAAACCAATCCGCCTTCGAAACTAACGATGGCCCTTTGGGCCTCTTTATACAAATGGCGCCACGGAACAGCATGATTAGACTGGCTGGGAAATCCCAACTGGAATGAAGCTCAAGGTAGGGCAAGGGCAGGGTGTTCGACTCATTTCATAAATTCGGCCCGGGTAGTGGTGGTTGTCGTGCAGCTCGGCACCACACATATATGCAGTGTGTCCTGTCGACTGCAGGAGTTAGTTAATTAAATGCAGGCAATGTGTCGATCAAGATTTAAAACTTGCAGCGGTTGGGAGGGGTTGGACAAGCGATTATCTCTGCCCACCCATCTGTGATCGACTGGGCCTGCTGGTCTGGGGGGTGCTGGGACCCATGCTTGATAATACCCTGCGTTCATGTCTCTGGATTTGGGCACGCGGAAGCATCTGGGGTAGCAGTGGCTGCAAGGGTTGGGGCAGGGTTTTTTGTTTTGTTTAATCTATTTTATCCAAGATTCAACCCCCCTCGCGACGTGCATCACTAGATTTGTACCTAGAATCATGGCACAGACGCAAGTTTTCTTTCCCGAAGGAGACATGTCGCCTTGGGAAGACCATAAGAGCTTGGTTTGCCATAAAGTATACTACACGGTAATTACAGTAGAACTTTAACAGATACTTCAATAAATTGTTCTACTTCGTATAAAGAAAAGAAGAAGAACAGTAAACGTGCTTAGCGTCTCGGTATCACGGCAGATAGAACAAGGGACAAGAACCTAAAATCCGCGAGTTAATAACTGGGGCCATCGTACCATTCTCAGTGAGGGAAAGGAAGGATGCTGCATGTGCCCGTCCGGCGTTGAATCTCGGTGAACAAACACTCAAGAAGTGATCAGGAAATATAAATCCGACAGACTTCCTGATGCGGAATGAACAATACATAAGCGACACGAACAAGTACATAACTCTGCTACTATGCATGTCTCACCGAGAGAAAAGACAGGGAAAAGGAAAGAAAAAAGATCATCCATCATACAATTTACTTTGTGTATCTTAGGTCCAGGCCAGGGGTGCAGATCAATAATGACACCATGCTTCTATACGTTGCATCCTACTGTTCCGTACCTCGCATGAGACGAGTCCGTTCTAGGTAGGTCGTAGCACGAAGCCTGGCAACATGATTTGAGCCATGTGAGCCACTCATGTGTTCCTTCTAGGATTGTGGCGCGTGAGCAGGTTATACATGCTGCAGTAAGGTAATTTAACAAAAGGAGAAGGGGGAAACACGACATGGACGACGACGGTAGTGAGCGTATGCTGTGCATCCCGTTACACAACTGCCGCCCCTCTACTGCTTCCCCCCATTTCCATCTCTCTTTTGTCCGACACTGGCTGGCTGGCTACCAAACAGATTCAAGCACCCATCTCCTGATAACGGGGCAGGTCCTCCGCAGCATCATCATTCACTATCTTCACCATCATTCCCACCACCACCACCGCTCATCGTCCTTCCTCCATAATGCTCCGAGATGGAGTCTCAAACACATCAATGATGGCGGTGGCTGGGGCGCATGAGCACTAATGGGGAAAATTGGCCTGGCGTGCCTTTCTTTTACGGCCCGGTCCGATAAGTAAATGAATGGGGTCTACAAGTGGTCTTTCGGGTTTTGGTATGACATCAAAGAGACGGGAAGGCGAGTCTCCAGACCCACCACCACTCAAGCTTACATGCACCACTCTCCCGCCCCAACCTCAGTAGTACAGTCAGTGGTAGCAGTAGCCAGCAGCAGATTCCACCAACCATCCCCACAGGACCAGTCAATCAATCACACGCCCCCAACACGGGATGGGAAGAACAGAACCATCCATCGGTCGGCGCGATGCACGGGCAAAAAGGGCCAAAGCCACAGCCAACAAGCTGATCCCCTCGCTGCTCTCGGCTCATCCCCCTCCGGCCCAGCGAGCCCAAAACTGCTGCTGCAGCCTCCTCCGCCGTCTTGCCAACTAGTGCACCAAGTCTCCGTCTGACCATCCGCGCCGTGGACACCCTCACTGCTGCCCGTTCGCTGCAGCAGCAGCAGCAGCAGCAGCAACAGCAGCAGCAACAGCACAGCCCAGGCGGCAACAACAACAACAACAACAACAACAACAACAACAACAACAACAACAACAACAACAACAATGGCTCCACCGCTGCCGACAGAGTGGCTATCCTCAACATGGCCTCGCCGCTCTCGCCAGGCGGCGGGTTCCTTAACGGCGCCACCAGCCAGGAAGAGTCCCTGTGCATGGCGACTACGCTCCTCCCAGCCTTACGCGACGAGTTCTACCGCCTGCCAGAGGTGGGGTGTGTCTACACCCCCGACGTGCTCGTCTTCAGGACAATGGCATCGTCGTCATCGTCGTCGTCGTCGTCGTCGTCCTCTGCGGATGTAGCACAGGACGGAGAGCAGACTGATCTGCTTCCCAAGAGGGACAGGTGGTTTGTTGATGTCGTGAGTGCTGCTATGCTGCGCCTGCCTGAGACCGAGATCGATGAAGATACGGGGCTTGGAAAGTATGTTCACGCCAAGGACAGGGAGCTTGTTATCGACAAGATGAGGGCTGTGATGCGCGTTTTTCAAGCTAAACAGGCGAAAAGGGTTGTCCTTGGTGCTTGGGGCTGTGGTGCGTACGGGAATCCCGTCGGTGAGGTTGCAAGGGCGTGGAAGAAAGTGCTGCTCGGTGGGAATAGCAAAAGGGTGAAGCAGAAAGGAAAGGCTGCTGAACCTCGGAGCGCTTGGGACGGGATCGAAGAGGTGGTGTTTGCGGTCAAGCATGCCGGGATGGCCGAGGCTTTTCAGGCTGCCTTTGGTAAGGAGCACTTGGAGTGGGTGGATGATGAGGTCGGAGACGTGGAATCACAGGGTGGGGAGGAGGATGCTGAGGAGAAAAGACAGAGCGATGAGGTTTCTGAGAGAATTCGTGGGCTCAAATTGCGTATTGATCGTGCACCCGATCCTCACGTCAAGGCAGGGCTGGAGGCGGTGCTGGCAGGATTACTACAGAGTCAAAAGTCTATGGTTTCAATATCTTCAAAGGAAGAGTATGATAGCGAACAGGAAGAGGACGTATGTTGATACGAGGGCTTTGATGAAGAACCAAGCTGATACTTCCTCAGGTAAAATCAAGGTAGCATCTTGGTTTTATGCAGACGTGACTGAGATTTTGTCTCGTGTTACAAAAAAGGGTATAGTGTTCTTAAGTACAGTGTGAGCATCTGAAATAGTATCGTACACCCTCCATAGAAGATGAGAGATGATCTCCGTTCTCACTTCTGTTTTATCCAGGATCTTTCGTCAGGGCGCCACCAGCGCTGGCTCTCACCCAAACAGACAGACCTGTGTTCAGTAGGTGTTTTCCCCCTCTCTTTTCCCGAGTCTCCAGCCATCTGGTAAAGTCTGAGAATGAACTCAGTGCCACTCTGTTGAAAGTCCACTCCTTCATTCATCATCCCACGTAATGTGAGCTCGTATATACAGCTGGTTTCCCAAGTTTTCTCCAGGTGGCGGCACTCGTTTCATGAAATTAGTCCTGGCCGTAGTCCTCGCTTTGTGAAAGCAGACTTTATGCCCACAACTTATGTACTCGTCCATGCATCAAACCGTACTCATCATCCCCTTCCATAACCACCCCTCGACGGCGTATTATCAAGCATCACCGCATAGTCCGCCGGCATCTCCACCGGTGTGCTTCTGGGTTCTGCCGAAGCCGCCATCTCCGCAGCGATGATCGGTGTGCTCAGCTCATGCGCCCCATCATACCCCCAATTCGACTTGTCCTCCTGAACCAGTGCCCTAGGCGGGGTCTGCATCAGGTCCGGGGCACGTCTCCTGTTTTTCCTCCTGCGCATGAGAAAGAAGCCTGCCACGCCAGCCAGGATGACTGCTGCGATCCCGACGCCAACGCCTATGCCGGCTGCTGCTCCTGTTGAGAGCCCGCTGGATGGTGATGGGCTGGCGGTGACAAGAGTTATCGAGCTTGATGCGGACTTGCTCGATCCTGACGTGCTGGAGGCTCCGTCCGCTGTGGTTATTGTCGCCAACGTGGGGGCCGCGGTGTGGCTACTTGGGTAGGTCTGCGAGTCAAAACAGTTCTTAGACTTCTTCTTTCACGCAGCTTGAATGGGGGTTTTTACTTATGAATCGGCAGGAGGAAGAGAAGGGGAAGAGAGCTTACGTTAGCTGTGGAGTACCGGCTATCGTCGATAACACCTATACTCGTAAAGGTATATTGCTCGCCCCTCTGCGCAGACGTGATGTTGGAATTCATGGCCATGAGAGCTGTGACCAGTGTATCCAACCGCCAGCCCGTCCCGTTGGCTAGATTGGAGAAGTAATACGTCCCATCACCCCACGGCTCGATGGTCCAGAACATGGAATCGTCAGAGACGTTGTAGTGCGCCAGCCAGGGCACCGTGTTGCCTGTGAGTCGGTCCTTGTCGCTTCCTGTACCTAATGATGTACCAAGGTAGCCGTTGGGGCCTCCTTCTTCGCAGCGGAGAAGGTATACAGACGAGTTGTATGGGTAGAATTGCCATCTTTGGCCGGTATTGCTTGTGTTGGTGTTTTGAAAGAATACTGCTCCTGTCTACAATGGGTCGAGTCCCCAATCGTTAGTTCTGCTTGTGGTCATGGAGACTCGAGAAGTATGAGTCTAGCCACAAGACAACTCACCAGACCATCCTCATAGAGTGGCGTTCCGTGAAAACATTGATCCTTCTGGCTCGTTACATTGACCTGGTACCAGGCATTTGTATCAAAGTTGAGAGACATCTCTCCTCAAACTGGAGTTGAAGATCGTAGCGTTCTGGATTGATCCAATGGGGTGAACAGCAAGAATCTTATCACGAATTCCGGCACACGAGACAGAGAGAGAAACAGGAGGAAAAAGAAAAAGAAAATCAAAGAGAGGCAGTTATGATATGACTGAAATCAGTTCAGCTGTCTGCCTCAGTAGGATTACGTTACTGCGTCACACAAGACTGACACTGCACACCGGCAGGCATGCCACATAGCAGGCTCCCACCTCCAGGATATAGAATCGTCACATTGTTGATACCAAACACACCCTCATCTCAAGCAGGCATTTTCGGCCGCACTTCCTCAGGGGCGGGCCAGGAGGGGGGGGACGGGGCCAGACGAACAACTCCCAGCCAGTCCCTCGGATTCTCTACATCTTGGCGTGCACATGAAGCAAGGGGGGAGTGCGAGCACGCACATATACAGAAGTGGCTGGTCTCTCGTGCTAGTGCAAGGAATATAATAAGGAGCTGGTTGTGCTAGCGTTATCTGGGTAGTATTCAACGTTCCTTGGAAGAAGGTAAACCCAAGGAAAAACCTAACAACAAACTTATGGGATAGACAGGGCACACGATAAGCGACGTTCCGTGGTGGGTAAGCGATGGTCCGCTGTGGAACTGGGCAGATCGACGGCGGTCATAATATCCGCTCAGGCATACTGACAATCCTTCACTGGCACTCTCTCTGGGAGGAGGAAGCTGGCTGATGATTAGTTCGAGGTGCTAGGGCTGACTGAAGATGATCTTGTCCCATCGTATTGATTGGGTTTAAAGAAGATGCTGACTAGCAGGGCGCATATTTTGGACCCCAACCCCCCTTTTTTGTTTCAGTTTTCTCTTCATATTTTTAACACTTTTTCCAGTTGTTTTGCTACCCAACTGATACTGGGTTATGCAAGTGCTAGGGTATAATAATTCCCAAAGTTCGCCACATAGCTACACCAATCAGAATATTTCATTGCTGAGCATTCTGGACTCGCAGCACAATGGTTTAGAAATCTCACTTAGGGCTTGTGTAACCAAACTGTGGGTATTTATTTAATTATCGCTTACTTCTCTGGCACGGAAGCTGTTGCACCTTTGATGCGAACTGTCGGATCAACACCTCATCTCCAAAACTCTACCCGGAAAGGTCAGAAATAGAGTGGTCAAGCGAATAGATGTTTATTTGGTTCAATGCTCTCCTGCTCCTTCTCTATTAAATACCTTGAGAATCAATTAATGGCAGTGCCTTTGCCCCTAAATTTGAACCGCATCTTCGTCTCATTATTACGGAAATTCCTGCTCACAGGCTAGCACCAATCCTCCATCCAACAGATACCAGCGTCTCACAATTCTGTTCAATCGAGTTGCGCACCAGATCCTCGTCGAAGGTTACTTCTCCCTTCGGGAACACAGCGATGACAGTACTACCTCCGTAATAGAATGCCCCCAGGGTCTGACCTCGCCTGACGCTGGCCCCGACCTCGACCCCGTCGTTGTATTTGATAGACCCAACCAGCATGGCGCCCACGGCGATGATGGCCACAGGGCTCCCTGTAGCAGCCCGCTTCATCACCATGACCGACCTCTTGTTCTCGCAGAACACATTCACGGTGCCAGGCTCGTTGATGGCCTGCGGGTTGACCGTGTAGTACGACCCCGGGATCTCCTTGATAGACTCCACGGTGCCGTCGATGGGTGAGTGCCATCTGTGGTAATCCTGTGGCGCCAGACGCGAGATTGCAATGGAGCCCCCGTCGAACAACTTGGCCAGGTCCGCATCGCCCAGCAGCCTCTCGAGCGTGAAGTGGAATCCCTTGATCCTACGCGGTCGTTAGTCAATAATTCCATCATCTTAATTATCGAGTCCGAGGGGCGTCCATGCCGACTGGGAATAAATAACCTACCAATACTTCGCAGCCAGATCGATCGTAGGAAATGTTGTGAGCCTGCAGTCTGCAAGACTGCTCACGACCTTGTCATTGTCAGGCTCGGCAATCGGCCTCGCATCCGGCCTGAGCTCACGCCCAAAGAACTCATTGAACGTCTTATACTTTGACGGGTCGGGCTCCTTGAGCTGGCTCAGCGTGGCCTGGAGACCAAAGCTCTCGATAAAGGGTTTGATGTGGTCGACGCTGTTGGGCGCGTCGTACTCGCGGCCCATCTTCTCGCTCTGCTCCTTGAGCAGCTGCTTGGTCCTGTTCCACTCCAGGGCCTTCTCCTGCTCGCTTCCGTAGTAGAGCAGATGCATGCCCAGGCGCACGTACATGGACATGGGCTCAAAGCTCTTTTCGCCCGTCTTGCGGTCGATGACGTAGTTGCCCATGTGGAACGCGGCCTCCATGTCCTCGAGGCTGTTGTAGGGGAAGAGGCGCCGCATCCAGGAGTGGGACTGCTCCGTGTTGGCGGGCACGTGCAGGTGCGCCTTGGGCTCTTCGTGGTGAGCGTCCTTGGCGCGGTCGGTCACGGCGCTGATGGCGTGCTCGAGGTGCGAGAAGCGGACATCAGCCGCCGCTTGTTCGGTCGTGTCAGCCATAATTGCTCCTGTGAGCGTGTGCTTGTGCGTGCTGGTAAATAATAATATGTCACTTTCGTGGTGAGCAAGGAACACAACTCTGGTGCAGTTTGCCTTGGTGGTGCCAATGGAGAGAGCAACAATAGTACTACATGAAAGTGGAAGAATGGACGGCTTTCAAAATTGCTGTCATCGGAGGTTTTGTTATGCGATGAAGCTGAAAGGGGCCCACCTTTTTGCCGTGCCGAAATCTCGACACAAGCCTGTTTGGCACTTACCTGCACCTTTGCCCCGCATGAAACCATCGAGGCCTTTGCTGTGGTTCCTTGCTTGCAGCCTGGCAATTGACCAAAGAACGCGGGTCCAGGTCCTAAGACGTCACTCTCACAGGGGTTGGAGATCTGGCAGATGGTCCGGCTTGGCAGAAAGCTTGTTTTTCAACCCTACATGCATCAATAGTGGCCAGCAGATCCTTGGCAGGCCTTGGAATGCTAGTTTCCCAACCGAGGCATATTATGCACTTGTTAGTCAAATCATGTTTAAATCGTCCATAGTCATTGGCGGGCAAGCATACTAATATCCTCATATGTGGTCTGGGCACCCAGCCTGCATTGGACTGGTCGAATGTTGGGGACAGGACATCTAGAGGGTGACATAAGAAAGTGACAAAGCTGCGTGTTTCTGGCTATATCTTTTTTTTGTCTTTTTTTGTCTTTCTTCTTCTTCTTTCCATTCCTTCCGCTCAAGTGATCGATAGCTCTTGATAAGTCTTTTGTGAAGGACATCCAGGTAAATTGTAACCGTATTGTGATCACTTGGCAACAGTATGCATCATGCGACATAAGCACATGCAATAGAAAATACAAGCAGACATTATGGACCACGACTCTCTATAAGACTTCATGCAAGCCGAGCTGCAGATGTCTGAGCCTCAGAGAACAGTCGACGGGCAGACCATCAGGTATCATTCGCGATGGTCAACCTTCCTCGCAGCTTTTGGCGGAGCGGTACTTGACGATTCACGCGCGGCTATGGGTGGAGACGAGAAACGCAATCATGATGCACAGTCGTACGTCTGTACGTTACCTGAAGTAAGGCGCAAGATGGAATGGAGCTACTCTGTGGACACATGGAACGTTAGCTGCATGGTATGAGACTTCTTCGAGGGCCAACTCTTCTATAGAGATGACCCCGATGGTAAAGTATATTCTATTCGTGCTCATCTTGATGGGGTCATAGCATTGCTCTGACAGCCGCACTCGACTCACCTCGAAGGGGGAGCAGGAGTCAAGTGTCCTTTTCGCCTGTCGGTAAGTGGTACTCTGTTATTCAACTCATGTAAGCGACTGCGCAATGCTACCCATTTGCAGGCCAAACTGATCCATGGTAATGATGTACCCATTCTCAGGTTTTGTCGAATTGAGCGACTGCGAAGATTTTCTTGATGGGACAGACAAGCAGGGCTTTCTAAAATTTACGAGAGGGTGCTTCAATGGTGACAAGAGGGCAGAAAGGTTGCAAGGTAAATTCTAGGAAACCCGTGGTTGTACAATCAAAGGGGATGATGAACGTTGGCCAACACCTGATGTCGGCTCAGAGTGCCCGTAACAGACGAGCAATCTATCAGAAGTCAGAACTGAGCCTACATGCAGAGGAACCCCAACAGTACAACTACGATGTCCATATCCAAAGGAACTCACACGCGGGCAGAGAGCAAGCCAGCCAAGGCTGTGACGGACTTCGTGCTTTTCGTCAACGTCTCTCATCCCCTTTTTTGATCGTGCCTGTTCCATCTTTATAAACGTGACAGGTTTTTGCATTCTCTGAGGCCGTGATTCTCGCACTGATGATTTTTTCTTGGTCCGCCGGATTGAACGCAGAACGGTGAACGGCTACACCGTTTCTGTGACTGCAATGATATCAGAGACTCGTATGAGTATCAATGTATGGGCTTCCGATAAGTCATTGTAGTACATACTTGATTTCAACTTCCTTCACCTTACCCAATTTCTGCACATATGGTGTCAGCATCGGGTTACGCTCGGAAGTTGTAGAAGGGGCAAAATGAAAGTTATATATTATATCCGAGACGAGAATTATCTTGCCTGTTCAGCACTGCCACCAAGATTTGTGAATTTCTGTATTGCTCCGTCATATGGCTTAGGCAGTGCCGAGCGTGGAAGGCCGGTCCATTTTACCAAGTGCCTAGCAGAACAGGAAAAGAAACGGGACATGATACAACCTTTGGTTTTACCAGTCTTAGCGACGAGGAATAGAACGAATCGATCGCATTATGTTGTAGTGCAAGTTTTCGAAGCAGTAATAGCAATTCCAAAGGCAGAGGAACAGCATTTATTTTATCTGTAGCGAAAGAAATGGCCAATGACTCTGTAATCTCATTCATCGACATACATATTAGGCCAGCGCATTCTGCTTTGCTATATGATGCTTTGTTACAGTTCTGTTTTCCAGGGTTCGAGCCTTGAAAATGGTATCAACTCAAGAGCCTTGGTGCTGAGACAACGGCTGCGAGTGTCAAAAGGACCACGGAAGCAAACAGTCTATCTTATTCTATCAGCCGGAACTACAATGGCAGTGAGCAACTTGGGGACGTGACTTCAATTCTTACATCAGATGATGCAGCGCAGCCTGCTTTTCGATGAGCCAGACGTATCAAACCCAGGTACCCAGAAACTCTAATATCTAATCAACCAACAGCTCAAAGGATTGACAATCCTCAACAAATTGAGCCAGGCCTCTGTGTCCAGCCAACCTTTGTGCTAAGTTACACCAACAGACAGCCGTGATTGAAGCAGCCACTCAACCCTGAGGTAACACAAGCCTTTCCCTTGTTGGACCCTAGCGTCGGATGGGTCATATGTAACACAACACACGGCCCAGATTGCTTATTTAACAATGCAATACAGCTCTTCGGAAAACATTGCTCTCCTACGGTCCTTTGTCACCCTTTTCTCTACCTTCAAGTGTATCAAGGTGCTCAAGAGGCACGCACATGCGATTATCACTTCTTTCGTGTGGTGTTGGGCTGATATGAAAATACGAGAAGAAAGAAAGAAAGAAAGAAAAAGACCTCTCGAAATGAATACAGGGGCACGAAAAGAAGCACCGAAAACCAGCACAGGCGCCAACCCTGCTGCCATCAGCCCTGAAAAGCCTGGCGGAGTCTTGGAAGACGCCCACCGAGCCCAGCATGAGCCCAAAATTCAGGATCCTTCTCCTCCCAAAGAGGACTTCTTAGCGTGGCTCCAGGTCGTGGGTGCCTTTGCCCTCAATCTGAACACATGGTAAGAATGTACTTGCTCTGTTTTTATGATCATTTAAGCTGTCGCTGACGTGGCCCGTCGTTTGTCCAATTTAGGGGTTTGATGAATGCGTATGGGGTCTTCCAAACATTCTACCAGCTCGACCTTCTCAGTTCCCAGTCGTCGTCCAGTATCGCCTGGATCGGTTCCACGCAGGCCTTCCTACTGTTCCTCGTCTCCGTTATAACTGGTCCAATATTTGACGCCGGCCACCTTCGCTCCCTGCTATGTATCGGTCTCGTCCTGGTCGTCGTGGGCATGATGCTCACCAGCATCACCAGTCGGTACTGGCAAGTGTTCCTGACCCAAGCCGTCATGATGGGTCTCGGCTTTGGCTGTTTATATCTGCCGGCACCTGCAGTCGTCTCCCAGTATTTTCACAGACGCACAGCGCTGGCCATGGGCGTTTCGTCTCTAGGCGCTGCCTTAGGTTTGTGGTTTTTACCGCATCTTTGAGCGACTTCTGAAGACGTGGCTGATATTCTTCGACGTTTAGGAGGTGTTATATACCCAATTGTTTTTCACCAGCTTCAGCCACGCATCGGCTTTGATTGGACTGCTCGCGCCCTCGGCTTCATCATTCTGGGAACTACGATTGTTCCAGCCGTCCTTATGAGGTCCAGAGCACCACCAGCAGCAACATGGAGCCTTATCGATCGCGCAGCATTCACAGACGGCCCATATCTCCTATTGAATCTAGGTCTTGTCTTCGGCTTCATGGGTCTATACATCGTCTTTTACTACATCCAACTGTTCTCTCTCGACCGCACCGACGTCTCCTCGGGACTCTCCAATTACCTGCTTGTGATCATCAATGGCTGTTCACTCCTTGGCCGCACAGTCCCCGGCTATTATGCGGACAAGATAGGCTCCATCAACGTGCAGACTATGGCCGCTTTCATCGGGGCCATCTTGACATTCTGCCTTCTGGCAATTCATACTACTCCAGCTCTTGTTGCATACTGCGTGTTGATTGGTATCTGCTCCGGCACGTTCATGGGACTGCCCGCTGCCGGAGTTATCAGTCTCTCGGCAGACAAGAGCAAAATCGGGACGAGGCTGGGAATGACACTCGCCATGGTAGGAGTCGGCGTGTTGATTAGCAATCCAATTGCTGGGGCCATTGTGGGAGAAAATCGGAATTGGGTAGGACTGGTTGTCTGGTGTGGTGTTCTATTAGTCGCCTCAACTGCGTCACTGATGGCAAGCAGGATCGTCAAGGTCGGTCCTGGACTCACCAAGGTACTATGAGAAGGCATTACACCAATTTGGCTGGTTCTACAACACACAAAGGTAGCTCTGAGCGTCCCAGCGCATAGGTTGAGGCTGATGACGACTAGAATTTGACTCTTTGTGGAGGATCCAGTGAAATTCATCATTCGATCTGTCCATATTCACACAGAGATTCTCTCCATGAATCCCAAGATATCCATGTTATCTTCCTGAACATCTGAGATTTGGAGCCCGATAGAGTTCAATACGGGACCTCCTAGATCACAACGGCTGTTTCGTACGTGAAGGCTGTGGGTGCTTGTCTTTCGTCCTGGCTCACTGTACGCATTCTTATAGCGCCATTGGACGGTCCCCGTGAGCCTCCGGGACCCGGCCCAGCTCAAAGTCATAGGCTTCGCCGCTCTCGGTGTCGCGATCCTCGCCGGCACGAAGCTCAACAGGCCCTCCATATAGTACTGTCGAAGATGTCTCGTGATCTCTTGCTTTGTTATCGTTCCCGGTGTTGGGCATTTGTTGCCATCTTCCATAGCTATTCCCCGAGGGATTCTCCCTCGAGTGGTCCCACTGGCTTCCTTTTCTCGCAAAAATTGGCCTCAGGGTTGGAATGGACACGCATATGAGCACGAAATACGCTTCTAGGCTGAATAGGAAGGTGTCAGCACCGCTGAGAAGATTTGGGACCATATTGTCGATGGCTTGAATGGGTTCTTGATACTTACGTCCACCAGATTGCAAGTTCAGCCATGCCATCTGATTTATAGCGATGCGTGAGCAAAGATACCGGGTATTTCGTTCCCGGGACGTTGTGCTTCTTACATGTAAGATCGTTTGTCTTGCCGATAGCTTCGAGCTTGACTGTCTTGATGATGGATGCGACCATGGCACTGACGGGAACTGTTAAATCTAGTGGGCAACCAGCGCGACGCCGATAGAAAGACGAACTCACAAGATACCAAGACCCATCATGCAACTCAGAATGACTTTTTGTTTCCGTCCCATATTCAGGTTCCAGAACAGACTTGCAGGAAAGACCGCGAGTAAGAGATCTACCAGCGAACAGACAGCTATAAATCGATCAGTCGGGGGGATTTCTTCAGAAAGAACGGGGTTTTTCTCTTACATCCTTGGAAAAAGCCCGTATATTCCTGGATATGAACGTCCCAACAGGTCCCGACGATGTTGTGGTCCCAGAAGCGTTGTATGGGTTGACACTGGGACATGCTGATGATGACTGTCCCGACATCGACCACAAACTGTACAGCGATGATAGTCCACAGGAACCTCCGACGCCCTTTGGTAGGGGTCACAATGTTGAGGAGTAAATAGGCATACGAGATCCGACCGAAGCACGGGCACATGATTGAAAAGACTTCACACAAGTAAACCCATTTGACCGAGTTCATTTGATGTAATGCATCGAGATTCTGCACATGCTGCCCAAGGCCCCACGAGACGGCAATGGAGACAAAGATACTATCCCCAAGCGCTAAGGCCTGCCACGAACCGAAACATGTCAACCCTAAGCTGAGTAGGCAGAGAAGGATGATGACAATATAACGGGACTGACTACACTCACTAGGGTGAATAGAATGATCCAGTCATCGAGAGAGAGCCTTTGAATGATATTTCTGCGGACGTAAAATCGTGCTGTGACGATAACGATGGCGATGAAGCTGAAGACCCACGCCACAGCGACAAGCGCGGGTCCAAGATTCTGAGACGTATCACTGGCCATGGAAACAAAGGATATCAGCACAAAAGACGCAGAAGGGAGAAGGGAATAGCGGGTTTCGGCACTGGTCACCTTTGGCCATCAGGAAGCGGTGAGATGGCGGCTTCTGAATGTGTGAAAAAGGAGTAGTTTATGGGAAGGAAGAAGAGGGGAGAAAATCGAAAAGGGAAAAAAGGACCGACATAGCGACGGCAATGCCCTCCAACTCATGCTCAGCAAAACATGTTTCATTAGCCATATGTTACCAACCTCTGTCATCTTTGACGTTTCTCAAGGCGCAAGTTGATGTTCGTACACGACGATCTTGGCTCTAATTCGCCGAGGAACGACATCATTGCTTATGGAGGGATTTGAGTCCAAAGTTGAGCCACTTCGTATGCAAGACGGGAAAGGCTCACGCAGGCTGCACGAGACATTTCCGAGGCACACCGCTCGACGAAAAAATAGTGCACTGATACCGTTCGTTACGGTCGTGCAACCTCGTTGCTGATGCTTTGTGTCTGCCTCGGGATAGAGTGCTGTCGCACAGCATGAGTTTGGGTGACAGTGGTCAGCAGGGCTGTTACGTTTTTCTGCACACGCAGGGCTAGGCGAAATTTTGAGCCTTCCCAAAGTACCGTGCATCTCTCATGTCACAAAGAAATGCACCTGGGTTGCAGTCGCCTTCCAACGGTACAGGCAGTGAAACGCGATTGGCCATACATCGTTGCGCGATTCCCCCACCAAGGATGTAGGCTATTCACTAACAAAGCATAAATTTCGTCATGGTTGTTGGACAACTCGGATTGCTGGGTGGGTCTGATTTTTGGTGTATGTCATTTCTTTTTCACCCTTTCATCTTGTTTTCTAGAAAGAAAAAAAGACCACACAACCACTTTGCCGAGGAACAATTTGCGATGACCGACCAAACAGTTGCCCTCATTGCACAGCTGAGCTCTTTGGGTGAGAAGCTCTCTTCGGGTGAGAGTGATCAAAGCGTACGAAATGAAGCACTTGGTTTGAGCCGCAGAATCACGGCGAGCCTCGAACAGCCGCAAAACATTGCAGTTGACCTGGCATTTTCTGTGTGTCCACTTTCACTTTTACTGTCCCGGGCCCCTCGCCCCCTCCAACCCTGATACTGGCATCAGCCGCCCATATTGACTGTGTACAGCCCCTCCTAGCTACGGCTGCCAGAATAGCCGATGGCCTGGATCTCTTCAAGCACATCGCAAGCAACAAGGGGCCCATCACCTCCCAGAAACTGGCATCCCTCTCTAATGGTGAAGAACTTCTGATCGGTAGGACACTCGCCTTCATGTAAGAGGACAAACTTCGGTTTAACACCAGCACAGTTCGAGTCCTAAGGCCCCTCGCAACCATTGGTTTTATCAATGAAGTTGGGGAACAGACATGGGAGGCTACACCTATCACAAAAGCTATGGCCACGGAGGAGGTCGCCTCTGGGCATCGAATGGTGTAAGTCACATCGCCACTTGGTCTGCGGGATTCAGATCCAGATGGGATACTCATACTAGAGTACAGTGGTGAGATGATCATGGGTGCCGCGCAGAAAGCACCAAACTATCTACGCGAGGCCGGTTATCGCTGCCCGACAGATCCTCGTGATGGGTTTATGCAGTATGCATTTCAGACGAAAATGACGACTTTTGAGCTCTTCAGCACGATCCCGAGAATCTTCAAAGACTTCAACACCTTCATGGGAAATACTATGGGGGCAAGGAACTATTGGGTTGACTGGTTCCCAATTCATGAACGTCTACTCCATGGTGCAAAGAGCAACTCAGCTCTGGTCGTGGATGTAGGCGCTGGCAGGGGCCATGATGTGCTGGCATTCCATGCCAAGTATCCAGGTCGAGGGCGTCTCGTTCTCCAAGACCTGCAACCCGTGACTGACAGTCTTGCTGATCTTGACCCGGCCATCGAGGTTATGGCTCATGACTTCTTCGCTGAACAGCCTGTCAAGGGTAGGGAGAACCTCGTCTCTATTCTGGCTTGGTGCGGATATTTCGATATGGAACATTCCTGCTAATGTAACACAGGTGCCCGATCGTACTTCTATCACCACATCTTGCATGATTGGTCGGAACAATATTGTCTGAAAATACTGGAGCAGGTCAAAAAGGCCATGACGCCAGGATATTCCAAGCTCCTTATTCACGATTTAATCGTCCCAGAGCAAGGAGCCGACAAGTTCACCGCCGTATTTGATCTAGTCATGATGGCTTTCAACGCTGGGATGGAGAGGACCGAGACTCAGTGGAGGGAGCTACTCGACAAGGCCGGTTTTGAGGTGATCAAGGCATGGCCACCCCCAGAGGCGGGTGCAGACGGCATCATCGAAGCTATGCTTAAGGAATGAGAGATTTTTGTATGCATAGCACCCTGCAAATCCATTCTATTTGGGAGGGTATATAGATCAGCCATCAACTTCCGGATTCCTCCGGTCCACCATCAACGTTGCTTTCACCAATTCTGCATGTACCATTTCCAAACCGATTAATTACAAGAAAGCTTCCATAGAGCCTGGCCTTTGCAGCAACTCCACCTCAAACAAATTAAATGTCCGCTCTGAGGCCCATGAATTCAGGGCCTCCCAATTCGCGCAAGTGTGCGAATCGACATCGAAATTGGTTGGGTAGAACCCAGACTTGTCTTCAGGGTGTTGTGCAGTGTTGTTGATCCAGCGAAATGTGACCATGGATAGATCCGGCTGGCACATGAGCGCTTCGCGGATGTATTCTACACAGTGATCTGATTTTGAGCCTTAGCATGGATCCTACTTGTACTCATACCACACTATAACGTACCAACATGCTTAGCCTCACGTTGCATTGCATCGTCTGACTTTCCATGGTGATAGTAATCTTTGAATAGCATTCGCTTGACCTTCTTCTGTTGCATTGGTTACTGTCAATCAGTGATCTCTGGCCAGGTGTTCTAGCTTACAAGGACGTACCAAACAGTGTAAAGAGTGAAAGACGCTGAGAGAAACAATCCCTTCGGATCCGTTCTTTGTGTATATCGATGTCAGGTCGTGTTGGTCAAGATACTCCTTCGGTACTTTGATATTATCGTCTAAGTTAAACGGACCAGATTGTCAGAGATCATCGGAATATCGTGTTTTCCGCACGTTATAGAATGCAGACACATCAATATGGACTCACTGCGGAGTAGATCATGCCACGCCTTGTCGAGAGCTGGCCGTGGTTTACCAGCGAAAGGGTTATTTTCAATGTTTGTAAGAAAACGACGTTGTTCCCAGATGAGTTTGCTACCATCAGGCACTGTGAAGACTGGGTATGAGTCATTTGGATAGCCACGAGGATCGCAGTAATGAGGAGATTGCCGACGGCTTGACCTTACGAGTATTCTGAGTGCGATTTGTTGGAATTAAAGCCGAATTAGGCAGAATAGCTGTAGGTTCGGGGCGGAAAGAGACCAAAAGAACGAATAGTAGTGTGTACAGTGAAATTAAGCCTCCGTGGAGATATAGAGTCCAAGAGGTCTCCGACCGTCGGCGTGAGACGTCTTCTGTTCCAAGTAATGGGTCTTCGATTTGGTCTGGAATGTTCCCATCTTCCTCAAAGGATTCTTTTGAGTCCATCATTTTGCTTTCGTTGGCAACTTAGGGGCAGGCGACATGTGAGTAGACTAGCCAGAGAAGCAAACAACTTGCAATGGTTGAGTAGATTTTCCGAGGTGGGTAGCAAGAGTAGGCAGCCAGACTATACTGTGGAACCAGTACAGATTATATGCAACTTGGGGTTCCCCAGTGATGTAGCAAGAAAGGTTATGCACGAACATCCATCCATCCAGTAACGGCAATATTTCTCTGGGCCGTTTGGCCCGATCAAGAATACTCGGATGTGATAATGCAGTGTATGCCCCGAGTAAACACCGTCTTACGTGCTTATATTCTGCCGACAGCGCCTGAATTTTTATTTCATTTTGGCGGTTCATCTCAGACACTTCCATTTCGCATTCCAAGATGTTGCTCTACGGACGTCTACGCGGGTATCATCCAGTCTCTCAGGAGGCGATTTGGCCGTGGGGCGGGCATGGCAAGCACAAGGGTTTTCTTTTCATGATGATGACAGCTCTCCTATCTGGCTTTTTAGGATTTACAGCTGGCTCATTTTTCTCCATCTTTCCCAAGCCCGATTCAGACGTGAAGACATTGATTCTTCAACAACCGGGAGTCAACATCAAAGAGGTTTTCACCAGCATCCACACAACGTTCACGTATAACCGTACATTCGGGGCAGACCCTGAAGTTGACACAGCAACAGCGGAGGCTTGGGATTCGATTGTTCCACGTACGTTTGCTACGCCCATTTCTTACCCTTGGCCACTTTTCCCGGGCACGCCATGTACACGACTGACCATATGCATCGCAACGATTCAGTTGGACAAGGTACAGTCCAATTCCCGCCGCATAGCGCCCAGTTTCACACACTCTCTGTTGTGCACCAGCTGCACTGCCTCGTGAGTTTTTCTGCGCAACCTATCATATTGCGAGTGTTGGTGCTAACTTCCGATTCAGTGGGCCCTTCACCATTCCTACTACACCGCCTTGCATCGAGGCAATGGGGGCGAGGACACTGCATTAGGCCACGTCCGACATTGCTTTGACTATCTACGGCAGAGCCTGACATGTGCCGCCGATATGACCTTAGAGCCAATCGACCACACCCTGGGAGGCGTCACGGGGTGGGGAAATCCTCGTCTTTGCAGAGACTACTCCGCAGTGGCGGCCTGGGCAAGGGAGCATCGCGCAAATAACTTGAAAGGTTTCTCACATGAATAACCTTCAAGCGTGCCAGAATATGCGAGCATGACGCGAGGTTGCATCTCTCTACCTATGGTTGGTCTGCGGTGAAACGGTCAGGGAAGGGATGAGCACCGAGTTTCCCGATGATGCTTGATAGTGCAATCCAATCAGGCTGGCTCGATCCATGATACGGCGGCAGTTTCCAGACATTGTGACCGCTAGAACTGGCCCCTTCGCACCAGGGTAAGACATTATGTGCTACGCACCTTCCAGGGATTAACTTTCGTACTTTGTCGTCCATATAGTACATACTGAATAGCATAAGAACAGATCTATTCTGGTAAATGAATGCTTGGTTTCAGCAAAACCTGGTTATAATATGGGTAGTGGACACCAGAAGATCAATGGCAGGATGTGTTCAGCCTCGGTGGCGATGTGAGAAAATCCATTCCTGGAAACTGATTGGATGGACCGTTGACGATCTCCAAACACTGCTGCTCCTGTAAGTTCGAAAGCCGAAGACCGTGATGGAATTCCCAAATTCGACCGGCCCCCATATCTTTCTCCACTATCAAATAATCCCAAGGTGTGACGGGCGGTGAATTCATAAGACGTAACCTTGACGGTCGTGTTACTGTGGTACATCAGCACCCAGGAATATCTCATCATGGGGTGCTTGGATGCTACCCAAGAGAGAGAGTAAGTTCAACAAGGGCTAATGCACGAGGCTGACATCAGTTACAATCCCGCCGTAGTACAGATAATACTTGATCCAAGTGATTCGTACAGTCTGACAGCTTGGGCGTGGATCAGCATATCCTTCTATGTGTTCTTGTGATTCTGATTACATTGATGGGAAGATGATCCTCTTATGTTGACAGACACTAATGCAGTACAAGGTTACAAGGCTGTCAATAGTACCATGTGGTGAGCGCGGGTTTTTAGTCCTTGCTACCATCTTCATGGTACTAGATTTCAACCTCGTCCACATGTTTACAGTGTTGGTTGGTTTCTAAGTATTTCCCAGATCTGCAGATGACGCAGGACGCGTAAGGGTGATTTTTCTTGCGGCGGATGTTGATCTGAGGATTGTCCATTCGGTTGATGTGATGCGGAGAGGTGGGCTGCATATGCTGCAGTCATCGAAGACACCCTGATTCGACATCAGCATCCGAGAGTCGAGAAGAACAAAAGAGTTTGCATGAAGAGGGATGGGGTCCGAAAACTCAAACTAGAGTGTTGAGATGTATTGGTGTAGTTGACTATAAATCTCGACGAGGGGAATTTTGATCTACATTTTCCAGGCACCTAAATTACCTGCCCCTCTCAAGGCCGCTAGATCAATCCGTCAACTTCTTCCACCACAGACCTCTACTACGTTGCCAACATGAAGATTACTCTCATTCTTGCCTACCTGATGACTGCTTTGGGCGTTGTTGCTCGCCCTGGTAAGTACAATATCCCCGAAATCCGAGGTTTCACAAAATGTTGTTTGCCGACGTAAGTTGACAGTACTGACTACGGGATTAGTTGAGGACTCTGACGAAGCTGTTGCATATCCAGCTTCGGTTGACCAGTCCTGGATTGATTCCCAGACTTGAAACACCATTTGGTATGGATCAACGGCACATCACACCTTCTTCCTCGTGGGAGTACCGTTATCCAGTGGGCAATTGATTGGGTAAACATCCATGGATGCTTTGAATTATCTCTAGTAGTTTCAAATATAGCTCGAAGAATACTTCCAGTCCAGAACGACAAATTGAGCCTTAGTGAACACCTGATGCCGTGAATGCGTGAACAATGAGTGATTTGAGCGTACAGTGCATCTCAAGGAACTTGGCGATTCTGAATGCTTACGGGATGGTCGTTTGAAATACTTTTCCTATTTTGAGGAGGGACAGGAGGGACAGCTAGAGGCCACCCTCGGGGGGATTTGGGTGGGGGAGGAGGGGGGGGACGCCAAGACGAAAGCATAATTACTCGAGGGTCAGCTTGAAAATGTAGTGCACCCGTTGAAGAGTGACTGGTATCCGTTCTAACGACACTCTCATTTGATAATGAGTGTACACATCGCGATTACATTCACCTTTACATAATTGAACCAGATTACCAACTATTTTCTCGGATTCTTCCGTTCTTGATGTAATCAAGTTCCAGACCATGACAGCATCTGTTGAAGGCTACGAAGCTCTCCTCCGAGACTCGACTGAGGAGTCTGGCGAGAGCGGAACCAGTGAGAGAAATATGTACCGCGAACAGCGGTCTTCTTTCTGCAATAAGGTCTCAAAGTACAGTTCAACATTAGCCTTCTTCCTCGGCGTCTCCCTTCTGGTGAATTTCGTCTTGATCCTCTACACCTTTTCGGCATCCGACCCACAAGACAGCGGCTCAATCTACGGTGAGCATGATACTGTTGAATTCCAAGGAAAAACTTGAGATGCCCATCACGAGACGCGTCGATGGCTAACGCTTTATACTACACTGAAGCTGGGCTTCGACGCAACCTGCCCATCCAGATTTATCCAGAAACGGAGTACACCAACACCAATCTCACCGCCACGGCCGAACTCTGGGAAGCTCTGAGCGGCGATCCGGGGGTAGTAGCTCTGTCGACAGAGTTTGTGAACAAAAGTCGCCTTCCGCATGCCATGCGATTTCCTTGGGACGATGAAAAGGGCGTCTACCTGCTCCAAGGGTTCCATAATTTGCATTGTCTTGTGAGTGTACTACTCTGTCCTCAAATTTTGATCCAATATCCCACGACAGAAAAATTTAACTAAATGCTTTCAGCGGACTCTCTTCCGTTACATCAAGTATACGGAGATGCACCAGCCGCAGCATATCGCACTCAGCCATGCACTGCACTGCCTTGACCAGTTGCGACAAGACGTCATTTGCAATGCCGACGACACCCCGCGCTACGCAGGGTTTCAACCTGGTGATACGCCTACGACGGGCTCGGGACAGGTCCGAATGTGCAAAAATTGGAGCGAGCTGGAACGATGGTCCCTCGCCAACACCGCCTGTTTCAAGCATCACGATGAAGTTCCCGGTCCTATGATTGATCGATTCAAGTCGTGTCCTGATGGCCAGGTGCTCTGGCCGACGAAGAGAGAAGAAACGACTGCATCCGAATCAGCAAGAAAGGCAGGATGGTAATATTCATATATTGAGTTTATAAGTGAAGCCAGCACTCGCAGAACTCGCCGGGGGGGTGCGAGGGATATGAGCGCTACCAGGAGGGGCGCGAATATCATGAGTATGTATGATGGAAAGGCAACGCCTTCACCGATGCAGTTATCAAGGGATCGTTCGACGAGAGCCTGCGTACAAGCACATAGCCGTTCAAAAGTCCAAGTTATACAGACAATGTTGAAATAGGTACCATCATATTCATTTTTCCATAATATACTTTTGATCTAAATAGATGAAAGGCCTCAATTCTGAACATACTGTGCCATTTCAAATAGTCAAGCCTGGAGGGGTTGAGACCTTTCTTTGATGTCCTCTAGTTCGGACTTAAAAGCAATTAGGCATTTGTTGAGATCCAGATCCACTTTCTTTGCCTCGGGATTTTTCGTATATACCATGAAAAAGCATAGCACTTGCAACGGCTGTCTTCGAAATGCTCCAGTACGTCGACGCACAAATTGTCCCAGGCAGCACGAAAAGGTGTGATGTCGGAAATAAAATCCCCGTCGATAAGGAAACCGGCATATGGAGTTGCAAAGTAACTAACCCCATAATGACGGTGGCCTCGCTTCCTGGACTTTTGATGCATGAGTATAAGGAACATCACTTCCACTTAAAGACGAGTCGACGTGCTCTATTAAGGGTAGCATCCATAACACAATCCGATATGTCTTGCAGTTGAGAAGAGGGGAAGCGTGGAGCACAGTTCCATCGTTTCCTGCATCCACGCATGCACTCTTTGGAATCTGGCCCTCGAATCACCTGTTCTGAACATTACCACCTTCTTGCAAAGGTATGCTGATCAGGCCTTCTCTGGGTATCCTTCACTCTGGGCTCCGGGAGAGATCCCCTCATGCCCCCCTCTCCTCCCCCACCACAACGGGATTACTTTCTTTCAAGTTTATTTGTTACGCGTCAAAAAGGCCGCGATTATCGGAGGTCGCCGCATATGCACATCTCTGGCAATATCGGCACATGTGTGATGCATGCCGGATCACGCCGGACATAGGCGGCCTAGAACTCGTCGGTATCCACACTTTTGCTTCGTAGATACGACGGTATAGAGAAGAATTTTTAGGGTCGTCGTTTCTGTTGCGCGGGAGGAAAGGATTTTCTTTTGGTTCTTTTAAGGTGTGATCCATCCTCCGATGCCCACATATTATGATAGCGGTCCGTAGGTTGACTTGAGTATTTGAAATATATATTAAAGACTTGGCTCTGGCACTTGACTTGGACCACGCTGAGTATTTTAAAAAGATTCTGACCCACTCTTTCCATATTTCCACCTTATTTTTGGGTTCGTTGGATGTGATACACAAACCATCATCGCATCACCATGGCCGACGCACACCCAACCCAGGCCGAAGACCACGGGGTCGACGTGCTAAATAAGAAGTCTGCAGCCGACGCCGAGAGCGCCTACGGAGCCTCGACCATCCAAGCGGATGCAGAGAAGCAGAGACCGGCACAGATCGCCTCGGGCAAGAAGCGCCCTGGCAACCTGGTCGGCACGGCTATCGAGACGGAGGCTAGCAAGGGCGCCGGGCTCGATCCCGTGTACGCGGCCAAGGCACAGCTGCTCAATGAGGCGCTTCTTGACATTGGCATGGGCCGATATCAGTGGCTGTTGGTGGTTGTGACGGCGGTGGGCTGGTTCCTAGACGAGGTAAATTATAATTCATCTGGCGCAAATCTCTCTCTTTTAGTCCAAAATAGAAGATACTAACACGGCCCCCCAATCAAGTTCTGGCTCGCCTCCTTCACTATCATCCTTCCAGCCGCCTCCAACGAGGCTCAGTTCTACTACTCCTACCAGAACCCCACAGACCTCATGATCAGCGCCGCGGCGGGCCTCACCCTCGGCGCCGTCATGTGGCCTGTCATGTCGGACCTCTTTGGCCGCAAGCAGATGTTCACCGCCACCGTCGTGCTCATGGGCATGGCGGGTCTCGTTGGTGCGGGCATGGCTGCCTTTACAGGCCTGTGCGTCGTTGCCTTTGTCGTGGGTTTTGCTGTAGGCGGCAACCAGGCTGTTGACGCCATCTATCTCGCCGAGTCACTCCCCGCCAGCCACTCCTGGCTTGTCGCCGCCCAGGGTGCAGCCTGGGGTGTTGGCAGGTTGGTCGCGTATGCCGTGGGCTGGGCGTTCATCGAGCAGTTCACCTGCGGCACGGGGCCAGACGGCACTTCGACCGCGTCGTCCTTTAGCTCGCGGGCGGACCACACCGGTGGAGGAAGCACCTCCACCACCAGCAGCACCACCTCCTCCTCGTCGTCATCATCATCATCATCATCATCATCATCATCATCATCATCGTGCCACTACGTCTCCAACAAGGGCTGGCGGTACACCTGGTGGTGTTTCGGCTGCATCACCCTCTTCCTCTACCTCCTCCGCTTCTCGGTGCGCATGTACGAGACCCCCAAGTCCCTCCTCGCCCGCCGCCGCGACGACGAGGCCGTGCAGACGACGCGCGACATGGCCCATGCCAGCGGCCAGATCACCTGGCTGAACGAGGCGGCCTTTGCGCGCGTCGAGTCGTCCATGATCATCGAGGAAGGAGAAGTCGAGGATGAGGAGGCTGGCACCGCCCAGCGGGCCATCGTCAACAGGCGCAGCGGTGGAGCAGGAGGAGCTGCCGCTGGCATCAGCGCATCCGTCAGGGCCGTGCTGGGCTCCCTCGGTGGACCCCTGGGCCTCGCCTCCCTCGCCCTGCTCTGGGCCTCTCTGGGCCTCACGTTCATCCTGCAGGCCCAGTTCGTCCAGCCCTACCTCGCCACAGCCCACGGCGTCACCCAGGTCACCGCCACCACCGTGACCCGCCCCTACTGGTTTAGCCGCTACGTCTACATCTCCATCTGCGCCATCCCAGGCCCCCTTGTCGCCGCCGCTCTCTCCGAGGTTCCCTTCCTGGGCCGAAGGCGTGCCGGTGCGCTTTTCTCTCTGCTCGCGGGCGTCCTCATGCTCGCGTCCACGGCCTTGCCCTCGCGGAGTGCCTGGCTGGCGTTCGCATGTGTGCTGTCGTTTCTCGAGTATGCGCTGCTGGCTGTTGCTACGGTGTATACTGTGGAGGTATTTGGCGCGCCTGCTCGTGGGGCTGGCGTGGCCGTTGTGGGCTTCTCATGGCGCTTGTTTGGCCTGGTGGCTTGGATCATTGCGGGATATAGCTCAAGCTCGAGCGGTGCAGCTGTTTGGTTCTCAGGAGCACTGTCTGTGGTCGTCGCTGTGGTTTGGGTTTTCTTGCCCAGAGAGACGAGGGCCAAGGCTGCTGCTTAATCGGCTATAGTGGCTGTAGAGATGCCGCCGAGGGATAGTAATGATGGGTGTGCTGGAGTTGGAGAGGCTGGAGAGCAGTTGGTTGGGATTGATACCGCGATACCCGAAATGCATGACGATGAATACGGACGCTTAGGTTAGTCTATTATTGTTATTATTGTAATTATGAAAAAGGGGGACAGGATGAAAAGAAGGAGGGAGGGGAGGACGAGGAAGAGGCAAGACGCCTGCGAACATGGCCTGGCTATCACGAGTAATGAGAGTGTTCAATTGAAAGTAATGGTAGTAAGATTGCATGTGCTCTGCCACAAGTGCTCTGACTCCAAAACAGAGGGTGTACCTTATGGCATGTGCGCTCTCAAGACACAGTATACATCACCCAACATGACAAACAACATCCAATAGATGTCGGCTCAAACGATTCTGCCACCCTGCCCTTCTTAGACCATGCTTTGTGCCGTGGGTTTCTCCCTTTGGACCTGCCCCAAGCGCTTGACCTCGGCGGCATCCGCCAGATCCTCGTCGCTGAGTCCCATGCCCATCCTCTCGCGGCGGTGGATGGCTTGCTCGATAGTCTCCTCGTTGGCAATCTCGCGCACGTCGGCGTCATGTTCAACCTCGAATTTGCGACGGAGGTGCTCCGGGCCGATGAACTGCACGAATTTGGGTCAGTAGGGGGAAGAGGTCTATCTAAAAACTAAAAAGAAAAGAGGGGAGATTGGGACGTACCGTGAGCAGGATAACATAGGCATAGACGCAACCCATAAAGATGCAGATCACCTTGCCATAGTTATACCTCGGAGTCGACTTCCCGTCTTTCACCAGCGGGGAGAGCGGGAACCTCTCGCCGGTGGTGGCCTCGATGGTCGAGCTCGCCGAGCTGACCAGGTTGCCGAGTTGGTAGGACGTGCCCACGACAAAGGTGCGGAATGCGCCGGGAGACAGTTCCATCAGGTGGATGGGTATCACGCCCCACGCGCCCTGGACGCAGAACTGTTCGAAGAAGGCTGCGGCTATCACGCGCTCGGTCGTTACAAAGGTGTACGGGTACAGGAGTGCGCCACCCACGACACAGATGCAGATGATCGAGAGGCGCCGGCCAAAGCTCTGCGAGAGGTAGCCGATCACCGTACCACCAGTCATAGCACCCAAATTAGCGACGACCTGCGTGACGGTCACGGCGTTGGCACCAAATACAAATTGGTTCTGGAGCATCGTGGGGTAGAGACTGGGTTGGAGTTTGGTCAGCTGGGAAAGAAAATTTAAACATCGACATGAGATGAGAACACAAGGACTTACTCTTGGCTACCATGGCTCATAAAGTTGAAGCCGGCCATGAGCAAGACAAGATAGGTGAGCAGAAGCCAGTGTCTCTTCAACGCGACCTTTCCCTCGAGCAAAAATGTCTTGGAGACACTCGAGCCCTCGGTTCGGGCCGTCCTCCGCACAGACTCGCGCTGCTGGTGGACTCTCGTCTCGGGGAGTAGCAGCCGGTAGACGATGATGAGGATGGGCGGGCAAGCGCCGAACCAGAAGAGTGGGCGCCACCCATGAGAGGTAGTGTTCACGAGACCTCGAGAGAAGGCGGTCGCGAGAAGATACCCAAAAGCGTAGCCCTGCTGGAGGATGCCGCTCATCAAGCCTCGGGCTTCCTCTGGAAGATCCTCCAGAGCGGTGGCAGCAGCGTTGCCATAGAGTCCACCCATGGCAATTCCGAAGAGCGCGCGACAGGCAAGAAATTGCTGGTACGTTTGACAGAAACCAGTGCCCTTCACAAGGAAGCCACCGTTAGTGAATTATTTTTTTCTCTCTCTCTCTACTATTGCAACAAGGATTGTGTGTCTCCTGACTTACCAATTCAAGGACGACAAACAGCAGGTTGTTCACGATAAAAGGCCATTTTCTCCCGTAACGGTCGGCTGCGATACCAAAGAGAATCGAGCCCACAGCTAAAAAGAGAAGGACAAGCTGTCAGCTCAAAATCGGCACATGCACGTTGGGTAACCACTGAAAGCTTACATCGAAACATAAGCACCAGAGTAATCCCCCAGGTGATTTCGGCAACAGTCTTTCCAAACGTCTCGGCGAGATCGGTAGCGGTCAGAGAAACGGTGAAGAAGTCAAAGGCATCCCAAGTCTGTATAGTAGGGGGAAAATCAAAAGATCAGCCTCTAATCAGTCTCTAGCTGGGGCAGAGAGATGCAACAGGGAGGATGTAGTGTGAGAGTGAGAAGGTGGCTCCCAAGAATCTCGAGACTTACCCAGCCGAGGAATCCGACACCAAAGAAGGCCCAGTGGTGAGCACTGAGCATCAGCAACAGCTTGATTGGGTTTGGCAGCTTGGTCATGGGAGGCTTCAGGCTGGTGAAGCGAGTGCGGATGTACTCTCCGACAGACATGCCATGGTGTGGCGGCTCATCACCCTGGTGGCCAGCAACAGCACCCTCTCCTTCGAGGCGGTCATGAGCCAGACCATGGTCTACGGTAGGCTTCTCGTGGTCTGCCATGTTTGGTTGCTCAGGTTCGGTGAGTTGGGTTGCGCTGATGCAAGCAGCGCGTTAGGGAAGACGGGGAGAGTGAAGAGATGAAAGAGGACTATGTGCCGCTGGTATTTACTGGTAGCAGTAACACCTGTGTGCAGACACGGAACAAGACGTAGCAAAGTTTGTCGATGGGAAGGTGAAGTAGAAAATATAAGAAAAAAGAGAAGACCACCAAAAGAGTCTGGTAAACACTAGACTAGAGAGGCTGCATGGGGTCAATGGTGCGGGGTTGCACGCCAGTAAACCTAGTGCAGCTTCATGTGCTGGGGAAAGAGCAAAAGGAAGCTGAACTAGGCTTCCCTGGGATTATCTCAGGCCATCCATCATCTCTGATCCCTGGCCCCTTCCTTGCCATGTACAGCAGTACTTGAGTACTTGCCTACAGGACCACATCTTCCATACTAGCAGGTAGACAGACGCCTTCAGCTGGGGTCTTATTCCCTTGGTTCGCATACACATTCCTATCCTCAAGGGTGGGAGACTACAGCCTCGTGAGTTTTCCCCGACTCCAGCATCAATAGCCTGCATCACCTGGCATCACAGTGATTAAACAGAACAGCCCTCTTCTCGATAGTATTGAGACATCCTCACCTCTCTGTCTTGGTATCATTACCACCACCATCATCACAATGTTCTGTCAGTCGAGACCTTTCATCCTCCTTCTGAGCCACACAAACTCTCTCGCCATCGCCAAGGAACAAGAGAAGGGAGAGGGGAAAGGCTCAGGTGACAGTGGCTGCTTGGCAAGCCGCTGTTGATAGAGTGAGCGTCTTCGGTTATGTATGCGGCTGGTTCCCCATGACTGCTGGTGGTCTAAAATCATTGAATCCTTTGATAGTCATTGACCAGGCAAAAAGACATGTCGTTTTCCCCAAAAGAAAAGAAGAAGAAAAATCGGGACCACAATATGCAGAGGACAAGGGTGTTTGGGCTCGGCGATAATGTTCCCCCGCATAATGAACCCCGGGAACTGTGAAGGATCTCTCACGCGGACGATTGCCACCCTCCAAGCATGGCCAGCATGGTTCCAGTTCGTTGCTGAGTGGCTAGTTAATGTGGGGATGACTGGACAAGGGAAGCATCATCTGGGGATGGATGCGAGGCGGTAGGGTAGGTACAGTACAATAGGACACTGGCGCCCTTTTCCTCATACAGATCTGCTGGTCATCGACCTGTCCCTCTTGCCATCATCCTTCTCTCTTTTTAATCCACCCAGTACTGGTACAATCAACATCCTTCCTTGTTTCCGAGAGGTTGGTAGAGTCTTTTCTTACTACTCGAACCGGCCCCTGAGAGAGCCATGGAATTGGGACCGCTGTGGATTGGTTGTCTTATCTGGAGGATGGCTACTGTGTGATGTGGAACATGGGTTCTGACTCAAGGCCCCAATCTATCTATCAATGACAAAGGACTCGACGTAGTACTATTGCAGGTACATGGCTTTGACAAGGTGCACCATGATACCATAGCATGTAACGGTTCTGTTTAGTTCCTGCCCAGCTCCATATCTGATGGGTGGCAGGATTTCTGGGGCATGGAGAGAGAGAGCCTAAAGAGACAGGGGGGTAGGAGTGAACTGTGGGGCCCCTAAGTCTGGGGCCTTGTACTTAGGCGATGCTGGCAGAAAGGGAATTTATCCCCGAAGGGCCTTTGAAGGAATGCCGGCTACCCGGTCAAGGCACAAATATTGTGGTATCGTGCATACTGCCATGATAGTTCTGTAAAACCCAGATTAAACCAGGGATTAGCATAGTATGAGTATGGTAGAATGATATTTTGAAAAAGTCTGATACATGTAGCCTAACACAGCCTCAAGAATGAGCCTGATAGCTAAGCCAGGAAGGCAGGTGACTGGAATATATACTTGGCTGCATGCAGCGGGATTGGTGACGAGAGACTGTAACCTGTGAACATGAACTCCTCTCCTATCAAGGCCACGAATTCTGTATATTCTCATCTTCCTTCTATAGAGTATTCCTAGTTAGTCTTCGCACTAGTAAAGTATGTTTATCTCGCGTGGGAAGTGTTAGGAACCCTTGCGGTCAAATTCACTGCTCTGCATCATTGCGCAATTGCTTCTCATCATGAATGCCATCGGTCCTTTGTTGAACATCTCGTTCCATCTCATCAGCCTCATCCTCCGCAGACCTGCTCTCCCCCTTGCTCTTCTCCCGCGCCGCCTCCTCCTCCTTCTCCTGGCGCTTCAGCTTCTTCAGCTGCTGCTCGACGGCGGCGGCATCGATGTCCTCGAGATTCAGCTCCTGCAGGATTGAGCCAACCAGGAAGCGGTACTGGGTGTGCCCGAGGACGAGATCAGACACGTCGACATTCTCAATGCCCCCCACGTCGGGGATCGCCTGCAGGCCGGCGATTCCGTACTGCAGGCTGTTGGCGCGGTACAGGAAGGCGAGGAGGTAGTCCTTGCTCGAGTACACATTGATCACCCTGCCGGCCACCACAGACCGGATCCGGCGCCAGAGAAGAGGATCAGAGGGGACCGGCCCGCCGATCAGGCAGACCGACTCAACCAGGCCAAATGTCCTGCGGTTCGCCAGCTCAGTCAGGCACGAATAGATGACCCTCGCGCCGAGCGAGTACCCCATGAGCGTCACAGGCCTCTCGCCCTGCACCTTGTTGATGAGCGCATCGGCTAGGACGACGCCAGCCTTTTCGCTTCGCGACATGGCAACGCTGAACGGGTTGTCGATGATGCGAGAGGCCTTAGCCAGGCCGTAGGGCAGGACGAGTGCCGAGGCCAGGGAGGCGAAGATGGTGCGGCTCAGGATCTCCTTCTTGGCGAAGCTCCAGGCGTAGCTCTTGATGTACGTGTTGATGGCGTGGCCCAGGCGGAGCAGCGCCTTCAGCTCCCAGCGCAGCGCAAAGGCCTCAGTGCTATGTCCGCTGAGGACCTGCCAGGGGAGGACGGCCTCGTCCTCCTCCGCGAGCCAGCCTGAGATTCCCACGGCCACTCGGAGGTGTCGGGCGTTCCTGTCTTCGTGTTGCTTACCCCGTTGAAACAGGGAGGGCTTGTTGATGGGCAGAAAGGCGAAGTCCTCCACCTCTTTGGCATATTCGTCCACCATCCTACCCGTCATCCGACCACCATAGGCGCCGAAGAGCACACCGACGAGCGGCGCCGAGCCTGCCAAGGCTCCGAGGTATCCTGCAGTGGCAGTTGCCCCGAGGCCGAGGCCGCCCATCATGCTGCCAACGCCGGCCGCGAGCAACGGTGCTGCCAGACCACCCGTGACACCGATCAGAACCGCTCCAGCCACGGCGCCGAGGCCGACCTTCCACTTCCTTGCTGTCGAGTTCTCAGCTGCCTTATTTTTGGTCTCTTCGTCGGCGTTCATCTGCTGCTTGGCCACCTCGAGGAGGCCCTTGGCAGTGGACATCTCGTCCTGGGCCAACATGTCTACTGAAAGTCCGAGGGAGCTTGTCAGGCGCAGCATCAACACCCGAGACTCTGCCGGATATGACTCCAGCCCCAACAGCAAGAGGAGGATCGAGTGCATGATGAGGATCCGCCGAGCCTCGCTCAGGGCACCGAGAGGTGTCTCCAGCGGCGGAAAGATCTGCTGAAGGTGCACTTTCCCATCGCTCTTCTCTGCGACTGGCTGTTCACGACTCGTTGGGCGTGACTTCTGCTCTGGCTTGGCGGCGCCCCCACGATCCTCCTCTCCTCGCTGGTTGACGGCCTCGCCGACTCTCTGCATGACCTTGTCTCGCCAGCTATCAAAATGACCGAGGGCAGCGTCCTTCAGCTCCATGTTCTCTGGTTTAGAGAGGTCCTTGGTGCGGTTTTCCAGTGCTTTTCGTTGCTTCTCCTCTCTCTTCCGTTCTGTCTCTGCATCCGTACTAGAGGCTTCAGGCGCCGCCACGTCCTCGTCTGCTGGCACATCCTTCTTCTCTTCGTCTGCCACAGCTAAACTTCCGAGGCCTATAGCCACCGAGAATGTCTCCTCGTCCGTGTCAATCTTCTTCTTTTCTTCCAGTGGATGTTCATGATCTTTAGGAGCTCGACTCTCCTCCTTGGCCTGATCTGCTAGCTTTGCCTCGACCTTCACAGCATCGTCCTCCTGTGACTGGTCCGGTGAATGCCCAATCCTCAGCGGTGTGCCGACCTCAGTTTTACTCGGGTCAAAGGCGTCGAGAATCTGTGCCCGCATGCCCTCCATCAAGTCCGCGACGAGAAGCAGCAGGTTCGTCCTATCCTCGCGCGTGGGGAGCACGGTGGCGAGGGACTCTTCCTGGCCATGGCTGCCAGGCTTGGAGTCGGTAGCATCGCCCGTCTCCGTTAGGTTCTTGAGTCTGGACAGCATTTGTCAAGATTTCTTTTCTCTCTTCTATCCTCGACAGTCGATGGGAGACAGACAAAGACGGATTTCTGTTATGACTTTCTCACGTTGGGTGATGTAGAAACTTCGTCCCCCTTTCCTTTAGTTTCTCCCTGCCTCTGCAGAGGCCACCTACTGTGCACATCCGCCCTTCCACACCAAGCAGAGTCAGTGTGATGTCATGGGCCCCTCGTCATGGGCCCTCTCAAACCTAGGGTTAGGGTTCCTTTTTTGAGATCCTGTTCCGAGCCTGGGGGAGGACTGATCGTTAGGGAACGATTAATGGATCAAGTACAGGTAAGTGACTTGACAGCTTCGACCGAGGTCACACGAAGCACGCACTATGACGATTGTGGCAGTTCCTCATCAAAGCAATGGGACGGGAGAATAAGAAGAAAGAAGAAAAACAAGAAATGTACTTCAGACAAAATTACAGCACCACTGTAACGGTTGGTGCAGCCAATGGCCACACCATGCAGTTAGGCTGGATTGAAGCGATCCCATCGCAGTCGGAAGTTTATTAACGGGCCTGTAGCGCTGACCTCATTCATCGTCATTTTCCTCCTTGCGTGTGTTTCCTTCTCCCCCTCCTCGGCCCCTGCATCTCAGAAACAGGCCAAAAGCTGGGGTGATTTACGAGATGTTGCGTCCTCTAATCAAGCTTAACTGTAACAGCGGCTCATAATGAGATCATGGTGTCTGGGAATCATCGTACGAGGCTCTCCTTCGGGAACAAGAATATCTATATGCGCTCTGATGTCAGTATTGAGAACTAGGAATTGTCTCTAAATATGTTGATTACTTGTGCTGGATTGATTATGTACGTAGTCTAGTGCAGACGATGGATGTGGTTAAAAAGGCGATACTCCCACGGTCAAGACTCTCCTTCTTTATTCACCACGAGCTTATATCAAAACACTATAATTTACCATCACACCATTGAGAGACTTATCAATCTCGAATCCAAACAAATCCCTACACAAAGGTTTTCCAGCAACAAGCAACATGGGTATCGGAACCAAGATCAAGGAGGCGCTTCGCGGCGACGACCACGAACACGGAAATGACGATAATACTTCTACACAACACCAATCACAACAGATGCCAGGCAGCTTCCAGAATGATGAGCTCCCTCAGAGGCATGGCGATGGAAAGCCATACACTGCTCCTCACGGCAGCATGATTGGCAATGACGGCCACACAGGCACGGCTGGCAATACTTCAGGTATATTCGCACCCCCTCCCCATAGAAAGAACCCTTCACTCTTTCTCTTACTTCAAGAGCAATGTCCGCCTGTGCAGATGACTGATCATGTCAATAGCCACTTCTGGTGGGAGACACCATGACAACAAGCTGCACAAGAACACCGACCAGTACAACTCCCCCAGGGATGCATACAACACCTCGTCAACCGACAAACCCAGCCACCATACCGGCGACTCGGGCGTCGGCGTAGGCAGCGCAACGTCCACAAGGGACCCTAATCAGAAAGATGCAGCATACTGGGGTAACATCCCCCAGGGCACCCAAGGAGGAGCGACGACGAGGGAGTTGCCCGATCGGTCCACCGGCCACCATCACCATCACCAACAACACCATCACGACGGCCAGCACGCTGATCAGGCCGTGGGCGGCGGTGTGTACAACTCGGTCACGGGCGCAGGTAGCCAAGAGCATCCGGGCATGCATGCTACCACTGGCCAGTCCAGCGGCAGAACCGGCGATCCTCTATCGTCCGGCAGCAAGGGCATCCCTTTATCCTCTGCTGGCGGGAATAGCGGCACTGCTGGAAACAACGACATTTACGACGAAAGAACCAGACGCCATGGTGACGGCGGCGGTGCGCCCACGTCGCGGAATGATCATACCGGAGCGGGACTGGCCGGCGTGGGTGCTGCCACCGCCGGCGCGGCAGGATATGCGGCGCATGAGCACGGCGGGCACCACCAAGGAGGACGTGACAACACTGGCTCTACGGGTGGTCATGCGGGTTACAATGATGGCCAGCAATCTGGAACGGCCCCGGGTGTACCTCACAGTAGCATGCTTGACCCTGATCAGGGCTTCAGCGGTGCGACTGGACACCACAGCAGCAGCGGAGGAGGAGGAGGAGGAGGAGGAGGTGGTGGTGGTGGCCTGGGAACTGGGACCGCTGCCAACTCTTCGGTCGGCGGCACAGGATTTTCTGGATCAGACCCATCATCAACGTCTGGCGCGGGGAGTACCAATCCCAACCACTTCGGTCCTGGCCATGAAGGATCCAAGGTTCTTCACCCGTGTGAGCACTGTGGACGGGATAATGATATCAGCAAGTACTTCAGCAAGGATGTGGCGTATCGTCTGGGCCAGTAAATTGGTTATCATGTCTAGCAACGTATGATTGTACTTGATTATGAATCATTCATTTAATTTTGTGAATTTGGGGTATTTTTTGAATGGACTTTTGTCTCCTGCGCAGCATAGTAGAAAACGTGTATCCAAGGAGAAACTTTCAAAGCTCAGGGTTAGGTAACCCTGGCCATCTTTCCGCTTCCTGACTTTCCTCACAGAGGGCAGTCAGAATTTGATGCGACACTCATCTCAACGACAACCCATTCCACAACGACAAAATGCCATCAACAGACCCAGTGGGCCAAGAAGCCCTCCCCATCGATAATGACGCACCGTCGAAATCAACCTCACAACCCCCTACTCTACCCCCTAATGTTTCCATATTCTCCCCCCAGGACAAGCTAGCCTCAAAGACCCTCCTAGAAGCCCGTATCTTCACCCGCCTTACCGTCAGCGAACAGACAGACCCTTCCCAGCTCGCCAAGGCCCTCGCGGCAAGCCGAGACGTCAATCAGGGCTTTTGCTTAAGTCACGGCAACGTGGCGCTGGTCTTTGATGCCGAGCAGCAGCAGCAGCAGCAGCAGCAGGAGGAGGAGGAGGAGGAGAAGGTGAAGGATGCGCATCACGAGCACGTTAGGGCGGTGTGCCTTGCCCTCAAGGACCGGGACATAGGCCTGGACATTGCTGGGTGTGTGTTTGATGCCTCGGGTGCGTTGCAGGCTGGCTTCCAGTTTGACAGGTTGAGCGATGGGGCGGTGCTGGTGATTGACCTGATGGGCAATGGAGACGATGATGACGACTCCTCGGACGAAGAGGCTAATTTGGGGGCTCTTTTGGCCGGAGGGGAGGTAGTACAGTAGAGAGGGATAATTGGCTAAGAGAGAGACCATTCAGAACGATGTCTTGTTTTTATTATTATTATTATTATTATTTCGGGAAGGGGGGGGGGGGGGCAGGTGTCCTCAAAACGCCGGCCGTCCACAATCAAAAGATCCACGAGATATTTCAGCATCAAAGTCACAGAAGAACGGTCTTGAAGGTTGGCAAATCTTGCAGGATCTGTTTTCAAATGAGACATATGAGGGTGCAGCTGAAGAAGTCAACACACAAGCCACCGCGAAGATCCAGCGTGAAAGCCAACAACATATGGCGCCATGATCTCGTGTTTGACCATCCACCGCGGCTCTCCCAAACATCTGCGACACCAGTCACACAAGAAGGACAGTGGAGCGCACTCCCCCCACACCCCGGGGCAGCAGAAGGCTGCTCAGCCAATACCATCCTCCCACTCATCTCTAGATCTTCGACGCGAGGACCCCACCCTTGATAATGATGGGCTGCTCGCTGGAGAAGTTCTTGATGTCCCCCATGACCTCGGCGCCGTGCGCCTGACCACCCTTGGCGAAACCCTCAAGGTCGTCCCAGATCAGGGTGGCCTGCACCGAGTAAGGCTGCGCCTCGTTCCGCAGGTCGGTCACATAGTACTGCTTGAGGCCGAAGGAGGTCCACTTGCTGGTCACCAGGGGCATGTGTGTCTTGAGGTAATAGTCCATGTCGAAGGTATAGCCCTCCTTGGCGGGGTAGAGGACGGTGACGGTTGCGGAGGAAGACATTTTGTATAGTTGGTGGTGGTGGTGGTGGTGGTGGTGGGTGGTGATATTGAGTGGATGATATTCTTGTTGAATTTTGCAGTGTTGTTGTTCCGATATCTTTCAAAAGGTCGAACTCGTTCCAAGAGAATAGAAAACGTTGGCAGGGCCTGTGGAGATTGTTTTATATCTCTCCCTTCGAGTGCTATACTAGTGCGTCCCGAGGTTGCTTTTCCCGCAACCCCGCTCTGGTGGAGTTCAATTTGTCAGGATGCAGAGTGTGATGGCATGTTGGAGCCAAAAATTGGGGCCCTGGAGCTGCAACGCAGCAGGGCAAACAGTGATGATAAGTAAAGAACCTATCGATATGTTGGGATGTTCCAGACGCCATACACTGCCGAGAAGCTTGGACAGGGGTTCAAATGTCTAGAGACAACCTCGTGACTGTAAAAAGTAGGGACAATGTGCATGAAGAACTCAACGGAATTTTATAAGTGGACAGATTAGACAATGATAAAAAGCAAAGGAAGGTAAAAAGAAAGAAATAAAACAGACACCTTTTCTCCTCTCGACGATTATCAGTGAAGGGAAGTAACGAAATAGAGATGACCAATGACTTTGGCATGAAGGGTGAGATTCAGACAGTGACAGATCTCGCCCAAAGAAGTTTAATGGAAACCCTTTCTCAAAGTCCCATAATGAAACCTTCCATAGTCTCCTTGAAAACTATCCAATGACATGTCTATGTACTTATCGTAGCTCACACATCGCTCAACAACCCAAGACTTGAAGGTATGCTTGTGATGCTGCAGACAGGACATGGGCCAGGGCAATCATCTCTCATCTTGCAATTCTGCAGACAGGACATGGGCCAGGGCAATCATCTCTCATCTTGCAATTCCTTACTGTGATATTTCGATCAGTTTTTCATTGGTCAATGTGAGAAGATCGGACCCATGCCTTGGATGTAGGTAAGCATGTGGTTTTTTCTACCGCCAGCTGTTAGTGACGTTTACACGTGCTGTATGTGCGAAACTGCTGCAGCATCTACCTCTGTCAACCACAAGAAGCATAAGCGCTGTAACATCTGCACAACATTAGGTCACTGTTTGCTTGAATAATTTCTGAGTGTTGAATCGGACTTCAGGCATGGACATTTTGAAATATTTCATACATGCAGCAACAGGATATCTTCTTGCTCCAGTGCTCTCGGCCCGCCTGTGAAAGCCCCCTGTACAGCGCCTATTCCGCATAAGCCAATCAGCAACTGGCGAGGCAGACCACATCACTAGGGAACACCATCCTGGACAAACTACAAGCTCAAATTTCCCCCGATGGTTTTTTCTTCTTCTCAAAACAACATCATCTTATACTTCCCCTACTCAAGTAATTCATAATGACTACCGCTCCAAAGAACTGGCGAGACAAGGTCTGGCTTGTGTGGTTTGTCCTGCAAGTCTTCATCATCCTCTGTAAGCAGTCCCACCTCAATTCTATCTCCCCGAGGCGGCCTCTCCCAGGCAGCGCAGCCTCACTCTTGCTGCGTTTCTGAGGCCCATGACGCGCAACACATACTTCAGTAACTAAGACTTACTCTCTCTCATATCACAAGTCATCGATGGCGTACCCTACTTCTACCCAACATGGCTGTACCAACCCAAGGGAAGCCCACTGCACTTCCTCCAGCAACTCAGAGACCATGACATCTCTACATACAATGACCCTCTTATCCAGGACCATAGTAAGTGGCATGGCAGCACACCAACAGAAACACACACATTTAGCTCAATGGGACTGACTCTTTCTCCCCTCCGCCCTCACAGTGGCCCCCAACTTCATGCCCTTCCTTTTCTCCATCGAGCTCGGCTTTCAGCTCCCCGTCACCCTGTACTCCGCCTACCGCCTCAACAAAGGCACGACGACCGGCGCTCACGAGCTCCTCCTCCTCGTGTATGCGGTGGAGACAGCCTTTAGTACCATGTTGTGCATGAACCACGCGCTGTATCTCGACCCGAGCGACTTCACTCCTGAGCAGAAGGATGCCTTCCTCTACCAGCTGATGGGGCCGTGGGTTGCGTTTCGTGAGTAGCTCTTGATTTTTTTCTCTTGCTCTTCTTTCTTTTTGATGACAATGATGTTGCGCCCCCCCCCCTTTTTCCCCCCCCCTCTGCCCTAGTCTATGCTTGGGGAGGCCCCTATGTGCAAGGGCTGATTTTCTGAGAATTATAGCCTTGTTGATGTTTGTGGATATGTACTGGCGATTGTATACACGTGTTTCGGCGGCGAACTCAACCATAAAGAAGAATCAGTAGGGTGGGCGGACGAATGGATAGAGGCGTGGACGAGTCGATTCAAAAGGCGTTGCGAAATACAATTCTGAATTTGGAGTACTCATAGTAGAAACCATTAAGCGCCTGGAGTATCAATCTAACCGTTGCCCATAGATAGATAGGCTCAGTATATATATGTAAATGTATACATGAACCCTCTGCTTGTAAATATCATTACACCACCCAAGATCCTTTCCTCCTAAACCAGAGCTTTCCGTTCAAGCTTCTCAGTCTACGTTTCGCTTCGCCATTGGTATCCCCCACCCGTTGCCCACCCCGTTGAGTCCATATCCCAACGGCGTTGCACCGCCCAGCGCGCGGCCTCTAACCCGACTGGGCAGTACGATACCGAAGAAATACACGCCCGTGATACACGCGCCGGCCAGGAATGACACGAGGCTGTAGAAGACGGTGCTCGTGTAGATATGGCCGCCGATGCCCTGCCACTCGATCTTGCCCTCCGTCTTGGGCAGCGACGGCGTGGGGAACCAGCGCACGCTGAAGCTCAGGGGCAAAGGGTCGCCGATGATCAGCTTGCGGGTCCAGCTGCCGGCCATGTGGCTCAGAGGGCTTGTGCTGTACGCGATTCCCGAGTCCAGCACGCCGCTGTCGTGGGGGTGGATGTGGTGCTTCGGGGTGCTGTGCAGCAGCACGTTCAGGTGCGTGCTGATGTGCATGTGGCTCGCCTGCAGCGTCCCTGCGAGCGCGAACACCAGCGGTATGTACTCCTGCTCGGCGGGCTGCTCGCCGACATACTCAATGTGCGGGGCCGGTCGGGCGGGGAGGCGGCAGGACAGAGGGGCGTCGGAGTGGATGTAGAACTCAAGGAGGTGGAAGAAGGGGTCTGAGACCATGGGGATGGTGCAATTGACCTCGCCCTCGATGCCGTAGTGGAACTCGAGGGGTTTCCCAGTCTCTTCACACACGGGGAAAGGGATCCATTGGATCTCGTGGTTCTCGGGGTTCTCGATGTGTTCGCCAGTCTCTCTGTTGGTGTTGAGGAACCAAGGGGAGTCAGTACGCAGTCGTCCCAGGGAGAGTAGAGATGAGAAGGCCCAAGGCGCAAGAGCGATCGCGCAAACCTTATATGGCTCGTCCACTTCCAGTGTCTCCTTGTCTCTCAGAGGGTGTGCGGCTTATCGCCAGGGTGTGGAGGGAACTTACGAGCTCCTGTTCATGCACTCAACACTAATAGCAGCGCCATAGTGATATGAAGGAAGCGAGAGCTGGCTGGCCGGCGACGAGCTCGCTTGCACCACTGCGCTAAAGAGCAGCGCGAGGAGGAGGCCCAGCAATGTCTGCATGGTCAGTCGCGATCTTGCTCCGGAGCTGGTGACCAAGTGAACTAGGGCTTCCTCCGGTTCATGTTGTGGCAATCTGGGCGGGCGATGGGACGCAAGCAAAAGGGGAGTAGGGCGCAAAGGAAGAAGAAGAAGAAAAAGAAAGGAAGCACTGAAAGGTCGAAGGATGGATGAACCGAACGAATTGGGAAACGTGGCAATCGGCGCCGGTGCGGCAAGAAAATAGAACCCACAGCGGGTTTTCAGGGCCGCAGCGCCCAAAGCTCATCACTGTAGTTTACCCTTTGTGGGAAGAGAAGGAAGCTATGGCCTCCGTAATTTATAATCTAACACCTTTGGGGAAAGTAAGCTATTCTCTAAAGAAATTTGACAGCTCTTTACAGAAGATTTATCCGCTTCATTCCGCATTTGAGCTTCATAGCTGTGACCTACATGTATGCTCAAGCCATCCCATCAATATAAAATCAATAAGTCTGTCAGGCTCAACGAGGTTGTAAATATCTTGTGCTTATGGAAGTTAATGAGCTCGGTGTAAAATACTTCAGAATTAGGTGCTGCATATCTGCAGCCCAAAGTCCCCAGCACCCCCAGCTCGGTAGGGGTGGACCCCTGTAATTAAGGGCCCAAGCAACCCCCCACCAACCGCCGATAGGTGTTGGCTACGGGGAGCATGACGCGGTATCAGGCGCGTAGATTGATTTTCAGAACAACGACATCCACTTTCCAAGTTGCACCACAGCGCTTCGCCGCGACAAAACAACAACGATCCGGTGGCTCATCGCAGGGGCGCCGGCCCAGCGGTGGTCATGGACGACTTCTCAGACGATGGGTTCGACGAACTCAACGATACGACGCTACAGGAACTTGAGAATCATGCTATCCAGTTTACCCAGGCGCAGAGGTTCGATCAGTCGCAGTCGCAGGCTCTCAAGGACATTGACGACTACGGTTTGGAGGAGGACGACGACCTGGACGACGCGCTCGTTTTAGACGAGTCTGCGAATGCGCCGGTGCGTCCAGTTGTCGAGAGACAGACAGGCTCCACAGCCGCGCCCTTTGCCCAAGATGCGCGCCAGCTCCCGAGCCGGAGCTTCCAACAGCCACGATGGCAGCAGCAGCCCGTTACTGGTGCAAAGCCTCCCACACAGTATTCGACAATACGGAACTCTGGTCCTACCTCCAGCCGATATGCTGCTCCCGGACCCCATATGCCCCTACGAATGGGTCCTCCCCCACTTCCCGGCCCAGACCGATACGGTGCTCCTCAGTCGACCTCCTCGTCCTCCTCCTTTCGCCCGGGACACCAGCATCCCCAAGGCCCGCAACAGCAGGGCGGGGGCGGCGCCATACCGCAGAGCCAGAACAACTTGGTCGAAGCCCTTCAAGCACGTTTGCGGGCCCTCGAAAATGACCTTAACTCGGCCAGAGGAGAGGTCTCCATCGTCCGATCCAAGTACGAAAAGTCCATTTCAACCCACGAGGCTGAGCTCTCGAGGCTGAAGAAACAGAATGCTGAAGCACTCGCAAAGCAACAGCGTCTTGTGGACGCTGCCATCCAGAACGAGAAGACTGCCGCGACCGAGCTGCAGTTCACACGCCAGGATCTGAGGGAGGAGCTGCAGCGGTCCAAGAAGCAGCGTTCAGAGTCTGGGCAGGCCGGCACGTCAACCCCCAAGAAGAACAAGGCGAATGTGCGCAACAACGTTGCGGACGGTTTCGACGATGTAGAGATCCTGCCAAGCCCATCCAAGGCCCAAGGCGGTGCCAAGGGCAAAGGAAAGTCAGCCTCTTTCCCAGGGCCTGGAGAGAGGACACCCAGTAGGGCCAAGAGGAAACGACCGGCAATAGAGAGCCCCGTGACAGCGTTGGAGGTGGAAGACGATGTGGCCATGGTAGATCCAGCACCTCCTGGTGGCGGTGCGCAGCCGCCTGGATCAAATCTCCGGTCGACTGCCCTGCCCTATGATCTTCTACGTCTGGTTCTCGATCACGGGGCCATCTACGGCCAGCCCTTGACTTTTGATCTGCTTGCTCGATACACCTTCCCGTCAGATCCGGACCAGTCCTTTGCGGGCATCATTTTCCAGAAACTACCTTCTCTGGGCGATCCCCAAGACCCTCTGCGCTTGCTTATCGACTTTTGCAACATGATCATTGACCTCTGGGATCAATGCTTGAAAGAAAAATACTATGAGCCCATCTTTGACCTTGCATCGCTTGTCACCTTCATCTTACAACTCAACACAATACCAGTGGCGCCCTACATCACCTCGACGTTGATACCTGTGGCGCAGACTACCATCCTGCTTCTCGCGGTCCCTCGATTCGAAAGTGTGAACGGCGACCTCTCCACAAGCCTGGACGAGAAGATTCCGCACCTCATCCTCAATATCGATACCGAAGGCACCCTCCAGCTCATGTACCTTACGGCTCTTGGCTGTGTCGACTCCTATTTGCTCAACCCCGAGTACCCTTTGGACCTCGGCCCCGATCGTGACTCGCCACAGAGACTCTATTGGAAGATGGTGGAGATAGACTTCGTGCTTGCCATGATCTCACATAAACAACCGCACGACGAGTTCCTCAGGATTCTCAGGCTACTATGCACATCCTGTCTTCCCGACTCCATCGGTCCCATCACAGGCAAAGAGGCTCGTGATCCGGTCTTCGTGGCACAGGCCCTCATTGAGCGCGTGAGCAAGGTCATGCACATGCCTCACCTGTGGGTGACGCCCGCCGATTCGGCTGGGGCCTATGGACATCGGCAGTGCCTTGTTCGGCTGGAGGCCTTGAGGACGCTGATGGCCTTTGCGCAGTCGCCCTTCGGTGCAAAACAGATGGTATTCAGCGACGTCGCCATACCAAGGCTGGTGAATGTATTGTGCGGCGCTATTGATGCGCTGTATAATATGGACGTACCAGTCAAGCTTTTCCAGCCAACAGATGATGATTCCGAGGGTGAGGCGGCAGAAGCCTCCAATGAAATGGCAGCAGATGTAGACATGATTTACAAAGTCCCCAAGGAGACGACCAGACCACCAGCTGAAGACACCAACACCAACCCATTCTCAGCCACCAGTGAAGAGACCCTTGATCCCAATCCCACACCGCTTCTATACACGCTCATCTCCTCCATCGTCCTCCTGCTGCACGCGCTGGTGACAGACCCGTCGACCTCGGCACACATCGACATGCGCGCCAAGCTGTCAACATCGCATGGCGCGTCCCAGAAGTACCTGCTGGCGTTGTCGCGTCTCAATTACGTTGAAGAGGACCTGATTCTGGAGGCGGGAATCGACCCGGTCACCTGTGACCGAGCAGCTGATCTCTTGGAAGTAGCCATCACCCCGGTTGAGGCGGAAGGGGTCGAGGAGGTATTCCAGCCGGCAGAGGAGGCATTTGGTTAACGGCCCCAAGGCCAGCCGTTGCGGCACGGTTCTTGATTAATCTGGCGCGCCGATGGTAGTAGGAAAGAAGTATGCTTGATGTGTTTTATGAGGTATGACGGCATGCGAATGTGGTATCACTGTCTCCTTCTGGTTTGGCTACGTGAGACGTATAGCTGGACACATCTCTTGTTCTTCCTATCAATGTTGCATATCAGAGACAGCAATTCACAAGAAGCTCAACGTGGATTATTCATGGTTGGGAATATAATTCGTTTCAATTCATTAGAGGGCAACAAGAGGAGATATGTCTAATGGGGCGCCTAGAAGCCACATCTTCTATAGACAACATATTCTTCCATCCGCCATCCTGTCATCTCGATCTGACGCATCACACGGAAATACAAGAACACGCACAGTAGTTACAGGTCCCTCACGTTCGTCTTCCGCTCACGATCTTATTTTTAGCTCTCTATCAGCGCGTCTTGCGACGAGTCACGCTGCTTCCACTAGCAGTAGCAGAGGCATCCGACGACGCAGCAACAGCCGCAGCGGTCGCCGGTGTAGTAGTCGCCGCAGAACCGCATGCCGCAATTGCCTATATCATGATTTTTAGTAACCAAGGCGAGAGAGGGGAGAAGAGAACAAGAATCACAAAAGAAGCACTAAAACAAAAACAAAAAAAAGGAAGAAAAAAAAGGGGCCTACTTACGTCAGCCATGTTCTTCATGTTCTGCATTATTCCCCCCGAAAAGTCCGACTGCAACACAGTGACACGCTGCATGTTACCCTCGACATCATCCACGCCGGTCATGGTCAGGTTGCCCGCGAGGCTCAGCTCGGCCATCTGCGCATTCGCGATGACCCCCAGCCCCGGCGTGGCGGCGTTCCCGGCGGGCATGATGGCCTGGTTCGTCTTGCGGATGCTGACGCCGTTGTTGAGGACCTGCAGCATTGCGGTGCGTGCCTGGCCCCAGGCAGCCTGGTCGACAGGCGGGGTGGCGGTGAGGATGAGCGTCATCTTGTTGGCTATGGAGACCTGCGCCTGCTGGTTGGCTATGTTCAGGGCGATGCCCTGGGCTAGGATGGAGGCCTGGGCACAAGTCGTTTCTTGGGCGGTGGTGTTCGACGATTGTCTGGCTGCTAGGCGGACGGCGGCGAAGTGGTCGTCCCGGCCGGCCGCATAGGCATAGGCCGAGACGGCGGCCAGGAGGACTTGGAGGAGCTTGGAGAAATGCATTATGAAAATAAAGAAAGAAAGAAAAAAAATAGGAGGATGTTGATGCTGAATATGAATTAGGGTATCTTGAAAAGGGGTCGAGTGGCTTTTGTTGCTGATGGGATGCCGAATGAGTAACAGCAAATGGACAGGAATGGCAATAATAAAGACAATATTGTCCAGACGAGCCTGCTCGCTGGGAGGTAAGGGAGCCAGACACACAAGGATAAGAAAGACGCGATGAAATACAGATGTATTCAAGTCTGGCACATCATCTGATTGCGACTGAAGTCTGCTGCGAGCACTTCACATATATATACACATCATTCGGTCTCGACGTCAGTTGAACGCAATGACCATTCTTCTCAAGTTGCGCCTCCTCCTCCTCCTCCTCCTCCTCCTTCCCCTCCCCACGAATTAAGCTATCGGATCCCAAAGAGCCTGTGTTACTGATGAGCTTCGCAACCAGACTTGGCATCTTCCAAGATTGAAGGTTGAGTAGTATTTGCCATAGAGTTCAGTCCTCTGTGTAGTGTGGTATTGCAACAGCTTGAAAAGGTGAGACAAAAGTATCGAGGGCGTCCTGTGCGGTCGCTCGCAGATAATTACAGGATCAGTTCATATTCATCTTCCAACTTCCACGCTGCCTTGTTTTGGGTTCAATTTGCTCGCAAATGTTTCCCACCATAATGCTCCGAATGACGGCGGCTGGATGACATCCATCAATGATCATGATCAGACCAGATTTTATTGTTCCGCGTTGCTCTAGTCTGAATTGCGTAGATCAATGGAAGCCCAAGGTGCAGTTGTCCCAACATCTCGTCTGTGCGCAAACATGTGTAGGTAAGAGGTCGGTTTGAACCTTAAAAATAAATCAGGCCGGGGTTCCAGCCAAGGCAGGCTTTTCCATGCGATCACTTGCCGCATTCTGAGAACCCTAAATGTTCGCAAGGCTAGTCCGTGTTTGTTGGTTTGGTCCTGCGCCATTCAAAGTTTCGTAGTTTCGCCAAGCTGCGTGCGTGCTCGACAGCTGTTTCGCATCGCTGAGCAAGACCCCGGGGTTCATGGACACCACTCTCATTGGTTGAGTTGTATCAACCCCAACGGAGGTATTGATCTCACGGACATGAGGACGGGCGAATGTGTCAATGTCAGGTGTGGCAGACGAGGGGAATTGCCCCTTTGTCCATTTACAGAGTTTAAGTCTCTGGCGGTTCGCAGCCGAGTCAATCACCTCTTCGATTGCAGCGCAGCTTCCAATTTCCGCTCAGCCCGTGGAAGCGATGAGTACCGGCCCTCGGATTCCGAACTGTTCAGCGCACATCTCAGCGTCGGTCTTGGCTCGAGTTGAAGACAGCAACGGATGCAGCCAGTGTTTCGTTCGGTAGCCCAGCCGCCCCGCATCATTGTGGTGGTGCTGAGGTTGTCCAGTTTCTTCAACGTTACTATAGTAATGCAGAACTTTGGTTGAGGTTCCGTCACGAAGGATAAGTGTTTCCAAACAAGGTTCAACGCACGGTTGGGGCCCTGTTTTCAAGGGTGCTGTCGCCAGTCGCATCTCCTATCGGCGGTGCACCATTGGCATCTCCTTCCTCGTACGTCTTCCATCGATACTCCCTCTCGATGCCGCCGCGTCGCTGAGCAGTGTCGCAGAGCTCGGGATTCCCACACTCGCACTCACCACTAGCTCTCAGCCACCGGTATGTGATGCTCCACCTATCCTCACGCGTCCGTACCGTACCATCAGGGAGGGTGTCCGTCTTGCGCTTCTTGATGCCATGCGTCCAGTGCAGCCTTGAGTCGCCCGACATCTTCATCAAACTGCGCGGCTTGAGGTCCACGTCGACGCGGCGGTCGCCCCTGCGAAACTGCATCAAGACAGGTGAGCCCAGAGACAGCGAGTAGAGCTGGTCATAGGCAGAGTGGGTGTCGACGTGAGGCGGGATGCCCGCGCCTGGTGGGTAGTACTGCAGGCAGACCTGCTCTGGAGGGCGGCCCTCGTATGTTGGGATGAGTGGTTTCAGCCAGTTTGGGAACTCCTTGTAAGGGATGTCTGGGTCGACGCCAAAGGTCTTATAATCGAAGGTATAGCCATAGTGCAAGGAGATTCGCCCTGTGCGGTCAGGCCATTCGAGCTCGTTGTGGAAAATTTGCACGAGTTTTTCCTCATGCTGCGGCGAGACAAAGTCTTCCTGCCAGAGAATTCCGTGCGGCTCCAAAGGTAGTTCTTCCATCACAACGAGAGCAAGAGCTTTCTTTACTTAGACAATGTGTTGGAGAACCTGGTAGGACTTTTATCACAGGGGGGAAACTTCTTGGTTGTACATGGCAAGTGAATTCATTGGACGCCACTTCTGCTTCAGAATTAAACCTCAGCCGACCCATCAACCCTAACCCTCTTCATAGGGAAAATGTCAGACGCCCAAATGTTCCGAGCAACAACAGCCTGCTGAGAATGTTCGATTATTGATATAAGAATAGACGTAGTGGAGAATTCGGCTATGCCTGTCGTTTCTTACCAGTAAGGACTACAGTCTGTCATGCGAGCCTCAGCCTGTGTTATCTTAGCGGCCAGCATCACTCATCCATCTCAGTTCCCTCTCAGAAGGTAATGAACATCAGAGGGCAAGTTTTTCAGATTATCCGGGCAAGCCCCTATACAACCAATCATCTAAAGCCCGAGACTTCTATTTGTCGAGGTCCTCAACACGAGATCAATGCTGTCCACCTTGCGGATTTCATCAGAATGCCAACTTTCAGCTGAGGTATCTCATATTTTGTCGGCCCTTCACGCCCTGACAGCATGTATTAAATTGCTCTTTGGACACTTGTCCAGCTGGGCTACACCTGCTGCTGAGCCGTGTTATGTCACTCGGGCTGACCGATGAGACTGGTCACTCCAACATCTCTCCTGTAATATTAATTGTAGACTATGAGTTTCTACGTGTCGCCCTGGCAGGAATTGAGTACAGTAGCTTTAGTGAACACCATCCACCATCACTTGATATTGTACCTCTTTATCTCTGAGCATTGTGCTACAGCGTCCACGAATTTGATTGGCTGTCACGCAAGGCGGTCGTACTGAATTGCTTCTGTTACCTTTGTGCTCTTGACACAATGTCTTACAGCCTCGCGTGGAACGGCCCTTGGGTTTCCGATAGGGCTTCGTGGAAAGCGATGCCTCAGATATTGTTCCGGTTGTCACAATGTCCCTGTTCGTATTGACAAGATATCAAAAACGTTCAATATGGGCACGAACATAAATCATTGCTTCTTCCTCTCTTTTCATTTGCACTGAGTTCATCAATCTTTCAAACTCAGTCTCTTTTGTATCATAGCCAGGAAAATCCTCTTTTCTCAATTATCCGAACCCTCGGCACGTCCCTCGATTGAATAGGTGCTCATCATGAGACGCCTCATCTTCGCCATCATGTCCTTGGCCGTGTCTTCTACCTCTCAGGCCTCCTACATCAATGCGCCCTTGACGGACTGGATCAAGAATGGGCACACCGATCTCCAGTGGTATACAACCATCTCGGTCGGCACGCCTCCACGAAATTTGTAAGTTGAAAAAAAAAATTGTGGCAATAGTTGCTGCCAGTCATGTTGGAGACTAACGCCTGTGATACACTCTGTCTCCTAGTACGGTCCTCATCGATACCGGCTCACACAACCTGATTCTCCCAGAGATTAACTGCACCACCTGCCCTTCTAGCCAGAGGCAGTTCGACCCTACGGCATCCTCTACCTTCTCCTGGTCGGCTCTTGGTGAATCGAATCCCAGGTTCAGCACAGGCGGCGACACAGTTCCCCTCGCAGAACCCCAAGGCGCACAGTGCCGCTGGGCCGTCGACGATGTGTCCATGCAGGGGCTGACCGCCCCATCCTTCACATTCCTCCTGTGCCATGAAGAAGACGAAGCCATGACGACGCAGCCTGGGATCGACGGAATACTCGGCCTCGGCCTCAACGGTACGCAGCCGGAGTCGTTCCAGTACGCCTTGTACAATGCAGCGCTGCTGAGTAGTGGAGTCTTCATCCTGTACATGCCATCAGGCAAGTTCAAGGGCGGACAGCTTGTCATGGGAACTAAGGATACGTCCAAGCTCGAGGTGGAAACGGTCTGGCTCTCTCTGAATCGGGAGCTATCTGCTACTCACTCGCAGTGGACCATGAATATGCAGACCATCTTCATCAACGGGCAGCAGCTGGTAGTCCACAGCCCCAATACCACCTCGTCGTCGAGTGCGAAGACCCCATATCCGCAAAGTCTAGTCCAGGCCTTGGACACGGGTACGTCCTTCATCATGGCCCCTGACAACGCGACGGCTGCCGCCTTGTACGCCCAGATCTCCCCAAAGATCTACCAGATTGATCCTGTCGGTACATGGGGGTGCTCCTGTAAGGACATGGAGGCAATTGTCAAGTCTGGTGCGGAACTTACGTTCCTGCTTGGATATGACAGCGACGAGACGCAGATGAACGTCACCATCCCGAGCAGCGTGTTCAATCTCGGCCCGTACCCTGGAACGGATGACATTTGTCAGGCTGTGGTCAACAACTGGCAAGACGGGGTCTTTTATAATGGCATCGGCTTGTGGGAGCTTGGATCGCCGATGTTGAAGAACTATGTGACGGCGTGGGACGGCCTTGGCTTACGGGTCGGCTTCGCTCCGCTGCACGTGTCGGCGTCAGTACACTCGTCGACTGGCTCGGTGGCGGCTCCCACAGCACGCAGATCATGAACCACCCTCATGCTAAACCTTCATTGGAGAGTGGTACTCTGAGGGGCAGAAAGGGCTCAGAGGTAGTATTCAATGAATTTGCGATGGCGAGACAGGCATAGATGATTAGGGGCGTAATTAATTAATTGGTGATGGCATGGAGGTGATCCAATGAGGGAGCAAGAAAAATGAGCGTGTGTAAAGTACATGTAAAAGTAATGCGATTTAATTTCCTATCGTGTATTGATACATGATTGATACTCATGAGAAACCTTCCAGAGACAGACATGACGCCCATACGCCAGGAATTCACACCATTTTCCACTTAATATTTTGACTCGTGCATACCGGTACACCATCCGGACAGGTCTCATTTTCCACAGCATCATCTCAGCGACCAGACACAACATTCAGCACGCCACCATCGATCGCAATGATCTCCCCATTGACATAGCTGTTCTTGGCCAGGAACAAGACCAACATGCCCATCTCCTCATCCCGACCGCCTCTCATGGCCGGCACATGGCCCTTCTCGGCCACCTTCTCGGGCGGCAGGTGGCTCTTCTGCTTCTCATCCGAGCTCTTGGCCGTCATCTCAGAAGGGAAGTACCCAGGCGCAATCGAGTTGACCCTCACGCCCGTCTGCTGAAACTCTGCGCTCATTAGCTTCGACAGGTGCACCGTGGCGCCCTTGGCCGCATTGTACGAGAAGTGGCCCTGGGCATGCCTCATCAGGCCCGACATGCTCGAGATGGTGATCACGCTCGGCACGTACTTCTCCAGCGGGCCCTCGGGCTGGATGCCCGCCTGCAGCAGCGGGAGGAACGCCACCGTCGTGAAGTACACGCTCGTGACGTCCGTCTCGAATGTGTCCTGCCACTCCTCCACGCTCTCCTTCTCCCACAGCTTCTTCTTCAGGTCCTCGGCGTCCTCCTCGTCCGGCTCGGCCTTGGGGCCTGCGATGCCCGCGTTGCAGACCAGCAGGTGGATGTGTGTCTCTCCGTGGGTGGTGCGCAGCTCCGTCACAATCTTCTCGAGGTCCTCCTTCTTGCGCACGTCACAGGGGCCTAGGGGGATGATCTTGCCGCCTGACGAGAGAGTAGGGTTGTGGTGCTTCGCGGCTGTCTCGAGGGCCTCCATGCGTCGGCCTGTGATGTAGACCTTGGCGCCGTTGGCTGCGAGGGCCTGCGCTGCCATCAGGCCGATCCCGCTGCCGCCACCTGTGATGACACATACCCAGTCCTTGACAGTGAAGAGTTTCGAAACGTCAAAGTGGTGTGTTTCCGCCATGGTGTTCTTGTTCTGTCAGGTTGAGCCGCCGGTGAAGGTGTGGCCAAGGTTTGCGTGTGCCGTCTGGGTCAGAATGCCCACAGAATTGGAGCATAGGTAGTACGAACTGAATTTTGGAGTCGATGAACGAACGGATCTTTGAGGATTATCAGTGTTGTTGGTCGAGTGGAATTTATATGTCGTCGTGGGGAAGCGGATCTTGTCCACCCCCAGTGCAGTCTGGGATGACGTAGTGACGTCGAGATGACACCTACGGCTTGGTCGAGGCACAGTGTCGTCACAAGCGGCTTAGGACAGGTGTTGACTAGTGAGACAAATTATTGATATTCCATTGATTGATCTGATCGGAGGACTTGTAAATTATTCCGTGATTAATGTCTGTCTTGAGTGTCTTCGAAAAGGACACCAGGTCAACGATGGAAAATAGCCACAAGGCAGCTACTTGATCATCCGGAGACGTCATACAAAAACCCCCACGGACGAATTGTGTGTCGAGGCATCTCAGATATTTCTCAACAGGAAAATGATTAATAAACTTGGAGCAACAGTCTCAATCGCTCAAATGAAATTGTCAAGTTAGCATCAGCGCCTTTGCAACTCCAGACGCGACCCAGCACCCACAGGAAAGAGTGAAGATGCACAGAGACCATAGTACAACTCCATACTGGGCTCAACGCGGTCAAGTCGACCTAAATTGAACTCCATCACTGCGCTGACTCATCAAGGTACGCTATCTACTGCTGCTCCCCAGGCTTGACACTGGGTAGTATGTGGACCCAAGAACCATTGAATGCATCACCTGTCATCATCCCTGGGGATTATCTTGCCTAGCCGCTCTGTCAATCGGTTGGGAATTTGAGTCCATCTCCTTTTGCTTGCTAAAATGCCACTGCAGCATGAACAAAACTTCGGTAATGAAGCGGTCGCCCTCTTCCGTCTGCCGATCCAGCATGTCTGGCAGCAATTTGATGCGAGCTGTCAAGTCCATGCCTCCTGGACCATGAAGGAGCAGCTTGCGGAAGTCAGGGTCCTCGTCAAATCGCTTCGTGACCATTCGAATGCCCTGGATTCTTCTCTGCTTCCGCTTATCGACGGAAGCTCGCAGAACCTCAGCATCATTCGAGTTCCCGGCCATGATAATCAACTCGATAACTTCTTTTGGTGGCGTCTGTAAGAAGAGGACTTTGTTCTCCTCGACGATAGCCCTGAACTCACCGTTCTTCGCCAAGTGATTCCTCACTTGCTTCATAACAACTTGCCATGCGTCGTTCCGCAGGGCCCAAATCTCATCCATGGTCTCTTGTACGTGGGTTTCTAGCTCATGAAGCATCGAGAGGTTGATGTTAGAATCGGGCAATACAGCGAGATGCTTCACGAGCTGATCGATTCGTCTGTCCAGAGCGGCCAAGTAGATGTCTGCCCGTGAAGTTGACTTGGGCTCTGGAAGCAACTTGCCCTGCCCATGGCTGCCTCCACAAGGAAGCATAGCGAGGTTTTGAGCCATCTCTTCAAGAATCAACTGCGTCATCTCGATCACGGACTGACTGAGTTCTTCAAGCTCTGGTATGGCCCGAAATTGGTCGTGCGCCCTGTGCATGATGTCTCCTGCAGCATCCCGACAGGGACTATCGCGTAATTTCAGGTATCCTGCAAAAACTTCCAGAAGATGCACATGGCCACCGGGGAGGCTGTCACAGAATGTACTGCAGAAGCGAAAAAGGAGATCAGCCGTGTTATCGATATCGACCGGGCATTCTGTCTCCAGTATCGCCTTTGCCTCGACTCGGTACCGCCCAGGCGTATCGAGAAGACGAGCTTTCAGGGTTTTCCCATTCTCTCCTGACGTCTCTCTGCTAGAAGGCCGGACGAAATGGAGGGCTTCGCATATTTTGTGACGAAACATCCAGATGCTAGCCAGAGTGGAAACTGCAAACAACATGCTGAGCACATCGACCGTGGGCGTGAGGTGCTGCCGCAGCCGACTCTGCTAGAAATAGCGACTAGAGCACCCGTTATGGACCGGCCAAGCGGCTCTGAGAATAGAGCGAATATGCCTTGTTAAAAGCATGTTATATAAGAGTTCATTAATATGTAGACAACGGCTAGAATTTGTTTGTGATAATTGATAGCCTGGGAGTGCAGGCAGTGAGGACTTCCAAGGTGATAAGAACAGAAATGAAGTTATGCGAAAGGAGTAAATGCAAGTGGTTCGTCAACAACAACGACAGGCCTTCTTAACTTGAGATAAGAGCGAGTGTGTCATCGGCTTGTGGCTAGTACCTGCCTTCTTCCTGTTCCATACGCTGTCCATCACGTTCAAGTAGGCAAGCAGACAGTCAGTACTTACCTCAATACTTGCGAGCAGATGGATGGCTTTCACCTGTCCACGGCGGTGACCACAAAATTCGAGATTATAGACAAGTCTTTATCCAATCATTTTATGTACAAGGGTTCCCTCCCTCTCGGCTCTGATTCTCGAGTCATTGCTAGAACCTGAAAACAAAATGAATCGAGACCGCCGCGGCATCAATTCAAAGGAGAGAAAAACTATCCCGGCGTACTTACATGGTCATTTCAATTCTTTGCATCTTGGATAGAATGGTTCAGCATTGATTACCAAGTATCTGAGGGTGTGGTCGCTGCGTTGCTAGGGCAGGCCCAGACCAGTTGACAGGGCCGTAAGACCAAGTGTGGGAATTGGATGGCAAAACTTTAGTTGGCCATGTCAGGGGATGATTGAAACAAAGGGCTTATTACCCATCAGGTGACCCAGAAAGCGACCATTTCAGCAGTGAAAGTTTGTGCCACGAATTTCTGACCAAGGGGGCCGAAAGTCAGACGGGTGGTACTTTATTCGTCTATTGCAGCCCCCAGACATTTGCTACTTCTGGCCACCTTGAGGCCGCTTCGGCCGGGTGAGAACTGTTCAACCACATGGTTGGTTTCAGAACCACTTCATGGCCGGACACCACACAGTAGTCTTTGGAAACCTTGAGTTCCTCTGCGATGAGGTCGACTTTTGGGCTCATGGTCCAGCAGTGTAGTTTCAGAGTACTCGGTGTTGGTCGAAAACCAACCTCAGTATAAATACTGCCTGACGAACTTGACAATTGGCAATGATTCAGTCCAACAATGCAGACTTGTTCTTCACCAGCAATTGAAATCTTCGCCCCCTTACTCATAGCTCTTACAGACCGACGGTGAATTTTTTTTTTTTTCTTTTCAGCCCATCATGTTTGCAGAGCTCACAACGATGCTGGCCCTTGTGGCAGGGAGCCAGGCGCTCGGCCCTCGCGGCACTTCGAGCGGTTCTGGTACAGAAAGTATGACACCTCATGATGCATACTCGTCGTCTATCGGTGTCCTGGGTTGCAAGGTCAACGTCGACCGGATAGCCTACTGGCCTATGCCACCGGACTGCAACAGCATGTGCATCAAACTTACCGGCAACAACGGCAATACTTTGAATGTCCTCCATGTCGACGAGTCTGGCGGTGCTTATGACATCTCCTACGACGCCTGGAGCCAGCTCAACTGCGGTGTACCCGCCACCGACGGAACATGCCAGGGCGGTGGTGTCTCGATGCAGTGTACGTACAAGCTGATTGTGCCTTGCAAAGATTCCACCTTATCTTTCACAATATTTTCCCCTTCTCCCTCTTCCTTTCTTCTTTTCCGATGCAGACACGCTGACAGATCAAACAATTGTCTAGACGAGTGGGTCGACAACTCAGAGTGCAGCGATCTCCTGACAGACGGCTCAGGCAAGCTCGCCTTCGCCGCCGCTAACAGCATGAACTTCATCTCGTCCTGTCCCTCGGGCACTTGGGTTGGCGACAATTACGCCCTCTACAACATCGCCAACCCCACGTGCACCTACGGCTATGACGAGGTGTGCACCCTTGACGCAGGCGCGAACCAGCCGACGTGCCCTCATCAGCTCGGAGCGCAGCCTGCCTTGACCTCGGCCCCTGTGTACAACATCGAGTACCCTTCGGGCCAGAAGCAGCTCGCTACCTAGAAGGGGAAGATTCGATGGCGTTCATTGTCTTGCCAGCTACGCCTGTCTTCTATGTGTTACAGTGATGATGTTTTCCGGAAATGACATGGCAATGGAGTTGGGGGCGGATAGATCTATATGGCGCAGATGGAGGAGTCTTTGTATTGTTGTTTTCGTTTTTTTTTGAGGTTTGGCGTTGCGAGTATCAGGGCAAGGAATACTCGAACCTTCTATTCATTTTCTCAAATTCCATATTACACTTGAGCAATCTAAAGAGTCTTGAACCTGTGCGACATGAACATTATTCAACGAGCTCCTTGTCATCTTACACTGCTGATTTCATCTCATTCGCACTGTTTTACCAATTGATCAATTCTCAGATGATCGAGGCCCTGTGGATGACCAACAAATTACTTAGTAATTATAGCTAGATGCATGACATTAACTGTCCAACATCAACATTAAATCCAACAGGATGTCTCAATCTGAACAGCTAATTAAATCCATGTCGGCCAGAACAGGAAAGTAAACATCAATTTGCAATGTTATCTGCAACAAATAGCGGTGAGATTATTCCAAATTCAACATTGGAGTTCAAACACGGGTGCCAAGGTGGATTGATGACAGTGGCTTCAAACTTACTGCATCCTGCCTGCCCCAACTTGTGCGTCATGAACCAGCTTCTAGGCGTTTATTACGGAGAGTGCTACGTTCGAGGTAACACAGGCGGATTGTTCTTACGGATTTGATTTGAAATCGTCGTGCCTGCGCCTCTGACAAATAGGAACTTTTGTCAAAATCTGACTAATCATATCTCCCGAGTTGCACATTCCTTGGGTGATATCATATAAAAGACCTCCTCCACACTGACATTGGCCCTTCCGAGTGAAGTAGTTAGGGCACTTGCCAGATCGTCATCAGCAACCTTTTGACTACTGCACACTCAAGAACATTCGGTCGTTAATTGAATCAACATGACGAAAATGAAGGCTCTCGTTACACAAGGAGAAGGCAAAGTCTCAGTGCAGGAGATTGACGTGCCCAAGCCTGCTGAGGGGGAGATTCTGGTCCAGGTCACCTATGTCGCTCAGAACCCTACAGACTGGTAAGTAGAAACCCAATCCTTCGTCCTTTTGGCCGGCGCCCTCTCTCTCTCTCTTCCTCAATCTCATATGCGAAAATTGACTTGCAAAAATAGGAAAGCTGCCGGCTTTGCGAAGCCCGGCATGATCAGCGGCTGCGACTTCGCTGGCAAAGTCGCTGAGCCCAACGGCTCGTCCTGGAAAAAGGGACAGCGCGTCGCAGGCTTCGTACAAGGTTCCAGCAAGAACGGTCTCGGCGAGGATCCCCTCCGCGGCGTATTTGCTGAGTACTGCGTCATCGAGAGCAGCTTGGTCTACAGCATTCCCGACGACATCAGCGACCAGCAGGCAGCGGTGATCCCGCTCGCGTTCGCGACAGCTGTGCAGGGCTTGTTCCAGCGCCTGGCGCTCCCTGAGCCCAGCAAGCCGGCCACGTCCGCTTTCCCGCTGCTGGTCAGCGGTGGCGCGACCTCGGTGGGCAAGTACGCCATCCAGCTGGGCAAGCTGGCAGGTCTGTTTGTCGTTGCCACCGGGTCGAAGCGCAATCACGAGCTGCTCAAGTCCCTCGGCGCGGACGAGACGGTCGACTACAACGACAAGGACTGGCCGGAGCAGGTCCACAAGATCACCCACGACGGGCTCGAGCACGCGTTCGACTGCATTGCAGAGAAGGGCACATACGAAGGCTGCGCGGCCGCCATGTCCTCCACCAAGGGCGGACATGTCGTGGGTCTGCTGCCCCCTGGAAAGAGCCGTGACGAGGTTGCCAAGATCCACAGCAAGGTCAAGCTAGAAAGCACCATCGTGTACACGGTCTTCGCGCGCGCCCTGAACTATCCTATGGACAACTGTGGCGGGGAGACGCCACAGGACAAAGCAATTTGGGAGAAGTATCTGGGACTGCTCCCTGAGCTTCTGAGCAGCGGGAAGGTCAAGCCGAACCGCATCAGGGAGGTTGGCGGGCTGGATGATATTCCGACAGGCTTCCAGGAGCAGAAGGAGGGTAAGGTCAGTGCTGAGAAGCTGGTGTACAAAATCTCGGGGGCCTCGGGTAAGCTGTGATTCTGGTCTGGTTTGGAAATATTGTTGGCGGAGGAAAGACTTGAGATTCTCATTTATACATACGACATTGCCTGCAGCCTCCATAAAAGATATTCTTTTTAAATAAATAAAAATGCAGAAATTAATTCTCACAACAACCACCACGAAAAGCAGAAGAAGAGACCCCTTTTCTTTCCTAATATTCAAGAAGAAAGAAACACAACTTGTCACTGTGCTTGGAGGTCAGTAGTGCAGAAGTCTTCTCGTCTTTGATATCTACCATAGTATTTACCCAAGTACCACATAGTGAGCCGGCCTATCCATGGATGACGTAACTGAAGGGGCCCCTCTAACCAATGACGACAAGTGGTACCCATAGCTGAGTCACCCCCCACCAAAGGGCCCTGACTCTCTGGGGCCAAGTGAGGGGTGGTGGTGCTAAAGACTGCAACCACTCCTGTCGAAGGGACCAGTGTTTGGAAGCATAGAAGGGTACTCTAAGTAGATTACTTAACTACACCACGCCACAGGGACTGTACCACACCTAATCCACTTCCTCCTGAGACGACACCCTCTGACGCTTTTCACAAGCCAACACATACTCTACTCATGCTGCTCTCAGCCATCATCAGTTCCTGACCACCGAGCATCATGGCTTCGCGAGGAGTTTCCGTCCTCAAGTTTGTCGGCACCGTCTCGCTCGGCCTGCTGACGGTAAGTTCTGCACGCATCTGATGCGACGATCCTCCTCGGCACATCCCCGCACTGCCACGTCGTTGGGTGGTTTCTTCGGGCGGTGAGGTCATCGTGAACAGTCGACGACCCTTCACTCCCAAATCCAAGTGCCCTAGCATCATCGTATCAACTAGCATCTGCTATGGAAACGTCAAGACGCTGACCATCACATGTTGCTCTGACAGGGCCTGTCCTACTCCCTCTCGACCCTCACCGTCCCTACCCTCCTCGACCTTCCCTCCGCATCTAGCGCTTCGCGCGCCTTCAAGACTCTTGCCACCGCCGCCAAGGCCCAGCTGCGCACTCTCGCCGCAGTCTCGGGCACTTCCTTCTTCCTCGCCTTCGCCTTGTCTCCGCGCGCCTTCCGCCACCCGTACCTGCTCTACACCTCGGTCCTGGTGCTGGCCTCGCGGTTCGCCCTCCCCGGCGCCGTTGCGCCATACCTGATCAACTTCCCCCAGCACAAGTCGTCGAGTGCCTCGGCACCCCCAAGACAACAGTCCCGCAAGGACCGCTCTGCTGCCCGCCACATGGAGATGAGCTACGACATGATCGGCTCCGATGTCCACAGCGAGGCCACCCTCGACTCGGCCAGCGAGAAGAGCATCGAGGACGATAACGTCGCCACCCCCACATCTGATAATGTCAACGGCGAGGAGGTCCGCAGCGAGGTCGAGGACTTCCTCAAGAAGCAGATCGTGTCTACTGCCGTGGCTGGGCTTGGCTTTGTGATGGCCGTCATTGGCATCTGGGGCGATGGCGTTGCTGGTTATGTGTCTGAGGCTTATGTGAATGTCATTGAGATTTGAGACGTAATGTTGGTGTGGGATGAGCAACACTGTACATTACGGGAGGGAGCGTTCCATCTTCCATACAGACTGAGACCGGGCATGGGAGGGATATCCAAGTTTATTGATTATCCACTGTCGGCTCTGGGCCTTGGATTGGCGGGGATGTTTGAGAACCAAGGCTCGAGGTCAGGTCATGCTCCTCCTCATGCTCCTCCTCTACTCCTCTCCATCCAGCTGTAAAGAGACTCCTGTTTCATACAAAATGAATGGCATTATTCTGACAAATGTGTGCATTTGCTTATATTTTCTGATTATCATGATTATGAATTCCTTGCCAGGATCACTTGGTCCCCTCCTCTTCATTTCCTCATCAAGATGCTGCTGCTGATCGTGATGCAGACCCGGAAGTTCTGGGGTAACTAGTGTTTAGGAGACTAACTTGTGGAATCGAGTCGCCCATTATTAATAGATATAAGCTTAGATAGACCCACCTCATCTAGATCTAGGTTGTCTGGACGTTTAAGAGGCACTGGTCTGAGGAGTGGATGTGAGTTCTTGAAGAGCTGTATTGAGGATGGTAAATATGGTCATCAGTAGTCACAGTCACAGGTGGTGAAGATTGTGGGACATTCAAAGTTATGCTCTGTCTTAACATGGGTGCCTATACTGGATGAAGGGGACATTTGCAAGAGTGTGCAAATGAGCCGCTCAGTTTGTAACACCTTCCCTCAAGGAATGTCTCTAGTGTTTGTATGGAGCTATTCAAGCTGGTGTTCTGGCATCATCCTCTGTCTTGAAAGGCGCGTAATTATCAATAACGGATGATGGTTGAGTGTCGTTTGTCTCAGTGTCAAATGTATTTTTGACGGCGAGATGAGATCAAGGCCTGATTGAGGTACAAGAGAAGAAGAGGGAGGGAGGGAATTTAAAAGGGTTGACGACAAAAAAAGAAGCAAAAAAGTGCAGAGTACGGGATTTGCACCCGTGTCTCCTGATAGCCAAGGGACAGTGCCTATGGGGATCAGACAAGTTAACTACTACTCCAACCCTGCGCTATACCACTACGCCACAGTCATTTTTTGTTGAAAGCTGTTGCTTGAAATCGTATTGAAGTCTATTGAAAGTATCAGGTCAGACGAAAGTTGCTGCTGCCTGTGCTGCTGCTGGTGCTGCTGGTGCAGTTAGTGGCTGGCTGCTGAAAAGCAAGGTGAACACGCCATGGTGGAACCCCAGGCATGATTTCTTCGGCTGGCGGAAGGCAGCATGCTTCTTTGACAGCTCCCCTTGAACAGCTGACTTTGACCTGCTGGCTCCCTATAGCTGCTTAGAAAAAGAATGATGAGGAGTGGATGGAAGTTTCCTGCTCTTGCTCTAGAGGCCGTGCAGGTGAGCTATACCTGCATCAAATAAGTTGTACCAGCAAAGGAATTCTGATGATATGATGTTTCACAACATATGCTAATGCCTGGTTTTCTTCAGCTTGATCAAAAGCACTCAGGAGTTCTTCTCTTTGCAGCTCTGACCGCTCTTTATCATATCGGCTGAACTGGAGCCACAACGTTGCAACGGCTGATGCTCTTCATTACAGCACTCAGAATGGATGTCTGTGTAGCCAGTAGGCCTGGAGTTTATGACTTTGTATCACTCATGGGAAAACAGCAACAATATAAGAGGTCAAGGACAAAACTTTCCAAGCGAGCAAATGTGATTATAGCATAATTTTGTGTCGGTATACATATAACGCTCTGCATATATAATCTTGTTACTGATAGCTAATTTGTCACTTGAAATGTAGTTATCCCTCTTTCTTTGAGAAATGCTCCGCCAAATATCATGCACCTACCCAGGCCTATACCAACAGCCATTGAAACTTGGTATATGCCACAAGTTTCAAAGAGATCTTCCTTCCCAATTCTTAGTATTCTGAATGTCCACGCCCTGGTTTGGCACTCCACTCTTACCCCTAACAGTTATGAGTCCACTATGTAGGTGCGCATGGTAAGAAAGTGCCATCAGAGGTAAGAATGTTGGTGGCCTCCTCTGGACTTATATCGAAACTCCATTTAGGACGAGGTTGGGGAAGAGCCGCTCAATAGCCCATGCACACTAGTAACAGGGTCGAGGACGGGCCGTCCCACAGCAGCCGAAGGTACTTACTTTTATGCAACATATGAGACAACTCCTTCGACACTAAGATGCTGTTCCTCAATTGACTTTCACCATTCACCATGCTCTCCTTTCTCGCCAAACATCCACCAAGGACCAAGATCAGCCATCTAGACAAATTCAGTCTTGACGGCGGACGCTCTCTAGTCGAGTTCAAGCGGCCCGCCAGCCGCTATCTTGTGATCAACAGACTTCCCCCAGCCGCCTCAGACGCTGAAGCTCGACGCGAGGGGCTCAGCCATAATGGCGCCAACTCGTCGCTCGCCCCGCCTCTGCACAAACACTTTTGGCAGGAAGAGACTTTCCACGTCATGAGCGGGACCGCAAGGTTCACACTCGGGACTAACAGGGCGGAGCGGCTGGCGGCAGCGGGCGAGGTGGTTGTCGTGCCCAGGCGCGAGATCCATACGTTCTGCAACGCAAGCGAGGAGACAGGCTTGGTGGTTGAGTTTGTACTGGATCCTGTCTCGAGGGGTACGGATGAAGCTTACTTTCGTGAGTCATTCCTCTCTACTGCGTTCGCACGAGGTGACATGATGATTACGGCCCAGCTAACTTCTTACTTCTGAGGTAATGTTTGGGGCTATCGTGATGACTGCAGGAAAGCCGGCATACGCAGAAGCTTCTTCCAAGCCCTGCTCTTTATGCATCATGGAGGCATCGTCATGGCTCTGCCTGGGCCTGAGATGGTGTTCAGGTATTTGGGTCTCCTCTTGAATTATGTTGGTGGTGTGATGATAGGGCAGGTATTGCTTGGCTATCATAGCTCGTACCCAGAATACTATCACAACGCGGCGTTGTGACGACAGGAGCCAGTGCTAGTGGGTGTGTCCTTATGACCCTTCGGATTTTCGGATCATGAGATGTTCTGGGTACTTACTGAGGGGAGTATACAAAGCTAAATTAAAACCCTACACATCGAAGAGGGACCTATGTATGAACAGTTGTTGGGTAAGTAGCTACATTGGATTCTCGCACGCCTTGCCCCAATCTGATCACACCCGTACTAGATACTGGGGTTTTACTCTTTCACGCTTGTTTTCACATATTGACATCGATATATTGTACAGTGTGCATTGGATCCTTTGTGCTTGACTCTTGGGGACTCTTCAATTTGACCAGTTCCGAAAGGAAATGACATCAACTTTAACTTTCCGGTCAGGATTCTTGGACATTCCACATTTCCGAAATCACGATTATCATTTTCTAGATTTTCCTCCTCATCTCAACAAGAGCTTTAGGTGGAAGTCCGCGTCGCCAATAGATTCAAAGTTCGGACAGTTTGATATGCCGACTAATGAACCCTTACATGCGTCACAATCGGATTCCAAATCCGCTGGCCCTACACATGCAGGGATGTACACCACCTCGCCTCTAGCCTGAAAGTTCTCTTTGATTACGTTGATGACTTGACGTCTTGCCAGGGTGAGGAGTTGATATTGAAACTTACCGACATGAACTATTATATGTCGGGTAGAGTGATCTGTGAATTTAGCGGTAGACCTGCACTCATCAGCTACAAGCCAAACACGTAATCGAAAGCAAGATGCGTACATCCTGCTAAGGACACTGATTTCTCCGAATGGATAACGGAGCTTTATTGAGAATCCCCTCGGAGACTGTAAGCAACAAGCCCAAGATGATATAAGATAGCAGCCTCTAAACACCTATTCACCCGTTTAGAGAGTTCTCGAAAACTCACTCCAACAGTTTTTTTTGGGTTCCTTTCAGACATTTAATCTCCCCCCCCCCCCCTTAACTGTCCACCATGGCTAAATCTCTTCATATTCTAGGCTACTGCATTGCCCTGCTCATAGCCTCGTCTGGCCAAACCACAGCTCAATCCATCATCACCTCAAAACCTCTACCACCAAGTCAAGACCCGTGGTACATAGCCCCAGAAAACTACACGGCCGCCGTACCAGGCGACATCTTGCGCCTCCGCGAGGCCCCAGGCGACTTGTGCTCCATCGTCGCCAACTGCTCAGCGGCATGGAACATCCTCTACCGCACAACAGACAACGACCAAAGCGCCACCTGGGCAGTGACCACACTCCTCGCCCCGCCCATCGAATACAGCAGCACATCCTCCAAGAAGGCCCTCAACAAGGCCCTCCTGTCCTATCAGCTCGCCATCGACTCCCCAGCCGTAGACCAACAGCCGAGCTACCTGCTCTACACCCCCAACGCCACCGACCAATGGGTTGACTTCACCGCCGCCCTGGGCCGCGGCTGGTTCGTCAGCGTGCCAGACTACGAGTCCACCAAGGCCGCCTTCGGCGCCCCGTTTCTCGAGGGCCAGGCGACGCTCGACAACATCCGCGCCGTGCTCAACCTGGCCCGCGCCCGCCCCGACATCGGGCTGGCAGGCGGAGAGGACGTGCGCTGCGCGGTGTGGGGGTACTCGGGCGGCTCCATCGCCAGCGAGTGGGCGGTGGAGCTGCAAGGGCTGTACGCGCCGGAGCTGCCACTGGCGGGTGCCGTGCTGGGCGGGCTCGTGCCCAACTTCACGACTGTCTTCTACGAGATCGACGGCACCGTGTGGGCAGGCGACATCCCCGCCGGCGTCGTCGGCGTGACGGTCGAGGACGCAGCGGCGCGGGCGTTTGTGCTGTCTAGGCTCAAGACAACCGGGCCCTACAACGCGACCACGTTCCTGTCTGTGCTCAACAACTCCGTGACCGAGAACTTTGCCGTCTTTGCGGGCCAGAACATCTCGGACTACTTTGTCGGAGGGGTGGCGGACATGTTCGCACCGATCCTGCTGGACCTGTACAATGCCGGCCAGATGGGCCTTCACGGAAGACCCGGCGTGCCTCTGTTCCTGTACAAGGCGATTGCGGACGAGTTCACCCCCATCTACCAGACGGATGAGCTGGTGGCGCAGTTTTGTGCCGAGGGGGTGGATGTTTTGTACGAGAGGAATACGGTGGGCGAGCATGTGAGCGAGCTTGCCAATGGGCATACAAGGGCCCTGGACTATCTAAGCATGGTGTTCGAGGCCACAATTGGGGATCTGTATAGGAACCAGTCGTGTATCGTGCGCAATGTCTCGGTAGTGGACAGCACTGGAGCAGTGCTCTGAGAGCTTGACAACGAGTTGTTCATTTTGATGGTTGATTGAATTGATTACTGTATCGATCTAGATCCTTCTGTAATGAGTCCAACTTGTCATGAGTGTTCGACACAGCGAACACGCACAAATAGTCTCGCCATGGGACAAGAATAGACAAGAAGTTCAAGTTGCAAAGACAGGTCATGGAAGGAATTGGTGTTGAGGCTTGCTCTGAACATGCAATTGTTGGATACTTGTTTTGGTGTTATCACCGAGATCCTTTTTGGACCACTGTATTTAAAGTAATTCATCATATTTCCACAATTTTCCTTCCAGAGAGAAGCAGCATCCTACCATTCATTGGCACACAATTAGGGATACTCTGAACAACCATACCTGGGCAGCAGACAACCAGCTGACACGGTTGACCGCCAACGTATTGAGAAACAGGGTAGGTCTTCCTTTGGACAAGGAATTTAAGATGAACCCTCTGCTGTGCCGCCGACGGTAAGACTGACCAGTGCGCCGCCTGATGGTATCGGTAGATAACCGGCTAACTATGCCGGTCTGCCGCCCTGGATTCATGGACCAGGCGGGCGGCCAGCCGCCATAGCGCCGGCCCTCTCGCGAGAAGAGTTGTGATGACTGTTCTAGTGCTGACTGCGGTGGATGGCCGGCTGGGTAAAATCTCTGCGAGCTGGATGTCCCAAAACGGACACGCGCGCACACCTACACAATCATTGAACACTCACTCACAGGTAGCCTGTCTGCCTGGCTGCCTGGCTGCCTGTCTGTCTAAGGAAGGGCCTGCAGAGATGTCTTGCATGCCTACAGGATGAGGAGAATGACGAGGCTTTTGGGGGCTAGATTCAACAATGTACATTGACCTTTCAAGATGGCCGCAAAACATATAGTTTTTCGGAGTCTTCTTTATGTGCAGAGTCTTCGTGGGGCTGGGTAATCACACTGCTCTGGCACCGGCATACCATGCCCGAATAAAGCAGCTGCCACTTGGAAGTATAGTTTTGCAACGTGCTCTAGACGATGTAGGGTGTCATTCTCCCCAACGAGCCGTATTGATCAGAGGAACGAGTTAGCAGGGGCTAGGGTTATAAAAAGTGCATTCAGCTGAGTGCTTAGCGCTCCTTGGATTGAGTTACGCCTGCATAATAAACGTTGCTGACCAACGGAGAAGCTTCTGTGGCATCCGCTTCCTTCGGTCTGGTGCAAGGAGGACCCTTTGAAATGAGAGTCCTGTCAATCTGAACCTATCAGCCTCTGAAGAAATTCAGAGCCAGATTGTGGTATGCACACTTGGCAATATTTAAAGAGGGACCCTCGCCAGCTGCGCCATGTCTATTTCCTCGGGGTCAGCGGTACCATCGGTCTCGGAGGACCAGAAGAGAACAAGAAAGAAGACAGAAAGCAAAAGAAAACACACAGAACAAGGCCAACGAAAAGCACAGTTCTCCCCTACCTATCGTCTTTTCTACAACCCATAGTTTATAACCCCCGATATGGCGCCTAAACTCCGCTTCGTAACTGACAACCGTGTCGTGAAAACCGACGCAGGTGCCCGGAGCATTCAAGTCATCTGTGCTGGCCTCCCACGATGCGCGACCTCTTCAATGCAGGCCGCGCTCGAGGGGCCAGTGTTGGGCTATGAGCCCTGTATGCACAGTACGTATGAGTGCAGGTTTAAGAGTATGACTACGAAAAAAGGAATGAAGCTGATGATCTGATCGATGACAGTGGCCCACGTCGCACCGCATGCAGACAGACTGCAGCTTGCAATCGAGGCTATGCAAGAGCTGGACCCGAAGAAACGGCAGAAAATGATCCGGCCATTGTTCACCGGGTATGCGGCAACGGCGGACTTCCCTGGCATCTTGTTCGCGGATGATCTGATGGATATGTATCCCGACGCCGTTGTGATCCTGAATCTGCGTGACGACCCGGCGGCCTGGGTCAGATCGTTTGACGAGACGCTGTCCTTCTTCGTGAGTACTTTTTCAGCATAGTCCACTCAGGGATCACACAGCTCAAGAGAGTTCCAATCGCACACAAGCTGACCCCGGGGGTTTCATCACAAGTACACCAACACATATCGCGCCTCCACCTTCCTCTGGAGTGCCGACCGCGCCCACTACAACGTCCATCACATGGCGAGACAGGTCTTCGCCACGCGGCTCGGCTTCGACGCACCGCTTCCCTCGGTAGAGTTCTACCACGCTTATAACGACTGGGTGCGGCGCGAGGCCACGAAGCGAGGGCGCGTGGTATTGGAGTGGCAGGTTGTCGATGGGTACGAGCCGATCTGTAGATTCCTGGGCAAAGACGTGCCGAAGGACGCGGAGGGCAAGGTGCTGGAGTTCCCGAAGGTGAATGATGCAAAGACCGTGAAGTTTGTGCAAAAGTTCTTGCTCTTTAGGGGCCTGGCGAGTTGGATCTTGGTTGGAGCGGCCATCTGGGGTGCGTGGACGTATGGTGGAAAGGTATTGCCAAGTTTCGTAAAGGGAGGACTTGACTTGGCATCAAGGTAGTCAAGACATTGCCCAGGACTGAATAGACAGACAAGAGAACTACTTCTGTCACCCTGAATACAAATCGGGCACTGCCCTTGGCGAGTCAACGGTACGGTCATAGAATTTTGTGAACGAGCCTCGGTTACTTCTCTCAGATTCTTACCTCCTTTGCGCAGGATACGACAAGAGGACAATTCAAGAGAAAATGGGAAAACTCCAGGAGGACTTAGTGACCATCGGCCGCACGATACTAACGCCCAGTATATCCGCTAAGACGACAGGCGTCTGACCCATGGAGCCATGATCGCGTGTATCTCATGGCATCTCGTGGCCATGCCTTAGTTTCCTGCAGGCAACACAGCGTTACGACGGCTGCTGTGGGGGGTTGCATCGGCTGCAAGCGTCAAGGTACGGCATAGCTATCATAGCAAAGTGTTAGGCCCCTGCGGAGCAACTTGCGCGCCCGAGATATTCTGGACGCGTTCATCAGGCCGTCAGGCCGACCATGTACTCTCGCCTACGCGACGTCTGATTACTCAAGTGATACCTTGTAGGTTGCAATCTTCCGAGGTGATGGCACCAACAGTGCCTTGCAAATTTGCTCCGCCCGAGACATGAAGATCTTGGGAAAAAGAAGAAGAAAAAGGGAAAAGATAAGAAGAAGAAAAGAAGAAGAAAGGTTCGATACCAGGTTGTGTGCGATGCTGGTGCGAGGCTGCCAGGCTGAAACGTTGATTGTCAGGCGACAGCAACAACAACGCAAGAGTGCTTTCCTCTAAGGCGCAAGACCATACAGCGGATATCGCGCGTGAGTTTTCATCAATGCCCAGCCCCCTTCTCTCATCTTCCTCCCCCACCCACCTCCTGCTCCTCCCGAATTGAAAGACAATACCGATGTCGCCGTCGACGGGGCAGCGCGGCAGTGCACGACCCAACGAGAACAGCGGTGGAGAGGTCGGCAGGCGGCCTCGTAGTCGCCCTGATCCTTGTCGAGAGCCGGAAGAACTTGGCACCTGGCCACGCGCAGGGCTCCACACCTACCGGGGCATATTCGGTGTGTGGGCGGGGGAGGAAAGAGACTCTAATGGGACGGTCCCTTATTTTCTCCCTCTCACATCATGACACTTCCATATCCTGAAGAAGGTGGCGGGGGGGTTCAGGCATGTAACTGGCTGCCATGCATCCATGGAGGATTTTCTTGACGGTTCATAAAGTTGGCGGGCCAGTGACTGGGTCAGCTGGCTTGCAAGGAAAGGAAGGGGAGGGGGGGGGGGCAAGCCACGTCTGCGTCTCGTGTAGTCTCGTGTAGTCCCGTGCCGGAAGGGGAAGCTAGCGGGCCGGACTGTACCCCCGGGTGTCGTCAGAAACCTTTGCTGTTCAAGAGTTCCCTCGGCCTGTGGATCAAGCACGAAAACAAAATGAAAACGAAGACCTCAGACAGGCGCTTTCGTGCGCATTCAGGGTCAGTGTTGGCTGGCCGCTTTTCTTCTCTTCGTTTGTCGTTCCTTCTTTCCATTTTTTTGGTCCTTTCATGGAGAGATTGTCCATGTGAACGTAACGGTGTGCCGTGTAGCCTTGAATAGCCCTGGATGATCTGCAGAGAAGAATTAAGAAAAGAGAAGGAAAAAAACAGGGAATGTCGGGTCCTGATTCGGAACGACACCCCATCTTCTGGCTGGGCGTCTCTTTTTTTTTACAGGCTTTGGTCCGAGCCGCAGCCGAGCGACGATTGTTGATCGCCTCTTGTCTGTATCCTTTCTTGGTCCCTTTAGCCTCCTAGCCACGGAATCCACGGTGACCCCCGCGACTTGTGGTTAGAACTGAAGAAAGGGGTCCCATGGCATGGTGCAGGGACCTGTGGTGTGTGTGTGTGTGTGCGCGCACACGCGTGTGTGTGTCACAGAGAACGGAGGTGGGCGGCAGGATGCGTGGATGAGACAGTCGAAACAGATTTGCGGTAGAGCCGGAACGGTACGAATGCCCCGAGGCAAAGCAGGGCGATCGATCGCAGTGCTGCTGGCCGATGTCCTATGCCACGGATTTACGGCAGTGCACAGAAGGGTGCAACAGGCCAGAAGGGGTCGTCGGTCATGCGTGTTGGGGTGTGGGGCGTGTGCTTGTGCCCCCGAGTTCTGGCAAGCCCTCCCCAAGATTTGCCTGAAATGAAGGTGCCGGGGCTTGTATCCGTCTCACGGCTGAGCCCAGTTCGACTCACGCCACCCGACGTTTTATTCCTCAAGGTTTGGGCGGCTGGTCGGGTTATAAAGCATCAGCTCAGCAGCCTCACTTTCCTTTTCTTTTTCCTTCTCCCCTTCTCCTCTTGACCGCCCAAAATATGGTGGCGTGAAAGAAATCCAGGCGGACGCGAGCTGAATAAAGACAGAGCCAGGAGGGACCCAGGTGTGGGTGGAAGTCCGAGGCTATGAGGATTTTGGCGCCGGGACCGCCGGCATGCCGCGTGCATCTCTCTCTTTTCTTTCTCTTCTGCACTACGAGGCAAAGTGGGACCGACACCAACCAGTGCGGTTACCCCGTGTTGCCATCATACCCGAATCAAGCTGAGGAGGAGGGTGATGTGGGCTGCATGTCCTAGCCAGGGCCTTTCTTGTTTCGATTGTATTTTTATACGCTTTTTGGGTCTTTCATGTCCTAAGTGTTTCTTCGATTCAGGAATGGCTGGCGATGCAGGCAACATGAGGCGTAAGGCAGTTCTCCGGTTCTAAAAATACAAGTCGCCCCCGACATGACGGCGCAAGTTGTACAAGGTCAGCTCTCTTTCCGCTCCTCTGGCCTGTTGTGCACACCTGGAAGTTGTCCTCTGGTTTTTTTCCTCCTTTTTTTCCTTCCTCTCTTGTCTTTTTCTACAAAACAAGGTTAGGTCGGAGCCGAGAGGGAGATTTGAATTTGAGATGGTTGTTTTGCCCTTGTGAAAAGAGTTTGGGGGGGGGGGGCTGGGACGGCACGTGTTCCGTGGAGCCGGAGGGGAACAGAGAGGAGGGAGAGAAAAAGAGATAGGGAGAGCTGTGGGTGGGAAATGGTGACAACGACCTTGGACCATTTCCTCTTCTCCTCTGTCCCGGTCTCCTTCCTTCTTCTTTCCCAAACGCCCTCCCCCCTCCTTCCTTCCCCTACTACTACTATTACTACTGCTACTGTACTATGGTAGGTGCTACCAGTCGTAATTGGTATCAGTACTTTGGTACCACTACAAGACTTTTGCAAGGCAGGTAATAAGGAAAGCACTTCAGACCACCGATCACCCGGGCCACTCATCCCAGGTTCTCGTCCCCTTCGCCCCTCCAGCCCGCGCCGTAACTGCTCCGGGACCTCCTGTCCAGCCAGGTTTTCCTGGGATGACCCAGGTGACGCAGGTGGCCCAGATCGCCCACCGGCCTTTCACCCCCCCCCCCCACCCCTTCCCGTCGTCCTCGCCAATTCTAACCCATCTTCGACTTGGCCAACTCAACTCACACCCCCCCCCCCAAACCCATCCCTTTCCATCCCAACCCGACCACAGACATTAATCATGACATGACATTACATGACATGACATGTACTATGTGTCATTGTGTCACAACCGATACATTTGCTTGGTCCTGGCGCACGTGGAGGGTTACGAGGGGTCAAGGACAGTGATGAGATTTGAGTTCTCGATGGAGATATGACGATCAGAAAGAAAAGAAAAAATAGTACTGAATTAGCTGTGATATGCCGAAATAAGAAGGAACGCTTTGGCTGCATCAGTAGACAGAGAGGCGGGAGAAAGAGGATCCTTGTAGCAAAAGGCGAAAGAGTCAGGGAGAAAAGGGAGGGTGGGTGGCGAGGCAAATCCTGTCGGCGCTCCGGCCGGGGTTTTGGTGCCTCAGGCGTCGATTGATCGGGGCCAACGGACACCGTAGCGTGGCCCCCCTTGTGCTGTGCTGCCACGGCTGCCACTGAAAAAAGTCACAAAATCACGGCAGCAGGTCAGCCCCATTCTCGGGTACAGTGGAGCTAAGGGTGTACGGCAGGGTCACGGCAGGGCCAGGTACCTTCTGCCGCGTACCCAACAGAGGCCCCGAGCCTGCTGCCACCCTCTCTGCTCTGCTCACTGGCCTCGCTACCCTCGCTACCCTCAGCATCCCACCTCCGGCCCCGTCTTCCTCCCTCTTTCTCTCTCCCCTCCTCTTTTCCCCCTTCCCTCTCTTACTCCCTCCCCCCCCCCCCTCTCTTCTTCCGCTCTTCTCCCGTCTCCTTCCATCCAAATTCATCTTCCCTTGCATGACTCCGTCAATTTCTCTTCTTTTTCCTTTCTCCACCCCCCTCTCCTCTTGCAGAACATCAATCACATTAGATTCATTCATCTCCCCTGCCTTTCATCTTGCTGCCCTTTTCCTACACCAACGAATTTTCAGACGCCTGTTCTACGCCGTCTCGGAGCAAAAAGAAGGGGTGCCTTTTGACACCTTTGGACAACAACCCTTTCCAGACTTGCCTCTGGTCTGTCTTGTTTGTCTATTTGTCTGTCTGTCTGTCTGCCTTTTGGAAAGAATTTAGATGAAGAGAGGGGTGGAAAATCTAAAACCAAGACCAAGACCAAAACCAACCCATCCATCCTAGATCGAGCCGCTGGTGTCACCCGCAGTGGCCCGCGACCAGTGGTGTCAGCCCATTCGGACCCCAGGCCCCGGACCTTTTCGCATTTCGACCCCCGGGTCTCCGAACGCTGAACCACGCACGCGCTCGCCCTCACACCTACTTTCTCATTTCCTCTCTCCCACACACAAGCGAACACCCACCGGCCCGCACACACACGCCTCTCTCTCCTCATCTCTCCTCCCCGTCCGACTCTCTTTTCCTCCTTGTCTTCTTCTCTTTTCTCTCTTCTTCCCTTCTCTGCCTTGCACTCCTTCATTTACTTGCACATCTACACACATCCACTGAACCACACACGACGACAACGTCGGCAACCGCATCGTCAACAGCAGCAACATCGTCATCACCGACAACCTTCCTCTCGCGGGCCAAGCAAAAACTCCCTCACGAAGGCTTCTTCTCCCTTCTCATCCACGTCCAACATGTCAGCCGTCCGCGCCACGGCCCTCAGGGCTGGCGGCGCCTGTGTACGCTGCCGCAAGGGCAAGACAAAGTGCGTCTACGAGAACGGGCGCGCGCCCTGCAAGAACTGCGCAAAGGGCATGCACGAATGCTATCTGCCCTCCGAGTCGATGAGCCACGGCGGACACGGCGTCTCTCCGGCCAGAACCACCCAGAGATCACGAGAGGCGCTGCCTACCGAGAGGTCTAACGCCTCCGGCACGCACACCGAACGCAACGCCCAGTCTCACTCGGGGCCCTCGGCCGCGCGCAACACTGCGCCTGCCAACGAGAAGTATGTTCATGTTCCTTTCTGTTCATCTGTATCTGTCTGTCTGTCTGTTTGTCTGTTTTGCCTGGTCACATAAGAGATCTTTCTCAACCTCAAGACGGAGAGAGAAGACAATTATCGGTCTTTTCTTGGTCTGTTTCTTTCTTTTTGTTGAGGAGATTCGAGTTGGATCCGACCGCATCACACAAACACCCCAGATGGAGGCAGCCCTACCCTCCTCAATCTCATTTCTCCCTCTGGAATTTCAGGGGAGGCACTCGGCGCGGCGTTTAGTTCCGGTTTTACCACCCCAAGAAAAAGAGGTCCCACCCCCCCAAAGACCACCCTGGACCCAACCCTCCCCATTCCCCCTCCCCCCCCAAGGCTCCGACGCTTGTCGCTCCGGGCTTGTGGCCGTCCATCCCAGCACCAAACGGGACCTGCGTTCCTTCCGTGCATCTCCCTGTGCCCCACTGTTCTTCGCTCTCATTTTCAATTCCACTGCCGGTTATCCCGTCGGCTTTCCGGCTCCAGCCCTATCTTTGTCTCTTTGGCCTCACTTTCTCGCCCTCCGCATCCGGGAGAATAATCACCAACAAAACTCTATTCACACACACTCACACACAAGATCCACCTTGTCGTTATCATTGCAGTTCCCTTCCTTGAAATGAGCTGATTTTATCTACTGAAATCCCTCAAGACGTCGTCATGGCTAACAACCTACTTCCTTATAAAGGCTCGGTCCAGAGATGCTGGAGCAGTGCGAGCGTGTCATCAACAAGGTCATGCCCGCCTGTGTCGCCTTCCACAAGCCGTCCTTTATCCAGCAGCTCAGAAACAACGGTGTTGATAGTGTCATGGTCAACGCCCTCTTGTGCACTGCCGCAAGGTGAGTCTCTCATTCACATACAGGTCCTTCCTTACACCTGCTCGCTCATGCCTGGACCTTGTATGCTGACCTGGCCTGTCCTTCTTCTCTCAGACACTCCCCAATGATCATCCAGCGCTATGGACGTAACTCGGGGTCTCCCCAGGCCGCCGAGCACTTCGGTCTCAAGGCCAGCAACTACATCTGGCTGTCTCTAGATCACCCGACTCTTGCCGACATTCAGGCCCTCTGCCTGATGGTGATTCACGAGTGGGGTTCTCGGAGCGCCGTTCGTGCCTACATCTACCTCGGCCAGGCTGCGCGCATGGCCCAGATGTACCGTGTCGTCCATGTCAGTCGTCACCACAATGACCCAGACCACTTCCTGCAGGAAGAGTCTTTCCGCCGCACCCTCTGGCTCATCTATATCCTGGACTGCTTCCTTACCAGCAGCCCGGGCCGCTACCCGGCCCTGTCAAAGCTGGACGTCAAGGATGTGGCTCTTCCCTGTGAGGATATGAACTTCAACTTTGGAAACCCCGTCTCTGTCCGCACCCTCGATGGGAACCCGCCGCCCGGCTGCCCCAGCCTGAGCATGACCGCCCCTATCGGCGAGTTTGGCCACATCGTCCTCGCTACTGAGGCCTGGCGCATGGTCGTCGAGATGATGACCACCACCACGCTCGACACCTTCAGAGAGGAGCAGTGCCAGATCCTCGAGGCCAAGGTCTCGCAGGTCCGCGCCAACCTTCCACACCACTTTGCCGAGCGTCAGGGCCAGATGGACCTGCACATCACCATGGGCAGCGGCCTGACCTTTGCCATGATCCACATGTTGCTCCACTGTGCCACCATCTTCATCAACAGGCGCCGCATCCTGCAGGTCGTGACCGCTGAGAACTTCAGCATGGAGGCCTGGCGCATGTCCGCCCAGAGCCAGATGCAGACCGTCGAGCGCATCCTCGAGTCCTCCCACAGCATCATCACCATGCTGATCGCCCTCCAGCGGTCAACCGAGCCCTCCATGGTCTGCTGCCTGCCCATCTTTATGCTGTTCTCTGGTTTCACCGCCGGCTCTACCGTCGCTTACCTCGCCCTGAAGGGCCTCTCGCCGCCCCACACCCATGACACCATCCACACCATGGTTGACAAGTGTCTCCGCCTCATGAAGGAGGGCGCCGATTCCTGGCACCTGGTTGTTCCCTGGCACCGCCATCTCAGCGTCATGAGCCGCGTCCTGCAGGACAGCAGCATTACCGAGGACGGCGAGCAGACCAGCGAGGATGCCCGCATGCAGATCCAGCGGTCGCCTTCGGCCAAGGACGAGCGGATGAGCCAGGCCGACACCCAGAATGACTCAATGGACTACGAGCAGCACGGGGCCCAGCAGGGTGCGCCTCAGCCCGAGGGCCAGCCCCAGTCGGCTTCGCAGCCATCCGCGGAGGGCGCTCGGCAGGGCACCCCTCAGGCTGTCCCTGCTGCTCCCATGGACAGTCGCAGCAGTGAGCCCCCTCTGCCTCGCCGGACTGGCGTGACCACGATCAATGGCGGCTCAGCTGGTCACTCTACTCCAGCCAACGGTTCACCTCCCGCAGCAGGTCCGCAGGACGTTAAGGCCGAGTCTCCGGCGCCTGCATCTAACGGGTCCAACGCTGGCGGTGTATCCGGCTCGGTGCCGCCCAAGGACGGCGGTAACTCGGTGGACATGACACCGACCGAGCTGTGCGCGGCCTTTGAGCGTCAGCTGCTCGAGCTTGATGACCTGGCCGCTTTCATGGGAGGTGGCGTGTGAGTCTCGCCCCCTTTCGCCTTCCGCTTGCGGCCTAGTCTCAAAGCTTCCTCTTTGTCGTTGATGGCCCTCGCAGCGCGCCTACTCCCGGGTAAGGCCACAGCGATATCATGCTCAAGGCCTTATTTGTATCATTTGTCTCAGGCCGAGAACATGAACCATCTTTCTGGTGCATACAGATGATGGTGTTTAATGGTTGCGCGTCGGCTTTCAGCCTGGGTCGACACCTTTTACATCGTTTTGTTTTCTTCTTTTTTTTTCTTGTCTTTCTCTTTTTCATTCTTGTCCTTGCTTAAATGTGGAGAGAGATAAAACTCGACGGCTTGTCCTCCCTTGAAATCTTGTTGCGCTGGTACACGCTGTGCCTCATCTACGCCTTGATCTGACGGCGTTTCCTGGGCGTGCGGTGGGCGCCCTGACACCGCGAACAGTGGTTTTCCATCGTCTTGTTTTTTTTTCTTTGTTGTTTTTTTTTTTTGGTGGGGGTTGTTTATTTGCTGTTGAAGACAGACCGTGGACGGCTTTGGTGTCTGGTGTTTCTTTGATCATCCCGCTACCCAGACCCCTCAAGGCTGGAGTGGAGAGGATGGTTCTGCACAATATGTGCTTGTACTTTTCGGAGGTCGGCCGTTGTCACTTACTGCTTGTACATTACTTCCAGCTTATGGTGGGTTCTGGGGTTTGATATTACCAGACCTCTCATACAGCCATTTTACCCAAGAGGGGAAGATAGGGGACAACGTTTTTGGGGCCTTTCACCAAGAGGACTCTTCTGATGGAGAGACGTAATAAATCTAACACAGTGTGGCCTGTTTGATGGTCTTGCTTTCTTAATTGAGATGCTTCGTTCCACTTGTCGTCTTGATGAGTTTTGTGTCTGTGCTGCCTATCTGTCAAAGGATCAGTGAAATATTTGAGTCGCACGCACTTGGCGGCGTATTCGATCGAGACAGACTTCAGAGTGCTGTCAGATAGGGGGGGCGGGAAGCATCTTGTATGAGAAAACGTCTTGATACAATGCATCACGTCAAAAGTTGTGGAGAGGATAAGGATGTTGACAACGAACATGTGTAGTAAGTAAAGTGATTCAATTCGATGCCGTTATGTAGGTTATATGTGTGAGAGACCCACGAGACCTCACGCCTCGGGGTTCGTTTGTTGACATGAGATGGATGACCCGAATGCCAGACCAAATCAAACGCCATAATTCCAAATCAAGCAAAATGAGTGCCAGCAGACCATCGAGGGAGGGTCTCAAGTGAGTCAAGACCTTCACTCACTCAGAACCATCCATTGTCTCCAATCCCTTGCCCTCCACAAACAAATGAGAGACTACAACCACCCAAGCAAAACCATCCTATACATTCTCTCTCTCTGCGTGTCCCTTTCCCATTTCGTAATGTAGACTCACAACCCCCTTTCTTCCCTTACGACCTCTTAGGCCAGGATGACCCAGCGGCGCCGACACGGTCAATGCCCTTCTTGATGCGCCTGTCGACGCCGCGGGCAACGCGCTCGAGGGGCAGCTTATCGTCGATGCGCTTGACGTTGCGCTCGACGGTGGGGGCGATGAACTGGGTGCCTCGCTCGACGGGGTTGGTGAAGTAGTTGATGTTGCGTTCCCTGTAAGTTTAGAAAGAATATAATTAGCTTCTGTATCTTGTTAGAAAGGAAGGGGAATGAGGACGCCAGAGGGGGATGATGGAAGTCGGCAGGTGAATTGTTACAAGGAGAATATAATACGGGGTTGGTAGTTGGTTAGGTAGGTAATTGGTATAGTTAGGAAATTCGATGTGGTCTTTGGGGGGAAAACGAGACGAAGATGTAGAATTGTTGACTGATGCACATGTCGTTGTGGCATCGACTTACCATCTTGGTGCCCATCTGGCCGTCTGAGATGCGACCCTCTCACTGGCGCCGGGCAGCATCATGTAGAAGGGAGCAAAGGCGGCGAGACCACCGACGCCAAAGGTGAGGAGCTCAGAGGAGCGGGCCTTGGGAATTCTGACGGGCATGTTGTTGGATTGTAAATTGAAGAAGATTGAGATTGAGACTTTGGTGGTGGATGTTCTCTTGGAACTAGTTAAGAAGTGTTTGTTAGAATCGAGTGAGGAGTCTGTTGATTGGAGAGGTGGTATATGTGTGTGTGTGCTATGGAAGGACAGGGGAGGAGTAAGGGGAGAGACGAGAGGGAGGGGAACAGTCTTACCACGTATGTGGGAAGGGGGGGGGGGGGGGCGAGGAAGCAGGCTGCGTATGAGGGACGGTGGTACTCATGGTTTGATTGACTTACCTGGTAACGTTGAGAGGATTTGGTATGTGAGCAGTAAGAGTAAGAAAGAGGTACAGTAATGAAATCTATCTCTTTTTACTCTCCCTGTCTGATCCTATTCTTTCTCTTTCCTTCTAGAGTCTATGATCACAGAGGGAATAATGTGTAGGAAGAAACGAATTGGTTTGGAAAGGAAATCTTGACAAAGAAAAGGACGAGGAGGGGTGCCCGTCCTGCTTCTTATTGCGGAGGACTGATGAAACCCCCAATGAAGTGCTATATACCATGAACTGTACTTTGTAATAGTCTATTGGTACTTACTTCTCAGCCCATTCCATCCAGGCAATGGAGGTATCTTCCCCTCACTGCTCCAGTGTCCCTCTCGTTCCCCTCTACCCCCTGGCGCTGTCCCTCCAACCCTTCCACCCAATGCCTGTCGTTTCCCCAGACGGCACCTGGACAGCAGGAGCAAGAAGCGGGGGAGCTGGGCTCCTGGCTCCTTTTGTCGCCCAATCACACACTGAGACATTACGACGTCAGAACCCAGCCGGGGTTGGATGATGCGCTGCGCCGTCAGACCATGCCAGCCGCGTTTATGGTGCGTTGCTTGATCCGGATGGCCTGACTGATTGATGATGCCTGAGCGATGATGTGTACCCATAGTAGTATTAATGCATGCCAATGCAGGAAAAAGGAGGGGCGAGGAAAGAGGGGGAGGGTGCTAGGGGAGCACTGACCGTGTCGCATTTCAAGTGGTTGACTGATCCTGTCTGCACCTTCTTTTCCTTTTTCTTTCCAGTCTTTTCGTCTTCTGCCCCTCTCCCAACCTCCAATCTCCAACCTCGTCGCCGTCGTTGTAGATGTCGTTCAACGACAATCAACATTATTATATCCACATCGCCCAACTCCACTTCTGTCGGCAAATGGAACCAAGAACCCTTGTGCTCTGATCATCAATTTCACGACGGTGGCAAAAATTGGCCTCCCCCTTTGCCTTTTCCGGCTGACAAGCAAACAAGTTAACCCATAGTAAAGCATAGTACGAGCAGTGGATCGGGTCCCTTTCCCCGCTTCCCCAGACCGCGGGAGTCGGATGCGATGGGGCCCAGCCAGCGCCATCGTCGGCTAGGCTTCCCACGATCCACTCTTCTCACCCACACTCGAAACAACTGCAGTAAGTTGTCGAAGACAGGCCACCAGCAGAACAAGAGCCAAGAAGCTACTGAAGGGGCGAACCCACTGAAACACGTCCGACCAACGAATTACAAGAATGCTCCAGAGAGACGTGCTCTTTAAGATTTCGAATGCCGCCGGGCCAAACAACATTTGAATCTGGGTAAATGAGAAAATGAGCTGAATTCATTGTGCCAATCTGGATGGAGAACGCAGTGGGAGAGGGATACAAAAGGTCACGTCCTTTTGTGTGGTCTTTAGTCGGTCCACTGGAACATGGAAATCGGAAAGAGTGCGCGCTGCAGCAAGAGTCAAGAGGCGGAGATTTCATACAGAAGAGGAAGCTCGAGCGGCTGGTTTCTCCTGCGATCCTTTCTTCTTCAGGCTCGGCGGCGCTGTCACTGCCAGGACAGGCTCTCCTTGTCGCCTGAGGCCACTCTTCGGTCTGCCAAGGGGCATGCTATGGATCACTCGGCAGCCTGGAGCAGTGTGTCACATGGCTTCTTGCTTGTTTTCTGTTCTATTCTCCGTCTGTCATTTTGAGGAGAAGGACGCAGTACGCCTACATGGTCAGGTCAGGTTCCACCCACTGCGCCATCTTTTCAGGTAAGTACATACATTGTCGCTCAGCACTGGGTTCGTATTCGTACCGCTGTTCATCGTCCTTGCCACTATGAATTAATGGTATTATGAGAGGCTTCGAGGTCAGTAATACAGCTCCATTGATTAACATTCCTTGTTTGCAATGATTATTATTGAACCCCGTTATTTCTTTTCTTGTTTGGGGCGCGTTGTCTTCGGTGATTTAGGAGGCGGACATTGAATCAATTCAGTATGTATCGAAGCTCAATACTGCCCATGTTTGGCGTGGTGCACATTGCTACAATGACAGTGGATGATCCAATACAACTCTTGAGGTCTTCAATCCCCTCAACTCACCATTTTCACGTAGACTGTTTGCATAGCATACAAATGCAAACCTGATACGCTCACTAGGCTACCCGTTATGACTATTTTTTGCGTGATGTTATGAGTGTGTAGAGTGGTACCTATCCACCACGGCTGTGGTCTGGCTGATGGGCTGAATGCTCGTGAGTCTGGTTCCTTGCCGGGAAAGTCATAGCTTATGCATAACACCAAAGAAAGTAGGTGAGATCTTGAAAGGAGAAAGATGAAGGTGGCTGGATCTGGATCATGTTTACGTGATCAAATAAAGTAAGAAACTGAATTATAATATACATATATATTGTGTTTAGTTTGGTCAATTACGATCGCTTCAAGTAGCCAGGCAGAATGGATGACGAAAATGGAAATTCGAGAGAACTCCCGCCTTCCCTCCAAAACTCATTCAATTCACAAATCAGGCACATTGTAGCTGTGCTATTTCAAGCTGCTAAGCCTTAGAGTTTGGTTATCCTTATTGCTGCCGTCTTTGCCTTGTATAGCTTGACAAGTTGTCGGATTGCGAGATCCAGGAGAACATCCTCCGAGCCACCAGGGATCCTGATGCCCGGAACCTCTCTCCAGAGCACTGTTCATAGAGTGTTACGGTCAGCAAAAGGTATGAACACCCAGACGAGAAGGTAATTAGAAAAATGTAGAAAAATGACAACAACAACAACAACAGCAATAAGAAGAAGAAGAAGAAGAAGAAGAAGAAGACTCACTTTCTATCAGCTCTCCCTGTCCACTCGTCGTGAATCCATTTCCACCAAACAGCAAAACCGCCGTATCCGCACATTCTTTCAAGACCATACCCGAGTTGGCCTTCAGAAGACCCGTCAGCCCGCCCAGGGCAATATCGCTGTCTTCTTTCTTCATCTGCGTGAGCTGGTAGGCAAATTGCTCGACCCACGCCCACTGGGACTCGAGCAGTGCCCCTGCCTTTGCCAACCTGTGCCGGACAACAGGCTGGTCCATGAGCGGACGGCCAAAGGCTTCACGCTTCAGCACATACTCGAAGGCCGAGGACAGGGCCACTCGGGCCTGGCGGGTAGCACCGACGGCGATGGTGAGCCTTTCGTGGTTGAAGTTTGTCATGATGTACTTCATGCCCTGTGTGATTATTCGTTTCGTCAGTGAATGCTTGCAATGCTCTGATGGGTTTTAGAAACAATGAGCGCAAAAAGTAGAAGAGAAGAAGGAGGAAGAAGCAAATTGGAGGGAACAACCACTTTCTTACTTACCATGCCCTCTTCGCCGATGAGGTTACCGGCAGGAACCTCTACATTGTCAAGCTCGATATACGTCGTCCCAGCCGAGACCTGCCCCCCAACCTTTAACCTCCTCATCCGCACGCCAGGGTAGTTCTTGAGCGGCACCACGAGCAGCGAAAGGCCCTTTGGCCCGGACCCTTCCTCGCCCGTCCGCACAGCCATGGTAGCATAATCCGTCCAGATCCCATTCGTGATCCACTTCTTGGTCCCATTCACGACAAACGATTCCCCCCCCTCCGTCTTGGTCGCCGTCGTCGTGATCCCCGCGACATCAGACCCCGCATCCGGCTCCGTGATGGCGATACAGCTGCGCTTCTTCCCCGTGAGCAGCTCGGGGAGAAACCGCTCCTGCAGCTGCGGGCTGCCAAACTTGATGAGGGGCGGGACGCCAAACGCCATGCCAGTCGTCAGGCTTGCGCCCGGCCCGACGAGCCCGCACCGGTTCATCTCGTCGCAGAAGATGAGGCCGTGCAGGTAGTCGTAGTCCTCGACCTTGAGCCCGCCTGGGAGCTCGTGGATGCCGAGCCTGTGCAGCCAGTCGGCGGGGAGAGGCGGCGCGAGGGCCGGGAGGAGCATGTTGGCGCGCGCAAAGGTCTCGAAGACGTGGTCCGGGACGAGGCCGGCCTTGTCCCATTCTATGGCGTGCGGGGTGAGGTGCTCGTCGATGAAGGCGCGGATGGTGCGCTGCCAGTGGACGTGGGTTGGCTTGAAGATCGGGCTGGGTAGGCCCATGAGCCAGGGCGGTTCTGAGAAGGGGACTGGGGCGCTGGTGTTGTCTGCCATGGCGTTGTGGTGCGTGGGTGCGTGTCTGTGTAAAAATCAATGTTTCTGAGTTATGTTATGTTCTCTGCAATCAGAGCAAGGCTAGAAAACAGCTGTTGTGGGCGCGTAGTAGGAGAATGATGATGAAGTGTGTGAAAAGGGTCTAAAGGGTGCTTCTGGATACTGTGTGTATAACATAACGTAAGGAGGCGTTCAAAGGCGTCGGACGGGATACTTGCGGGGCAATTGTGCCGAGGTCTTACGGGTCGATCAATCATCTCGGCTGAGCAGTTGACTACATCTTGAAATAAAAAGGGCACTTGAAATACAAAGGGCATTGAGTATCATTATTGGAATATTGTGTAAACTCAATAAACCTTTAACATTTGAGTGCGAATTGTTGTACATGGTGTCCAAGCTTGTCACAAATTCAGACAATAGGAAGCGCAATTGGGTTTGTAGGGGCAGAAACACACCGTTGTATGAGTTTTTCCCGAGGCTCTGCGCAGGCAGACGGTGCCTTCATGGATGATCATACTTTTCATGTCCTTCATCTAAAAGCATACGATTTGTGCTATCAATGCTCCGCAGTCTTTCAAGAAATCCGTCATCTATTCCGATCCAGATTTGTATGACTTCATTCTGGGCTGCATTCCCCCTTATTACTTATGTCTAGTGCTAAGGGTCTAAGAACAGTCATAAATGCAGGAAGCGCTTACACTAGTATTGAATCCCTGATGACCTTATGAATATGTTCATAAGAATCCCCATTGTTATTAAGGAGACCACTCTACCTCTTCTGAGCTCCACTCCAAGCCTGAGAGCCGACATCAGAACGAGCAGAACTGCTGCTGCGTTTCGATAGACCCGACGACAATGAGGATCGCACTTTGCGAATAGACTCTTTGACTCGTTCCCGTTTCCCACGGTGCTTAGCAAAAGAGGAGGAGGATGGATCTGACACACTCTCTGACGTCTGTGGCTTTCTGCTGGCAGGATCGGTGCTCCGCCTGGTGGGTGTCGTAGCTTGTGCCGGCGTCGTTGTCGCAGCCGGACTTGTAAGCTGCTTGGAGCCATTAACCGCGCTGTTCGGTGCAAGGTACTCATGCGCCGTCTCAAATGACGCCGGAGATGCAGGCACACCGGCATCATCTACTGATGTTCCCGTGTAGCCTCCAACGATAAGATGTTTGTTTCGAATATTTGGCCCTCCGCTTTCCGTTCCGGTCTGGTTGTCGGGCGTCAAGGTCCCATGAAAGGGCCTCTTCACACCCTGGGCCCACAGCTCCTGGTCAAACTTCCAGATCCCAACTGTGTCATCGGGGTTCAGGTCCTTGGATATGCTCTTGTACAGCCGCGCCGCCACCTCGTCCCCCTCGTCCTGCTTAAAGAAGAAGAGAGGCTTCCACGTCTTGCCCGCCCGCTCCTCGTCCTTGCGCATATCCCGTTGCCCTTGTTCAACAGCTGATTTAGCCTTGGCCGTTCCCAACATGTCGCCGTTTTCCAAGGCCTGGCGCACCCCCTTCCAAGCGCGACGTGTTTCCCATGGATCCTGCGCGTCGAGATCCTCCTCCAGGAGCGTCAGTGGTACTGTAGGTAGGTCTTTGAGAACTAGAGTCTCAAACGCCGCATCTTGTGAGGTCTCAGCACCTTTGTAAATCGTAAAGGAGTCGGTCCATTGGCCTGTGAGGGTATAAAGTGGTTCCGCGTTGTTATTGTCGTTAGAAGATGATTTGCCCGGCCCGTAGAGCTTGGCAGTGAATTCATTCCTCTGGCCGCCACGGCTCAACAGAGACTTGCCACTGAACTCGATGGTTGAGTAGTATCCCGACGTGCTTGGGATGGTATACGTTCCCTCCAGCTCAGGATACGCCCCAGAGAGACCCGAGAGAATGCCTTTCACCTTCACATCCGGCAACGGGATGAGATATGTCTCGTCACCGTGGTTCTTGAGCGTCAGCAGCGCATGGCCCATCTGCTTAATTGTTACAGTTCCCAGGCTCAACGTGACCTCCTGCCGGGTGAAGCCCTCAGCGTAGACGCCATGCTTCTCATTCCAGACACGGCAGGCCGTCACAGGAGGATGGTGCGATACCTGTTCCGACACAAGCAGCGTCTCCCCACCACTGCTGTCATCGTTGTTGTCGTCATCGTTTTCTGTCCACTTCGCAAGGAAACACTCCCCCAGAAACGCATTCAGCGGTTTCTTGACCCCCTCGTCCTCAGATCTCCCGCCGTACTGCTGGTTCTTGAGCGAGACAAGGAACCAGCGCAGGACCAACAGGGCTCGCTCGGCAGGATCGGAAGACGAGGCCGGCGCGACGAACAGGGACGGCCGTTCTGCCCAGAAACCTGGTAGCTCGACGACGGACTTGGTGTCTAGGACGAAGGGCGGCGCGGTGATGTTGGACAGGTCGCCGCGGATGGTCGCGATGGAGGCGAGGAAGTCTTTGAGGGTGACTTGTGCCTTGGGGCTGGCGTTGCTACCCATTCTGATGGCCAAATCAATCAATTAATTACTAAAAAAAAAAGGAAGTCAATTTTCCCCCTCCTTCTTCCTCCTCATATTTCCACCCTTGCTGAAAGGTATTGAAACTTGGCAATTACGTCTTGGTGTCTCCTTCAACATGGAAGCTATCACTATTGAAGCAATGACGTTTAGACTAATGTACTAAGTAGCCAAGGACGTCCCCTGCTCTTTGATAGCGTTTACTACCCGAGCCGTTGCTGTCCGTTATTGTTTGTAACAGAGTCTAAAAACTAACGTCACATGGCAATGTGCTAATGATACCATCTATGCATTGTGTAACATGGTTGTAAAGTCTACTTAATAGTAATAAGATCCATGTGAGTCCAACATTGTCTCTCCTGTTCCTCTCTTCTCAATTCATGAGACATTTTCCATAAAAGTCAATTATCAAACACAAGGGCACCATAACATGGACAAACCTTGCCAGCACTTTAGGAAATATGATGCAGTTCAATACTTGTAGTATATGACTCCATCTTGCTGTGGATGAGCCGGCTAATGCCAGGGCCAAAAACTTGGATAAACATATGACCAAGTTCCATCGGTGTGCAGTACGCGATCGGAATTCCCTAACCTCTTAAACAAACATCCAACTAGTGGACCCCATTGCGGGGAACATACATACCCGACCAGACCACGCATCGGACCGAGACTACTTTACCGGCATGGTCATGGAAAATGAGGTAGATCGTCTGCCTCTCACTGGACGGCGCAACAGCCCATGGATGGAGTAGAACCCAAGTGGTTCCCCATGGGACCCCCCTCCTTTGTCGGCTATGAGGAAAAACCTCACCAGACCGCAAATGCGCTCATATTCGGGGCAAAGAGCACCGGACGCTCTACGATGCTGCCGATGGGAAAACAAGATGTCTTAGCGCCGGCACAAGCATATTAAAAGCACCAAGAGGCCCTCCTTTTTTTTTTTCCCTGGGGGAAGGATGGCTGGCTACGACCTCACCCCCTCTCCCCTCCTTGGTTGCGTTTACAGCCCTCCAAGTGGAAGCCTCATCTGTGCTGCTCAAAATGCTTTGGCCCTTGCTGATCACCACGGCGGCTCTGGCCACTGCGGTCAGCGCCTCCTCCAAGGTGTCTTCCTCCTCCCATCAGTTTGAAAGGGTCATCCGCGGGTCGAACGTAAGCCTCGCACCCTCGCAGGATCGCCTGTCCAGCGGGCTGCACCTAGGCGTCGACTACTATCCGGCACAATGGCCCGAGTTTCTGTGGGAATCAGATGTGGCCGGCATGCGGGATCTGAACGTCTCGTATGTGCGGATCAACGAGTTTGACTGGGGAATTCTCGAGCCAGAGGAAGGCGTCTATAACTTCTCGGTGCTGGACGACACACTTGAGTTGTTTGGCCGGTATGGACTCAAAGCCATTCTCGGCACGCCCACCGCAAGCCCGCCCGACTGGCTCACCAAGAAGTACGACATTTCCTTTGTCGACGTGACCAACTCGACCTACGTCTTTGGGTCCCGGCGGTACTACAGCTTCTCGTCCTTCGACTACCGCGAGCAGAGCCAGAAGATTACGCGCGTGCTGGCCGAGCGCTACGGCAGCAATCCCAACGTCGTGGCATGGCAGCTGGACAATGAGTTCGGCTGCCACAGCACAGTGCGGAGCTACGACAAGGACGCCATCACCCGCTTCCGCACCTGGCTGCAGCAGAAATACGGCACCATCGAGGCCATGAACGCCGCGCAGGGCCGTGTGTTCTGGTCGAACCAGTACGCCAGCTTCGACGACGTGCTGCCCCCTTACCACGAGGTATACACGACCAACGACCTGTACACGCTGGACTGGTACACCTTCAGCTCAGACATGGTCATCGAGTTTGCACAGGAGCAGGCTGCCATCCTGCGCGAGTATGCGCCCACCCAGGCCGTCACCACCAACTTCATGGTCGTCTTTACCGACTTTGACCATTACAAGTTTGCGCGCGAGGTCGGCATCGACATTGCCTATTTCGACAACTATCCCCTGGCCGGGCCGAGCGACTTCACCTGGGTCACGGACGACCAGCTCGCCGACACCCTCCGCACGGGACTGCCAGACCTCCAGGCACTGCAGCACGCCGTGTATCGCGGCGTGGCGGGTGCTGCGTACGGGCAGACGGCGGGCCCGTTCGGCGTCATGGAGATGCAGCCCGGCATGCTCAACTGGAACACGTACCGCGTGTCGCCGCTGGAGGGCATGGTGCGCCTCTGGACGCTCGAGACGTATGCCGCGAGCGGTGATGTGGTGAGCTACTTCCGCTGGCGTCAGGTTCCCTATGCACAGGAGCAGACCTTGTCGGGCCTGCACATCTCTGATGGCAGTGATGACGAGGGCTTCTTTGAGGCGCAAGACGTCGCCTTCAATGACCTGCCCATTCTGCGCGAGAAACTAGGCCAGTCAAACGGCTCTTCGTCAGCCGCCGAGGCTGTGGCACACGAGCCACAAGCCGACGTCGCCCTCATTTTTGACTATTCCTCCGTATGGACATGGGCCATCGAGCCATACAGCGGCAGCTGGGACGTCACCTCTGCCACCTACACAGGCACCGTGCTCAGCAACCTCGACCTCGTCTACACATTCTTCTCCGCGCTGCGCCGCCTTGGCCTCTCTGTCGACGTGATTGGCCCAGACCAGGACCTCTCCGCGTACAAGATGGTCGTCGTGCCCAGCATCCCCATCATCCCAGCCGCCCTCAACGCCTCCCTTGCCTCCTACACCGCTGGCCCTGTGGTCTTTGGCCCGCGCTCCGCAGCGCTCACTGCCAACTTCTCCTACGCCCCAGGTATCCAGCCCGCGGCTGGCGCACTGCGCGACCACCTGCCCATGCGAGTGACGCGAATCGAGACGCCGCCCAGCTACGCCAACAGCAGCGTCTCGTACGCCGGGACGAGCTATGCCATCACGTACTGGGAGGAGTGGGTGAGCTGCAGCCGCGGCAACGCGAGCAGCAATGCGACCGTCACGTCGGGATCGAAACATCGTCTGGGGAAGCCGGCGGCGTGTGCTTCGGTGGACCAGGATGAGGGGAAGCAGTGGCATTATCTGGGCTTCAACCCGCCTGCAGACTTCCTGGTCTCGTACCTGGGCGATATGGCTGCCGCGGCGGGGCTGAGTGATCTGACTGGCAAGGCGGCCAGTAAGGATGCGGATCTGGGCAGCTCGCTGAGGCTGTTGCGGAGGGGCGACCTGCTCTGGGCGTTCAATTATGGGGCGGAGGCTGTGGCCGCCCCTGCTGTGGACTCTACTGCTCAGTTGGTCATTGGTGAGGCAGGCGATATTCCGGCTGCTGGTGTTGTGGTATGGAAATTGAGCAGCTGAGACAGTCTGGTTGGACCCTAGAACTGTTCCTTGGGAATGATTAGCCCAGAGGCATCACTGTCCAAGGCAGAGAGGTATGCCTAAATACAAATATATTAGCGACTAGAAACACATAATGTCTCTTCTTCTCTTACCTTACCCTATCAGCTCAAGGCTGTACAGCTGTTCTCCTGGGCTCTGCAAGGATCAAATGAGATATGCAATGCGCTTCATTCAGTGCTGCCTTGTGGTCTGGTGAGTAAGATAGAAGGCCCTGGGTGTTAGAATAGAGCAGCAAAAAGGTCTTTCAAGACCATCTTTCACGTGCTTTTGGGGAGGACGACGACCTAGACAAATTTAACAAAATGTATGGTGGCCAGCATCCTTAGGAGTCAGAGAACCTCCAACCACTCCCTCTTGCATACATGTGAATATCAATAAGACTGATGATGATGATGATGACCTCATGTTTTGAGCCAGCAGTGGCCGTTGTTGTAGCATTTTGATGGGATGCGATCGGATGTGATTGGCGGACAACAATTGATTAGCTAAGCATCTACCCTGGACCTTCAACCGTCAACCTCACCTCCCTGCTTCATTGCTCTTACCTCAACCCCCGTTCTTGCCCTGCCAGATTGTCTCCTCACAACTTCTCGAGGGATCCTTCCTTTTTATTTGTTGACGCGGCATCCCAGCAAGCTCAACGCCAAGGGGGTCTTCAAGTACTTGCTTAGTAGGTTAGTAGACCTCATTGCGTTTTGCCATCCACGGCAGGCTTTTGAACAGTCCTGGTTCCACACATCAACTCGACTTCCTCTGCCAAACCAATCCTCAAATACTCATCGTCTTCAAGGTTTTATGAGCAGTCAAAACAGAATCTTGGCTTCTCGATCGATCTAGACTATCATAGATTGGAGGCAATCACACAACACAGTCCAAAGCATGGGCAGAACGCTGCCATGGAAGAAAGACCGGAATGGTGCCACCGCAAAGAAGACCATTACCAACTCCAGTGAAACTACGCCGCCACGACCTGTAACTCCTCCTGCGGCTAGAACCCGCTCCATTGGATTTTCTTCTCGGTCAAAACGTTCCCCAAAACCGACCCAGACCGGATGCGCGGAAGACGGCTCCGATAAGGGCCCAAGACAGTCTGCGTCTGCACCGCGCCCACCAAGACAGATACAGGAAAGGTGGGAATCATCGAGTTTGAAAGGAGCGAGTGAAACATCTTCATTCTGTACTTACTAATTTTGAGCAGTTTCATGATCCAAGGCCTCAAACACGACGACATGTGGCGCATGGTTGAAGATGAGTTCGTCGCCGTAGCACACAAGTTCACCGCTCACCTCCACGAGGCCGAGTACCAACGCCTCAAGGAACGGGCCAGAGCTCAGAATGCGGATGCTATCCGATCTCTATCACGACCTGTGACTGGACCCATGACGGATGCCGTGAAGAGACAACATGCCGTGCAGAAACTACGGAGAACACAGGCAGCGGGCATCAGGAGGGCATCCTCACGAGCTCAGGACGTCGAGGGTGATGATGATGATGTGGATGAACGACCCTGGGCTGGAACGAATTTGCAAGATCTTATGGAAAGTCCGAGAAAACAGCCGGTTCCACTGACCAGGATATCCTCTGCAATGACAGGTACGCGAGCTGCAGCCTTGAATCGCCAGGACACCATCTCGAGGAGGGAATCGTCGCCTCTCGAGGAGAAGAGCACTCGTAATGTCAACACCACATCCCAATCAAGGTCGATCCATACAGGCCACATCAAGACTGTCCGAATGGCAGCTGCCAACAACACTGATCATGATGATGATGATCTTGGAAGACATTCCGTGCCCGCACATTCTAGGCCAAACGAGCGTGGCCATTCATCATCAAGCTCCAAGCGGAAGTTCACGGCTGCACCCATCACGATGGATGGAGATGATGACTCAGACAGCCCAGTTGAGACGATGTTTGAGCGGCATATGAGAGAGTGTCGCAACAACCGGAAGATGCCGAGGCGGAAACAAGATTCGACTCCAGACACTGACAAGGACGACGGCCAGCCAAGCCAGAAATCCAAAAAGGGTCCTATCCCAAGCTCGTTGTCGATACCTTCATTTTGATCATATTCCCCAACTCTAGTCACAGACGAGTTGACTTGGGAAAAAAAAAGAATTCATTCAAAAAGCGCTCGACAGATCATACTGTCATTCTGTCAAAGGTTCTACGACATGGAGCCCGTGTTTACAAATGACCCCATTTCCTACTGAAGCTGCTTCAAGCCTTGAAAGGCGTTTCGAAAGGGCGCTCCGCCTGAGGTGTAATCCTCGCAAGGTGCCTCCTTTGGCCATCCTTCCAGTCCACCAGCGCTGAGTGCTGGGTGACACGATTGTCCCAAACGACGACGGTTCCCTCCTCCCACTTGACGCGGGCTTGGAAGTCAGCCCCGTACGCCAGGTGGTCATACAAGAACTTCAGCAGAACATCACTTTCTTCCTTCTTCATACCCACAATTTCACGAGTGACTGTACCTCAGGTCAGTCACTTTCTCGGACTAAGGCGTTGGGGGTGGAGGAGAATACGCACATTGTGGGTTCACATAGATGGCCTTCTGGCCTGTGGCGGGATGGGTCCGCACAATCGGGTGGGAGTTATAGACGGGTTCTCGCCTGACGATGCTGCCCCTTGCCTTGGCAGCGTTGACCTGTTCGATGCCGCTGTGCACCGCCTTCAGGCCATGCAGCCTCTCCTGGAACAGCGGGCTGAGCCTGTTGTATGCCTCAACAGCATCGACGAACAGGGTGTCGCCACCCGTCTCGGGCTTGTTCAGGACATACAGAAATGTGGTTCCCGGGGGCTGGGCCTCATACGACACATCCGAGTGCCAGGCGACAGAACTTGTCCTGGTCGTGAAGAAGTCCTGGGCCGAGGTGTCACCGGCGGACCGATGCACAAGGTGAACCTCCGGATGGCCTTCAGGCGAGCCTGATGTCGGGTGGATATGGTGCCGTCCGAAATACCCGCCCCACTCCAGCGCATCCTTGATGGGGAGATCCGCAAAATCCTGCGCACGGAAGGCTACCACCTTGCGCTCTGCCACGTACCTGGCCAGCTGGTCCTTGCCCGCGTCCGAAAGCTTGCTCAGCTGCACGCCACGAACCTCGGAGCCGATGGTGGGGGTGAGGTCGACCACCTGTGACCCAGGGGCCAGGAGATCCTTGAAGGACGTGTCTGCGTCCTTGCCGTGCTCGGTGTGCTCGAAGGGTGTCAAGGGCGGATACCTCTGTTCGGGGTTCCACGTTGGCAAGTAGTTGGCATACTAAGTGATCATAGCCGGTCAGTCCAAGGTGGTCCTTTTTCTTCTTAGCCCTGCTGGTGGCTACTGAAGTTGGTCCATCTTGCTTCAACCTATGCTCACCTTGGCACCCTCAACACCCTCTTTCTTTCCCTCCTCGGCCTCCCTGTCGAAACCGTGCGGTTGCAGCTGCTTGTAGTCTGCTGTGCCAGCCTGCGTCGAGTGCAGCCTGAGGACGGGAGCCTCGGCCTGGGTGGAGATGGTCTGGGTGGCAGACGGAGCCATGGTAATGAATTCTTTCTTTCTTGTCAAATAACCTTTCTCAGCATAAGGCTTTGTGGTAAATTTTCTTGGTACTTGCCGGATCAGGGGCGATGACTGCTGCTATAGCTCAAGTATTGTCAGGAGGAGTCTGCTCGACCTTCAAAATCCCGCTCCAGTCTTTTTGCGAAAGCGAACTTGAAGTTTGGCCTCATCTTTATACTATTGCGACTTCGCCTCTCGCTCTTTAGCCACGCACAAGATATCCAATCATCCGGTACGCTGCGGGGTAAGGAATGCTCGCATCGGTGGAGAGGCGTGATCACCACCATCTTGGAGAGCGATTGCGTGCAATTACTCTGTCCTCAGTGGCTGGGATGTGAGATTTCTAATAAACGCCCTTCCCTGCGACACATCTAGTCATTGTGTTGCTAAATAGCGTCTCCAGTTCTTATTCCCGATGTTCGACGAGAGAAGCCGTTTTGGTAGGCCAGCAAATGGAATCCAACATCTCCACACACACACACACACACACACACAAACATCTCGTCGACTCCCTCCAGGATTCCGCCACACGTCGCCGCAGGGAATGTGCAGCTTCTTTCTTGGATGGCTCCGTCAAAGATGGAGATAGGACGGATGTCGGTGCTTGTCACTAATTAGTCTGTGTGTGGCTGCTCGACTCGTCACCAGTAGCTAACCCACCGCCTATGTTGCTATTGCGGGAGGGGATCACGCAATCGCCCGCATTACCAACGGTTAGGAAGGTCCATCGATGCTTGAGATACTCGGGTATCGCTCCAATCCAAACTATTTCTCTTGGGACAAAGGAGAGGCCATGTCGCTACAGACTATTTGCAATGATGCAATCACGATCCATGACATGGGGGGGGAGGGGGGCTTGGGCATTTCCTATGGGCGACGATACACACACACACACCCCCACACAGCGCCACCGGCCCGGGTGCATATTGTGGGTGTGCTAGTTAATACGAGCAGCATCTACGACCAATCACGATGGGATTGGGACAAATACATACTTCCTATGGCACTCCCTTTCAAAAAGACTGATATTCAATGGTACTTTTGAGGAGGGTTTTCAGTCAATTGTACCAGCTAAGAGACTGAAATGGGAAGTGTTGAAGCTCAATCGTCGCCTTGCTAACCATGACCACCACTCAGGATTGCAAACCTAATGAGGACAGTTGCGAATAGAAAGGAGAAGTGACAATTTACTACATCCAAACTGACAACAATATGAAGTTCTAGCTACTCACGATTCGGCGCCAAGACCGTGTAGCTCCCAGGGGCGGATTCCCTCGCAGCCACCTCAAACGCCTCCTCCCACTTCTCAAGCGGGAACACACCAGAACACTTGAAACCTCTCTCCGCACCGACTCGGAGAGTTCCAGACTCAAGCAGGTGGATGAGCTCCTCCAACTGTGTAGGCGTATACATCCACCAGCCCTGCAGAGTCTTGAGCCCGTGCGCAATATCCCAGACAGGCAGGCTCACATCGTGCAGAATCCCGCCCATGAACACAGCTCTTCCCTTCTTGCGCAGGCTCTTGATGGCCGCTGTAAGATAGGGCACCGTCTGGTTGGGCCCATCCACCACTCTCGGCGGGCTGATCTCGAAGAACACATCGACGGCCTTACTCCCCAGCCCGGCGGCAGCAGCCTGAATGCCAGCCAAGTTCTCCTCGACGCTCTTGGCTATGGGCACGGCAGCCACGCTCCCCTGGCCCAGAGCCTCGAGGCCAGCAAGCGCAGCCTCGTTGCGGCCCATGGCAATCACCCTGGCGCCCAGGGCGAGAGCAACGTGCACAGCAGCCCCTCCAAACCCACCCGTCGCGGGCGCCACGATCACCGTCTCGCCAGGGCGCAGCTTCACGGTCGCCAGGCCCCCATACGGCACAGCCAGCGACGCCATGGCCCCCAGGTCCTCGAGCTTGTACCCCAGCCTCGTGGCCCCCAGCAGCCTCGCCTCGTCCAGGACATGCACATTCTCCACAGGCACGCGCAGCACCTCGGCCCACGTGCCGTCGCGCCACGCCTCCTCCATGATGCGGTAGCTCAGCCCGCGCCCGCCGTGGTAGCCCAGGAGGAACTCGGCGCCGCCGGCCTCCTGGTCGCGGGCGCGGATCACGGCGTCCACGAGGACGAGCTGGCCTGGTTGTAGGGCAGGGGCGTCCGCGGGCGTGCCCACAAGGCGGCCGATGCAGGACACGCCTGGGACGAGGGGTAAGGGGTACTTGTAGCCGCGGGGGTTGCCGTTCTGGAAGATCTCGTTGGTGTAGGAGACGACGCTTGCTTGGAGGGGCTTGATGATGGCGGTGCCGAGGGGTGGGGGGAGGGTGGGCGTGGGCTTTGTGACGATGGTGGCGGGCTCGCTGGGGGAATGGAATTGGAGGGCACGGTAAGTTGAAGGGAGGGTGGTGTTGGTGTTGGTGTTGGCGGACATTGTGGCTGTTTCTCTTGGGATTGTTTTTGATTTATAGTGTTTGAGAGTTTCGTTGAAAGGGAGTGCTGTTTCTTACTGCTTTGTACAACTCATACATTGTTTACGAGAGAGTTCCTCTCTTCTTATAGTAAAATTCTCTATATACATTTCAATATAAATCCTTTGGATGTAGATATACCCCTAAAGTCCGTTATATTCGAAGCTGGGCCGGGCTCGGTTGTTCCGAGTGGCCGGCAACGCACATTCCGTGCTACTCGAGAGTGAGATGTTAGATTCTAAAGTCCGAGCCAGTCACCTTTGCAGACTTGATTCTCTCGATAAAGTATTTGGTTTATCATGTTTTGGAATTGCTCCTCATTTTGTTGGTGGGAGTCAAGATGAAAAAGGAGGAAGAAGAAGAAGAAGAAGAAGAAGAAGAAGAAGAAGAAGAAGAAGAAGAAGAAGAAGAAGAAGAAGAAGAAGAAGAAGAAGAAGAAGAAGAAGAAGAAGAAGAACACACTGTCGTTGTTGTACTTCTGCAGCATCAGGCCGCCGACTTTGATCTCTTACGGGCAGCATGGATTGTACTGGGCACACTCAATAGATAAAACCACATCGCAAGATTGCTTCTTCTCAAGGAACTTTCATCCCATAGCCTTCCTCCCTTTTCCAGAAGGAAAGAAGAAGAAAAAGTCAAGATTCAATCTCAACAACACATAGAAACATCTCCCCGCCTCTGAGAGCCGTCCTCTCTTGGCCAACATTGTATCTCTCAAAACACGACATCTGTCTCGTCATCCCCTTTCGACAGTGCACGAGCATACTCCTGGTCCAACTTGGCATACATAGCCACCGTGTCGACAGTAGACGCTCCCATCCCCCCAACACTGGCATTCGTCGCCGTTGTCCCGTTGAAAGGATGAGCAGTAACAGCCATGACATCTTGCATCCCCAGACCACCACCACCACCAAGCGTCAGCCTCGCCTCGTCCTCCCCACAGCTGGTAATGTCCACAAGATAAAACAAATGACTATTAACATCAATCATCCACCACGGCGCCCCCGCAGCACAGTCCACATTCGCATACCCCCTGCACACCTCGACCTCCCCCGCGTCATAGCTCGTCCGGAAGCTGGGGCCGGGGCTCAGCCAGTACTCGGGCGAAGTATGTCGAAAGTCTCGATTGATAGGCGGCAGGCGCGTAACCACATCCGCGTCGTGCGTCAGGCGGAACTCCCTGCCCGGCTGCCGCGTGACGTGCGCCGCCAGCGCCCTGTTGCCCACCCGCGGCGAGCCGTACGTGTACAGGTCCAGCGCGTACCCGGCGTCCCGGAGGTGCATGCCCAGCAGCGTGGCCACGCTGGCGCCGAGCGAGTGGCCCGTCACCGCCAGCCTGTAGCTCGGGAACAGCCGCGTCGCCGCCGCCACCGAGGCGTCCACCGCGTCCACCACCTCGCTGTAGGCGAACAGGAAGCCCAGGTGCGCCCAGCAGCCGTCGCACATGTCCGTGGGCTCGCGCGCCCAGATGACGTCGGCCAGCCAGTTGATGAGGGACGTCGAGCCGCGGACCGAGAGGGTGATCTCGCGAGCTGTGGAGTCGATGGCGATGAACCCGAGGATGTCGGTCTCGACGCCGCTTTGGGAAGGAGAAGGAGGTTTCTTTTTAGCTCTCATACATCTGTATGATGACTTTATCTTGCTCCTGTCACAGGGGGTGATGGCTACTATAACTACTACTTACTGAAAGACCGAGTGGATAGTCGCGTTGCTATGGTTTCCTGCTGGGCAGATGTCGCCCTTGCAGTAGACACGTCTGCCCGCTACAGGATCACAGTACGCCACTCCGGCGTATTGGGCGTAGTGCACAAAGTCGGTCAACTCCTGCTCGGTGATACCGATGGTATCTCTGCCTCCTGCTGCACGAGTCCATGAGCAATGTGCTATAGACAAAGAGGAGTCTGGATCCGACTTACCACGCTCCTCTACCTGCAAAGAATGATGAGGATCCGACGGGACGATGTTGAGTGGTTCCTTAACTCGAGGCGACGCGAGGACACTCATGGCCATAGCCACCAGACAGATGACGATCGTCTTCATGGTTCTGGATCGAGGTGGTCCAGGTAGCAAAGAAGCGTGTGGGATTCAAAAGTTTCCCAGGGACGGGTGGGAAAATAGCCTGGGCCTAGGGAGCTACTTTCGGGATATGTCATGTAGAAAGACCCTGATGGTGGAGGGGAATGCATCTGCTCTCCCCTGCAGAACTTATAAACTACCAGGTCCGTCATGATCGTTTCCAAACGAGCCATGGCAGATGTCCTGTGGTGACTGCCGGTGCTTTGACCGAAGAGGAGTGTTTCGCCGAGAGAGAGAGGTACCAGGCGAGAGAGACCATGACAGTCACATTTGAGGAACGGCTTCGTGTCGAAAGGATCAGGTCTGGATGCAGAAGCAATTCGCAGCAGGTAGTAGTACATGATCGGGTCGCTCGGCAGCCTGCAAGATCTGTTGTCCTTAATGCCGTCTTTGGAGCGCACCAGGTAGAACGTTGAACTTATCCTGTGGCCGTACGTTGCCACGATCGCTGTGACAGTATTACGTCGTTGAGCCGAGGCTGTAGAAATTGCTCACAAAGTCGACTTCCAGTTGGGAACACGGCTCGCGTGGATGGCGACACTGACTGTGATGGCAGTGCACCCTCTGTGGACTGTCTGTATGGTAGCCAGTTTTGCCGAAGACATACACGTACGCATCCCCATACAAGCACCTCCCTGCTTCACAAAGGTGGCAGAGCACAGTACAAGAACGACAGCAGGGCATGAAAGGAATAATCATTAAGCAATTACCTACAAGCAATGCAGCAAGAAATTATCAGCCAAGTTTCGTTTTGGGCAGCCCGGGCGGCCCAGGGCCTCCTTGCAGTTGTGTCTCTCTTAGGTATAGACACTCTCCGTGACCGAGTTGACCTGCAGCCCCGTCTCTGCCATATTGGCATCCTTCAGGAAGTCCAGTGACATCCAGACCAGGTGTCCCTTGACCTTGTCCAGCTTCTTACGGACATCTTGTGGGTCCATCATGCGGTCGAAGATGTGACCAGCCTTGACCCCCTTGGGCGGAAGGAAGCCATCATAATCATCAAATGTTTTGACTAAGTGTGTCACAACGTGTTAGCGAGTTCGCTCCCATCTGAGCAAGCACTGGGGGAGGGGTTCGAGCCGGCCTTGTGCGGGACTTACCATGATCATCAGGATCAGCATGGAAGAGCTGCCTGAACACGACCGTGTTCGTTGTCGCCTGTTCTGTCCACGTATCCCAGAGCTTGTCACTCATCGGATCCTCCACAAACTTGTAGGACGAAGCCCCCTCACCCTGGTCCCAGATATCATTCATGGTGTCCTCGTGGGGTGGCTGGGCGTTGACATCCTTGCTTGCGTCCAGAGGCTGTGGGGGCAGCAGGCCCAGGTGCTCACGCCAGAGATACCTGCGCAGCGTCGCAGCATGATAGCCCGCCTCGAAGGGCTGGCCATTCATGATACTCGGGATGCGATGCGTATCCTCCATGACAATGCTCAGCTCGCTGTCGTGGTAGCCCAACTGACTGCGGTCGTTGAGATTCGACGAGCCACACACCGCGATCCGGTCATCGACGATGAGCAGCTTGGCATGGATGTACAGCTCCTCCTGGATCCAGTTGTTCACCTCGTCGTCGGGCTCACCCTCCCATACTTCGTCCTCGACCCTGCCAGTTCCTGCCATTGCACAAGCCGACACGCTCGCGTTCGACTTGGACTCGCTCTGGCCCTCCTGCATCGCAGCCTCGAATCGGCGCTTGATGTCCGTCTCCTTCTCGGCGGATCCAGATTTGCGCTCATCTTTGACATTATCCGCCATGTCCTTGGCGTGTTTCTCCCCCTTGGACTTGAATATGTCAAAGCGACTCTTTTGCCCCATGTGCTTGTCCTTTCCGCCCTCGACGTCTGTTGATCCATAGATGCCGCTGCCCATGATCTCCTCTGCCTCCGCGCGCTGCACGTCCTGGTACTTGAGCCCGGACTGCTCCTCCTGCTTCTTGATCGCGGTCGTCTTGTTGAGCCGGTCATAGCTGCGCAGATTGAAGAGGAAGATGTGCTTGGTGGGGTCGACGCCCTCCTTGCGCACCTGCTCGAAGATGGAGTGCTCGCCTCGGCAGATGGACTTGTATTGGTAGTCCATGATGGCTCTTGTTCCCGTGGCAGCAGGCAGCCGCAAATCACCTGCGAATCCAGGGATGGCGGGGATCATGATGATGACACGGAACTTGCGCCCCTCCTTGCCTGCGCGCACAACTGCGTCAACGATGGCCCGGCCTATGGTGTTCACGATCGGCGCCTGCTGGTCGCCAGTCGCGGTGATGAAGAATTGGTTCTCAATGTAGACAAAATGCTCCGCCTTGCGGATGATGTCAGAGTAGGCGTTCTGGATGGAGTGGTCTGTGAGGACACCACTGGACCAATCGGCACTGGAACGGACGATCTGGGCATGAACGGTGCCGCGGTTGGCAAGGTTCTTGGTCTCCAGAGGAGTGAATGGGTGCACGACATAGTCACCGACGGGGTGCTTGGGCCTCTGCACGCCCACCAGATCCTCGTTCTCCTCCTGCCGCCCGCGAAGTTCCAGCCAGTCGAACCGATCGTCACGCTTGTACTTGTCGCGCTTCACGAAATTCCACCGCAAAACAAAGTGCTCAGCGATATCGTAAACGCACGGTCCAATCACGCCCATGGCTACGTCGTGCCACGGCATACGCCCGTAGTCTGCCTTGCTCAGCTCATTCTGCTTCCAGTCGTCCACGTTCTGGAAGTCCATGACGCGGTTGTTGTTGAAATCCTGGCCTGGCCAGATCTCGTTCTGGATCCCCTCGGGGTGCAGGTCAGACAGCTGATGCTGGTGATTGTCCCAGCGTCCGAAGCACAGGTCCAGACCGCCGATGAAGGCCAGCTCGTAGTCGATGACAATGAACTTCTCATGATGGGCCCAGTAGAAGGTCATGTCAGCTGCGTTCTCCAAGACGTTGTGGTCCGGGTGCCGCATGATTCTGATATTGCCGTAGCCGGGGGATCCCTCAGGGCAGAGGGCCTGGAGAGCATGCTTGGTATGGGCGGAGTTGCAGGTGATAGCAGCCTCAACCTCACGATAGACAATCACATAGATCTGAACACCAGCCTCTGCCCTGCGCTTGAGCACCTGATCGAGCCTCCACTCCTGGTTATAATAGGGTGGTCTGCGCAGGAACAGCTCTGGGGATAGCCACCAGTCCTCAATGTAGATAACCTCCTTGGCCTTATCGAGGGCCTCAGACACGGCCCAAAAGTAATCGCGGCCATCGACATACCACTTGATCAGGTTGCCGTCATGCTCTGGGAAATAGGACTCAAACCGATGAGACTCGCGAATTTTGTGTCGTTTCTCATCAGTGGCCTTCTCATGCTCCTCATCGTGACGATGTTGGGGATTGAACTGGCAGCTGTTAGACCGGTCATGGTGGGGAAAAAAGAAGAAGGAGAAAAAGATGGTCATGTTCTTACCAGATTGGCAAACTTGCCGATCTGATGTCTAGGCAGGTGTCTGTCAGCATCGTCCTCTAGTGGGTGTCGTCGAGCGAAGGGTTACGGGATGGCCAACTTTTTGTGTATCAGGTTGACCTTGAAATCGTGGAGGTGGTGGGCGTCAAGCTTCTCCTTCAGCTCGTGAAAGGGATGCTTGAACTTGTCCTTGGTGCTTTCCCCGTCCTCGTGAGAATGAGACATGATGCGCGCAATGCTGATCCGTCGTCGAGGATTTCAACACACGGAACGGTAGGCTGATGCAATCAGATGTGAGATGATCAGCTTCAACTTGCTGCAGACTGGCGGCTCCTGTAACTGGGGGTGGGGGGTGGGGTTGCTTTGTCTCTTTGAAAACTATGACAGAACACAAAACCGCGAGCATGTGCAGCCAAGGTCGTATAATTTGAGGAGGAAGAATGAAGTTTCAGGGAAGGTACATAGCGATACCGGCTCTAGGATGGGAAAGACCATCACATCAGCTGGTCAGATTGAAGTACCTCCTTCCCCCTCCCCGTCAAAAACCAGACTCGACACAGCGGGATGGAGCCCATGTTTCTTGGCTTTTTGCTGGCAGCGCCCATCGTGAGCGTAACGTCCTACTACCTGTATGTTGTTGCTGTGCCCCCTGTATGACGGACCCGAGGCGCCAAGAAATGACGTCAAGCATGGCCTATAGACCCCTTGGCTGGGCTCTAGCAGGGACGAAAGGTGCTGAAGCATCACTAAAAAATCAAGTACTAGTAGTAGTATCGTACCATATATAGCACTATGTGACACTGCAGCAAACCAACCCGCGCACTAAGACAAGGAGTTGGTAGGCTGCTCCTACGAAATCCCATGTGCTACCACCACTATAGAGGAAACGCGCTTGGCGCTCGTCATTTTGGAAAATCGTGGATTGTATGGCATGAGTCTCTTGTTGGGCTAAGTAATTTGGTGTTATAAAGAAAGATGCTCTCTGAGTTTTCCTCGCAATCGTCCCACATGACCGATGGTGACAGACTTCTTGGACAATCCACATAGAGAGACAACGAGGGACCCACTGTAGAGCAGCACACACACGTTTCGCCCAGTGGTGGAGCAGGGTGCCCCTCCACCGTCTGTATGCTCACTAACAGATTATGGTACACACATGGCCGCTCCATGTTAAAGCAGCTCGACCCCTCATCAACGTTACGGTGAGCCTAGATCGTGGGGACAACCCCACATCTGATCTGCTGGTACACGCGAAACGATGGAGGGGCAGAGGGGCAATTGGCAGCAGGACGCAGGGGCGGGTAGGGGCGACGGTCCCCAGGCCGCCAGGGAAAGGGGTCCAGAGCTTCGCAGCCATGCAACGCGCAGTGAGCTGTCAATTGCCAAACGTGCCTGTCCCATGTCGGATCGCGCAAACGTGTGTTGTCGTTCTTGACCGCCTCGCCCTTCTTCGATTACTCTACCTCCAAACCCCAGTTCCAATTCCAGATCCAGCTTGTCTCCTCCCTCTCTCTCTCTCTTTTCTCCTCTCCAGACGACCACAGACATTAACTTGATCTTTGTGCTTTGACCGTCTTTCCATCCCCAGATCGATCACCATGGCTGATACCTCCGTCCCGTACTTTGAGAACCCAGCGTTCAAGAAGTCTTTTGCCGATGTGCCAATTGACGCCGACAACAACATCTCCACCAAGGAGTTCATCGAGGCCACCGAGTCACTGGTCGTCATCTTTGGTATGCTAGACCATATCTCCTCGTGTGCCGTCGAAATAGGAGAGAGAAAGAGAGAAAGAGACTGAACCTAACCGTCTGCAGACTACCTGAAGGCATCAGCCTTTTCCCCAGTCAAGAGCGACATCAGTGGCAACGCTACGGTACGCGAGAAAACCCTCCCAACAGCCCGAGATACAGATTTGAATGAGTCGACGGACTAATTGGTTGTCTATGTACGCCCACCACCAATAGAAAATCGACACCCGCTTCAAGGAGGCTCCCGCCGAGTCCGCCACCCTGCAAGACCTCGTCAAGAATGAGCTCAAGAGCAAGAAGCACACTGCCACGGAGGGCCTGCTCTGGCTGACACGGTATGCTCCTCCTCCTCCTCCTCCTCCTCCCTGACATGCAACCCCCTCGCGACGACTCTCCTTGATTCTGACATATCGGATTTCGACACAGCGGCCTCGACTTTATGTACCAGGCCCTGAGCGCCAACAACAAGAACTCCAGCGAGGAGCTATCCGTCTCCTTCACCAATGCCTACGGCGAGACCCTGAAGCCCCACCACGGCTTCATCGTCAAGAAGGTCTTCTCGGCCGCCATGGGCTTCTGCCCCAAGCGTGCTGATTTCTACAAGGAGGTCGGCAAGGACACACCGCCCGAGAAGTTCCAGGGCCAGATGGACCCCTGGCTGGCGGGCCTGGAGAAGATTGTCGGCATCCTCAAGCCCTTCATGGACAGCAAGGAGGCCAAGTGGTAAAGGGAATAGGGATGAGGCTAGAAGATATGGAAGAGAAGGGAGAATCCTCTCCCGGCAAATCATGGCCGAAACATTATACACGTAGGGGCATGCAATCAGCGGCTGATGCCTCTTGCAATGTGTCTAGTAAAATCAGTGTTGCCTCCCGCTCGGTGACTGCAAGACAGCATTGAACGAAGGGATGTATGTGCATGGGCGCTGAGCATTTATTCAAGATTTATGGGTACAAAATGTCAAAAGCATTAGAAACCAAAACTGTCCTCTATATGCGTCCTCTCGGTTTTCTCGAGAAGCCACCAAGGCTGCTATCACTTTGCTCCAGGGCCACTGGCTCTGCTCTTTCCTGCGCGACTCGTCCTTTTCTTTTTTTCTTTTTTTTTTGGGGGGGGGGGGGGGGGAGCCTCATCCGTCATATTCCTTCTTAGCCACCCGACCACACAGTTCCTTGAGCGTCTTGCCAGCCCATTCAAAGTCATCCATATCGAGGTAGACCTGCGCACTGAGACGAGCCCAGAATCGACCGTCGTGATAGTATGTCGGGATGAAAGTCTTGTAATCATCAACAAGAACCTTGGTCATCCATGCCCAGATCCTCTGAGCATCCTTGTACGGAATCACTGTCTCGCCCTCTTTTTTGGCTGACGCGGCCGTGGCCTTGCCCTCCTTGCTCAAGATGTTCGCAGGAGGGCCAGCTTCTTCCACATCAGCCTCTTTCTCCCGGGAGCCCTCTGCGGCAGCAGTGGTGGCGGATCCTGCCTGGCTTTCCGATTCAGGCTCCACGACCAGAGGCAGAGCCACATTCACCATACCACACTTGGTCAAGGTGCCCTCCTCGTTCTGCATCACCTTGGTGCCCAGACAGCTCGCAACCTGCTCCCCTCCCTCCGAGGCCAGCTTCCACAGGTACGCCCTGATCCTCTCCTCTCCGCCCAGCCACTTCTCGCGCCACTCAATCGCATCCTTGACACACAGATACGGCGAGTTGTCCAGCGTGCCCACAAACTCAAACATGGTCACAAACGCACTCTTGCTGCTGGGCGGCAGAGGATTGGGCCGCGCTGCCGCCGGATCGCGCGGGACATAGCCGTGCGAGGTCGGCAGCGTGGACCGAATGAGATGCTGGTTCCTCTGGGCCACGTAAAAGACGGCACAGCCGCGCGGGACAAACAGCCACTTGTGGCAGTTGCTGACGAGGAAGTCTGGGTCGAGGGCGCACAGGTCGAGCGGGATCAGCCCCACCCCCTGCGCGGCGTCGACCAGGCTGAGGACGCCCTGCTCGCGGCAGACGGACACCACAGACTCGTAAGGGAACGGCACGCCTGGGAGCGAGGACACGGCGTCAATGATGGCGATGCGGGGCCGGCGGCCTGCTGCTCGGGACGCCTCCAGGGCGGCGCGGAAGCGGGCTACGATCTCGGCGTCCGAGATGGGGTAGGTCAGCTGGACGTCGCGGCCGTGGACGAGGCCCCTTGTCGAGTCCGAGACGTAGTTGACCGTCTTGCCGCAGCTGCCGTAGATGGTGCTGAAGAAGAGGATCTCGTCCTGCCCGTCGTCTGTCCAGAACTCGGCCAGGGCGCGCAGGACCGTGTTGACCCCGTGGGTGGCATTGGGGACAAACACCACCTCGTCGACCGAAGGAGCGTTGAGGAGCTTGGCGATGGCCTCGCGGCTCTCGTCGAGGAGGTCAGGGAACGTGTAGCGGATGAAAGGGTCCGGGGTGCGCTCGTAGAGGTTCAGGTAGTGCTGGCGGCGTTGTTGGATGGCGAGGGGATGAGTGCCGAAGGAGCCTTGAAAGGGGGGAAGAGGTCATTGATTGGCGGAGCAATGAAGAAAAGACTATTGTCTGAAGGAAGGAGAGGAGAGGGATGAGAGATGAGAGATGATGATGTTTATGGAGGAGTGAAATTTACCATGGTTGAGATTGTGGTAGTCATCATCCAGCAGGAATAACTTTCGCACACTCTTGCCAAAAGCCAATGGCAGGTCGTCTAGCCCTAAACTGCTAATACCATTCGAGTCTAATTGCTGATTCTCGTCGTTGAGTTCGAAAGCACCCATCTTGTTGGCTTGTATTCAATCGACACAACAGTACTATAATTAATATCGTGGACTTGATCACTTATTGGCCCCCAAATCGTGACCAATTTCGAACAAGGTGCGAGATTGTAAACTCAAGTTCGAGTCTGGCTCAATTGCATTGCGGCGGGATAATAAATATATGAAGGGAGAAGAATGGGATCCCGTTGAAATGAGTCTTCAAGATCGCCGATGCCGTCGCAAACGGATCGGGATTGGGAGAGTCACAACTTACAGTAGCGGTGATCTCATGAGGGGCAGCACGCATTGCACCGTATCCCGGAGGCGAGAAGAGGGGCGTCTCCACCGTTTGTCGAGATAAGTGCCATAGTCTTGCTCTAGAACACAACCACGAAGGGCGCCATGCGTAGTGCGCCCTTGCGAGTCAATGTTTATTGATGAGGTGAGTCAAGCCTCGCGGAGATTGTCAACGGGCAATTAGCCTTGGTTTAAGACATTATCTTTGGATCGTGAGTCTTCGTCTCCGCCTGGTATTTCAATGATAAGTAATTAGTTGCTGTGCTAATCAAGTATTTACTTGGTAGCTACAGCATTCAAGAATCAACAGTCACCGGATCCCATTTTGACAGGAGTCATACAATTGCCAAGACTACTTTTTGAGAACATAGCTCTGATGTTATCTTTTTTTCTCGTTTCGAAACTCCAGCACTTGCTATCAAAATCCAATTTGTACAACAAAAGACGTAACTAGATCATAATTACGTATCCGAGAAAAGGAAAAGAAAGGTACAACGTCAGTCATCGGCTTCTTCTTTTCGTTGGATGCTTTCCCACGAAAACAGCTTTTCGACTTTTGAGGATTTCCAAAGCCTCATACGCAATCAAATCATTTTGAGGAAATCAAGGTGCGCAGTAATGTCATCGGGCTTCTCAAGTAGGACAAAATCTCACTCTCAACTAATAGTGTAGCTCTTCATGTGCAATCGACCACCTGACACGAGTCCATGCAACCTTGGTTACCCATCGAAGCTACTTTCTCCGCCTAATGAAAACACATAACCTCTTCTCGTGGCAATGATTTGCCTCTACCCTGCTGCCCTCCTGCAAACAATATTGGCTAAATCTTCAAGTGGCTGTGCGGGCCGCCATCGCACTGGTCCATTTCTTTTGAGTGGGTGAATAACTAGACCGCAGCATGGAAACCAAGAAACAAGAAAGAAGAGAGAAAAAGTATGTAAGAACAAACCTCGGTGCGGTCGCTCAAGCTCCTCACCTAGACCAAATGGGGCCATCCGCACCGACCCAGCTTACCATTGCAGCTGCTGGACGGCGAACGTGACCAGATGTTTGGTGAGGGCAGATTGAAAAAGAGATTAATCCCGATTTGACACTGGGCGACGTTCCCTTGAGAGAGTTTGTGCCAAGGTGCGTGCCTAGGTACCAAGATTTGGATTTCCGGGTGAATCACTCAATATTGCCACTCATGCGGTTCGCATATAGTCAAATAGATTGTCTTGGCTGCGTCTGGGTGGGCATCGTGTGAATTATAGCGCTGGTGAATTTATGTATAAGGAATGATGATGCCTTCTTACTTGTGCTGCTGGCTCTGAGGTGGTAGGTCTTCTTAGGTATCTAACACCCATTGGCCATTTGCAGTGGATATTAGGATATACGACCAACACTCTACCCACCATGATCCCTCTCGGACTCACCTTGGCCTTGGGGTCTTTATCATTATTCACAGTTCCTATTACCGCCCAAACATTTGACTGGTCAGCCGCATACACCAAAGCAAATGCGTCACTTGCCCTACTGTCCCTCCAGGACAAGGTCAACATTGTGACGGGCATCGGCTGGAACGACGGCCCCTGTGTAGGAAACACGGCCGCCATCTCCTCCATCGGCTACCCAGAACTCTGTCTCCAGGACTCCCCACTCGGTGTTCGATACGCAACAAGCGTCACCGCCTTCACCCCCGGGATCCAAGCAGCCGCCACGTGGGACGTCGACTTGCTACTCCAGAGGGGCCAGTACCTTGGCGCCGAGGCCAAGGGCTGCGGCGTGCACGTTCTCCTGGGGCCCGTGGCCGGCCCGCTGGGCAAGAATGCACAGGGCGGGCGGATCTGGGAAGGGTTCGGACCGGACCCTTACCTGACGGGCATCGCCATGGAGCAGACCATCATGGGGATGCAGGGCAGCGGCGTGCAGGCGACAGCAAAGCACTACATCCTCAACGAGCAGGAGAAGAACCGCGAGACCCTGTCGAGCAACCTCGACGACCGTGCCATGCACGAGCTGTACCTGTGGCCCTTTGCCGACGCCGTGCACGCCGGCGTCGCCAGCGTCATGTGCTCGTACAACAAAATCAACGAGACGTGGGCCTGCGAGAACGACGGCACCCTGAACACGCTGCTCAAGGACGAGCTGGGGTTCCTGGGGTATGTGATGAGCGACTGGGACGCCCAGCACACGACTGTTGCGTCGGCTGTGAATGGTCTGGACATGACCATGCCGGGCAGCGATTACAGCGGCGGCACGATCCTCTGGGGACCGCAGCTCCTGAGCGCCGTGCAGAGCGGCCAGGTAGCCGAGAGCCGTGTGGACGACATGGTCACCAGAATTCTAGCCGCCTGGTATCTCGTCGGGCAGGACGGGGGCACGTATCCTTCTATTAACCTGCAGGCCAACGTGCAGTCGACCCATGCCGACAACGTTCGAGCCATCGCCAGGGACGGCATTGTCCTGCTGCAGAATGAAGACTCTGTCCTTCCTCTGCAGTCGCCCAAGAAGATTGCCCTCGTTGGTTCTGCGGCCATTGTGAATCCCGCCGGTGCCAATGCCTGCACGGATCGGGGCTGTGATACTGGGACACTGGGTATGGGCTGGGGCAGCGGAACAGCCCAGTATCCCTATCTGGTTGCCCCTTATGATGCCCTCAAGAACAGGACCTCCGCAGACGGGACGACTTTGACCCTCAGCAGCACCGACGATACAGGCAGTGTGTCGAGCACAGTATCTGGTGCGGACGTGGCGATTGTCGTCATCACATCAGACTCGGGAGAGGAATACATCACCGTCGAGGGCAACGTTGGTGACAGGAATAATCTCGACCCTTGGCACAGCGGCAACCAGCTTGCCCAGGCTGTGGCAACGGCCAACAACAACACTATAGTCGTCGTGCAGAGCGTCGGCCCTGTCATCCTGGAGACCATCCTGGCCCTGCCTGGTGTGAAGGCGGTTGTCTGGGCAGGGTTGGGCTCGCAGGAGAGCGGGAATGCCCTGGTGGACATTCTGTACGGCGACACGACCCCGTCTGGGAAGCTTCCCTTTACCATCGCCAAGGCTACCTCTGATTATCCTTCTAGCATCGTGACTGGTGAGGATGATGATTTTACAGAGGGTCTATACATCGACTATCGGCATTTCGATGAGAGCGACATTAGCCCACGATATGAATACGGCTTTGGGTTGTGTAAGCGTTCTCTTTATAAGTCGCTGATCCGTTGACAAAGCCAGTTTGCTAACAAGTGACTGAACTACCCACCTTGCTCATTACAAAAATAAAGCATACACGAGCTTCACCTACGCAGACATCTCTGTAACCTCCACCGCCGCCTCGGGCCCTGCAACAGGCGCCACGGCCCCAGGCGGACGGACAGACCTCTTCGAGACCGTCGCCACAGTCACAGCAACCATCACCAACAGCGGCTCCGTCGCCGGTGCCGAGGCCGCCCAGCTGTACATCAGCCTGCCCACCAGCGCCCCAGCCTCGCCCCCCAGGCAGCTCCGTGGGTTCGACAAACTCTCGCTCGCGGCTGGGGCTCAGGGGACAGCTACTTTTAATCTGCGCAAGAAGGACCTGAGCTACTGGGACGTGGCTAGCCAAAACTGGATTGTCCCGAGCGGGAATTTCGTTGTGAGTGTTGGGGCCTCGAGTAGAGATTTGAGGTTGAATGCAACGCTTGCGGTTTCGTGATGGATGTGGGCTGGGGGGGGGGGGGGCCGCAAAATGGAAATGTCAAGAGTGCCAGCTCCTACGTGAGCATAAATGGTAGTGATAAATAGATCACGAAACACCGGAACAATATCATGATATTACTATCTGAGCTCTTCGGCCTGGATTCTAGTTTGGATGCTATTAGGCTGCTGGTCGCGAGATCATACGAATTATGTTCCAAGTCTCAGGCGAAATTGCAACCTGAGAAAGCAAGATTGCAAAGTAAAAGCGGATCAAGCTTGAGCATGTATAGTATCTGCTCTAGTATCAAATTCCAGGGGACAAATAGATTTATTGCAACTGAGTTCAAAAGATGTTATATCATGTTTTGTTTAAGTACGAGGACTTTATGTATATTCCAGGAATGAAGAGATCTGTCTAGAATGTAAGAAAGTATCTTCCCCTCACTTGAATGAGGCGGTCATGGTTGATATAAATAGACTGACATACTACTATATAACGGCTGATTGTTTCCATTGATTCTGCCTGCACTAAAGTTCCAACACAGGCTGATCATGCTCCCGAATATGGTCGCTGACAGGGTGAATAAAGTGATAGATTGACTGCCGACCATACACCCACTCCCAAGATTGCGTCTCCTCGCTCCAGTACACATCTTCCTCCAGCGGGAATTTGACGGTCAAGTTCTTCTCTGGCACGTAGTGCTCAGCATATAGCTCGATGCTATAGTATGTATTCTTGAGCAAGGGCAAATCCCCCAGGAAAGGAACCTTGTCTTGGAGATTTGTCATTCCTGCAACGAGAATTTTAATCATCTCAGTTTCTGGACGGAGGAGGAGTCGGGGTTTGGAACTCACCAATGAGTGTCCCCGCACTGTGACCAAACTCGCCTGTGGCATGGCAGTAGATCTTACCCTCGATGCCCTCTTCTTCCATCTGGGCACGAATGTTGTGGAGGATGTCGTTGCCGCTCATACCAATCTTCATGTGCTCGCGGGTCATGTCCTGCAACCTGTTGGCCTTGCTCAGCCCTTCCAGCATGCTTGCAGGTATATCAGCCTCGGTATCCCCGGGTGGCAACACGTATCCGAGGTGCTGGGTATCCGTGTTCAGCCCCAAAGCCGTCACGCCAAAGTCGCAGTGGATGATATCGCCAAACCGAATCAAGTGTGCCGGGGTCCCAGGCTCCTCCTTTGGCGATGGAGAACACATGCTACAGTCATTCTCCGTCAGGATAGACACGTCAGGCTGAAACCACGTTGTGTAGTTGAGCGCCTGGATCTTTTCCCTCATCCACCATTCGACATCCTGGGCAGTAGTCACCCCAGGCCGAATGACCCTACTGCTGAAGGCCTCCTCGATGATCGCCCAGGCCGTCTCCATAATCCTGTGGTACCAGTCCAGGCGCCGGTCGATCATGGTAGCGATCAGCTCGACGCCAATCATAGGCTCCAGGACGAACCTGTCGCTCCACTCCTCACCAAGAGCAGCAACGATGGCGTCCCTCTCGCCAGCGTGCAGACCGCCCGAGAAGGCGATCTCAGAGTGCGTGTTGAGCGCAATGCTGCGGGGCTGCTGCTCCTCGAGGATGGATCGCAGCTCGGACCACACGAGGGGCGTGTTGTCGATCCACGAGTATGCCGAGGGCTTACCTCCCGTGGCGTTGGCCAGGAAGAGCTGCATGGTGCGGCGACGGGCTGAGAACTGTGTGAAGTCTTTGAGGGCCCAGAAGACGGTATCCTCAGCATACTCACGCTGGCTAATCTGTGGGTGGACTGTGGTGTTAGCGATATCACAAGAAGGGTCAAAAGGTTAGACCATGTGCAGATTGGAGTAGAAGGCTAGAGAGTTTTAAAGCACTGGGAGGAGGGCCAATGACAGACAAGCCATGCGTCGACGTTATACTTGCTCAGAATCCCCGGAATGAGAAGTTTCCGCTCCTCGGTCCAGGAATTGACGATTTGCTCCTGCTCTCGTAAGGGAGGCAGCGTCTGAAACTGAGGTCTCTTGGAGGCATCTGCCGAGGCATGGCATCTCGAGATAAGGAGGGCTAAACAGCCCAGAACAGAGACCTGCAAACCCTGATACCTCATTTTTGTTCTTCTCTTTTTGTACTTTTCGGGCTCAAAGGATAATTTTAAGATCCCACAGGGGCTGCGCGAGAGCTGCCGGACGTCTGGAAGGTGGTGAGAGGCAACGCGGCGTGGTCGATACACCGGAAACGAGTGTATTGATGCGCTGCAGAACGAGAAGGAAGAAAGGGAAATGGAGGGTAAAGCTGCTGGCTAGGTGAGACTATCTAGATGGAGAGTGCCTAACGATATTGGCGCCCATGGAGTCACTCGCCGTTGCACAGATACTATGCGGTCAAAGAAAAGAAGACGTCGAGATTGGGTTGTCGGATCGGCATTTATCTCCACTTTTGCCGCCTGCGGCTCCGCTGGCTTTGAGTTGCCTATTTTGGCTGTGAAATACTTGCAGGGGTCAGACGGATGGCAAAGTCCATAGAAGGAGGTATAGGAGCTGGGCTGTGAATTCCACCTTTGCAAATCTCAGGAATATGGATGACCATCATCTTTTTTAGTCATACAGGGGGATCTTGAACTCCCTACAGCTTTCACAGAAGATTTGCATGGTAGGGATGACTATCTAGGAACACAACAATCTCTTTCAGCAAGTTCCTAAGCTACGGGTGATGATGCGAAGCGCATTGCTCGTGTTTATATGAACAGCTTATAACAGTCAGGAAATGAGCCCGGTGTACATGAAATATTTCATCACTTATCCTTATCCTGGTCCTTCTGGAGGGGGGGGGGGTGTTTCTTTCCAAACAAACAAACAAGTACGAGTCGAGTTTCGACCCTCGCAACGGATCGACCCTTGACTTGCCAAGCAAAGAGATAACGACGTCGAAAATCCATCCTGAGCTCGATCGCAAGTCCTGCGCGAATGATGCAGAACTACAATGGAGTGGCGTGATATGACCATCGTAACCATAATGACTCAAGCAGCTTTTCATCGTCTATGGTGTAAACACTCTTGTCGACTTGGTTGTCTATGCTGTCTGCAGCTCTTCGTAGAGAGGCATCTGTGAGGTAGCGCTTAGACCCCTATCAACTGCCTTTGTGAGCGCAGGGCATACTGATGATGGATATCAATGAGAAACATGCCTCAAAGTCCCGTAGGCGTGGTGGGAATGCGAATGGTGTATAACACTTAGTCCTTATTTTGAGATGTAGAGGATGCCTTGTTGGCAGAATAATTCTGACAATTACCATTTAATTCAACGTTACTTGGGATAATGCAACGTGCTGATGTGTTCTATGACTGGGGCAACAAATCTCACTGTGCCCTTGGGCATTGTCAGCAAACCTTTCTCATAAAGTAGAGCAAGTGTTTGTCAGTGATCTTACTGATGACTTTTTTGATGCATGAGACATCGGGATCAAGTCTTAGTCCTGGGCAACGGAGGTATAGTCATTTTAACTTTAAACAATTAAGCTCTGAAAGACAAGGTTTCAAATAAAAAGATAACAACCTTGGAAATCAATCTGTTGTTGTCATCATAGGAAGTCACAGGCAATAGCGTGAAAAGAGAACATGGTGAAATCATGGCCATGGGGGAATCCCACAAAGGGGAGTATAAGGAATGGGATGGGACAAGAGCTTATTTAGGGAACAAACCGAAATGACAGTTTGGAGCTGCAAGGAAAACAAGCTGTAGCTGTGTGGTTTAGCAAGCAATAGTTGACTATGACGAGAATGGAATCTTCTGGTTAGCTTCCTGTCATGGCGAGGTTTGAAAGCGGGTCGTATTATCTGTTTGAAATAAAGTCCATATCTGCAGCTCTAAATTAAAACCCGAAATGAAAGCTGTACATATGGCTTCAGAGCCTCGTTGTGAAAGGTACTGATGCCATAGTCACTAATGGCACACAATAATATCACGGACTATACTCAACTTGCAAAAAAGTCCGGGCATACACATCTATAATTTCTCTTCTTGTAACAGGAATACAATTTGAGTTCCGCAATCGGAGAGCCATGAAGCACCCGCTACATCAGCGAGGCCCGTGAATATTGTCATAGTAATAAGAGAAGTACCACAGGACCACTTGCACCTGAAGAGCATCCACACCCGGACCACGCATCACCGCAAGCCTCAACGTGGCTGAAGTTAGTGTCGGCGATGATAGATCTTAGCACGATAGAAATCCGGTGGAGAAAAAAAGGGATCTAGGCAGTTATTTCGTTCATGCCTCTAATATGTTCTGTCTGTAGAGACGTAGAATATCAGAATGACGTGTACCCCGTGTGGATTACGGCGCAGTGGGGGCGGGCCCTCAAGGATGCCAATGCAAAGAAAAGAAAAGAGAAGAAGAAAGAAGAGAAAAAAAGCAGAAGAGTGGGAGGGACAAGCAGAGAGTAACCGACCATTATCCGATCAAGCGGATCCAAGTAGTGGGTTCGTTCGCCGGGTGCTTCACACTTTTCGGTGGGCCCTTGGGTGGATATCTCGTCAAAAGATGAGTTTCAGGATAGAATCCCCTATCAGACCGGTCAGTATCCCTATAAAGTGGCTACCGGAATGTGGGAGACTTTGTGGGCTTGAGATCATTGATGCTAAATTGTAAAAGTTTGTTTTTGCGATGATATCTACAGGAGTTCTAGGTCCCGGCCAGACATGCTCGGCTTAGATCCCTCCAGCTCCATCCACTACCAATTTCATCCAGGGCCACGCATCCGAACCTTACTGGAACGGAGATACTGCAGTAGCCTTTTTCGAACTATCTTTAATTTACAAGAGGCATGAATGGGTCAGATATTTTCCGTAACAGTCTTAGAACAATGGCACCTGACAACGTGGGAAAAGACCAGATTTTCCCTTACTGAAGTAATATATAATACTACATAGTAGCGGAACCCGGCGTTTTCCATCGAACATATTGTACCATAGTACTATGACCATAGGGAAATATTATTTTATCAAGTTACTGTGAATAATGTATGATCATACTTCTCCCAAAGAGGCCCAGTGCAGCCTGTAGTCCCATCCCCCGGATCAAGTCCAATAATTGATTATTGCCATAGTCGTAGAATAAAACTTCTCATGAAAACAGCGTCAATTTTCTCATCTTTGAGAGCGACCTTGAGACCTCGGAGCACCCGAGGATCATACTTGCATAAAGCCCCGAATCCTCTAATCTATTTCCGCTTTAGTGCCGTTCTAACTCCGGTCCGTGAAGAAAGAATACAGCCTACAAGATGCAGCCACCGCCTCATGTCCTCGGTACAATCTTGAAAGTGAAGATAAGTTGCGTGGCTGGCTGCCCGGGAGTGCCGGATACGGGTCTTTGGAACCCCTGGCGCGCGCGCGCTTCCCTGAGCGTTGACGACTTCGCCGCTCCAAAGGATATCCACTGCGCGGAGCCGCCTGACTGTGTGTGGGTCCTCGGGGAGGAGTGTGTAAGACTCTGTGACCTTCATACCATGGCTTTGTTGTTATGAGGCCAGAGACATAAGAAGGACAAAAGAAAAATTCAGCAGCCGTGGGGCATTCTCTTCTTCTTTCCTGGCCACGTACTCACCCACTACTTAGTCCAGGTGCGTGAGGCTTAGTTTTTTTATTTTTGTTGTGGATTTCTTTGTTAATATCTATCACATCGAGGCATCTGGCTAATACCAGGGCCAGACGTGGGCTTCGGAGTGGCCCTTATGCAACTGAGCCCATGCGATGTTGAATCGTGGATCACAATTTGATAGGATGCATGAGGGACATCTTGTCACAATGCTACCGTCGGCGGGCACCGGTCAGGAAATGAGCAATGCCATCTGGACCCTAACAGCAGAAGGAAAGATTGTAAAGTATATAAGGCGAATCTTCCTCTTGCCACGACGGCTCGGTACTAAGTGTAACAGCTTCACAACCGTTAACCAGAGGACCTTGGCTCTCCTTCTCGCATTCGTTTTCCCAAGTGCAGTGCTGTCAATCATTCATTATTACATAATCCAAGGTTTATTATTCTGATAACAATGCATTCACTTATCACCAATCTCCTGCTTGCCGCAGGATCTGTCCAGGCAGTCTCCGTCCCAAGATCTGCCCAGTTAAGCCAACCGCTTTCTGCCCAGACCAACTCTACCGAAACAACATTCTACTTCAACGGAACCTGCACGGCAGACAATATCCGCGTCCGCAAGGAATGGCGTAACCTGACGCCATCCGAGAAGGAGGCCTACCTCACTGCTGAGAAGTGCCTCTTCAATCTCCCGGCCAACACTACCCTCGACGGCGTCACCAGCCGCTGGAGTGATTTGCAGGCCGTGCACCGCACCCTCCAGAACATGACCTCGTATGGTGTATATGTTGCGGATATCGTTCACAATGTTGTAAGTTTGGGGGTTTATTTTTTCCACCACAAACCTGAGACACGAACATCGTCTCGTCACTCACCCAGCATACTCATTCATATACTTGAACAGGGACAATTCCTGCCCTGGCACCGGTACTACATGCATACGCACGAAACCCTCCTGCGCACCGAATGCAACTATACAGGCCCCATGAGCTGGTGGAACGAGGAGGCGGACGCCAACGCAGGAGATCTGTTCCGCTCCGAGATGTGGTCTGCCGAGTCCTTTGGCGGCAACGGCACCGGTCCGGATGCCTGTCTGGTCGACGGTGCCTTTGCCAATACCACTATGCACATCGGACCTGGGCTGACGAACACCGAATACTGTCTCGACCGCGCGTGGACATCCGATTATATTGAATACATGGGCACGGAGAAGCTGGATACTTGCAGGATTCACAATGATTACTTTTCTTTCTTCAACTGCATGGTGGATTTCAACACGAGCCCACACGTTGCTGGGCACAACTCCAGTGGAGGCATTGTAAGTTCTCTCCTTTTCACCTCCCTCCTTCTCTCCCTCCTTCTCTCCCTCTTTCTCTCTCCCTCTTTGACCCCACTCTCTCTCCCTCTCGCCCTTTTTGAGAAGGCAGATTGGAGGCTTGAAATGAGAGGAACAAAAAATTGACCAGAACATCTTAGATGTCGGACATCTACTCCTCTGCCGGTGACCCGATGTTCTTCATGCACCACAACTACATCGACCGCGTGTGGTGGAAGTGGCAGACGGCTAACGCATCCTCGCGCCTGTCCGACATGTCCGGCAATGCCTGGAACTACACCTTCTTTGAGGAGAACGATATTACCCTGCCAGCTTCCGTGAACCTGAACACCACTCTCGACTACGTCCTCACCACTTTTGATATCTTGCCTGATATCAAGGTTGAGGAGGTTATGAACGCGCAGGGAGGTTATCTTTGCTATGAGTATGATTACTAGACAGCTCGGGGTTCTTTCTTTTCCTCTCTCGTCTTATCCGGCCATCTCCTGCAGGTATGGTGAATTCGAAGGCAGATGGGTTGCTTTGACAAGTTCTCACAGTCCATAAATAGACATGCCTAGAAGTAGACATAGAAGAAGCTCTCCACAGGAATTTCTGGTCAGCAATAATAAGATACCTGAAGATGGAATGAAAGACTGAAAACCTGGAGAGTCACTATGCGATGAATCTGAAGAGTATACGTTCCCAAACGACAGAGGCAATGAGATGAGAATAGAGATACGGAATAGATCTGGCGAGTAAAAGAGGAAGGAGCCTTGTTGGCTTCACTGACCTATGATTATGATTAATTAGTGGCAGCAGTGACAGGGGATATGTGCCAGTCCAGGGATTGGCCTCCAGACGCTAGCACCAACTGAGAGTGTAAGGGGAAGCTGCCTCCGAGCACAAGATTGTGGACCTAGTCCAAACCTCTCCTTCCTTTAACCCGACAAGTTTACCTTCGTGCCTGCTGGGCAAATCCCCACCCGCACTCACCACAAAAGAATGTTTCTCGTTCAAGAGTCTAAAGTGGATCCAGTGACGGACAAGCTGTATGTCCTTTTGCCTCTGATCTGCGAGTATTGGCTGCTCTTGACTGATGCGTCGCCGTCCATCGTCGGCAACGACGGACTGCTGCTCCGGCGGCAACACCTCTTGACCCGCTTGCACACACGCTTTTACGCGCCTACGAGGCGAACAGCTGCAGCGCCCTGCAGCTTGCATCTCAATGGGTACGTACTTGGTCAAGGTCGTGGCATACATGGGGGTCATGAAGTGCGGCTAAACATTGGCCGTGTTGGTGTAAGACACTTTTAAGTACCGCGACGACGCAAAACGTGGGAGGGCGTGGGAAAAGGAGGCAGGGTAGGATGAGGAAGGGTGGGGGTGCCTGTACCGCTCCAGTTCCACACTCACATGGACGAGGCGTGCAGATCAGGTGGAAACACCATGGCTGACTGCTACGCTCGACTCGGTCCCAGCTTGTCTCCCTTGTGGACGTTGGGTTTCTGGACATGCCTACCGGGCCTCGATTCCCTATCGATGTCTCTTTCTCTAAGCGTCACACGCTGACGTCGACCTGAAATAGCTTCCCAGATCTAAAGCAAGATGCGTGCAGCCTCACTCTCCCATGCAACACCCAACTCTGATTGCCGTGACCCTTGCAGTACGACAGCATGTGCAGGCGGCAGCCACTTCCGTCACACCTTCTCATACCCATCGATAGGCACCACGGGTCTTTTACCTTGGCGGTTCGTCATGGTGACTACTGCTGCAGTTGTTGTGACGGTGCCGAACCATCAGGGGCTTCGTCTGTCTCATGCCCATACTCGGGCCGCCGGTTCTTATGGTGATGACCTCGTTCGCATGAGTTTTCCTGGCTGCCGGGTGAGCGTTCCCCGTGTGGCATTGCTCAGTATGGTCCTAGAAGCTAGGTTCAGGCTGATAGGCATTGTCGGGGCGGTGTCGAGTGCTCGACTGAGACATCACTGAGTTGCCTATCTCGGACTCCATTCCACCTACCAAAGTGCTACCCTTACATCAGTCTTCCTGGAGGATCTGCGGCGGGTGCTTCCAGCAAATGATCTGGGTTTCCAAATCACCCAAAAGGGAAACGAAGCGTCATCGTATCGTTGGCTAGGGCAGGTCTTGTCCCAAGGGAGCAATCTGCCGTGACGTGGCTCAGGTTCCATGTTCAGCTGGTATGCTTCTCGGGATCTCAAGCCTGCCATTGTGGTAGCCAGGTTACCATCGTTCGGGCTGCGACCTCGTTGTCTGACAAGAGAGAGGCTCTTTCCTGGCGGTCTGCTGTCCGCTTGCCTTCATTGAGTCTCTCACAGGCTCTCTAGGCGCCAGTCTCGCTCTGGCCAAAGGACTCTGGGTGCCCAGTACAGCCCTGCCAAGACGCTATCTCCCTCCAGAAGAGGTCCGTACCTGGCTCATGTCAGAATTTCCTTGACTAATTGTTTAAAGTTCACGTCAGGGTTCTGATGGGGAAAGGCCGGTTCGAAATGTTCCAACAAACGCTACCGCCCAAAGAAGTTATATCCAAAAATATGTCCAGCTGAAAACAGTGATCAGTACCAAATTCTCGTTGAGGTTAATCGACCATGGCTACAGTGCCAGCAGAAGGCGAGCCCTCCTGCAATGCTGCAGGACAGCGTCGATGATACCTAATAGTGTCCAACCGTGTGCGACCCAAAGCCTGCACAGCCAGCGGCCTCAGACTAAACACTATAGTCAAGAGGATTATCAGCCACCGTTGGCCTCATCATGAGGAGGTACTGGCTCGTTTGTTGCACAGACTGCGCTAGATCTCCCGGCGCAGATGACTAGTAGCTCTCGAGCAAGCAGCGACAAAAACCGGCTGGGTGTAAGTTCTACATATATATGTGTGCTCAACTAACAGCGGATCAAGATACCCTTCCTTGTGCAGATCACGCCCATATGGCTTACGTTTGTAGTCTGCGTCGAAACATGTAGGTCTTGAGACGTTTCAGCGGATCAAGACTCGCATCTTGGTACACCACGTGGATTAAATGAAAGATCGTCGTTGACACGTGCAGCCAGCGCTCGACTCTGGGTTCTTGACATCTTGGCGCGCGAGAGCTCAATCTATATAAATGAATTGAACCTGGCGCCCGGGCACTTCAGGGCCCTAAGAGCCTGGTTTTCCCTACACAACTCGGCCTGTTAATATAAGCTGCATCAGACGGGATCGGCCGAGACGGCTGACGTCCTTGAACAACCGGGGTTCGATGCTCTGAGAATGCGCCAGATCGAACCTCTTGAATAGTATCACGATTCCAAAGGCGATGATTAGACAGATGAACAATGAACACGATAGCATCAACTTCCGAATATGGCAATCAAGACACATCTGGTGTGGCAATCCATGAGAAGGGGCCACATGTCGAGTGCTTCCCCGGGGTCCGCGCCACATCTCGCTTAACCTGGATGGGCCAAGCATGTACTCATTTCCACGACCTGCAGGAGAATCCACGAAATCCCCCCCCCCCCGAACAAACTTTGCCGCCATTCCGCAATCTACATAATACTTACAGTTTTTTCCTGCCATCACCATCATACACTAGGATGAACTAACTCCTGCCTGGATCGAGAATGGCAGCTCGGAGCATCTCAAAAGTCAATTGAAGGACCTGCGCATCGCTTCTTCTGATGGTCTTCCACCTTCACTTTCGGGCTAAGAGTGTCTCGTGGGGCGCGACATTATGTCACCCTCGGTAAGCACACCTCCGCATTGCTGTTTCTGGCCTTGCCTTTGGAAAACCCTCCAATCGCAAATGACGAGACGGTATGTCTACCTCAGACAGCGCAACTCTCCTTACGTACCGCTGACCAGGTCATCTTTTTCCAGTGCAACCATGCTGGGCACATGATGCAAGCCTTTGACGGCACTCCTCCGGCGTTGAGGTGTGCAGCAGGTTGATGATTATGCGGCTCCCATCCAAGACGACGTCGTGCAGCGCCATCGACTGGCCTTCCCTCCTGTACCACGCCAAGGATCGTGACTAGACAGTTCTTGGCCCAACTCCCCCCTCCGCGCGTGGACGTGAAACGTGGTTCGAGATGGTGACCGCCCTGCGCACCTTTGGGATGTTGGGAAAGCCAGGCATCCTCGGGATGGCCAGCCGGTACTGCTCAGGTCTTACGTTGGTGGCTGCATTCTACCCTTGATGACCCACATCCAAGACGATGCTGGCTACCGACAGCCGTCAGTTCCATGGACCATGGCGTGGTCCACGGCCGATGTTTCTCCAGGCGTCCCAAGGCGGAGGAAGGCACTCAACAGGGGAACCTCTCGCGAATTACCATTTCCTCTCCTCCGTGTGCCTGAATGGAAGTCTAGTCTAGACGGGCCGCCACCCGCTCGTGCCCATCACCTTACACGGCCTGACTTGGGCGCCTAGAGGCATGATCATCACTGGCAGGATGTGGGACTGCTCTGCATCCCTCGCGGGCTCGAATGGCCCGCTTCCCTGGGCCGTGTTTCCCACGAGTAAAGAGTTGATCTATACTCTACTGTTGATCCGGGAGGCCCCTCCGTCGGAATGTTCATAGGCCATCTGGGTTCTCAAGAGGGAGGCAAAGGCCTGTGCACCACTTTCCGGAATGCATGATATATATTATATATATATATATATATATGGAGTACACTGCCCTCTTTCCAACATTGATCCTGAGCTAAACTATCGGCACCAACGACAAGTCCTTTTGTCTTCGGCAGGTTCTTCTTTCACTTCCTAGTCTCTGATTCACTCCCGTGTTCTCACTCGTGTCAACAAGACAGCAGCAAGATGTACAGCAAGCTTGCTGCCATCAGCGCCCTCGTGGCTGCGGCCAAGGCACAGCAAGCCTGTACCTTGACGACCGAGACGAAGCCCTCTCTGGAGTGGTCCACCTGCACGTCTGCCGGGAGCTGCACCACCAACACTGGCTCTATAGTCATCGACGCCAACTGGCGATGGGTCCACGATGTCAACAGCTCCACCAACTGCTACACCGGCAACACCTGGGATACCTCCATCTGCGACACTGACGCGACCTGCGCTGAGGACTGCTGCCTCGATGGTGCCGACTACTCGTCGACATACGGTGTCTCCTCGAGCGGCGACGCGCTCACTCTGGACTTTGTTACGGACAATAGCAATGGCGAGAACGTGGGCTCGCGTCTGTACCTGATGTCGTCTGACACCGAGTACGAGATGTTCACCCTCCTGGGCAAGGAGTTCTCCTTTGATGTGGATGTCTCTCAGCTGCCGGTATGTTTTTTTATCATTTGGAAAGCCCGTGGGTCCTGGAAACTAGTCGCATCTGTACTAACGAGAAAATTGAATAGTGCGGTCTGAACGGTGCTCTGTACTTCGTCTCCATGCCTGAGGATGGCGGTACCTCTGAGTACTCTGGCAACAAGGCCGGTGCTGCTTATGGAACTGGCTACTGCGACAGCCAGTGCCCTCGTGACCTGAAGTTCATTGGCGGCCAGGTTCGTTATAAGAAAAGAAACCATTATTTTCCAGCAAGGAGCGCGTCTTTACTGACTGTCCAAATGTCCAGGCCAACGTTGAGGGTTGGGTTGCATCCACCAACAATGCTAACACCGGTCTTGGCGACCATGGATCTTGCTGCCCTGAGATGGTGAGTGATGTTCTGCTATGCATTCCGTAGTAGAGGCTCCTATTTGCCCTTTGGTCCCTGCTCCGCCATCATTGCTAACAACGGCCCGCTTGCTCGCTGGGATATAGGACGTCTGGGAGGCCAACTCGTACTCGACAGCCTACACTGCCCACCCTTGCGAGAGCATCACCGAGACGATCTGTGATGGAGATGCTTGCGGCGGCACCTACAGCGGCGCTGACAACCGCTACGACGGCACCTGCGACCCAGACGGCTGTGACTTCAACAGCTACCGCAACGGAGACACCACCTTCTACGGTGACGGCAAGACCGTCGACACCTCGCAGGTCTTCACCGTCGTGACCCAGTTCATCGAGTCTGGCGGCTCGCTGTCCGAGATCCGCCGCTACTACGTCCAGAACGGCGAGCTGATCCCCAACTCGTACGGCACCGTGTCCGGCCTGACCGCCTACAACTCGCTCACCGAGGCGTACTGCGAGGCCGAGATCACCGCCTTTGACAGCGAGGGCTCGTTCACCTCCAAGGGTGGCTGGTCCGGCATAAGCGAGGCCCTGGCCGCCCCCATGGTCCTCGTCCTGTCCCTGTGGGACGACTACTATGCCGACATGCTCTGGCTCGACTCCACCTACCCCGTCGGCTCGACCACCCCCGGCTCCGTCCGCGGCAGCTGCTCCACGAGCTCTGGTGTCCCCGCCAGCGTTGAGAGCTCTAACCCCAGCTCCAAGGTCATCTACTCCAACATCAAGTTCGGCGCCATCAACTCGACTTACACCGTCTAAAGAAGCACGGCAGAGTCGTAGGAAGATTATGGTGCTCTGAAGGGTCCTCAGACATCTTGAAGAGAGGGACCAAGCCTCTTCATGTCTGGTTGTCCTAGTAGATTGGCTGGGTGTTGTTGTTCGGTAGACGCTTATGTCATGAAAGGAAGGGAGTGAAAGACAGGAGGTGCGGTATGGAAAGAACGGCACACAAAAAAAAAAAAGGAAAAAGGAGAAATTCACACTTGTCCTGCCTATTCGCCCTCATGTTTTCATTCTCATCCTGTTTATGGTATAGGCATAAGTCTGTTCTTGTACATAACCTTCTACTTTTGTTCCCGGATGGAGTGGTGGATTTTCATATACTCTCGCTCTTGACGTACATATATCTATACATACTTGCCTACCTGCTTTTCTCTCAAATTGTCTTTCCATGTCTTTGTCTCATAAACATCAGTACCAGAGGCGGTTTGGTGCTAGTGAGTCTAGCTCAGTAAATCCCTAGGCACTGTTGGGTCTAGCAAACGAATGGCATAAATAGTCAGGTGACTCATCACTTGTACCAATACCATCTTGTCCATGTTCTTGTCCGTTACAGTACTTCTCTCTAAATAGCCACTTTTTCCAGCCAATAAACACCATTGCTTTCTTACTTGCAGAGAATACATGCATGTGCGATTGGAGATGAACAAGTCGCGACCACTCGCCTCTTAAGAGGGGGGGATCTCGAATCATGGAGATTATTGGAGCCACACACGCATGCTATTTCCAAGAGCGATGAGAGAACCTTTTTAAACACAACTTTCCACAGCTGCCAGAAATGCAAAAGATAGGATGCTTATGAGGAAATGGGAAAACGTCTCAATATTGAATGATTTATTACAAGTATAGTAAGTATCCAAACCTTACCTACCTAAAAAAAAATATTTAACAAGGGAAAGAAAATAGAGATATTGAGACCCAGACCCAAGAAGAAAAAAGTTTCCATGTTCCAATATGGAAAGGGGATATAATCCACACGAGATTCAACGAGCGTACCATCAAAATCCACATCAGCTCCCGTGGCGCAATGGTAGCGCATCAGACTTCTACCTGCTATGGCATCGCAAAGAAATTTCCATCCGTGGATTTATTGCGCGGAATCTGGGGGTTGCGGGTTCGAGCCCCGCCGGGAGTTTTTAGCCTATCTTTATGCCGTGCTCAGACATTAAATTGGTATTGTGGTGGTTTGTGGTGGTGAGTGAAGACTTTTTAATTTTTAATTATATTTGATTTTCAAAAGACAAAATCACATTCATTGGTGCGTAATCAAATCAAGAAGAAAGACTTAGTTAGTGACTGACTTGACTTGGCAATTTGACCTTGACTCTGGTTTTTCTGTGGCATCTTCAATTAGGGCCAGTGCAAATAAATTTGGGGCCCGCTACGCTGCTGCCCAGGCAACCTCTTCTCTCATGAGCAACCACCCTCACCACCACCGGTCAGGTCAGTACAGAAGTGCAGGAAAAAGAACTTTCATTGGCCGCATTGCATATCTTCATATCGGGTGTGTTTATGACATGACATGCCTTTCCTGCCGTAAGTCCATCCCACTCACTACCGCAATCCACACTCTCCGCTATCCTCACCCAGGTTAGGCAAGCCTCTCACTATGTGTCGAAAACCCCCATGTCGAGAACCCCCGTGTCGAACGCTCTTTGATAAGTCTTCGAAATGTCTTTGCCGCCGATTTGCTGGACACTCACTTACATGTCCTGTATTAGGTTCCGCTCGCTCGCTTGATCCCCAAATTCCAGGACCATCATCCACAGCACTTTTATAGAGTGTGTGACGCCAAGGGCCAAGATGAAAAGAACAAGAAGAAGAAAAAAGGGCCAAAGATAGAAAACAGAGGAAAAGAAAAAAGGCAGAACCCAGGTTTATCCCTTAGAACACCTACCCCATCCAAGCCCATTATTCCTCCGACCTTACTCCTTTCCTATATCCCGCCCCCCCCCCCCTCCCAGAAGGATGCTGTGACAGGCAAAAAACAGAGACAAAATATAGCAAAAAGAGAAGGTGAAAGTTAATAGAGAAGAGACACCGGCCATCGCCTCTAGACGAGGCTTCCCAGACTCAACAGCAGTGGTGGCTTTTCCTGGAGCATTTCGGCGTCGGGGAGTTCTCCAAAAGAGAAGCCCTGGATGTCACCACCCATATCGCCGAGGCAGTCTGCTATGCGCGATGATTCGATCTCGCCTAAATTCCGCACAATATCCAGCTTCTGACCGCGTGGCGATGTCTGCACTGGGGTATCAACGCTGTCAATTATGGTGCTTTGGCTCTGCGCGGGCGAGGCGTGGGCGGGCGAGGCATGGGCAGACGGAACTTGAGAGCTACTACCAGGAATAGCATCAAATTTTGTCTGCACCTGCTCAGGGCCGTCTTGGGCGCGGTTGATTGTCCTGAACAAGGACTTGGTGCCGCTGCCGGGCAGGCTGTTCATGCTGGTCCGTCGGGATCCGTCCATAGCCTGAAAGTATCTGAGGTCTTCGTCGACAACGATCATGCCATTGTTGATGATCCTATCATTCTGTCGTCTCCATATGTCGAGGCCCCCGCCGTGGATTGGCCCTTCGTTGACAGGAATGGGGCCGCCGCCTTTGGATCTCCGGTACTCCCGCCACTCATGATTGACACTGGAAACGAACCTGTCTATTTCCTTGCTGTACAAGCTCACCAGGTTAATGCTGCAAGCAATAGAAAGAAGAGGAGAGGGAAGATGCAAAGTCCTCACACGTACTAGTATGTCAAGTAGGTAGTCGCCATCTTCAGCCAGTGTGAGATCCGTTGGAGGGTTCGAAAGCAGAGACCAGTAGGCCCCAACTTTGTCATATCCGTCTCTATCGGGATTCCATCCTCATCAAAATTAGTTGCAGGATGCATAGTACACTCGAGGTCCATGTGCGGAAAGTGCCATGCATACTGCGCAACGAAGGCTGCGATCCAAATTCCGAAGAGGACCAGACCTGACATCGGAAGCTTCTCGCCACTGATTTCGATCATATCAATCATCCTCTTGGCAGACTGGAAGAGCGCTTCGGCGCTCTTTTCCCAGAAGCCTCTGGGGATCTCAAATTCGGCCGATGGAAACGTTGGTTCATCTAGTGGGCCCGTAGGCCTATTACACCGAAGCGGCAGGAAAGGGACGTATTCGCTAGGATCGTAGTTAGCACATCCAGGTCCCCTTTCTCGGGTCGAATCATCATGACGGACCGCGATGAGGCGTCAGAAGATCACTCACCGATGCAGCATAACCCCGCAGATGCCGCCCAGCATGTGCAAAGAGACATAAACGCTGGCGGACTGATGATTCTCATGTCTGTGGAAGTTGGACGGCGACAGCAGAAAACTCTGAGGCAGATCGTCATAGAACTTGTCCAGCCTCTCCCTCAGCTTGTAAAACGTCGTCCGTTCATCCCAAGGAGGATAAGCCTCAGTCAGTCGGCCACCGGAGAAGGAGAAGTCCGATATCTCGCCCCAAAGGTCCACTAAGCGGACAAACTTGCTGAGGACGCTCTCGTTCTCAGCCTTCTGCTGGCACTCATCAAGGACAGTGTCCTTCAAGAACCCCGTCCGGACCTCTTGCGATAGGTCAAATGCCCACTCGTTGCATGGCAGCTGGATCTGAAGATCGTCGGTACGGACAGTCGAGACACGTTCTTTTCCGCAGGACAAGAGGCGATCGAGGATCAGGCAGCTGTACATTGTCCTCCGCCGGATCTCCTTCACGATCGTGAGCTCTGACACGCTCAGAGGGCTCCAGGAATATAGACCTGAGCTGACCTGCTTGATCGGCGCCGGCTGTCTCGGTCTAGGCCTGTCTCCAAATCCGAGTCCCAGGGCCTGCGCCATCCGGATTGCACAACCAACATACATCCACGCACCGAGACCACCTGAATCCGGCTGCACCTGGCTCCACTCGTATAAGCCCAGCATTAGGAAGGCCTGGACGCGCTCGACCGAGGCAGTGGTCATGCTTATGCCGAGGGGACCAAGGGCCTTCCGTAGAGCCTCCGCAAAAAACTCAGACGCGACTGACGCTTCATTCTTGCCATGAGAGCCTCGCAGCTTCTGGAACCAGGGTAGGGCATACGCCGTATGGGCTGCATATTTGGACAGGTCGGTATGGAAACGTGCAGTCAGCGCCAGGATGCCCAGCAGCACGAGATTGAGCTCATGTTGGGCCTCCTTTGTCTTCATCATGAACTTGGGGTTCATGACCTCCTTGAGGGTCGGAATGTGGAGGAACGGCAGCTCGGTCGAAAAGTGAAGCCTGTACAGGTCGAAAGCCTCGGCCCACAGCCTCGACGTCAAATAGTGAGCCGAAAGAACGTCTTCGGCATAGGCATGCGGGGCGTACTGATCTTCGGCCCGGGAGACATCTTCGATCTTCTTCAGCCGCTTCCTGTCAGACCCGGATTCACGTTCAGGTTTGTTTGTGGTCGAGGTTTCAGCCCGCTTCGGCAGCACAGGTGTGGCCTCTGGATATTTGCAGTCCTTTCCCTGCTTTATACATGTCTCGCAGGGTGACGTGCCTCCATCGTTCTCACACTTGATCTTGGACTTTCGGCACCGAAGACAGGCAATGCTTGACCGCATGGGCTGCCGCTTCATGGAAGCCTTGGAGGCATCCACCCCACCCACGATGGTATATGCTGGCCGTTCATCACTATGCCCAGGGGCCCGTGCAATCAGAAAGCCCTGGATCGAATGGCTGTGGTAGGCGGGTGGATGCGGAGGATGTGGAGGCACTGGCGGTGGTTGCGGCAGCTGCTGCTGCTGCTGCTGCTGCTGCTGGTACTGCTCCTGTTGCTGGTGCTCTTCGTGCTGGTGCTGCTCGTGCTGTTGAGCCGGCGTTGAGCTCGGGGCCAATGGGGGCAATTGGTGTCTATTATGTTCCGGGAAGACGGGGGTGAAGGCCTCTGCGTACGTCCGCTTCGGGGTGGAAGTGGAGGACGGGGAGGGCGGAGTATTGGCCGTTTCATCGGCAGGGGGATCCGGTGGGGAGAGTATGGCCTGTAGAGAAGTAATTGTGAAGACGGGTTGGGTCCTTGGCAGACCCGACCACAAGCCGTGATGGCCCTAGGTGCGACCCGAGGCGGCCTTTGACGAAGGAAGTGTTCGTTCACACAACACCAATCTCTCCTCTCCCTCCTCCTGAAGGACCCAGATAGGGAGCAGGTGTCCCCTCGCGCTACACTACCAGCAAAAAGCTGTAATGCAGGAAAAGGTGCACGAGAATCAATCTTGGTCTCCGTGTCTTCGAGGCCGCCGTGCCGTGCCAGGCGCAGAGATCAATAGGCTCGCGGTAAGTCGTTGAGTGCTGGAATTGTGAACGTCTAGGAGGGCGCAGCAGCACGGTCTCTAGGAAGACCTTCTGAAAGAGTGCCGTCTTCCTGCTTGCGCGATGTGTGACGGCAGCATCAAAGGGATGCAGGTAGCCGTGGAGGAAGAAGAGGGTGAGCCGGACCGAAATGAATGTGAGTGTGGTTACAGGACAGAGCTGCTGAGACCCCCACGGACGAGCACGCCACCAATGCGAAGTAAGAAGAGATCGCACGTTAAGATACGCAAATAGATAAACCTGGGAGAGCCAATGTCGAGTTTCAGCTTGAGTGTTGGAATGAAGCGTACGCCTAGAAGTTGGTGTCTGCCCACATATAAATCTGCGGAGCTATAAGGTAGCAGGCAGCAAGCAAAAATCAATAAGCAGTGACCAATGTGAGTTCAAGGCGTATGTATATGAATGTATGTATGGCTTGGGAGGGCTTTCTTTTTGTTGGAGAGAAGGCGCACGACTGACTGAACGGCACGCAGGGGGGAAGGGAAAAAAATAATGAGGAATGAAGTTCGCAGGATGCTTTCCCGAATGTGACAGATGGCTAGGAAGTTGGAAGGAAGAGATTTGTTGCATTTAGTGGCGCGCAGTTTGGTTTAATGGCAAGCTGCGGGTGCAAGCATGGCGGCAAGGGGGGGGTGGGAAGTATGAGAAGGCTCCAGAAGAGGAAGAAGAGAGCGGACAGGGCAAGCAACATAGCTCGAGTGCAGCTGCACGCACGCACAATAGGCCCGCCAACTTGCAGACGGCACAGTGATCCCAGAAGCAGAGTAGGTGCAAAAACGAAGTAGCAAAAACAACGGTGGTGGTTCTGCCATGTAACCTGAGCTCGAGCTCCATGCCTCGCATGCAGCATGCATGCATGCCCTCCCTCACGCCCTCCCTGGCAGAGAATACATAACAGAGAGCCCTCTTACAGCCCTAGCCTGCGCCTTCGCCGATCTCTAGCACACCAGAGAACAAGGGAATGCATGGCAAAGTCAGCACAGGCTTGTCAACTTACCGCAGTGGCACGTTCCCGTGCCCGGGACGCGGGCACACGGCCAGACTACCAGAACGGCTCGGCAAGAGCCTTGCTCCCTTGCCTAGCCAGGCTAATCAGAAATCGAGCTCGAAGGGAAGACCCCACGCTCAAAGTAGCAGGGAGGGAGGGATTCTTTGGGACGAGCATGATTGCGGCCGATGTCCCGCTGGGGCCTGGTCTGACGAGCAAACACGAGGCCCACCCGTTCAGGCGGGCCACCTGAGGTAGGTAAGCCTCACAGCAGCTTGCCGTGATCTACTGTCGTGCCATAGGAAGTAGTGTCCCTGGTGCTAAGACAGACAAAGTTGGCTTGCCAGCTCGGACGTTATGAACGTGGACCATTAGTATGCACGTTGTCTATCGCGGTTGAGTAATTATGCCAAACCGCTTCCTAGACGAAGAGGCAGTTCACTGTTGGTTTGGTTTCTTTTCTTTTTTTCTTTTTTTTTTTCTTTTTTTTTTTTTAGGAAGGGGGGGGGGGAATACCTGCAAGGTCGACAAGCAGGGTCCTCAGCACCACGGCCAGTCGGGCTCTGGCCCGGCCGAGGGGGTTAGACCGGGAGCCCTCGTTCCGACGAGGATGCAGAGGACATGCCGAATGTGGTGCAACACACAACATCCACACACATAGAGGAGGGATTTCACACAGCCCCCAAGGGCCCCGGGACAAAACGTCAATGGCTGTGTGGCCTGGTTGACGGATCACCTAAACCCTTTCCACCAAGACCCCCCCCCCTCCCCCAACCCCGGAACCTAATCACCAACATCCGTCCTTCCTCCTCAAACTCTAGACCAGCTTGGAATACTTTCTGCGAGTCGTCCTCACGAGGGTATGAGCTGTGATCCGCACGCGTATATGGTTGACTGAATGGCCCCTAAACTCTTGGGGGAGTTGGCTCGGAATTGACCCACTACCTGGTACATTGTATAATATGGTAGGAGAGCGTCTGGTATGCAAGTGATAGATGCAGGTGAGAATATTTTTACAAGTTGCTTCTGTTTGGAACGGGATGCGCACAGGAGGGGCGTCGTTCCAGAACCTGTGCCATACTGTTAATACAGGACAAGGCTGTCTCCTCGGTTTGTCCAGGTTGCAACCTGTGTGGAGACTTCTGTGATCCTGATGAGGCAAGGACTCCGTCACTGTGCCGCTGTCCTTGAGCAGAGGGTTGGAATGCGAGTTGTCCTCCCCAAAGTTTCTCCGACTGCTTCGAGAGCCGATGATCGCGTGGCGCTACTCCTTCTCGTGGCCTCGACTGGAGTATAAAGCATAAAAAGAAAAAGCTCAAAAGACAAGGAGGGTTGTTACCGCCCTCCGACAGCTTGCCATCGGGCACATAGTGCCGGTAGAATGCCTTGGTACGATGACGGGCCGGAAGTCGCCAGAGGACCTATCAGGCACGGGTTCTCGGGACTGGGAGAATAGCAGCTAACATAAGCGACAGAGTAGGACAAGGGGGTTGGATGGCCACCTCAACTTGTCGGCCTTGGCTACATACACCGTGGCATCGAGAACGTACCACGACACCAGACAAAGGGTACGATGCAAACAGTGTAGTCTGGTTTGACCGCCTGCAGAAAGCGGCCAGCAGTGGCATGCACTTTTGGCTATGCAAGCAGGCCCGCATTCTCGTTCATCTCAGCTTCTCATGCGAGGCGTCAAAAGAAACAACAGAGGCCAGAGCATCGGATTGGCTGGTCTCCGGTGGAAAAAGAATAAACGACCCGCACGAAGGGCAGAGGTCGGTAAGCGTAGTAATGTATGTGATCATCGTCAGCATGCCTGACGGTGGTATCCTGCAAACCTTGATAAATTCTTCTCTGAGACAAGTCTCAGCACTGGTCTCAACAATTAAATCACCCCTTTTAGGAGAGAAGAGCTGAGCGGTGGCGTGATGAGAACGGTGACGACGACGAAAATAGCCATTGAGCCATGAGTGTCGTGTTGATCGCGGGGGTTGGAAGGGGGTTGTCTTGGCATCGCAGCTCTGCAAAGCAAGCGCAAGTCAGAGAGGCAGGAAACGTAATGATGCACTGCACCAACGCTCCTTGGCATGGCAGTTGCAGTTGGCCAGTGGCGTGCGCGTGGGACCTTTCCTCGGCGGGAACGCACCAATGACGTCGCCCTGTAACTTACCACTGAACCACCAGCTGAGGCCTCTCGAAATTCAACCCTGCCACCCAACCAACACCCCCTCGACATCCCAACCATACAGCGTGTCTCTCTAAGCGCCAGACCCTGCGCGTGAGTGACACTCTGCTGCATCTTTGTCTGACAGATCAGGATACTGACAGTCTACTGCTACTACTACTACTGCGCACGAACACATAGTAAGTAGTACGTAGATGCTTGGAATCTCTACTCACATTCACATTTACAATTCCTGGCGTCGATCTCTATTTTTATCTGCCATCGTTTGTGATACCCCCCCTTTTTCCCCTTGTGACAGCTGCCGTCGGGTTTTGGGTACTTTTTCTTCTCTCTCGCTAGACACTGCTGCTGTTGCTCGGCCCACACGCCGTGGCTGCCTGCAAAAGAAAATCTACCTTGGGGGCTGACTTTCTTCGCTAGTAACGACTAGCTATCTGGCTATTTACTGAAGTAGACTTGAGAGAAGAGATAAAGGTGGCATACAACAAGATGGCTTCGGGCAAGAATGTGAGTCCATATGCGGACTCAAAAGTGGATTGAGCATGACCGTCTTGGGTATTAATGCGCCAGCACAGGATCCGAAACTGCTATACGCCATTAATGGTGTATCAGCTTACCACATTTCCAACGGCAAGGAGCAGTCGCTCACCCCAGCCGGTCCTCAGACTCTGTCCCTACTGATGGTGCCTACCTCGTCACCCTTCGCTGATGCTTCGCTTGTTGATCCCGAGTCTGCCCCGGCCGAGGAGGACTTCTACTTGCACCTGCACCTGCCCCCAGAGCTAGATTTGCCTCTGCCAGCGACGACACAGATCTACCACCAGCCGCCCACTAGCTATCTGATCCCACGGTGGGACCTTGGCCCGGACAGCGGCTCTTTTACGAGGATCGAGTTCCCTGCATTGGGTGGCCGCAAGGGGGTCCAGGATGATATCGATACTTTCGAGACCATCCTGGCGCAGTGTACGGCTTTTCTGGAGAGAGCACCGCCGCCTGTTCCCAGGGGAAAGAAGAACGATGCACCTCCAGCGAGCACCTCCCGATCCAAGGAGGCGATGGCCGCTGAGGAGAAGCTCCCTGCTTACAACCCTGGGGACTACAAGCCCGGAGAGGCTTATGCCAAGGGCAGCCATAGCTCTCACAAAAGCGGCCAGATTGTTCTCATCGACGAGGAGGATGGTAGTGTCATTGGTGAACTAGGCGAGGACTACCAGCTTGTCGAGGATAGTGCACTACAGCCAGGGTCCAAAGGTAAGAAGAAGAAAAATAAAAATTTCCCTTCGTGTTGGCAGATCGAGTAGCTAAGCGCAGTGGATCACAGAGCCCGTGCAGATCACCCTGCCCGCTGACGGGTCCCACCAAATTGCGATTGCACCAGCAAGTGACGAAGATGTGGAGATGGCCCTGCACCCATCTTACAAGAAGTCATTCCTGGTGTCCAACGCGATGGCTGCATCCCGGCTCATCGTCACCACCTCAGACATGGTCTCCAAGGCGATGCAGAACAGCGCCGACAGCTTCACGCAGAAGACGAAGCCTGTGGCGAAGCCTGTCACGTTCAAGCCCACAACGAGGGAGCACATCCGCAAGGTGCATACGTTTACCTCGAACGCAGCGGGCCTGTCTTCCAAGACGGTCGGGTCCATAGGAAAGGTTGCGCAGAACCTGGGCGCCACCCTGGGCCGGAACAAGACCAAAGATGGGCAACCCAAGGGCTACGACAAGGACGGCAGGCCACTCGAGGACTTCAAGCCGGGCCTGCTGAATAAGAGCCTCATGGCCTTCAGTACCATCGCAGACGGCGTGGAGAAGGCCGGCCGCAACCTGCTCGAGACCAGCTCCAGCGCCACTACCAAGGTCGTCACGCACAGGTGGGGACCAGACGCGGGCGATATCTCGAAGAGTCTCAGCGGCGGCGTGAAGAATGTCGGCTTGGTCTATATCGACGTGACGGGCGTGTCCAGACGGGCGATTCTCAAATCAGTGGCTAAGGGCATGGTTGTGGGCCGCGTTGCGGACGGCGGCGGCCAAGTCATTGTTGGCGGAGGCGATGGTGGTGATGCGCCGGGCGTAGTTGGTGCGTTGCCCGCTGAGCAGCAGCAGCAGCAGCAACAACAACAACAACAACAACAACACGTACTAGACGAAGGGCTGACAGGATCTGAAACGAGTCCAATTACGGGAGCAAAGGGAAAGAAAGTTGCGACTGTGAAATACTGAAATATTGAAAGAGTGCGATGTCTCTCAAGACAGGATAATACGAGAACGAGCTTTACGTATTTATGGTTCTGAACTTTCTTTCTTTAGTATCAATCAAAGTATGCAGTACATTCACCCTCCCAAATTCTAGCCCTGAACGAACCGTGTGAGTAAGACACGATCTTGAAACCACGTTCCAGAGGATTAAAACATCTCGAGCGGCAGAGGGAAAGAGCAGGGGCCAGCGGCAGGGTAAGGTCTAAGATTGGTGGAAGGAGAAAATGTCTCCCTCACCACCTCGTCCATTGCTTCCTTTTTTTTTTTTCATAAAAAAAATTATACTCTTGTGCTCTCTTTTTTATTTTCATTTGGCCTTTCCCTTTATTCTTTTCCTTTGCAGCACGGCTGACGCAAGCTATCTACTTATCTTGTCACATTGCTACCCAACTACCGTTGTGCATAGTATTGGGCCTAGAGTCCCACCATTCATTATACCATAGGTATGCCTACAAGATAAGTACTTGCATGTACCATAGTATGTACTGTAGTATTCCAGTTTTCAGACCCCTCAAGCATCAACGCCCCCCCTCCCCAGTCCAGAGGTCTCAGCTCCGAGGTATACGAAAAGTCAGAAAAATGGGGCTCATCGGGAGGCCATCTTATCTCCTCAACCTCGCATCAAGATGGCGGTATGCAGCTTATTTTCGCACAGTTTCTGGGCAGTCTTTACCGTGTACTTGCTACTATGCACACGCCTATCACATCACGTCACACCGGTCCCTGGATGCGTCCCCAGTTTTTGGTGGCACAGTACACCACAGTCCTTGCTACTATGATAAAAGTCAGGCTGATTGACAAGGGAGTGAGCTTCCTGGCCCACAAAGGCCCCACCACCACGGCATCTTTCCACTTTACAAACATCCTTGCCCGAATAACGCTCTGATCTGGAATTGCACATGCATCAATGTGTTGTCGTTGGGAGCCCTGTGGGACTGCTATCCTGCTGTACTACAGCATCGTCGACAGCTACGGAAATCGTGTGCTGCAGCAGCAGCAGCAGCAGCGGCAACGGCAGGAGGAGACAAAGACGAAGCAGAAGAAGTCGAGGGGGGCTGATGAGGCAGAGTTAGTGATCCCAACAACAGTCCCTCGCTGCCATGCTTTCCGCCTTTCTCTCTGATTTACTTGGGCTTTTGTCTCTGAACTCAGTCTCTCTGACTCTCTCTGCCCTTCTAGGCCTCTCCCCTCTAAGCATCGCCTTGCCTCGAGATGCTCCACGAAATCCTCCTCTCGCTCTCAGGGCACCCCTCGCCCCTGCTGCGAACCGCTGCGTCCCCAGACCCCCATGCGCCCCCCGCCGTTGACATCACCCTGATTACGCCGCCCGAGCGCGAGCTCCTCGCTGGGGTCGCCCGCCTGAGCGACCTGCACGTCAAGTTGCTCACCTTCACCTCGCAGATCGCTGCGTCCCACCCCTCCGCCATCTGCCGTGCCGTCGCCCACGCCGTCGAGGGCACCCACCTCGCGGCCTTCCAGCGCAAGGTCCTCGAGGTCGAGGAGGGTATCCTTCGCAGGGATGCCGGACTGGTCGGCGCCTATAACATTGTGCCGCTGACGGCCGTCGTCAGGGAGTTTGAGGGCTGGACGAGGCGCATGGAGTGGTTCTGGGATGTCACCGAGTTCATGTTGAAGAGGGTGAAGGGTGACGATGGAAAAGAGGTGCTCTGCACAGGCGCCAGGGTGATCAATCGCCTGCGTGGGGATCTACAGACCGGTTATCAGGATCTAGAGGATGCGGCCACGAGTCTGGTCAGAGTGGCCGAGACAGCGTGGGTGAAGCAGGTATCGGCTTGGATTCTATATGGGAGATTGCCTGGCTTTGGGGCCGGGGACTTCTTCATACAGAAGGCTGAAGATATCGATGAGGTAAGCCTCTTTTTCCTCTTTCAACTGATCTCGTTCCCGCAGGTTAGAGAAGAATTAACTTATTCTTATTTTCTTTCCGGCAGGAATTCATTTATGTCCCTGATCTTCTGCCATCTTTTGTCACCACCCCGACAGCGGCGTCCATGCTCTTCATCGGACGGTCTCTGAATTACATTAGGGCGAAAAACAGTCTTGAGAGCGGCATGCAGGGCGTAGACCAGCTCTCGTCACAGCTGAGGGAGCTGTCTCAATTGACCTATCCGCTCGACAGTGCTACTTTCTCGAGGACCATCACGGGCATCAGGTTGTTTCTCTCCAGAAGTACTCTGCAGAAGCTGCTTCCCCTGTCCAAGGTCCTGGAGATGCTTCAACTCCTGCGGGGCTTCTTCCTCCTGGGCCGTGGCGAGTTCGCAATGGCCCTCACCCAGCAAGCTGATGTGAAGATCCGCAGCCGATGGCGCAGGGCAGACAACCTGGCGCACGAGAAGCGCGACGGCCTGAATAATGTTGTGGTCAAGGAAGGCGAGGTATTCGCGGTTCTGACCGGAACCTGGGCCGCAATGGGGTCCATGCAAGGCCAACAGGCCGACGAGGATGAGGGCCTTGAGTTGGCCCGAGATCTTCTCAGATTAACTCTTGCCAAAACAACGTCAAGTACGCCGGTGCAGTCGCGCTCGGCTATGCAGATCGCGAGCACGCCTTTCCGCAATCTGATGTTCTCCGTCCCGGTCGTCCTATCTCTCCGCATCCCTTCACCTCTCGACCTGTTCCTCAGCGCCTCAGACGTCCAGGTCTATACCTCCATCAACTCATACTTGCACTCGATCCGCAGAGCTCACCTCCAACTTACTGACCTGTGGAAGGTCACACCTCTCAGGAGACACCACCCGCCCCCGCCCAAGCCGGCGTACGGCAGCAGTAAAGCAGGTCGAGCGCGTGTCATTCTGCTACGGGAGCGTCAAGCCCGACGGATGCTTGCCATGCGAAATGCGTGGACCACCTGCAGCGCGGCTATCTTCTTCCTGGCTGAGCTGGAGGGCTATCTCCAGGTGGAGGTGGTCGCCGAGCTGTGGGATGGGTTCCAGCGCTGGCTCACAACCGGGAGCGACGCAGCTCGGCTGCCATCATCTGCACCACCATCCCGTGCCACATCCCGAGCACCGTCTAGACTCTCCACAAGAGACCCAGATATGATGGACACGGATGATGCTGATGACGACGAGTATGAGGACATGTGGCTCGCCGAAGCCTCTACGGCATCTAGTCGTCTACACAAGTCGGCCAAATCCCCACATGATCCACAGACATTAGCTGCTGCCCACCGGCTCTACCTATCCACACTTGTCCGCCGAATTCTGCTCTCCCAGGAATCCTTCACCGATCCGCTCTACAGCCTGCTGGTGGACATTGACCAGCTGATCGCGCTGATCCACCGCCTGCAGGAGGTCTGGAATGCGATCGACCTCGAGGAGGACGTCGGCGTGGTCGATGCGTTTGTGGATCTGGAGCGCGAGGAGAAGGACGTGAGGTCACAGATCCAGGCGACGATCGGCAAGACCAAGTTCGGTATCGAGGATGTCATTGGAGTGCTGAGGAATCTGGAGGCAGACCATGAAGGCTTGGCTTGGAATGATGGTGAGACCGGCGAGGAGGGCGGGCCTAGGGGGCTGAGGGAGCACGGTCAGTATGTGCCGCGGCGTGTAGGGGGTGTTGATCACCTGTTGATGAAGCTTGATTTTGGGAACTGGTTTGTCTCGGGAAAGAGCGCGGATATTGAGGGATCGTATGTATAGTATTGTGCTGAGTCATGAATGTAGTTGATTCCTTTGTCGCATGGCGTTGGACGGGCAAGATATCACCAGCTATCTGGTAGGACAGGATATTCAGGGCATGATACCATCCATAATCTTTCACACAGAACTCTTTTGACATTTTTCAGTCCTTCCCTCCTTATGAAAGGTAACCCTTCGCTCCCATCACTCCTGATCTTCTTCATCAGAATCGTCACTAGAAAGAAAGGGGGCAGGAGGCGGAGGCAATGGCTCCACAAAGTCCATAATAGACCCAGGAAACATCTCGCTGTCCGGATACTTCCTCACGCATGTCGGAAATTCCTTCTCCAGAGCCGGGCCTCGGGTTCTCAGAACCTTGACCCATACACCTGCCACATCGTGCCAGTGGCACGAAGTCTCAAAGATGGCCTGGTCTCCTTCGATGCGCCATACTTCCAAGGTCATTCGGTGCTGCTCGCAGATCCTTGACTGCGTGTGGGCGAAAAATTTCATTTTCTGCTCAAAAAAACATAAATTTAGAAAAAGTCTCATCAGTTATCAATCAGTACTTTTGGGCCTGATTTTTTTTCTTTTTCTTGGCCGGGGAGGTGGTCAACCTTTGTTATGTCTTTATAGATACCATACTCCATCCTCCCCATAGGGGATTGCTCTGCCCAGTTGCACAGCCTGATCAGTAGCCGCATGCTGATAAACGCGTTGCGTTGCTCGAGAAGCTGGATCATCTCGTCCACGATGTTCATCCAGGCCCAGCCGCTCTCGAGGGGCCCTTCGCCCAGGCCGATGCGGATGTCGATGTGACGGAGATTCTGGATCGTGCGTCGGCCCACAAAGTCCGATATGGTCAGAAAGCCGCGGTGGTACCTGTCAGGCATAGTGTCGGCGCCCTCGAACGGGGGTAGGCGGTCGATGACCAGCGGCTGCGCCTGGAGCATGGGGAGACATTCGGCAGTGATGTACTTGCACAGGAGGAGGATGGTCGGCGTGTAGAGGGTCTGCTGGCGGGGCCTGCACCTGAGGCAGCCGGGTTCGTACGAGACAGTACGGTAGAATGACCTGTAGAGATCTATGCAGGGAGGGTACTGTGTGAGGTAGGAGTAGATCATGTTGCGGATCTCGGAGGGGAAATGCAAGAAGGAGTACGCTCTCTTTACATTGCCCGTCTGATGCAGGTTGCCAGGGCTGTCAATGTGGACTTGCACCGGTGCACGCTCGGGTGTTCCCAATAGTGACGAGGAAGAGGGGAGACGGGTCGGCGCCAGCGTGATGCTCGCCGTTAAGCCCTCCTTGGACGATGAAGTTGGCACGGATGGTGGCAGAGACCGTTCCCTGGTTCGCGTTGTAGCCTTCTGCTGCGAAGGATCATCCACATCTTCGACATGATCCATACACGGATCACTGCCCCCCTTTTGCTCCTGGTCTCTGCTTGTGTACGTGGTCTCTCTCATACCACAATTTCTTTCGTCAGCCCTAAGCAGCTCCTCGACCAGTGTCGGCGAACTCCTGACTGCTTCATGAAGCGACATCGTAGATGATGCGGGGCTCCGTTCACAACTCCAATGTGAGGGGCAATGGTGGATGGGATCAACCAAGACTTGTAGGTAGAGAGTGGTGCTACTTTTTTGAGGCTCTGCCTGTGGTGCTTCTTCTGCAAGTGAGGGGTTGGTGGCCGACTCTGGGGTCTGCTCATGGATATAGACCAACCGGTGCCACTAATGCGTTCAACTCTCGGTTGGATACGACCGCTCAGTCGAGGCTTTTGTTGTGTTCATTTAGCCTCTTGCCCATTTGACAATATTTTTTCGGGGAACAGGCCGATTTGTGCTGTGCCAATATGCAGCTTGGAGGTGACAACGAGCGTTTAGGGTGGTGCCACAGGATAAGCACGGCGTTTTTCAGCGGCCCACTGCATCCAATGAGCCACCCATTTGTTTGAGACACCCCATGCAGGACGAGGAAAAGAAAGAGAAAGAAAAAAGGCCGCCTTGGACCACCTGGGCCTCAAGTTGCCCAATGCAGGTGTCGGGGGAGGTGAAAAGATATCAAAACCGTAGGTCTGGAAAGAGAAGGATCTTGAATATGCAGGCTTCCTCCTATGAATCGTAGTATAAGTGAGCACTTGGACTGTCAAGAATATCTCAACCTGAATCTCCTACTTCTCAAACTCGACTGATCAAGTCTCGAAGAGCAGATAAGGGCCCTGCTCAAATCTTTGACGCTGCCTCGCTTGGCCAAATCTGAGAGATGCTCATTCATCTCTTTCTCTTCCCTCCCCCTCCATGCCTCGAAACCCAGCCTGCCAGTCAGGTTTGACTTAGACAGCTGTCATGCAGCGCAGTGACATAAAATGGTGAGACATGCCCCACACAACCTCCTGCGGACTTGAAAAACCAAAAATGCCGGCCGCAACACGACTAAAAAAAAGAAAAGAAGCTGTGCGCGTATGCTATTGATAGCTCGCATGCAAAAAAAAAAAAAAAAAAAAAAAAAAAAAAAAAGATTGGATTCCAACAACGACTAAAGTGTTGGCACAACTTGATAGGACCATTTTGCTCTCTGTGCTCCACGTCTGCCGTGTCAGGCTGCCTTTTTCGATATATGCCAGTGTGCCCAACTCTGGGCGAAGCGGCATGAAGAGCAAGCCTCCTGTAGGACTAGATCGACGTGCATGGAAGTGTGAAGGTGCGGGACATCCTGGAATCAGAACAGAGTGCCCGATAATGCTTTGTTTGCAGGCGATCCGGTAGAGCCAGGCCGTTTGTTGTGTGACGCAACAGACGCCACAACCAGCCTAGGCCCTCCACCAGAAGCAACCTTGCATAGGTGATGCAGCGAGAGGTGGTAATACGAGAAGCCGGGGGGAGGGGTTGACTTGAGCTCCATGCCGTGTACTTGTTTACAAGTTAGAGGTACTGAACAAAAGACGGCGAGATGAGTTCGTTCTCTCCCAGTTTGGTGACGTATGGGTTATCTGAAGCTGGAACGAACAAAACCAGTACTGAGGGAGTGAGTGAAGGTGGAAGAAAGGGGGAGGAGGAGGGGAAGGGAAGGAAGCAAGCCTGGTCATCCAAGTTCAGACAGGACAACCTAGAGCATGCTAACGCTGCCCAACCTCGGGGGAATGTTCAAACGTTCATTTCTTCTGCAAATGACAGAGAGAAGTATTAGGTAGGAACTATTGGTTGCTTTTGCGAGAAAAATCAAGGAAACAGGCTGGGAATGTGCATTACCAAGCCCGAAGAAATAAAGTTGAGGGAGACGGAGAAAAAGAGAAAAGAAAAAAAGCATCAAAGACAGCACAATGTCGCAGCAAGGCTGGCTAGTAGTCAAATACTATTGTGTGTAGAGCGGCAGACGAGTACCCGAGAGGGGCCACTGATGCAGGCACCAAAACGTAAACTGCTACCTCAACTTAGGCTGGGTGCGGGGCAAGACCACTATTACCAAAATACAATAGCGGGCGGTGGTGGGCCCCCCCCCCTTGTAACGATGGCCTGTGCGCAGAGTTGCTTTTGATTTCGATGCTGCAGCCGGCCGGGGCGGGCAGGCCTCTTGTGGCTCTACACTACATCCACCCCCATCCTCGGCGTCGCGATTTGCGCAGAGATCATCAGGTTTATCAAGGGCTCTCAAACCCCCCGGGACCTGGCTTCAACCTTTCATCAGTCCCCGTGTGCTGCCGTCGGCGACGGGCGATTGCGCCCTCTCCCACACAATACTGGCACTGTCTGCCCACAAATCCCGCCGCCATGTCGACGACAAATGGAGGTCACCCTGGTCTGTCGTTTGGAGGAGGCATGAACAATGGCATCCGTCAAGGTAGAGCCGCAGCTCAGGGTTACCCACCACAACCACCCACCAAGACGGTCAACACAGCCGTCCTCCCACAACACTCGGCGCCCTTCCAGCACTTCCCCTCCCATCAGGCCCAGTCCAGCACATTTTCGCAACTCTTCTCAGCACCATCCAACCCGTCGCCTGTCCACAATGCCGTCCAGAACGGCGGGAGCAGACCCCAACAAGCCCAGGCCCAGCTGCCTGTCCCGAGCTCGCGCTCGCGGGGCACCCCCCAGCATCGACAGATGACGCCTCAACCCAACGGCAATCCCCTCGGCTACATACCGACCACGATGCCCCAGCAGCACCTAGCTGCCCAGCCTATCAACCAGGCGCCCATGAATCAGCAGCCGATGGGGCAGCAGCCTCTCGGGCAGCCGGCCATGAATCAGCAGCAGGCCCTCAATCAGCAGGCGATCAGCCAGCAGGCTATCAACCACCAACAGGCCATGTCTCAGGACAGCTCTATCATGTCCCAGTCTCCTGCCTCGCATCCCCATCCGGCCGTGACACCTCAACCGCCGGCGCAAACACAACCCAAGACCCCTCAGCCCCCGCCACAGGCCCAGCAGCAGCCACTGCATGCAGATGCCTCCGCCCAGCTTTCCGAACATCAGACAGACGAGACTATGGAGATGGAGAGTCAGACCGAGGCTGGGGATGGTGAAGATGGTGGGGCCGATGGCAAGAATCCCGACAACGGAACCCCATACGTACCGCGGACTCCCATGGGCGCCATGATGTCGGCCCCTCCCGAGGGCGGCAGTTACCCGACACTCGATGCCGTACATAAGGCTGTTTTAGATTACTGTACCTCGGTCGGCTACGCGATTGTCATTGGGAGGTCGAAAAAGACAGTACCGGGGCTGAAGAAGGTGCTCTTTGTCTGCGATCGCGCGGGAAAGCCGCCAAGGCGCATCACGCCCGAGGTTCGCAAGCGGAAGACGACATCACGCAAGTGCGATTGCCAGTTTGGCTTCTTCGCCATCGAGCAGAGGACCCAGTGGACCGTGCGATACCGCCCAGACCCGGCTCACCTGCAGCACAACCACGGCCCCAGCGAGAGTCCTCTGCTCCACCCTGCAGCGCGCAAGCTTGATAGCAAGATGGTTGCCACCGTGAAGAACTTGAAAGAACAAGGTATGTACCAGTCCCCCAGGCTCATCATTTATGGAGAGGAGGACCACCAAGTCAATCAAGAGCTGACCTGGCCAAGGCATTGGTGTGAGCCAGACGCTGGAGATCCTCCAGTCCGAAAACCCTGCTGTCCCGCTGCTGCCCCGGGATATCTACAATGCGCGGGCAGCCATCAGCCGCAACCCTGCAAAGGTCACCGATGGGCTGGCCGAGGACCGACCCGCAATATACAGCAAACCCCGCCCGAGCGCGCAGGAGCGAATCATCACGGACCTTCGCAAAGAGATCGCCAAAGTGAATGAAGAGCTGGAACAGTTGAAGCAAGGCAATCAGAAAAAGATCGAAGAGCTGGAAGAGAAGGTACGCGACAAGGACAAGCAGATCAAGAAATACGAGATGTTTGTCGACATTTGCAACGAGCGCGTCATGTTTCAAAGGGAAAAGCTCAAGGGGCTCGACGACAACAGCAGCGCCGGCAACGGGTCGTAACACATAGTAGAACGAGGCTGCGCAAAATCTCCTCCTCTTCTTCTTTTACCAGTACTACTTCTTCTCCATCTTTTTGACGACGCTCACGGGTTTTACGCACGACGGGTTCTGGGAGGGGTTTGTAAACGGGTACATCGGCAGGACAACTCGGTGATGGTGGTGGTGGTGGTGGTGGCAGCGGTGTTCTTCTACCCGCGAAAGGGAAGTGAGGTTATGGCGTTATAGGTGTTTGCTCTATGTGTAAACCAAATAGCTTAGGAAGAGGAAGGCAGGGCTAAGTTTTGTGTTGGGATTGTTGTCTGTGGGATGGATTACCTACCTTGCCACATGCTTTAGAGACATGAAAAGAAAAGAAAAGAAAAGAAAAGAAGAGTCGAGATCTGGGTGAAACCGGGCAATCTTTGAACCATTTTCAAACAGCCAACCTAGAAAGCATTTGTAGTGTGTCTGATTTGTCGATCTAGGTTGATTAACTGAATACTCCTTAAGGAGAAGAAAAAAAGACGAAAGGGCAAAGGTGGTGTGATGCCCACAAATACAGTCCACTTGAGTTGTAGAAATCTAGAGGCAGTCAGTCTTCTAAGCAGAGTAATTTTTCCAAGGGGACAACGGCCATCATAAACAGCAAGGCATGTGAAGTTGAAGGGTTCGTTGACAGTGCATCGGTTTCAAGCTGCATATACCATGCGAGGACTCTGGACCAATCAATCAATCCCATCAACCGTTCAAGTGGGACAGCCACAAGTCGCGGGACAGGGGTGTGGCACCCTAGACCTGCTGCTGCAGGTGCGCGTTGGCTTGAGCTGTCTGTCTGCCGCACGCGGGGGGAAACGAGACATGACAGACTGGCTGAGAAAGTCAACAGTCCCCTGCTGATGCTACATTACTTGTGTATGGTATGCCTCCCAAGAATGACAAGGGTCCTCTCATTTCCGTACACTTTTCTCGACTATCAACAATTGTACACCAGCGACACTTGTTACACATCCTCTCGTTTCGTCTATTGAAATAAATCAACGCATTTACGGCATTTAGAGAGCACGGAGATACCCCCCTTTTCGAACTGTCTTGCTTGTTTTGGATTCCTTTTCGTGTGTTGCTATCTCTTGCGCGTCTCTCCGACCCAGCTCGCGACCTAGAACTACCACCCCTCCCCCCTTGACCGACTAATTTGGGGGAGAGACATGACGGCGATTTTTTGAAGAGCATCATCACCGCCAAAACCCCTTCCTGAATACGAGCACGCACGCCCACCATGGAGACGGCGGCGTCTCCCCACCTGCCGCCAACGCCTCTCAACGGCGATAGCAACGGTGTCAACGGCACGGCCCTCGTTGCTATGGACCCAGCCCGCGTCGTCGACCATCTGGCTCAGCTGCTCGAGGCCGCACTCGGTGCAACACGCGAGGAGCTCGAAGCCCCCGGCAGCCTGTTGTCCAAGGCTCGACACGCCGATACCCTCCAGCGATGTACTCGCTTCACCAGTGATGTCCAGGTGTCTCTGTACATACAGAAGGACCTCCCTGCGGCACCTCAGCTGGAGAATGGCGATGGAGAGCCAAGTATGTCGTTGCACACACACACACACACACACACACCGGACCATTGCCCATCTGGTCTACATGGCTTGGCTAATATAAAGTTCGAGCAGGACAAGTTCTACACACATACACTATCGCGTCGGATCTGTCTTCGACGCCGACGACCGTCGCCTTCCTGGTCCTCCTGAAGCGTCCGCAGCCTCTCGACCCATCCGTCCCCTTATCCTCCCAGTTGCAGGTTCTCAACCTGCCAGGCCCGGCGTACCTTGCCGCCACCGCCAGCGAGCAGGGTCCGTCGGCCTCGCCTTTCGAATACCTCCAACTCTTCCTCCACAATGGTCTGGCGCCATACTTCGACGCGAGTACCAAGAGCCAACAGATGATAGGGGGAAGCCGTGGCAGGGCTGATGTCGACGCCAAGACCGGTATACCTGTCACGAAGAAGAGATGGACCGAGCTGGAGCTGAGCCTGTCACACCTGCAGCAGAATGTCGAGATCCCAGAGGTTCTGCTGCCCTTCCATCCGATCGTCCAGACCGCCCTCGACGATGCCGCCGCCCGCCATACCAAGCCCTCCATCGATCTAATTCCTGCCGCCCTCCTCTCGGACAGTCAGTTCCTCAACAAACTGCAAGCAAACGTGAACAACTGGATTAAGTCCATCCAGGTCATTACCAAGATGAACCGCGACCCCGCGACCGGGACTGCCAACCAGGAGATCAACTTCTGGCTGTCCATGGAGGCGGCGTTGGGCGGCATCGAGGGGCAGCTTTCTAGTGACGGCGTGCGCCTGACGCTGGAGATTCTCAAGCACGCAAAGCGATTTCAGGCCACCGTCAGTTTTGGTGCAGATACGGGCCTCAAGGAGGCCATGGACACAGTCCAGAAGTATAACCAGCTCATGCGTGACTTCCCTCTGGACGAGCTCCTCTCAGCAACATCTCTGCCCAAGGTGCGAGATGCTATCGATCAGATCTTCACACACCTGAACAAGAAGCTGAGGATATGTCCCTATCCGATCCGGAGGGCGCTCCCCCTGGTGGAAGCTATATCCGCCGATCTAGATGAGGTCATGCATCGTCTGCTCCCCGGCACTGAGCTTGTTGACCTTGACTACCAGGAGTTCAGGAACGTCATGCGCATGACAGAGAGAGTCTTCAGAGCCTGGGATGATAACCGGAAATCCTTCACAGATGTTGCACGCGACGTCACGCGGAGGAGAAACGAAAAGTTTATCCCCATCAAGATCACCCCCAGGCATGCCGAGTTACAGTCCCGCCTGAAGTACGTCAGCAACTTCCGTGACAATCACGAGCAGCTGCAGAAGACGATTGTCGATGTTCTGGGGCCGAAAACTGTCGCCGAGGTAACAGACACCGCTGCAATCACCGGAGGTGTCGTTGTCGAAGAGATGGGTGATGTCGATGCAGTCGAGGAAGTCAAACAAGCCTGGGAGGCTCTCCGGAATGTGGACTTGCTCGATGTGTCTCCCGAAGGAACCCAGAAATGGGTCAAGGCCGAGGAGACCTACAACGAACGTACGTCACGCGTCGAAAACTCCATCATCGCTCGGCTACGAGATCGTTTGGCCACGGCCAGGAATGCCAACGAGATGTTTCGCGTCTTTTCGAAATTTAATGCCTTGTTTGTGCGGCCTAAGATCCGAGGTGCCATTGCCGAGTACCAGACCCAGCTCATCGACAATGTGAAACAGGCCATCAACTCGCTGCACGAGCGTTTCAAGCAGCAATATGGTCACTCTGAAGCGCATGCGATGGCACAGCTCCACGACCTCCCTCCTGTGTCTGGGGCGATCATATGGGCACGTCAGATAGAGCGGCAGCTTGACGGCTACATGAAGAAGGTGGAGGATGTCCTCGGAGCGAACTGGGCCATCCACACCGAAGGAGAGAAACTCAAGAACGAGGGTGATCTCTTCCGGAAGAAGTTGGACACTCGGCCCATCTACGACGCCTGGCTTCACGATGTGCAGAGAAAGCAGATTACAATCTCGGGGCTTCTTTTCACCGTGAACAGGATCCGGTCTGCTGGCAATATTCTGGAGCTGCAGGTGAACTTTGATGCCCAGGTCATCGCCCTGTTCAAGGAAGTTCGGAATCTGCTGTGGCTGAACTACGCCGTCCCCCACGCCATCAACACTGTATCCAAAGAGGCAAAGCGAGTCTATCCCTTTGCTGTCAGCCTCATGGAGAGCGTTCGAACCTTCGCACAGACCGACCGCCAGATCGCAGACATGCCGGATGTTTCTGTCCTACTTAGTGGGTACCGCAATGATGTCCAGTCGGCCATCCTCAAGGGCATACCACTACGATGGGAATCGTTCAATAATATGTACGAGCTGCATTTCAGGACGGATTCATCCAAGACGGAGAGCAAGCACGTCGCCTTCGTCAAGGAACTGGCATCAAAAGTATCGCTGCTTCAGACCAAGACGATGACGCTAGCAACAATCAACATTACCATCCAGAAGTCCCTCGCCGAGCTAGGCACCTGTCCCTACGAGGCCACGGCATTCGAGTCCAGACTGAGGACAATCCAGGAGGCCGTTGACCAGCTTAATCTGGAGCAGTACGTGAATCTGGGCTACTGGGTTGATGGCATGAACACCCAGATCAAGAATACGCTTCTTGTTCGCCTTCAACGCGCTATTCAAACCTGGATCGAGGCGTTCGAGGACGATTATTTTGAAGGCGAGGACAACCGCCGCAGAACCTTCACAGATGGTACAGCAGAGAGCAAAGCAGACAAGCCAACGATGAAGCGGTCGATACATGAGATTACGATGCGAAATCAAGTCATCTACCTGGATCCCCCTCTAGAGTACGCGCGAGCTACTTGGTTCCTGCAGCTCCAGGACTGGCTCGGTGTGATCTGCAATCTGCACAAGGTCAAGGCCACTCGGTATCAGATGAGCTTAAGCACTACAGCCTACGAAGAGCCTCGCTTTAATGACCTGCCTGCCGAGTGCACGGAAATGCTGACCCGCGTTCATGGCTCTGTCGAAAAGAAACTGTCGGAGGTTGGATCATATGTCGACAAGTGGCTTCAATTCCAATCTCTTTGGGACCTGCAGTCAGATCAAGTCTATGATCTTCTAGGTGATCAACTCTCTCGCTGGCTGCAGCTCTTGCAAGAGATTCGGAAGACACGTCAAACTTTCGATACCTCGGAGGTCAGCCGTTCTTTCGGCCATATTACGATCGATTATGACCAGGTACAAACCAAAGTCAACGCCAAGTATGATCAGTGGCAGCATGACATCCTTCTCAAGTTCGCAAGCCGCCTCGGTAATCGCATGCGGGACGTTCATGCTGAGCTTGAAAAGGCCCGGCGGGACCTGGAGGGCCAAAGCCTAGAAGCGTCATCCACTGCGCAGGCCGTGCAATTTATCACCATCGTCCAAAGCTGCAAGCGGCAGGTCAAGCTCTGGGCACCAGAGGTTGAGATCTTCCGCCAGGGCGAGTCGACTCTTGTGAGGCAGCGGTACCAGTTCCCCAACGACTGGCTCCATGCAGAACAAGTCGACGGCATGTGGGATGCACTTAATGAGCTTCTCGCACGCAAGTCCAAGGTTGTACAGGACCAAACAGATGCCCTGCGTGCCAAGATCATCGCCGAAGACAAGGTCGTGGCCGACAAGATCACAGAGGTCGCGTCACAGTGGAACGAAGAGAAGCCGGTGTCCGGTACCATACCTCCTGATGAGGCTAATGCCACCTTGACCTCGTTTGAGACCAGAATTACACAACTGCAAGAGGAGTTCGCCATGGTTGCGAAAGCCAAGGAAGCTCTTGACCTTCCAGCCTCTGGTGATTCGTCTCTCGGTGTCATCCTGGAGGAGGTTCAGGACTTCAAGTCTGTTTGGGCTTCCCTCTCGTTGATCTGGAAGAGTCTCAACGAGCTCCGGGAGATGCTCTGGACCAGCGTGCAACCAAGGAAGATCAGGTCCTCCATCGACAATCTCATCAAGATGACCAAGGAGATGCCCAGCAGAATGCGGCAGTATGCTGCTTTTGAGCACATTCAAAACATCCTTCGTCAATACCTCAAGGTCAATTCCCTGCTAGGTGATCTCAAGTCTGAAGCCGTGCGGGATCGGCATTGGACCAAGATCTGGAAGCAGATCAAGCCTGGAAAGCGGTACTCGCCCGTCTCCATGACCTTGGGCGATGTCTGGGATCTCAACCTAGTGGCGACCGAAGTCATCATCAAGGATATTATCACCCAGGCTCAGGGCGAGATGGCCCTGGAGGAATTCCTCAAGCAGGTCAAGGAGGATTGGACCAACTATCACCTCGACCTCGTCAACTACCAGAACAAGTGTCGCCTCATCCGCGGCTGGGACGAGCTCTTTGCAAAATGCAGCGAAAACCTCAATTCTCTGCAGGCCATGAGGCATTCGCCTTACTACAAGGAGTTTGAGGAGGAAGCTTCTACCTGGGAAGATAGGCTCAACCGCGTCCATGTGCTCTTTGACGTGTGGATTGACGTTCAGCGTCAATGGGTGTATCTCGAAGGTGTGTTCACCGGCAACGCAGACATCAAGCATCTACTGCCCATCGAATCCTCGCGCTTTCAAAACATCAACAGCGAATTCTCAGCAGTCATGAAGAAGGTCTACAAACAGCCGACCGTCCTGGATGTCCTCAACATCCCCAATGTGCAGAAGTCTCTGGAGCGCCTGGCCGAGCTTCTCAACAAGATTCAAAAGGCCCTCGGTGAATACCTCGAGAAAGAGCGTGTGTCATTCCCGCGGTTCTACTTCGTCGGTGACGAAGATCTTCTAGAAATGATTGGTAACAGCAACGATACCCTGCGTATTGCCAAGCACTTCAAAAAGATGTTTGCGGGTCTCTCTGGCCTGGTCATGGATGAGGAAGGTGTTATCTCCGGCTTCACGTCCAAGGAAGGCGAGGTTGTGCGATTGAAGAAGCAAATCTCGGTCATTCAGACCCCCAAGATCAACGACTGGCTTGCTCTTCTGGAGGGCGGCATGCGAGCGACGCTTGCCGAGCTGTTGGCCGAGGCTATAGAACAGTACACGCCGATCTTCTCCAGCGAAGAAATCGAGCAGGCTGCCCTGAACGAGTTCATGGAGGCATATCCAAGCCAGATCGTGGTCCTAGCTACTCAAGCAGTCTGGACGACAGCTGTTGACCAGGCCCTGGCCGATGGCGGAAAGGGTCTGCAGACACTGTTCGAGCGCGAGGTGCAGGTACTTCGACTGCTCGCCGAGACCGTGCTGGGCGACCTCGAGGTGCTTCTGAGGAAGAAGTGCGAACAGCTCATTACCGAGTGTGTCCACCAACGCGATACCATCGAGAAGTTGATGAACCTCAATGCGAACACCCCAACGCACTATATGTGGCTTCTGCAGATGCGCTACGTCTACAGTCCTCAGGGCGAGTACCTCGACCGTCTGCACATCAAGATGGCAAACGCCAGGCTCAACTACGGCTACGAATACCTGGGTGTTCCAGACAGGCTTGTCAGGACACCGCTGACGGACAGATGCTTCCTAACGCTTACTCAGGGTCTCTGTCAGCGCCTTGGAGGCTCGCCATACGGGCCTGCTGGTACCGGTAAGACAGAATCTGTCAAAGCGCTCGGTGTCGAACTTGGCAGGTTCACTTTGGTCTTCTGCTGCGACGATACTTTTGACTTCCAGGCCATGGGGCGCATCTTCCTTGGTATCTGCCAAGTTGGTGCATGGGGCTGTTTCGACGAGTTCAACCGGCTGGAAGAGCGGATTCTGTCCGCTGTGTCTCAGCAGATTCAGAACATCCAGCTTGGTCTCAAGCAGGGCGTCGAGGACGACAAGGCCCAAATTGAGCTTGTTGGTCGTCAGCTTCACGTCAACGAGAATACGGGCATCTTCATTACTATGAACCCTGGTTACGCTGGCCGGTCCAATCTGCCAGACAATCTCAAGAAGCTCTTCCGAAGCGTGGCCATGTCTAAGCCCGACAAGGAACTTATTGCCGAAGTCATGTTGTATTCTCAAGGGTTTAACCAAGCCAAGCAGCTCTCCAAACACACCGTGCCATTCTTCGACCAGTGTGCAGCTAAACTGTCGAAACAAGCGCATTACGACTTTGGTTTGCGTGCCTTGAAGAGCGTCCTGGTTAGTTCCGGCGGCCTGAAACGTGCTCGACTTGTCGAGAATGATGGCAAGCTTGGCGCTGAGGAAGTGGTCGAGCCTGAAATCATTGTGCAGAGCATCCGTGAAACTATCGCTCCAAAGCTGATCAAGTCTGACGTCGACATCATGACGGACATCGAGCAAGAATGCTTCCCCGACGTCAAATACGTGCCTGCGAACCTGCACAAGTTGGAAGAGGCTATACGTCGTCTGGCAGGCGAGAGACAGCTCGTGGTCACTGACCTCTGGATGACCAAGATCCTCCAGCTTTACCAGATCCAGAAGATCCACCATGGTGTCATGATGGTTGGAAATTCTGGAACGGGCAAATCGGCTGCTTGGAGACTTCTGCTCGATGCCCTCCACCAGGTTGAGGGAGTCGAGGGCGTGTCACATGTGATTGACTCCAAAGTCATGTCCAAAGAGGCGCTCTACGGCAACCTGGATTCGACTACCAGAGAGTGGACAGATGGTCTCTTTACAAGCATTCTGCGTAAGATTGTGGATAACCTCCGTGGCGAAGACTCAAAGCGGCACTGGATCGTTTTTGATGGCGACGTCGATCCTGAGTGGGTTGAGAACCTGAACAGTGTGCTCGACGACAACAAGCTGCTCACCTTGCCAAACGGTGAGCGTCTCAACCTGCCACCCAACGTTCGCATCATGTTCGAGGTGGAAAATCTCAAGTATGCCACGCTCGCTACCGTCAGTCGATGCGGCATGGTCTGGTTTAGCGAAGACACTGTCTCGCCTAGCATGATGGTGGCCAACTACCTCAACACCCTACGCACTGTCGCTTTCGAAGATCTGGACGAAGATGCGGTCGCCACCGGTCAGAGCTCCGCCAAGGCACTGGCCGTTCAATCCCAGGCAGCGGACCTGCTGCACGCCCACCTGGAGATTGATGGTTTCATCCTCGCTGCCCTCAAGGAAGCTGAGGGCTACAACCACATCATGGATTTCACGGTTGCCAGAGTGCTTAATACGCTCTTCTCTCTCCTCAACAAGGCAGTTCGTGATATTATCGAATACAACAACCAGCATGTGGACTTTCCCTTGGATTCGGAGCAAGTGGAAGGTTTCATCTCCAAGAAACTACTACTGGCTCTGGTCTGGGCATTGACTGGTGATTGCCCATTGGCGGATCGAAAGACATTTGGCGATAGAGTATGTGGGCTGGCTGACTTTGGGTCGCCACCGCTGGACGGCACCAGCGCTCTCATCGACTTCGACGTCTCGCTACCACAAGCAGAGTGGACTCCCTGGCAGAACCAGGTACCGACAATCGAGGTCAACACCCACTCAATCACACAAACAGATGTTGTCATCCCGACGCTCGACACGGTTCGTCACGAAGATGTCCTATACTCTTGGTTGGCTGAGCACAAGCCTCTCCTACTCTGCGGTCCTCCTGGCTCTGGTAAGACGATGACGCTGTTCAGCGCTCTTCGAAAGCTCCCGAACATGGAGGTCGTGGGTCTCAACTTCTCGAGTGCCACTACACCTGACCTCCTCATCAAGACGTTCGAGCAGTACTGTGAATACAAAAAGACACTAAATGGAGTCATGTTGTCACCTACTCAGATTGGAAGGTGGCTCGTCATTTTCTGTGATGAGATCAACTTGCCCGCCCCAGACAAGTATGGCACACAGAGAGCTATTTCCTTCCTGCGTCAACTTGTCGAGCACAACGGATTCTGGAGGACCTCCGACAAGGCCTGGGTTACGCTCGACAGAATCCAATTCGTTGGTGCTTGCAACCCTCCAACAGACGCCGGCCGTACGCCGATGGGCGACCGTTTCCTCAGGCACGCACCTCTCATCATGGTCGACTATCCTGGCGAGCAGTCTCTTCTTCAGATTTACGGCACATTCAACTCTGCAATCCTCAAAATCATTCCTTCACTTCGTGGATATGCAGAGCCGCTCACCCAGTCGATGGTGCGGTTCTATCTCGAATCTCAGCAGCGGTTCACGCCCAAGATTCAGCCACACTATGTCTACAGTCCTCGTGAATTGACCCGGTGGGTCCGCGGCGTATACGAGGCCATCCGGCCCCTGGAGACTCTCTCCGTCGAGGGCTTGATCAGAATCTGGGCGCACGAGGCTTTGCGTCTGTTCCAGGATCGTCTCGTCGAAGACGACGAGCGAAAGTGGACGGACGATGCTGTTCGCCGAATCGCCTTGGACTTCTTCCCCACCATCGATGACCAGCAGGCTCTTGGCGGGCCCATCCTATTCTCTAACTGGCTGTCCAAGAACTACGTACCGGTCGACCGCGAGCAACTTCGTGATTTCGTCAAAGCTCGACTCAGAACGTTCTGCGAGGAAGAGGTCGACGTGCCGCTCATATTATTTAATGATGTCCTGGAACACGTCCTTCGTATCGATCGTGTCTTTAGGCAACCCCAGGGGCATCTCATCTTGATTGGTGTCAGCGGATCGGGAAAGACTACCCTGTCCCGCTTCGTTGCTTGGATGAACGGCTTGAAGGTCTACCAGATCAAGGTGCACGGCAAATACTCAGCAGAGGACTTTGACGAGGATCTCCGAGAAGTCTTACGACGCTGCGGCTGCAAGGGTGAAAAGATGTGCTTCATTATGGACGAGTCAAACGTCCTGGACTCGGGCTTCCTCGAGAGGATGAACACGCTGCTCGCCAATGCGGAGGTTCCTGGTTTGTTCGAAGGCGATGAGTTTGCAGCGCTTATGACGGCTTGCAAGGAAGGGGCCCAACGTCAAGGCCTGCTTCTCGACTCTCAAGAGGAGCTCTACAAGTGGTTCACATCGCAGATTGTCAAGAACCTACACGTTGTGTTCACCATGAACCCACCAGAGGATGGTCTTTCATCCAAGGCAGCTACCAGTCCGGCGTTGTTCAACCGTTGCGTGCTTAATTGGTTCGGCGACTGGTCTGATCAAGCCCTGTTCCAAGTTGCTCACGAGCTCACGCACTCGGTGGATCTAGACCGCTCCAACTTCCAGGCGCCCGACACGATCCCTGTTGCGTATCGTGCCCTCACCCTGCCTCCTTCGCACAGAGAGACAGTTGTCAATTCGATGGTGTACATCCACTACTCTTTGGCACGCTTCAATGAAAAGCTGCGGAGGCAACAGGGCAAGGTCACGTTCCTCACCCCACGTCACTTCCTCGATTTTGTGGCGCAATACGTCAAATTGTACAATGAGAAGCGTGAAGATCTCGAAGAACAACAGCGCCATCTCAATGTTGGTCTTGAGAAGCTGCGAGACACCGTGGACAAGGTCCGCGACCTACGAGAGAGCCTTGCAGAGAAGAAGGCGCAGCTAGAGCAAAAGGATATCGAGGCGAACGAGAAGCTGCAGCGTATGGTTGCTGACCAGCGAGAAGCTGAGCAGCGGAAGAGCACGTCCCTGGAAATTCAAGTCGCGCTGGAGAAGCAAGAGGCTGAGGTTGCGTCGAGAAAGAAGGTCGTTTTGGAGGACCTGGCAAAGGCTGAGCCCGCTGTTGAATCAGCCAAGGCCAGTGTCAGCAACATCAAGAGGCAACATCTCACGGAAGTCCGATCCATGAACACGCCGCCTTCAGGTGTCAGGCTCGCCCTCGACTCTGTCTGCACTCTTATCGGTCACAAGGTCAATGATTGGAAAGCTATCCAGGCCGTGGTGCGACGAGACGATTTCATTGCTAGTATCATCAATTTCGACAACGAGAGGCAGATGACAAAGGCGCTGCGCATCAAGATGCGGAATGAGTTCTTGTCCAACCCCGAATTCACTTTCGAAAAGGTCAACCGTGCCAGCAAGGCTTGTGGTCCTCTGGTCCAGTGGGTGGAGGCCCAAGTCAACTTCGCCGAGATTCTGGATCGGGTTGGTCCACTGAGGGCGGAGGTCGACCAGCTAGAGGAGCAGGCTCTGCAGACGAAAGCCGAGGCCAAAGCTATCGAGAACAACATTGCCCATCTCGAGCAGAGCATTGCAACGTACAAGACCGAATACGCTGCGCTCATCAGCGAGACGCAGGCCATCAAATCCGAGATGCAGAGGGTGCAGTTCAAGGTCGATCGATCCGTGAAGCTGCTTGACAGCCTCTCATCCGAACGCGTTCGCTGGGAAGAGGGCAGTAAATCCTTTGAGACGCAGATCAGCACGTTGGTGGGAGACGTGCTCGTCGCGGCAGCGTTCCTCGCTTACAGTGGTCTCTATGATCAGACTTTCCGCAAGTCCATGCTAGAGGATTGGCTCCACCAGCTGCACCTGTCTGGCATTCAGTTCAAGCCACACAATCCCTTCACCGAGTATATGTCGACCGCAGACGAACGCCTCAAGTGGCAGGAGAACAGCCTGCCAGTTGATGATCTCTGCACTGAGAATGCCATCATCCTGCAGCGGTTCAACCGATACCCGTTGATCATCGATCCGTCCGGCCGCGTCAACGAGTTCTTACAAAAGGAGTGCAAGGACCGCCGTTTGACTGTCACTAGCTTCCTGGACGATTCGTTCACCAAACAGCTTGAGAGCTCACTCCGTTTCGGCAATCCCATCCTCATCCAAGATGCAGAGTACCTCGATCCCATCCTGAACCATGTACTGAACAAAGAGTACCAGAAGACGGGTGGTCGTGTCCTCATCCAACTCGGAAAGCAGCAGATCGATTTCTCGCCGTCTTTCAAGATCTATCTATCCACGAGAGACCCTTCTGCAACCTTCGCGCCCGATATCTGCAGTCGCACGACCTTCGTGAACTTTACAGTCACTCAGAGCAGTCTCCAGACGCAGTCTCTGAACGATGCACTCAAGTCAGAACGGCCAGATGTTGACGAGAGACGATCGAACCTTATCAAGCTTCAGGGCGAGTTCAAGGTGCATCTGCGCCAGCTTGAGAAACGCTTGCTTCAGGCTCTCAACGAGTCACGTGGTAATATTCTAGATGACGACAATGTCATCGAAACCCTGGAAACGCTGAAGACCGAGGCGGCTGAGATTTCGGCCAAGATGAGCAACACCGAAGGTGTCATGGCTGAGGTTGAGCAAATCACCCTGGAGTACGATGTCATCGCCAAGTCTTGTAGTGCAGTCTTCACAGTTCTCGAGCAGCTGCACTACCTGAACCACTTTTACCAGTTCTCGCTGCAGTACTTCCTCGACATCTTCCACCGCGTCCTACACAACAACCCGAACTTGTCTAAGGAGACCAACCACAAAGTCCGTCGCGACATCATCGTCAAAGACCTTTTCATCACCACCTTCAAGAGGACTGCCCTTGGACTGCTTCAGAAGGACCGCATTACTCTCGCCATGTTGCTTGCCCAAGCGTCGCCGTATAAGATGGACAAGGACTTGATCGACATCATTCTTGACGAGAAGGTGCCAGGCATGGATGTATCGACCGAGGTGGATGCCAAGGATGATGCATTCATCAGCGCCAGGAAGTTGCCTGCGCTGAAGGACAAGATTGACCAGGTGCCTCAAGATGAGTGGGATCGTTTCTTCTCCGAGGAGCTTGCTGAAAACTGCGTGCCCAAGATCTGGAACGACGAGACTGAGCCGATTGACCAGGCTCTGTCGTCCCTGCTTCTTATCAAACTCTTCCGCCTTGACCGCTTTGTCCCCGCCGCTGAGCGCTTCGTGGGTCTTGTCTTCGGCAGTGATTTGTTCGATATTGTCGAGGACCTCAAGGCTACGGTCACGGAAGTATCTGCAACCAGGCCAGTCGCTCTGGTCTCGAGCCCAGGCTTCGACGCCAGCTACAAGGTCGACAGCCTTGTCGAGAGGATGCGCGTCCGGTGCACCAACATTGCCATGGGATCCAACGAGGGTCTTGCCAGTGCAGACAAGGCCGTCAGCCACGCTGCCCAAGTTGGCTCCTGGGTACTTGTCAAGAACGTCCACCTTGCACCAACTTGGCTTCAAAGTCTGGAGAAGCGCATGGAGTCGCTCAACCCCAACCCAGAGTTCAGGCTGTTCCTCTCCATGGAGTCGAGCCCGAAGATCCCTGTCAATTTACTTCGCGCCTCTCGCGTGCTCATGTACGAGCAGCCTGCTGGTGTGAGGGCCAACATGAAGGACTCTATGTCTTCGCTCTCTACCAGGCCTGCCAAGAGCCCTGTAGAGAGGCAGAGGCTGTACCTTTTGCTATCTTTCTTGCACGCTGTGGTTCAGGAGCGTCTGCGATACGCACCAAACCTTGGATGGAAGGGCTTCTGGGAATTTAACGATAGTGATGTAAGTTCTGTTGTTGCCTCCAAGTACAGACTCTTCAGGCTCTACATACGCTAACTTTGAGACACAGTATGAATGCTCCGCGTTTGTCATCGATACGTGGGTGGAAACCGTTGCTCAGAATAGGACCAACATCGCGCCGCAGAACATCCCCTGGGATATGATCCGCTACCTCGTCACAGAGACTTACGGTGGCAAGATCGACGATGAGGGCGACTTCAAGCTTCTCAACCAACTTGTCCACTCATTCCTGACCCCTGCCGCCTACGACATTGGCCACAAACTTGTCGAGGGCGGTGACAAGGAGGGTAGTCTCGAGGTGCCCTCGGGCACATCCATGCAGGACTTTATGAGCTGGGTCCAGAAGCTCCCTGAGCGTGAGCCGCCTACTTACCTGGGCCTGCCTGCCAATGCCGAAAAGCTGCTGCTTGTCGGACTCGGCAAGAGTATGATCCAGAACTTGAGGAAGGTCTCGGACCTGTTGGATGAGAGCGAGCAGGTGATGACGGAGGCCGCGCAGGCTGCTTAGATGGACCAACTTGAAATGGAGTGGGTTGAAACTGGCCGCATGGGGATAAATTACGGAAGTAGGCAGAGAAGAGCGGCGTCTTTCTTATGTTTAACTGATTTTTCGGGTTCTCTAGACTGTGGTGGCGTATGGACAACAACAGGATGGAGGGGCCTCATTTCAATGTGGTTTTGTGTTTAGTGCAGATACCCTTCAGTCACCATGGCAGGTCAATAACCTTTTTCCTTTTGTCACATATCTTCTTCCTTCTTTCTAGACTTGTAGAGCAATGCACTGGAGATGTACCTTCAAATCAGCCAGTTCGTCTTTGTCAAACTATGAAGTCTTGACAGTCATCATCATCATCATCATCACCTCGATGTCTGCGTGCCCCGGGCATAAACACCGGGTGGAACGGGTTCGGCGGTGGAATACGGAATGCCTACTGTCTCGTATCCTCGTTGGCCATGAAAAACGACGCAGACCCTTTCACAAGATGTTTTTCACGTTCGTACCATATTATGCCATGTAATTCATCACTATGTTTATGAATTGTATACATATTAGAATCCAAGCCCAAGTATTTATCCAATCCCTGAATCCGTAACCCTCCTCTCTGTGTATATGTATGTATACACGGGGCGCCTTTGTGACCTTCAGCACCGTTATCTGAAGATCTTTCTTTATACACGCGCCTTCCTGTCCCGTAGTGGATCTTGACAGTCATCAAAATCATCCTCGTCCCTTTCTCTTCCCCCATCTTTCACCTTCACATTTCCTTGGTTGATTGAGACATTAAACAAACCCTTGAAGTTTTTTTTTTTTCAGTCGACCCTCTTACTGAGCCGCCGCCTTGATGATATCCGCAGCCCTCTCAGCAATCGCATACACCGGCGCCTGCAAGTGCGCCCCCACCAGCACGGGCATGATACCGGCGTTCACAACCCGCAGGTTCGTGGTGCCGTAGACGACCAGCTCGGAGTCGACGACGCCGCCCAGCTCAAGAGGCAACATGGCTGTCGTTCCCGAGGGGTGAAACTCGGTGGCGATGTTCTGCTTCACGAGGGCGAGCAGCTGTGCGTTGATGTCGCTGGTGGTGGCGGTGGTTGGGCAAAAGTACGGCGACTGGACGGCGGGCTGGAGCTCGGCGACGGGGGCGGTGTTGATGAGCTCGCAGTTGAAGAGGAGGGCGCGCGCCATGGCGAGGCAATCCAGAGGTTCGGAGCAGTAGCGCGGGTCGACGAGGGGCATGTCGAAGATGCTGGCGGACGAAGGGCGCACGGTGCCGCGGGACAGCGGGCGCTGCATGGCAGTGGAGATGGTTCCGATGGAGTCGGCGAGGATCTCGACGGCGCCCTCTGCCGGGTCGCGGAGGAGCGGGAGCTGCTGCTGGAGCTGGGCGAGGTAGCCCTGGCGGACGGTCGCCGCCGTGCCTGCGGGCAGCGTCGTGTCGACGTCACTCTGGCTCGCGTTTTGGAGCAATTCCGCCCAGTCGTCGGCGATCAGCTCCATGGAGGGGAAGGCAATCGTGCTGATCATTGGTGCCGTCAAGGGTCCCGTGCGGTTGGCGTAGTACTCCTCTGTCGCCGCATTCAGGGCGTCGGCGTTGGAGGTGACCTTGTCTGCCGTGAGCAAGGAGCTGTTCTCAACTGTAGGCCTCTCAAGCGTCAGCATATCATAAATATAGTGCGCATTATGAGAGATTTGGGGGCACAGGTGCCACTACAACTACCACTTACACAAGTACCTGGGGTGGTTCATCCCGTGGTCCTGCAGGTTCGCTCCGACGCCTGGAAGATCAATCACAACAGGGACGCCCAGGGACTCAAGAACGTCGCTGGGGCCGATGCCTGAGATCTGCAAGAGTGTCGGCGAGAAGATGGCTCCCGCTGCCAGGATCACCTCGTTCGTACAAGTGACATTGACCGTAGCGTTTTGGGCTGATTGAGCAAACTGTTGAAAGGGTGCAGCCAGCCAGTCAGCTATAATCATCTTTGGGCCGACGTCGAGACAAGTGTTCAACGCACCTCCACTCCGACAGCTCTCTGCGATGTACCGTCTGCGTCTTGCTCCAAAAGAAGCCTGGTAACCATCTGCTCCGTCGCGATGTGCAGGTTCGCACGGTTAATCACCGGATCGAGGTAGGCCACTCGAGCGTCACAGCGGGACTGGTTGGAAGCAGACATGCTCGAGGGGTTGATAAAAGCGCCACCTCCGGTACCGTTGTTCGGGTCCGCAAGGGCAGGCACTCCCAGCTGCTCGAAGCCCTGCAAGATGTTGGCTAAATAATGGTTTTTGTCAGTCAACTACTGTCACTCGCATACAGTTGAACAAGAACCCTCTTTCACGTTAGCCATACCAGATTGCGGATAGAGAAAGTGAGGGTAGGCAATCTGCACAGGACCCGTCTCGCCGTGAATATCCGACTGGGACTCTATGCCAAATTCTTGGGTGGTCGCGTCATCAACGTCCATAACGAAAGTCTCGCTCTGTTCCCGTAAAGATGTGTCAGTGAGCGAGCTCTTCTTCTTGACCACCGCATATTGTTTTTGTTCTCTCTGACCTTCTCAAAGTACGGCAGTAGATCCATCCATCCCCAGCCATAAGTAGGAGTGTCGAATCCGTTGTTGTTCAGGTTGTCCCATGCATCGTAATCCTGCGCAGACCCGCGGGTCCAGACCATCCCGTTCAGAACGGTCCCACCACCAACCACTTTTCCTTGATTAAAGACAACAGCCTGGCCATCGAGGTACTCCTGTCCCACGGTTCTGAGATTCCAGTCGTAGTTCGTGTTGAGATCTGCGCCAACTTCAGAAGGCACCATGACGGTGTAGCCCTCAGTGTCCCTGTCATCTCATTAGGGGTGTGGTCTTCTCCAGGGGAAGTGCAAATAATCAAGTATTGACTATACTTACAAAGTACCGGCCTCAAGCAACAAAACCGTAACTGCAGAAAAGGTCAACACCCAACTTGGAATTTCCTTGAAAGAGGATTTCTTTTGAGAGTTGAATTGTTAAAGAATCAAGGACTAACCATCAGCGTCCTCGGTTAGTCTGTTGGCGACAACAAGCCCAGAGGGTCCACCACCAACAATAATGTAGTCATATTCATTTTGGAGAGAAGCAGTTAATGCACTAGGCGGAAGGTATAAGCAATTTGACAGTGGGAGTATATAAGCCAAGATCGCGGCGCCTGAAATGGGTAGACTAAGATGCCACATCTTGCAGGTTCAATACCGAAGGGGCAAAGTGAAATAAAGACTTGAAAAAATAGTTGAAACAAGAAGTGATAAAAAAAAAAAAAAAGAAAAAGAAAAAGAGACCAGAAAAACACAGAAATATGAGCGAGTGTATGATTTCCCCCTATTATCTGGGCGGTGTAGAACAAAAAAGTTGTAGTAAACGAAAGACACGGTCCAATAGACCAAAAAATGAACGTACTTGGGTGAACGAGCAGACAAACAAGACATTCGCACGGGTATCCCCAAAAAAGCGAGTGGCTGGATTTAAATACTTTAGGCAACAAACAGGAAAGGAAAGAAAGAAAAAAATGGCTCAGGAATATTCACAGCAAGAACCGAAAACTTCTTGTTAGTAACCTGGAAGTGGTCCTGCATGATGTATGTGCCAGCAGCCTTGTGGATCTTGGATGGACAACTCACACCAATGGCACAAGCCCATTGGCCGGCCTAGCGCGCCAGCGCAGACGATCGCCATCTCTCAGGGGAAGCCCGTTGTGTTGTCAGCCGCCTTCTGTATCTCCCGAGTCATCAACGATCTGCTTCACTCTATATCCGGAAAGGAAAAGTCCACATGTGGTAGCGCTCGTCTCTTCCAAGTGCTGATGATCAACCTTGCCGGGGACCCGAATAAAATGAAAAAGCAAAACACGCTTTAAATGTTAATTTCGGGCCCAATTAGGCATATATTGCATTGCGCTGTGCTTGCTCCTCGTATTCACACAAGGCCACACTGCTTCTGCGGGGACGAGTCAGCTGCCCTCTGCATTCATGTTGTGTAACGTTTGATAATTCTCTGGAGGCCAATACGAGGCGGACGGCACGAATGCAACGACGGCAGCTGCAGATGGCTGCCAGTGTTCGGAAATTTCCAAGGCTATCTCAGGGCCGTTGGGCTTGCGCTGTGCATATGAAGTATGCTGACCTTTCGTTTCAGACCGGATCATCTCCGAAAATGATGTAAAAGCTCGCGCGGGTGGGCTCATATCTCAATCAGCTCCATTCCACCCCAGAGTAGATCACTTTTCGCGTATATGCTGGCACCGGCTGCTGCCGCCGACGACAGACCGACAGAGTAATCGTGGGACCTCATCCCAGCCAACTCCGGTTGCTCGAAGATGCAACCTCGAAGCCAAGCGTCGGCGGTACGGCGAAGCGGGCATATGCGCTCATGTCTCAGTTCCAAGTCGCGAGGCAAACGGCCGTAGCGTAATCGCCATCATGACTGATGCTGATAAGCGCTTCCTGATCCTCCAGCTCGCCTCTTATGATGGCAATTGGGGCGCTTTGCCTGTCTGGGTGCACCGAGGTTTGGTTCCTGATGGTGATATCATGCCAGGTGAGCGCCTTGTGCGGATGAGCCTTGATAACGGCCTCCTTGGCGGCGAATCTGTGTGGGGTGGGAGGGGGGGTCATTGAAAGTTCAACCATCGTAACAGGAGTAGAGCAATAGGCGGGATTTAGTTGAGAGATCAATGCTTTTTCTCCCCACCCAAATGCAGAGGGAAGGGTCAAGAAGAAAACATCCCATACCTGCCTGCCATAAAGGTAGCAGCGAGCTGAAGGTCGTGAACGCTGGGGCCAATGGAGCATGCAACGTCTGCCGCTTGGTCTGCCGCGCGCTTGTGCGGGCTCGACTCTTGGCGCGAGATCAAAGGAGCGGTGTCATGGGCTGGAGGCGGCGGTACGGTCTGCTTCCTCAGGAGTGGCTGGACCTTATGATGGCGTCTTTCATCTTGATTCAGGATCCTCTCGATGAACCGTGTGGCCCTTGTTGAGTTCAGGATCTGCCGAATTCTCACAACATGACAAAGATCGGTCCCGATGTTCAAGTTCAACGGGAACCTTCTCAGGACCCTCGACGTTGCCATTCCTCACAGAATTTGCTGTGGTCAAGGATGGTGGTCGTCATTGTAAAAGCTTTGGGGTAGGAACAGTGAGTGCAGCGGCAGAAGGGATCACTGTAAGTCTGCTTATGTAAGCATATCACGGTGCATTGTCCACCGCCTAAAGAGAAGTCCAGATATATCCGTTGCAGGCTCACAAACTAGATATTGTAACAACATCATAGAAAAGCAATCTTCAGTTTCAATTTTTGGCTCAAGATAACATCAGTAAGCTATTAAAGAGAAAATAAAAAAGAGGAGGAAAAACCTTTTTCTGACACGCATTTTACACCACCTATTCTCCTAACCGCCGCCCCCGTCCACGATTCCGAATGAGATATGTTTTAAGCCCAGCCTTGGGCTCCCTCCCCGCCCCCCCCCCCAATCCTTTTAAGAGCACACGTGTTTAAGGCTGCCATCACCTGAGTGCTGGCGTCCACATAAACATTCTTGAAGTTTCAGACTCTCTCTACCAGCTCCCTCTCGTGTCCAAGCCTTGTTCTTCCCCAGATCCCCGTCCCCATGCTGCTGACCCCAACACTGCTTGCTTGCTGCTGCTCAACACCGGCCAGATCATACACGAGACAGATCTGACCAATAGCTTCTCCTAGGCCTATCCATAACTCAGCTTAGTTGTCCGCCAGCAACGGAGCACGCTCGGCATCGGCAGCATCCTGGTTCTTCTTGCCCCAGCCCAGCTCACGGCCCGTCCAGGCAGAGATGGCCACGACAGAGGACAAGACGAAAAGGATGGCCAGGATGACAAAGGCAAAGATCCACTGAAGCGCAATGATCTGTCGCTGGAACTGGGCGGCTCCCAGAGAGGCGGCAAGGACGCTGAGCCAGAAGCCCATCGTGTAATCCTTGTAGGCGACGATGAAGAAGAGGCCGTAGGCAAGGATGGACCAGACGAAGATGTTGGCAAAGATCCTTGCTACCAGGCTGTCCTCATGGGGCACCATGATGGCTCCGTTCCAATAAATGGCAACGAAGGTCCACGCTGTGGGGCCCGAGACCACGGGGACGTGGATGAAGCGCGGATACGCATGGTGACGGAAGGCGAGTGACGAGAGATTGAAGAAGTTGACAATGAGGATGATCTCGGCCCAAACGAAATGGCCCCGCACGAAGAGCATGACGAAGGCGAAGTGAAGGAGGTTGTTCAGGATGAAGTGGGAACCGCAGGCGCAGGCGGCGTTGACCTTCTCGATGTCGCTCGAGAAGAGGTGGAGGATGTACCCGAGCTGCAATATGAAGAGCACAATAAAGTAGGCATCTACGAGCGGGAAGTTAAGGCTGAAGCCAGACGGGTGCAGGAAATTCTGGCCTGGAATGGTCCGGCCGTGCTTCAGTTCGTCGGCAGGCGAGGCGACTGTGTAGTAGACAGATATAACGACAGAGAGGAGCCATGTGAGCAATGTCAACACCTTGTAGGTGATGACAGCTGAAGGGCTATGGGATTCCCTCTTGGAGAATGGGTTTACTATAAGGTGGTCAAGTTAGTCGGGCTATATTTGGGCCTGGACATCATCCATAGGGGAAAGGAAGGCAGGACAACATACTCCGGTTGATGTGGTCCATCTTGATTGATAGCGACGAAGACTTGGATGAAAAGAAGGCTTGGGTGATTGAAGTATCAAGAAATGTGTGTAATGGGTGTGAAGGGGAGCAGAAAGAACAAAGTCGTATGTGATGGAAAGAGTAAAGGGTCAATATGGGTGTGGGTGGGTTATAGAATGTCGCAGAATATCTGCGGGGAAGCCTGTCAAGTTCCCACCAGTGGAATGGGAGACGGTTTGGTCTGACTGAGGGAAAAATCAAGGGGGGAAAAGAGTGAGAGAAAAAGACAAACAGAAAAGTCGCGGAAGCAGCGGATTTTTAAAAGGGAGGCGACGGGAGGCCACGACGAGACGACGCGTCGTGGCCTGCCAGCCTGCCCGCTCTTTACCAGTGGCACCTGCTACATAGTGCCAGTACTAGCTACTTTCAGTACTTGATGTAGCTAGCTTGTAAGGAGCTATTTGTCCTCCAGTACTTGGTCCGTCTACTTAGAGGTAGGCATTTGCCGTGTGTCCTATCCTGGTCGTATGTTTCCTACCATAACTGGCAGCACAACACCCGCATATGCGGCAAGAGATCCTTGTCTCTGTGCCCATCTTCTGTAGCAAAACCAGCAAAACGAGGGTAGAAATGATAGAGAATGGGGAGGCAGATTGACCTATCATGTGGCTGGCTGCCCAAGTGGCCTGAGAAAAGAAGTCAGGATGGGAGAAAAGAGGAGGCGGTCTCTTGTCACAACAAATCACGCCAACGTATCGTGCTGAATTTGGTACAGAGCCTGCGTCACTTCTCCAGGAGACCTTCGCCGTACATGGCGAAATTGTCTGGCAGCACTGTCATCAAATTATACGAGTTGAGCTCGGACTTTGATCGTCGTCGTACTGCAGGACGGTTTGATGCCCTTTTGCCCCTTGGAGGGCAATACCGGTGGTATGTGTACAGTATTGCGAGCCTCCCCCCCCCCTCCCCAAGGTTGGCGGCACTGCGTAGCACACCTACTCTACTTGCTGCAGCAGCAGGCATCAAGGTTCTGAGCAGGGGTTGTCGAGGAAGCTTGGGTGGACGAGTGACGTAGCGTTTTGGTGGGTTTAGGTGGGTCCCCTGGCCTTCTACAGCAGTACAGCTCCACACGTTCCCCCGCCATTGTGGCTTAAGAGGCCCCACCACACCACAGGCCCAACGGTCTAACCAGCAGTGTGCTATACAGTAGTACTATGGTGCAGTAAGTACATAACTCTGCTCAACCAAAGAATAAACGAAACCCTCAAAAGTCTGTTGTTGTTTCTTGCTGACCCTGTGATTAATCGATTGGGCATTTCGATAAGTACGGCTACAACTACTACTTCTAAGGGCACCGTAGAACAGTTGGAGTTCAATCGACTATCCGTCTTTGCTGATGCAAAGGTGGGCGGGCACTCAAACTGCACGAGCATCCAGGTTAGCACGTGGGTTAGGTCCTGTCTCAAGCATCTCGATCAGCAGCAAGCAAGCCTCACTGGAGAATCCGCTCCTGAAACCTGCCACCCGCTCCTGCAGGTAGGTCAGCTGGACCGTAACCCCATCTTGTACAGGCCTAGCTGATCTTTTGGAACTGCGAGCCAATCACCACACAGCGCCCCTCCACACATCTCACCACCCGTGCTGTGCTAGGCTGATTGCGATGACTTCTCTTGTCCCAAGGCGTTATTTCTCGCCACGGCCATATTTGCACGACCACCAAAAATTATTGCAGTTTGTATTTGGTATTTGCCCCCGATTTCTCTCTCTTCCTCTTTCGATTCCTCTTTGACCTATTTCCCCCCGCCTTTTGACTGCAAATCACAGGGGAGAGGAAAGGCTAGTCCAGGGTACCGGAACTCTTCCGGGGGTTCCCCCCAGGCTTATACACTCCTCAACTAGGCAGCGAGAGCGAGTGGCACTGCCTTTTCTTTTCTTCTTGATTTATGTATCTATGTATATACAGTACATCTCTTGGCGTCTACTTCCCGCTAAGATGAGAGCGGCTTGAACACCGCAGTGGCGTGCGTGAGGTCGTCACATCTACCCCGCAAAATTGCACGACCTTGCGAAGGATCTTCCTGTACTCACAGTCCTATTCATCGTCACAAGCCAGCCAGCCTTGAACCTCCTGAGGACACGACCCTCCCTCCTGAGTGGCTGTGTAAGTACATACCATGAGACCTTGGGGGCCCACTCCCCAAAGAGTCTACCAGTAATCAAGCGAGCAAAGCCGGGTTGAAAGCGAAGGATTTGATCAAGCTCGGAGTCTCACAATGTCCGACTGTTAAAGTTGACTTGGGCGATGACAACCTGAATGAACACGGGAACACTATTCGATGTGACAATCACCTGAGAGGTAGGACACATACTAAGTGATACTGCAACCTTGACGCTCCTGGGAGCTTGATGGGACATGGTACACCATATGAGAAGGGCCGTGATGCAAGCACATATATATACATATATATTATATACACACATCCATGTATCCCTTCACATCGTAAGTTGACCGGTGAAAGCCCTACTACCAAAGGGCAACAGCCCAAGAAACTTTCTCTTTTCCTTGCACTCTCTTCATCCTCTCTTTTCTTATTCTCCCTAGTCAACAACATGCTTGTTGTCAGCCCACGACGGCTGTATGTTCCGACATACATCTTCATAATCTCTGATCCGCTGATCCTGCAGGACCACATTCGGCGTTGTCCAAAACATGGACCAATTTGAACCCGGCAGCTTCATAGTCCCCCTCGAGCGCTCAAAATACCACTTATTCACAGGATTGTTCTTCCTGCTCCGCCAGCAGACACCCTCGGGAAAGCAGTCCCGCACCATGGCATTGAAGACAATGTCTGCTACGCCCCCAGCGCCCTGGCTCTTCTTGAGAACGGCGAATTTGTCGAGATACGGTACCAGGCGCCCGCTCTCGTAGAGTGTCTGCTCGTCCATGCCGAAGGGGCGCTCCCACGTCAAGATGGCTCCGCCTTCGTACTCGCCTGCGATGATGATCCCCGCTAAGCTCTTCTCTACCCTGTGGAGGTAGTCCTGGACGTCCAGCTTCCGGTTGAAGGAGTCGTCGATGAGGTGGACAAGCCGCCCCAGGTCGACGCACGTGTCGGTGAGCTTGAGCCTGGGCTCGCCAGGCCTAGGCGGTGTCCACCCTCGTGAGGATGGCTCTGGATATATGGTTACGGGCATGCCTCGTTTGGCCAGTGTGGTGGGTGACATGACAGGGTTCGATGCAGGGTTCGCATTCCGGAGGATAGGCTTGATGCGCCCGAGGGGTAAGGATGATGAGTGCGATGGTCTGTCCGTGAGGAGGTTGTGGATCAATGGGTTGTGGCTCCTCCTGGTCCCCACCGAGCCAACAAAGTCCACGGTGCTCGCTTCTTCAACCTGAGGTTGTAAGTTGGCAGCTTCCCGTGGCGTTGTAATGAGAGCTGATGAAGTGGAAGGCAAGATGGCCAGAGTTTTCTTGATCAAGTCGAGATTCTTGAGATGGGCTTCCGATGGATTGGTGCTGTCGGCAATTCCTTTAACACTCGTTTGCTGAGGGTAAGTCGAGTCCGAAGCCATAGACTGCAAATGTGCCTTGGCCGCCTCAAGCTCGTCCTCCAGATTCAGGAATACATGGGCGTTGTTCCAGCGATTCTTGGCAGGAATGCCCCCAAGGGGGTCCAATACGATGACCCGGTCGACGAAAGCTTTCTTCGCAGGCGGTTTCATGTCGTGCGTATCAGCTCCAGTCTCAGGACTCTCCGCAAATTGCAGGCCAGACAGATAACGTGTGATAGAAACAACAGCATTACTGGGGTCAACGGGCCGGGATTTTCCATCCTCCTCTTGGACGACAGGCGGAACGATGGCGACGGAGCCCTTCAACAACGACACCAAGAGGGACCTGTCCTCGTCAACGAGCACCTCGCACGAACCTAGCAGAGGCTCCAGGTTCGGAGAGGAATCAGCTCGTGTCATAAGTGCCGCATCGACGATGGTCGTCCAAGGCTCTCCATATTCATCAATGGCGCCAGCGAGCCGGTAAATTTGCTCGTTCAGTCGGCGTGACCACTGTGTATCGTCAGGCTTGAGCTCGCAGTCCAGGACAACCACGCTGAGAAGCCCGAGGGCCCTGAGCTGGGCGATTGTCTTTGCGACACCTCTCAGGGTACCGTCATCGACATCCTGCGGGAGTCTGAATTTGATGATGGCGACGTGCGGCAGCCCGTCAACGATAGCTTGTTTCGCGGTGTCGGATCCCTGGACGAACCGAGGCGTCTCGTAGATGGACCGAGTCCCGTTGGTCAACGGATCCACACGGAGAGCTGAGCTGGGCAGAGCACCACCACTCGTCGTCTCTCCTGATGAGAGCTGGGAAGGATTCTTCGTCACCGTTGGGCCGAATGTCTGGAGGTAGAGCTTCGCATCTCGTTTTGTAGCTGAAGAAGACTCTAGGACAGAAACATAGAAATCCTTGGACGACGATCATTCAGCTGCCAAATACACCACATAAATCTGATGAGAGTGGGAATGATCTCACCCTGTCCCGTGACCTCTTCTGCTGAGCTTTTTTGGAGATAGAGGCGTAGTGTTCCTTGAGATAGCCCTGCGAGATCTCATCTTTTGGGGACGCCACGCGGAAGTTCTGGGTGGCAGAAGATGCTGCCGTTGAGCCATTTGAGCTACTGCATTTTGTCCTGACTGATGCCTGTGATACATTTGGCAGTCTCTTGTCAGAATGATCATGACGTGTGTTTGGGGGGGGAGGGGGGTTGAGAGATTTGAGTGGATTTTGGGGGCAAGAAGGGGCGTTGTATGCATGCTGGCTAGGAGGGCGATGCCGGTCACTGTTTTTTGTGTCTTTGCACCCAACTCACCTCCGTGATGATTGTCGCCTTCCTCCAGGCAGTGTGTCGCAAGATCATGATCTCCACAGCATATTTGAGGGCTCTCAAAGGAGGCGACGAAGAGCACAATCTCTAAGGGTGTGCAGAATGTGTTTGACGGATGATCTATTATGATCCAAGATGGACCTCCGGCCATCGGTATAAGTGATAGGGGCCCAAGAAACCCCCTTGCAACCTCTGGCAGAACTGCCTCTAAAGCTCGATAAGAGCTGATAAGGTTCCAATATTAGGGTTAGGGTTAGAGCGCCCTTCTGCATGCCCTTTCCTGACTTGAAGGAAGCTCCTCTCCTGGCTTGGTCATGGTTGTACTGCTATGGTATATAGAGGTTGAAAGACCCGCTTCTTTTTCTGTGCTCATCAAGCAGCTATGGGACCCAGTGCCCGCTTCTTCCTTCGACAGCGTCATTGCCAGTGGAGCCAAAAGAGGTATCGACCTATTTGGTATCACCCTGAGATGTCCGAATCGCCGGAACGGACATTCCAGAGCTCGCCGCGGCTTTCGAGCACAGTGCACACATACTAATACCCGGGCTCTGTTGGAGTCGTTACGTCTATCCTGCATTGGCAAGGCACATATAAAAGGGTGATGACTTCGCATTCGTCCAGATGGTGTTGCCTTTACAAGATTGATATAGTTGCGTTCAGTATTGGAACCTGAATCCTGGTTATCATAAGACTTCATACTATTCGGAACGTTGTAAATCTCAAAGCGATCATGGCTCCCAAGGTCCTCTACATCGGATTGGGCAACATTGGTTCTGTAAGTGCGCTCAGGGTGGTGCTGCACATCCAACATGGTCTCATAATTGCTTCTTACTCACATTCACCCAGGCAATGGCCAAGAACATCGCAGAGAAGGCCGACCTCGACTCGCCACTACTCCTTTTTAATCGCAGCCAGCAGCGAGCGACCGATCTGAGCGCCAAACTCGCGCCAGGCAAGTCTGAGGTGGCCGGCTCCCTCGAGTCCGGCGCGTCTCAGGCTGATGTTATCTTCATTTGTCTGGCAAATGACATGGCTGTCACCGAGACTGTCAACTCGCTGGCTAAGACCGACCTCCAGGGCAAGGTCCTTGTGGACTGCTCGACCGTCCACCCAGACACCACCGAGGCCATCGCCAAGACAGTCACCTCGGGGGGTGCTGAGTTCGTTGCTTGCCCGGTGTTCGGAGCACCCGCTATGGCAGACGCCGGAAAGCTAGTGCCGGTACCCGCCGGCCCCAAGAGCGCAGTGGACAGGGTGAAGCCGTACCTAATGGATGTCACCGCCCGCGCCATCATAGACATGTCGGACGAGCCGTACCGCAAGGCCTCACAACTGAAGCTGGTTGGCAACTCGTTTGTTCTCAACATGGTCGAACAGATCGCCGAGGCCCACGTGTTGGCCGAGAAGAGCGGGCTGGGGACCAAGTACTCGCACCAGATCATCGAGCAGCTGCTGCCAGGCATTTATCCGCCCTACAGCTCGAGGATGCTCAGCGGCGACTACTGGAAGCGGGTGGAGCCCCTTTTCCACGCGGATCTGGCAAGAAAAGACGCGGGGCATGTGCTGAAGATGGCCAAGGATGCTGGTTGCCATCTGCCAAACGTTGAGACGGCAGACCGGCACCTGGAGGCGGTCCAGAAACGCACCACGAACGGTGATTTTGCAGGGATTTATGGGGCAGTGAGACAGGAGGCTGGACTGAAATTCGAGAATGATGCTTGAGGCATTGAAGATGGAAATCACTTGGAAACAATGTCTGATCTGGACTTGCTGAAATCCACCTGACTCTTAAGTGCTCAGTACTCAGTATCCGGCCCGTACTGTCGTGTCCATGTGCTGTGTGACTGTAGAAATGTCATCCTTCGTATGAAAACTAATAAGTTTGGCAAGGGTTTGTGCAGGGAATGAACATTATTTTTTTCCGAAACAGAGTCGCCAAAAAAAAATGATAAAAAATCTGTGATGTTTAGAAAAAGGAAATATTTGCTCTCGTCCTGAGGAGGGGAAGTGAAGGAGGAGGGCCCTGGTTTTAAATAACATGCCCAGCCGAGCACGAAGGATTCCCAGCTGAACCGCTGACTAAGCGAACCGCAACCGCAACGCGAAGTGGCTACTGCTACTACTGGTGCCGGAAGCTTACCAGGCACACTCGTCGTCACTCATCAAGCAGGAGCAGCAACGCCCAAAACCCAGCACCCTTTCCGACGTCCAAATCCACCTCCGACTGCATACATTCCACACACAAAAGGAGTGCCAAACTGACCCCCCAAAATGGCTAACGGGTGAGTTGTGCCAACCACTCTTTCCACGACACCTGCGCCGAATGCGAGCATGTGCATGCACGCTCGATGGTTTATAAATAAGAAAGGAGGAACGGGCTGACTGACTATGCCGTTACGTGCACCATCCACAGGTGGAGCATCTTCATCGGCTTGTTCATCGTCGCCGCCATGTGCGTCGGCGCCTGGTTCCTGGCGCCGAAAGGGGAGAATCAAGTGTTAGTTTGTTCCCTCGTTGTCGCCCATAACATCAACCCTTCCTCCCCAGCATTATTGCCTCGCCGGCGGATTTTGTTTGGTCTGTTTGTACCATGTGCTGACCCCGAGACCCCCTCCGTACCTTCAGTCTCTGGCGGTCATCCGTGATCCTCGCATTCGTTTGCTGCTACCTCATGTGGGCCATCACATTCCTCGCCCAACTACACCCTTTGATCGAGCCGAAGCGGTCGGACCTGCGAGAGAAGTTCATTCACGAGTAGATTCGTGGGCAGCCGAGAGTCGACTTCGACAGGTGGGCTGAGGGAAAGGGGAGGGGATGACGGCGTGGCTTCTTCAGACGAGGAAGATCGAGAAAGAAAGAAAACGTTCTAGATTGTACAAAACACCTGTTCATCATTCACATTGCCGGCGTTCGGGGGGGAGGGAATATTTTTGAGGTCCAGACTAGTGCATGCACTGAGCTATGTTCTGCCATGATACATTTGATGGATAGAGAGGGGGAGAGCCATTCTTTGTGTCAAGAAGAGATAGGGGAGCGTTCTCGGTGGTGGCATGGTTATGGTGGGCATTGCTGGCCATCTACGGTTGGCATGCTGACGGATGGAGCAGAGGGCCGTAGTTCTAGAAGCAGGCGGAACCACAGATTGGTCGAATAAACCAAGATTTTCAGACATGACCTCTTATTATCTACAGTCCGCCCCATACGCTTGCTGCTGATTTGAGTGGTATTATATGGCCAACTGGCCCACCCAGTCTCTAACATAGACGATCAGCGCCCAGAGCGCCTTTCCCTCCTCCGCAACGCTCCCTTCACCTTGGCTGTCCACCCCATCCAGGCCCGCGGCCCATAAGATCCCCCGTCCTACCAGCCACCTGCTGAGGGCGCCTGCCGTGGTCAGCAGCGCCGCAACGCCGTAGCCACAGTCCAGAAGAATCTTGAGGGCCTCCACATTGTTCGCCACCACAGCCCAGCCGAGCGATCGTGCCGCGGCAGGGACGTCATACTCCCAGATCACCATCAAGATGGGGAAGAGCTTCGTGCTGCTGGACACGAGGAGGGCGGTTGAGACGGAGTTGGGGCGGGAGTACCGGGGAAGGACGTTGAGGAAGCCGAGGGGGGAGTAGGGCGAGGAGGTGAGGAAGCGGATCGAGAGGTGGAAGGCGAGGGTGGTGACCGTGCAGAGGATCACTGTCTCCGTTCATCAGCTTGTTGATGGTGCTGCAGCAATGTAGAAGATGCCATAATAGGAAAAGGGAGAAGGGGGGGGGGGGTGGAAGATAGGTGTAGAGAGGCTCACAGAAGAACATGTACTGAAACACGATGGGTTGTTGCGCAAGCCGGCCGAAGTTGCTGTCGGACAAGAGACCCGAGTCCCCAGGGACAGACTGCTTCTCGATGCGCGCCCAGGTAAGGTAAACGTCGAAGAGTAGCAGCAGGACGCCGAGGCGGATGATGGATGGCTGTGTGTTTCGCCCAGATTAGTTATTCTTCCTCCTCTTCAAATTAAGATCACCGTCCCACATGGAGAGAATCAACATACATCAAACTGGTCCCGATCTCGCATCAACGTATTGTGCAGCAGGTGCCGATACACCTAGGCAAACAATGTATTTTTGTCGCGTCAGTCTCTCTTTACGATCCCTTCACCCTCAGCCGTCCTCTGCGCAACGTCGGCGGCGCAAGAACAAAGCCTACACACACAGAGACACACCTGTGGCTTGATCAGGACCAGATCGATAAACAGGACAATATAGTCGTGCTCGACATATTTGTCGCAGAACCGGCCGCAGTTCTTGCAGACCGTCAGGCGGATGTTGTGGCCGCTCGACTTGTCACCAGCGCCGGAATACTTCGTCCATAGTGTCTTGACCGGATGACGACACTCTATGCAGATGGGCATCGTCTCGTTCTAATCGGTCGATCTTGTTGTTCTGTCTCTTTCTTCAGCGGGGGGATGACATCTTTCGTCGTCTTTTGGGGTGAGCTCGCTAGGCGCCGTGAGACACACGCCGCGCTACGCGTTTTGAGAGTTGGATGGTTTGTAAAGTCGGTGGGGGGAAAGATCCAGGGCAGGCAGGGTGATGGGACTTTGGAGATGTCCTATTTTTGGTTGCCGCCGCGGATCGGCTCGCAGCGCATGTCAGCAGCGCATGGCGCAACCTCAAACTATTGAGACTGTGTGCCTTTTTTTCTATCCTCTTTTTTCTTTAAATTTCCTATGTACAACTTTTATAACGACTGTATAGATTTTTTTGATTTTTTTGAACCCAGGACTGGAAGAATAATATTACGGAAAGGAAGAGGAAAGAAAAAGAGAAGAGATGTGCCGCTCATCTCCCGCCTCACAACACCCGCAACCCGAAACGGAACAATCATCTTCGCAAACCCTCTCCGAGCAGCTCCTCGCACAAGTACCAGAGCATCCAGCTTGCCTTGAGGCCCTCTCCAAGGCCCAATCCCTCCTACCACCATCCATCTTTAACCACAGCGTCCGCGTCTACCTCTACGCCCTAAAGGCCCTGAACCTGGCACCACCAGACCCCGACGATGACGTCCTTCACCTCCCCCCAGAGGCACCTGCCGTGGACCAGAGCGTGCTCTTTGTAAGCTGCATCCTCCACGACATTGGCGCCTCCACCTTCCTAGCCACAGACCCAAAGCGCTTCGAGGTCGCGGGCGCAACCTACGCCGCGGCCCTCCTCGGTAGGCACGGGTTTGATCCAGTGGCCGTCCGCGAGAGCTGGCTCTCCATTGCCATGCACGACAGCCCTCACGTGGCGGAGGGTGCGGGCGGCCTGGTGAGGCTGGTGCGGCTGGCTGTGCTGGCGGACTTTGGATCTGTGTCGGAGGCAATGGGGACGGTGCTTGGCCGGGACTATGTGGACGAAGTCGAGGCGTTGCTGCCGAGGCTGCGAGTGGAAAAGGAGTTGGGAGATGCCGTGGTGAGTCAGGCTAGGACTATGAGGTCGAAGGCGCCGGGCGGCTCGTGGCCAGGTGATCTATTGAGAGCTGCAGAGGAGAATCCGGAGTGGGAAGGCGTTAATAAAGAATTCTAGGGAAGATGTTTTTGTGTGTACGTCGGCGTGTGGAGATTCTTGTTTAGGAGACGCTCTGCTTTGGAGCATCAAAGGTCATGATGATAGGCTCTATAGCATGCAGGCTACTTAAGTAGGTAACACAAATGTATTTGATACCCCTCTCTCGTTAAGAGGATGTCTATTCCAATAACACCAAGAATCGGTCGCCTCAGCGCTTGCCTTATGAATATGATCAGATTTAATCCCCCACGCTCGCATATACCTAAAACATAAAAATTTCAGATACGATTAAGCACCAACGCCGCCACCGATGCTGCACATTACATGTTCCCCCCTCATCTTGGCCAGCCCGGAGGCACACACCTCTCTAATCAGCCTTCTTATCCTTGGGAAGCCCCAAATTGCCGCGTGCAGGCATGCGGCCTCTCAATAGACTGCTCTCCCCGTCGTTCCGACCGGACGAGCCGTAGTTCGAGTTCAGCAGACTCGAATCGCCTTGGTCTAGGAGGCCGCTTATCCGCCCGTCCTCGCTATTGGTATCCTCAAGCTCGATCAGGTCCCCATCTCCCCCTCGAGGTCGGCTTGGCCCCAGTATAGGGGTGTTCGGTCTCTTAGCCCACGCGCCGCGCAGCCACGTCTCGATGGCCGCAGCAGCCTTGTCAAGCCCCGAGCCTTGCTTGCTCGTAGATGTCAAATCGCGGCCTTCCTCGAAGGGACTTTCCACGATGGCAGCGCCCTCGTCGTTGTTGAAACCAAAGTGGGCACTCTCGGATCCCATGATCGCCATCGATGGGAGTGTGTCGATATTGAGACTAGGTAGGTGCTTTCTCGTCCAGGTGTTGAAATAGTCTTTTTCTGGACCCGGCGCTCGCACATTCCTGCTCAGTGTACCAACGCCACCGGGCCTCCTCATCCATGCTGGCCTGAGGTCGTCATTGCCGCTGCCTACCCTGCTCCGAGATGGCGTTGGTGCTGATGAGGCGTATGCCGAGGGAATATGGGGGCGGTTGGCGAGCATGCTCTGCCGGCGATCCGAGAAGCCGCCTTCACTGTCGCCGACATCAGAGCCGAGGGCCATGCTGGGCACGTCAAAAGAAGCCCTCGGCGTGCTGAGTGAAGATGTAGTGCGCACGCTCTTCTTCCTTCTTGGCGGGAAGTAACCCATGGCCCTTCTAGACACCCTTGCAATCTCCACAGGCTCTGTGCAGTGGTCGAGTTTGGCCCATCTCACATGAGTCCACGGCTTCTCCTCCTCTGCTGCGGATTCCTCATGCGCCTTCCCATTCTGCCCTGCTGCAAAGAAGTCATTGTACGAGTTCTGTGTCGTCGAGTTCCGCAGAGGAGATGGCCCAGGTGTCGTCGTCCCTGGCGTCGTCGCGAGAAGATCCACATCCTTGGAGTAGTACGACGGACCGTCGCATGGCCTCCCTTTCACCTCACATGCATCCACTGGCAGCGCCAACCACTTCCGTATCTGAATGTTGTCCCTCGACCACAATCCATTGGCCTTCCTGAATGCGTCCTCTTGGCACCTGTACTTCAGGATGACCCCTGCGTAGGTATCATTGGGTTGGACATGGTGTATATAGACCAACTGGTCCTGGACCTCAGCGTTGGTCGGGGTGGTCCGGGGGTCCTCGTCAGAATTCCGCCTTTTGAACTTGCCCGTAACATCTAGCCCTCCGTTCACACCCTCGTGGCTCTCCAAGACGCTTGCCGTCTTTCTGGCCTTGTACGCCGCCTCTCGCTCTGCCAGCGTGCCTGCGGCGACATCGTCGATCCCCGGGCGAGGGGTCTCGGGGGGTTCTGGACCCCAAGCACTCCGTTGCTTGTTCCTCAACGCGCTGTCGGACGTCTTGACTGTTGGCCTCCTGGGGCTGGGCCCGCGATGCGTCTCACCGCTCAGGAACGACGTGGCGAGGTCCTGGACCGAGGTCCAGCCTGTAGACCATGAACTATCAAACCAGCCCTTCCCGGCGTGACTTGAGGGGTTGCCATTGTATGATGCTTGCGCGGGTGCGGCCCTGCTCGATGACCTCGATGGGGGACCTATTCGCGCCGCCGGGATGGGGCTCGCACCCCTGGTCGGCGAGTGGCTCGCTGTCCTGAGCAGCGAGCTCGACCTCGGGGATGAAGTGCCAGAGGCATCGTTTGCCGCCGTGCCGAGACGACGATTCCTTGGGCGGGCTTCGGCATCGTGAGCAGGTGTCGAGAGCCGGGCAGTGGACGACATCACGACGAGGCCTGGGACCTCGGCGCGCTGCAGTCGCCAGAGTGGATCGCAACCATCAGATCGGGACTCGGCTCTGCGACGAGGGGAGAGGAGAGCAATGGGGCGTCAGATAAATCTTGTGCGATGGGATGGATACGCTCCTCTGAGGTCTCGACTCGAGCTATAGGGGTTACTTGGGTGGAGACGGGGCGGCGAGGGAGAACAGTTCGCTGAGGGCTCGTCGTTGAAACAAAGGGATCAGTCACGGGAGAAGGACCCCCAAGAGGCTGTTGGGGGAATGGGGATCGTGGAGCAATGCAACAGCGGGGCTGATTGCGTACTCTAGCGATGGCGTGCTTCGTGTCTGTCGCTTCGTATCGTCGTTGTGTGTTTGTGTGTTCCCCGTGTGAGGGCGTCGTGAAGGTTTGAGGGACAAATTGGACAGATGTGCTCGGGTCGCTTGATGGCAGAGGTTCTGATACGGGGAGTCCAAGTACAGGAGGAAAGTGGAATTGACGGCGAGCGGATACGTACTCCGAATTCGACGGCCCCCCAGTGCCTATGCTGGGGAAACAGGCTGACGAGGCGGTGCTCACTGTACTATGGTAGGTACCAAGCATGGCAGTTAGTACGTACTACCTTCCGTAATACTGCAGCTAGGGGCCCTGTAGCTGCAGTCCGGGGCTTCGTCCCAAAATAACCGGTCACCCTGACTTAGTCCACTGCAGTCTGCTAAGTCAGCTAGCCTGAACCTCCTTTTTAAGAGACGGACAATACCAAACAAGTTCTTCTTCCCTTAGATTTTAGTTTCAGGAGGGTAGAAAGAAAAAAAAAGAGTCATGGAACCGGCGGGATTTTGTCCAGTTTTGTCCCCTTCTGATCAAAGCTCGTTTCCGTTACCGGAACACATCGAGACTTGGAGGCTTGATTCACTGCTGCATCCTCGCAAGGAATGTTGGTCAACAGGCAGCTTCCGCATGTTTCCCTCCGCCGAACTACCGCAGCATTTTTGGAGCCGGTATGTTAAATATGCTAAGTGAAACCCCGTCACAGGCAACGTTTACGAGATACCCTGAAGGGCATTGGGGTTGTCCACATCCTGGGTCTGATCGCACTCGTATAAATTCTAATCAAGGGCACAATCTGAGTCTCGGCCTAGCTCACCTGGTCTTGATGGAATGCGACCTGGCTTGAGCGATGCTGCAGCATTCCCATTGGGCTTCCGATTGTGATTCACCGTACGCATTGTACTGGCCACACACGATCGGCGCCCTGGTCATGGCTGTAGAGCTCGCGCGTTAAGGAACCTAGGTTCAGAGCTAACCCTCAAGACATGATAGATACTACTTGTGTTGAACCAGTCTTATTGACGTGCAACATTTTCAAACACGTAACAGCATCAGCCAAGAGTGCTGGAACAGACCATGAAGAGAAGAGAAGAATCAAAGCCAAACACTTCCAAGACTAACAAAATTTCAGCACAGGACAACACTCGAAACAAGAGGAGCAACTGTTTTATAATAATCACTAAAAGCTCTCATCATACATCAAAAGATGACATACATAGTATACACATGGCCCACAAAATTGTCAGACAAGCAACCAGTGAGGTGCAGACTAAGACTGCACTCCTGCACGTAAGCAGGGTTAGGGGTTTTCAAACATAGCGTAGCGGCTCCCCGACTCAGGGGGGGCAGACGTGACAGGTGTGCTGCGGGCCTGACAGCTTAGCGGGGATCCGTTGCCATGCGCGATTGAATTTGTTGTTTACGACCCGCGTCGCCAGCCAACGTCGCAAGTCCCACTTTTGCACCTCATCTTCGATGTTCACGTCGACCACGACGCCACGCCAGAGCCCACCACCATGAGGGTCACCGAGATCATAGTAGACGTATGTTCTACCCCCTCAGCCCCGACTAAATCTGCTTTCTGACAATTCTACAGGGCTTCAAGTCGTACGCCGTCCGGACGGTGATTTCAGGATGGTAAACAAGGTCCCCGCAACGTCCATCGAGAGTGTGACAGCCTGCTGACCAGTGCAGGGACGAGAGCTTCAACTCCATCACCGGCCTCAACGGCAGTGGAAAGTCCAACATTCTGGACTCCATTTGTTTTGTTTTGGGCATCACCAACATGTCGACAGTGCGCGCGCAAAACTTACAGGTGCGATCATGTCCAGAGCTCTTCCACTGCACTGTCCTGCTTTTCTGACACTTGTTTCTCGCTCATAGGACCTGATATACAAGCGCGGACAAGCCGGAGTCACAAAAGCCAGCGTCACAATCGTATTCGACAATAAAGACAAGAAGAAGTCACCTATCGGGTTCGAGGAGTATGCGACCATCAGCGTCACCCGCCAGATCGTCCTCGGCGGCACCTCCAAGTACCTGATCAACGGCCATCGTGCCCAACAGCAAACGGTCCAAAATCTTTTCCAGTCCGTCGGTCTGAACATCAACAACCCCAATTTCCTCATCATGCAGGGCAAGATCACAAAGGTGCTGAACATGAAGTCCGTCGAGATCCTCGCCATGATTGAGGAGGCGGCCGGCACGAGAATGTTCGAGGATCGCCGGGACAAGGCATTCAAGACCATGGCGAAGAAGGACCTGAAGCTGCAAGAGATTACAGAGCTCCTTCGCGAGGAGATAGAACCGAAGCTTGAGAAGCTGCGCGGGGAGAAGAGAGCATTCCTTGATTTCCAACAGACACAAAACGACCTGGAGCGTCTGACGAGGCTAGTGGTCTCCCACGACTACGTCCGATACAAGGAGAAGCTTGAGCAGTCAGCAGCAGACCTGGAAGGCAAGAAGCAGAGACAAAAGGATCTCGAGGACTCCGCTGTGAGGCTGAAGAGCGAGATTTCTCATCTGGAGGAAGACGTCCAGAGGGTCAAGGGCCAACGCGACAAGGAGCTTCGGAAAGGCGCCAAGGCCCAGGCCTTGCAAGACTCTGTAAAGAAGCTATCAAATGAGCTTGTCCGTCTGGCGACCGTGATGGACCTGAAGAAGTCGAGCTTGACCGAGGAGCAAGATCGCAGAATAGCCGGAGAGAAGAATGTTGCCGAGCTGGAATCATTATTGAAGGACAAGTCAAAGGCATATGAGAAAATCAAGGCCAAACACGACGCAGCGAAAGAAGAACTCGAGAAGCAGAGCCAGGAGGCAGAGTCCAAGGAGGAACTGCTGCAGACTTTGCAGACCGGGGTCGCATCCAAGGAGGGTCAGGAGAACGGCTACCAAGCCCAGCTGCAAGACGCAAGGCATCGCGCCTCCGCGGCGGTGACAGAGCAGGAGCAGGCCAAGATCAAGATTGCACATCTTGAAAAGCGCATCAAAGAGGAGGAGCCACGTGCCAAGAAAGCAAAGGAGCAGAATGCCGGTCTGCTTAAAGAGCTCGAAGGCCTCAAGTCCCAAGCGCAACGGCTGGAGAAGGAGCTCGGCAAGCTTGGGTTCAGCCCTGGTGCCGAGGATGAACTTTACAAGGAAGAGAGCAGCCTCCAGCAAAGGATACGCAGTCTCCGACAAGAGTCCGATGCTCTCAAGCGCAAAGTGGCCAACATTGACTTCAACTATGCCGATCCGACACCGAACTTCGACAGATCCAAGGTGAAGGGCCTCGTCGCTCAGCTTTTTACACTCGACAAGGAGAACACACAGGCGGGAACTGCACTCGAGATATGCGCTGGAGGACGTCTCTACAACGTTGTCGTCGACACTGAGGTAACCGGTACGCAGCTGCTCAAGGGCGGCAGACTCCGCAAGCGCATCACAATCATCCCGCTCAACAAGATCTTTGCCTTCAAAGCGTCTGCACAGACGATTGCGACTGCACAGAGAATAGCCCCGGGAAAAGTCAACTTGGCCCTGTCGCTCGTGGGCTACGATGATGAGGTGTCGGCTGCCATGCAATACGTCTTCGGCAACACCCTGATCTGTGATGATGCCGAGACTGCCAAGAGGGTCACGTTCGACCCCAACGTGAGGATGCGGAGCATTACCCTGCAAGGAGATTCGTACGATCCCTCTGGCACCTTGTCTGGAGGCAGTGCACCTAACTCCAGCGGGGTCTTGGTGACGATGCAAAAGCTGAACGAGCTGAACCGACAAATCAGGGAAGCCGAAGCATCTCTCCGTGACCTACAGGCCAGGATCGCGGGGGAGAAGTCGAAGCTCGATCAAGCGCGGAGGATCAAGCAGGACTTCGATCTGAAGAGCCACGAGATCAAGCTTGCGGAGGAGCAGATTGGCAGCAATTCGTCCTCTTCCATCATTCAGGAGGTGGAGAATATGAAGCAACAGATCAGCCAACTGAAGGAGAGCAGTCAGGAAGCCAAAAAGCGCCACGCAGAGGCCACAGCAGACGCAAAACGAATCGAGAAGGACATGAAGGACTTCGACAGCAACAAGGACGGAAAGCTCGTCGAACTACAAGCCTCCCTAGACAAGCTGCGGGCTTCTCTCGAGAAGCACCGAGCGTCCGTCAAGACCCTGCAGAAGGAGCTACAGAACGCTCAGCTTGACTCCGAACAGGTGTCTGGCGATCTTGCAGCTGCCCGTGAACAACTGCAGGAAATTGACCAGGCCATCGGAGCCCAGCAGGATGAGATTGCCAAGATCTTGAAGGAGAGGGACGATCTTCAGGAGACTCACGACAAAGCTCAGGCCGATCTCGATGCGGAACGAGCGAAGCTCAGTATCTTCGATGATGAGCTCCGCGCCCTCGAGGACGCAATGCGCAGCAAGAACGCTCGGATCACTGAAGAGGGCCTGGAGATGCAGAAGCTTGGTCACCAGGTCGAGAAGTTCAACAAGGAGCAGCAGAGCGCTGGGCAGGCTGTCGGACACATGGAGAAGGAACACGAATGGATCGCCGATGAGAAGGACAACTTTGGCCGCGCTGGCACCCCGTACGATTTCAAGAATCACAACATAGCCGAGTGCAAGTCCACACTGCGAAACCTGACAGATCGGTTCCAAGGGATGAAGAAGAAGATCAACCCGAAGGTCATGAACATGATCGACAGCGTTGAGAAGAAGGAAGTGGCGCTCAAACACATGATGAAGACAGTCATCCGAGACAAGAAGAAAATCGAGGAGACCATCGTGAGCCTGGACGACTACAAGAAGAAGGCGCTGCTTGAGACCTGGCAGAAGGTCAACGCCGACTTTGGTGAGATCTTCTCGGAGCTGCTTCCTGGCGGCTCTTTTGCCAAGCTGGACCCGCCCGAGGGCAAGACTATCAACGAAGGCCTGGAGGTCAAGGTCTGTCTCGGCAAGGTCTGGAAGCAGAGCCTCACAGAGCTGAGTGGCGGCCAGAGGTATGAACCCCCGGAATACTAACCCCCTTGGCGGCACATTTAGATATTGACAGTCGTTGTTACAGATCACTCATTGCCCTCTCGCTCATCATGGCCCTGCTGCAGTTCAAGCCAGCGCCCATGTATATCCTGGACGAGGTCGACGCCGCGCTTGACCTGTCGCATACCCAAAATATCGGCCGGCTCATCAAGAGCCGCTTCAAGGGGTCCCAATTCATCGTCGTCAGTCTGAAGGACGGCATGTTCCAGAACGCGAATCGCATCTTCAAGACAAGGTTCAGCGAGGGCACGAGTATGGTACAAGCATTGACACCTGCAGATGTGAAGTGAGATATGGCCTTGTGACTGAAAATTTGTCTGGAGTTTGGTTCTTGGTGGTTACTGGTTGGCTGCAGTTGAATAATGTGGCGTGGACAGTACCTACAACTTTTTTCCTCCCTTTGGGATCACGTACATGTGCAACGACATACGGGACGGTTCTGATAGGCAGGTTTGGTGGAATTAGTGGTTTATGATTGGATGAGGGTGTTCTCCATAATGTTGCTGGGTATCCTTTCTTTCTTTTCTAGTCCGCCAGTCCCTCTTTCTATGGTAGCAGAATGAATAGCTTGCGCTATTGTCTCTTGTACACATGCTCGTCCTGATCCAACACCTCTATCGACATGCTCACCTCGATGAAGTTCTCATGCGAGTCTACGTTCTCAAAGAGGGGGAGCATCTGCACTCCAAGATTATCCGTCGTGGGCGCGCCCGAGTTGCTGTCGGGCTCAGATCTAAATGTCCTGGTGTCAGCAAACCCTTTTCCTCCTCAGTTGCCTTGGGACGCGGCAGTTCATCTTACCTGTGAGTTCGACTCGAGACTTGGAATGCTACCTCATGCAGCTCTTGTGAGCCCTCTGGCTTCGCCTTGATCTTCTTCCAGCCGTGCTCATCGCAAGGGGACAGTCCAGACACTGTGACAAGACGATCAGTCCGCCTCGTTCCATAAAGATTCCACCGTGCCATTTCTCAAAAGAGCATGACTTACCGAATATGTTGGCTCGGGATTGCTCTGTGAGGCTCAATCCTGCCTTGCTCTCCTTCTTGGTCTGCTTAGACTCCAGATCCCGCAAGCTGGCCAGACTTGTGACATGAACCGGATACTGCACGCGCTGGTCAGCACGATAAGAAAGAGAAAAGAAGAAAGAGGGGTGAGGAACCCCTTCTTAAGCTCGAACGTCTCTTCCAAATGACTGCACTGACCGGATCCTGAAAGCCCAAAACAGGCTGGGCTCGTCCACTATCCTCACCACGCGGCACAGAAGTGTCATATACCTCCCTCAAGCCAACCGGGTCGACTCTGAAAAGCGCCAGCTTGTTGCTCACGCCCAAGTACAACCTCAGCTCCTCAGGCAACTCACAGCCCATATTCAAGGCCACGACCTTCGATTTCTCTTCCTCCCCCTCCGACCTCCTGGCCGACGACAAGCTCACCTCCTCAAAGGCATACCCCTTCTCCGCAATCTCGCCGGGGCGCGGACACGCCACGGGCAGCATCACCTCCACGACAGGCTGCGCCCGCCACCCGCGGCTGCACTTGGCGGCGAACACGTCCCATAACCCTCTCCACACGCCCTCGGCGCGCCAGGGGAACCGCAGGATGAGGAAGACCTCGTTGGAGGAGCCGGCGGTGACGTCGCGGAAGCCCTTGATCTTGGCCAGGTCCGGGCGCCACAGCTCGACCTCGACGGTGGCGAGGAGGGGGAACTGGCGGGGGGTGATGGCCTCCCAGGTGTGGCGGCGCGCAGGAGAGGAGGCGTCGGCGTCAGTCTCAGCGTCATCGGCGGCGGCAGAGGCAGAGGTGGTGGACACGGGAAAGGGGCTGCGGAGCTGGGCGAGGTGGAACAGGTGGTCGAACTCGAGACCTGCGGGGGTGAGCTTTGCGCGGGCGAGCTCGACGCCGCGGCAGGGCTCGACGGGGTAGACGAAGAGGGAGCTGATGCTGCTGCTGCCTTGACCGCCCTCCTTGGCATTCTTGTTCTTCTTGTTGTTTTCCCTGGTTAGGTTGGATCTGGCGGGCTCGGGGCCGAGCTTGTTGTGCGTCTCGGTCAGGGCATCGCTCTTGGACGGCGGGAAAGGTGGGAAGAGCACAAAGAGGGGCCCAAAGAAGACGAGGAGGGTCGTGACGAGCACGAAGATGGAGCCTGGGTCGGTGGGGAGGGCAGGTCGGCCGGCTTCCTGGGCGGTGGTGTTGTGGACGTTGATCAGGGCGTCCATCGTTTTGGAGGAGGGGGAATGTTTAGTGTGCAGCGCGTTTCAATGTTCTGAATCATCGGCTTGGTTGAGGCATGTAGAGGTAAACTTTTTTCTTCTCTTCTTTTTTTCGTTTGATTCTTTTGATTTTTGTTCTGTATGGGTGTGCAATCAAGAAAAAGTTGAAACAATTTGTTTTTGTACTTTCTTTCTTATTTTAAAAAATTCTCTATGACTTGGATCGATGATGAGGGGGCGCGTCGAGCAGTCCAGGCTGTCAGGAGTTCATCTTGCGACACGAAAAGGAGTCGTGGTGTTTCGCAGCTCGCGTCTTGCAACTCCTACGCTGCTTCCTTTTCGCCCGTGCTCGTGTCAGCAGCGCAAGGACACCGATTTCCATTTGACCATTACAATTTTCCTTTTGAAGGCCATTGCCAGCTGAAAAGAAGAAGGAAATGAAGAGAGAGAGAGAGAGAGAGAGAGAGAGAGAGGAAGAACCGCCCTCCGTCAACAAACACATCAATCTCGAAAAGGGTCCATCACAAATCAGAAAAGTGTTGTATGCTTGCCGTACGTACGTAATACATACAGCTGAGTAAGCTTGGAGACACGGAAATAATCAACTCAACACCGGCCCAGGTCGGATCACGGAGCATATCCGACACGTGTGATGAAGTGAGAGAAGAAAGAGAGCGAGAGAACAGGGTCACGCTGCGCGTGGGGGACGAGGGAGGTGTGCCAGGTTTGTTGTGCGTGTGCTGAGCTAACAGAGTGGCATGTCTTAGCACCAAAAAAGGAGGCCCACCCCAACTGTAGCTTGCTACGAAGCCAGGGATGTGTGTTGAGACACGCCCCATAACCACCCCATCACCCTTGAATTACGGTTATACTATGGTAAAAAAAAAACATAAAAAGGAAGAGGAAGAGAGAGAGAAAAGGTAATTTTCCAGCTAAAGCTTGTCTCAACAATTGCTCCCCAGACCGGAGGACACCTTGCCTTTCTCCGCACTCTCCTATAGTATATTATACTTTTTAAGAAAGGTACATAGTATCTATAGTAGTCGTCATGTTAATGCTTCAAGTGTCAGTCATGAGTAGTATTTATTCTTTTCCATTGACTCGTAGTCGATGGCTTGCGCGCGCTGTCGCTGTCTCTGTCTCTTCAACCCCCCCGGGGGTGTCTCTCTTGTATGTGGGTCGCCTATCTCCCTTGTTCCCGATGTATCATTTGTGCTCGATGATGGCCTGTCATGTCAAATCGGCCCAAGGCAAATCCATGGCCCCCTTTGCCGATCATGGCATGTCAAGAACACCCACGAGCGACAGCCGAGAGGTAGTACAGTAAGTACCATATAGCACACGGTGATCCACAGGCCAGAAGGAAAATCCACCCAAGACTAGAAAGGGAAAAAAAAAGAAGGGGAAAGAAAGGTGTGGAGACTGCCTCTGTCCTTGGCAATACTGTGTAAATTCCCTCTCTCGTCCTCCTCCTTTTTCTGCCGATCCATTCTCCGACGGCTTGCGGAGCCAAAAATCATGAATGTGGCCTCTGCGTTGCTCTGCCTTAATTTCTCGCTGCTTTCTCTTCCCTCTCCCTTTCCTATGCCATAGCAAGCAAGCTGGTGTCATCATAGCCGCCTCGCCGCATCAAGGTGAAACCGTATCGAGATAGTAGGAACCCCCCATGCGGGGTGCGGGACTGTACGCATCGAACGACATTCACTAGATAGGCCTAGGCCCTAGCGCGTCCTTTCTCCTACCGCGCCTAATGAACCATAAGGGGGGGAGGGGGGTTGTCCCATGGATTACCTTTCCGGTGCCTGCTGCGTAAATTAAAGTATACATGTACTGTGCCGTATTAGATAGTATCAATATTACAATCTCTCCATGGCATCTGTACTATAGTACATGATCAACAGGAAACAACCCACTGTGGGGAAATGGTATGTAACGGCGCCAGCAGCCACACAAACCGTGACAAATTGCGCGGCACGCTTTTCTTTGATAATTTCCAGTTGCTATTTTTTTCTTTCTTCTTTTTTTTATAAAACAATAAAAGTGTGTGTGATATACGTATTGCTTTTCCGTGTTCGGCACAGTAGCGTCCGAAAGGACTGAGATGGACCAGGGCACTGAATACTTGAATACATGCATATATCTGTTGGCTAGACGGCACAGAAGAGAAAGGTGGGGGTCCAAAAAGGACGGAGGGGTTGGAGGGGGAGGAAGATGAAAAGAAAGGAAGGAGTAAAGTATAATCTTGGAAGAGAAGATGCAGTGCTACGGCGGCCCCCGAGGGCAACAAAGGAAGCCTAAATGGCCTTATGGCCGCAAAAGGACAGGGCGAGAAGGAGGAAGTCAAGACGTACGAGTTGGTGCTGACAGCAAAGAAGTCGCCTGGCCTGCTGTCAGACATAACAGGACTCCACAGTGAAGCCACCGAGCCAACCTCTGTAATTGTCATCACACATGCACTGATAGGGCCGGCGTATTTGTGTGGTGGTGAGGGAGGGGGGGGTGGGGGGTTGCTGATGGGGCTGCAGACGATAGACAGGTCATCAAAAAGACAGAGAGAGAGAGAGAGAGCGAGAGAGAGATGCACATAGTAATTAGAGGAGGAGGCAACCCGAGTGACGCGCTTGAGACGGCCCACCCGTGAAGGACGGCAGGGACCTTCAAGTTGTCCATTCCGCTGTAAGCGCCCAGGCCGTTCTTTTACAGTTGCACACTTTCCAGTAACCCATCCCTTCCCCCTTCAGGGTCCCCCCTCTCACAGTGTCATGTCATGACGTGGAGATGAGTACCATCCATGCCGGAACAGATCATCTCTCGGCCATAGGACCGTCATTTCCGTGACCGGAAGGGGGGGGGGGGAAGGGGCATGGTCTCAAAGGCTGCGTTTGGTTGGTATCTCGATGGGCAGCATACTTAATGGGTAGCGGAACAAGCAGAGACGAAGAAGAAAAAGGAAGGAAAAGGAGAGGGCAAAAGGGAACAAAAAGGAAGTTGGGGGCTATCACAAGCATGGGCCCATTCAAACTTACCTGTCACCGTGGCTGCTTACAACCTCGGAACCTCTCCGTTCCATGGAAGGTTACTGGAGCACTGGAGATAGGAGAAGGAAACAAGAAAGAGATATATGATTGGGAAACCAGGATGGGAAGGACAAGGCAGAAAGAAAGAGACAGAGAGAGATCGAGAGAGAGAAAAAAGTCAAGCCCACTTGCTTTTGTCTCACTTAATGGTTCTGTGGTCCATTAACCCATCCATCCATCAAGTATGGTCCGCGATACGACCACCTACTGTTACAGTACGTATTGCAGGTGCCCAAAGTACCTTTCCACCGCTTATATTGGCCCCTCTTTTGTGCAGAGGGCGCCATCGCGAGTCAGTCAGCTTGCCGGGCTGCCGGGAAGTCAAGCGAATTTTGTCCCTAGTGTGTCCCTCCCTATCTTCTGCGCGCGCGCGCGCGTGTGTGTGTGTTGTGCTTGCGTGTGTGTGTTGTGCTTGCGTGTGTGTGTTGTGCTTGCGTGTGTGTGTTGTGCTTGCGTGTGTGTGTTGTGCTTGCGCGTGTGTGTGTGTGTGTGTGTGTGTGTGTGTGTGTAGGCAGAGCGGGTAGTCCTATGCATGTCGATCCGGGATTAAGGATGTGATTTTGTTATCGTGGTCTGACGGCAATTGTTTGGAATACGGTAAAATTAGCCCAGATGTGCATGTTGGGCATCATGGCATTTTTCTCAGGGTATCAAGTCTCTTCATTTCCTTTTGTACTATGTAAGAGGGTCATCAAGATAAGATCTGGATAAGATAAGATCTCTCTCCTTTTCCCCAGATTCCAAGGTGGAACCTACCATGGTACTGCCCACTGAGGCTGCCTATAAATTTACAATACCTGGATCATTCGAGGGAAAAAAAGAAAGAAAAAAAAAAAGGATGCATGTAGGGATTGCGGTATGTATCTTTTGGGTACAATATAGTGCGTTAGGGTGATTAGTGGAATTGGTCATAGTCATATTGTCTAGCCTCAAAGTTCTAACAACCTAAAGGATTCTAGCTGCGTTGGAAAAAGCACTTTTCAACAGAAGCAATTATTAGCTTCCCGTAGGAACACACACTTTCAAAGTTCTCTTTCTCTCCTTCTCTCCCCCTCCCTTCCGAGATACCCACTGGAGCGGCAAATGCAATCACAGCCCTATAGGGAGAGAGAAAGACGGTACTTTCCATCTCAAGTATAGTTACATTTGCAATTTTCTTCTTCTTCTGGTCTGCATTGAGCTGCTATGTATTGGGCTGCCATGTATATAGTACAAACACCAATAACCCACAAGGGGATAATATTTGGGGTTGCAGTCGTGTCTCATCTTGGAGCACATGCAGATACAGACCGGTCAGTCAGCTTGAAACCTCTGGTGACTCGGTGGCCTTGAGTTGCTCTCCGATGATAATGACTCGTATTTTTCTCTTGTGATATAATTAGCTACCAGCCTCCTTAAGAACAAAAAAAAAAGGATAAGTGATATTGTATGAAAGTGCATAGCAAATACATATGCGTGTAACGTAACTGTCAGCTCTTCTTAAGTTGACAAAGCTGCAGCCATCTTCAGGATGGTCAAGTAAAGAAGGAATATGCAACGCTACGACATTTTGATGAGATCATTTTTCGTAGGGTTTCTGGCAATGCCCACCGCCGGCACAGTATTTGCACGGTTCTTCTTGCCATTGTACCTAGTGCCGACATGTTCAGTGACGGTGGACTGCACTTTTGTATTGCATCAAAGACAAATCAGGTATTCGCTGAAACATGGGGCCTTGACGGCGTGTAGTGAGACTCGGTCTCCCGGAGACATTGACAGAAGTACCGATGCACTCATTTGGCACTATTCCGATAGGTTCCCTAGCCCATGCGTCAACGCGGGAATGGTAATATATGCTGGGCGGCTAAATCCCATGCCTTGTTCCTATTATATCACAAAATCATCTTTATATCTGTTCGATGCAGAACCTATCGCCACCGTCGGATGCGT